CGGCTCTAGGGTAGAGAGACTTTTTAACTCTACTTAGGATATATACCACTATCGCTAGGGCTTATTAAGACTATAGACTATTTAGAATCTAATAATATTTATATATTTAACTAGATTTAATATATAGTCTAAGTAGCTTACGCTAGTAGATAAGTTCCTCTCTACCTAAGAAAAGTATTCGAAGGAGTAGGATAATACTAAGCAAGAGGATAAAAAGTTTAATCCTATTAGCGATAATAAGGAAGATCTTATAATAGAAACTTCTATAGAAGTATCTATTAAGTAGCCTAGCCTACGAGCGCTAGGGAAGAGAAGGGCTATTAATAATAATAAGATCCCTCTACCTAATTTTGATATTAAGAGGCAGTCGTTAGGGCGTATTCTAAAGAGACTAAGACATAATACGGATTTTATATATAATTAATAGATATAGAGGACAATTAATCCTTTCAACATAAATCATATATATAAGTAATTTCTAGAAAAGTACTCAAAGTTTTTGGAAAGAATACGTTTAGGCTATATATAACAAAGTATAAAAGTGAAATACTAAAAAATACCAATAGATTCTTCATAAATTATATAAATCACGGGGTTCTATATATTCGTCCCGTTTGTAGGACCGCAAGACCGGACCGGACCGCAGTGGTGCGGTCCTGATAGTAAGGACCAAGCCCTGCATGGTCCGGTCCGGTCCGCGGTCTGGTCCGGTCCCTTGCGGTCCTTGCCGAGGTCTATCCTCGTCTTACCTTTATTCAAGGTTATCCGTTATTTGTTTGGAGCCACACAGGTAGTACTGGAGGCTATTAGTGTTAGACTACGCTAAACCCCGCGAATAGGTTCTACAACCTTCCTTGCATAGAATATAGGTCTTGGCGTATATAATTTGGCTAATATATCTTAATAACGTAGGGGGTTTTAGCACTACTTACTGTAGCTACTATAGTAATTTATCGACTTAATCTTGAAGATATTAGTAATTTGAAAAAATTGACCAGATGATATATTTCTTTATAGTAGTAAATAGTCATTTGTGTAGTTATAGTTTGATATAACCTTAGACTTATATTTGGAAAGTTAAATCCCGCTCATCAATCATGATACAGATGCGCTCAATGCGCATTGCGCTACAGCACTTCCTGTATAAGATTAATGCAGCAGATTCAGAAAAATGCCCGTGTGGAGAAGGCTCTCTGACCCCGAAGCAGTCTTGCTTCAATGCCAGACCTTCGGGAGTCTAAGGAAACAGCTGTTTGACCAGTTGGTTTAGGCAGGGGTTTCCGACCTTACTGACTATGACGCTCCAGTGTCAGACCCGCTGGCGATCCGCTACGTCGCCAAATGCATCGAACCGGCCTACTTGCTTAGTTTCAACATACTGCATAGGTAGAGTCCGATAACGAAACTGGAGACCCCACTAAGGTCATGGAGCAGAGTCCCGAAGACGCTAGGCACTCACTAATGCTTACACCGACGTTTGAGGATGGAGAGAACTTCACTTAGCTATTCGAATACACGCTGCCGGACTAGGCTGAAGCCCACGCTCGGCCTGACGAACGATAATCAGCCATTGAGGCTGAAGTGAGGATGTCGGAGAACGGGGTGTGATCTTGCTGCAGTAGGAATTAGCTGGCATCTTGATCGAGAGGTGTTTATATAGGATATGAGATGAGGACAGGGTAGGTGGACGGTGCATCCACGCATTCATTTGTATTTATTGCGTCCTAGTATTGAATTTCTCATTTGTATTGGGGTTTTGGGTTTACGGTTCTGACTTACATGTAGGGCTGGTACTCTTTCTCGTTTCGAGAACCAGCCCAATTTTCTGTACTGGAGCATGATCCGGCGTACGGGACACGAGTTCTTGCTTCAACTGGAAAGAAGCGCCTGCATAGATATTCGATACTAGATAGGCTCCAACAGGTTAATAGAACTTTGATTGATTGATCGGTTAATATATTTGGAAAGTGATATAGTAGGAAGAAGCTTTTATTATCGTAGAAATATATGAAAATATAATATATTAGATATTGAACAATATTTTGTTATGAGGATCTATATTTAACGTACGTAGTATACGTATATCTCTATAATTACTACGTTTTGTGGGTCTTGATTAAAAGGTGCCATAAGGCCATAAGTTTAATTATAAATTATGTTACTTACCAAGATAATATTACTATAATACTAATTATATTGTATATATTTTATGAAATAGCTTTAAGGTTAGTGGTTTCATCGAGACCCGATATATAGGCCCTAGATAATGCAAACAGAGCAGAGACTCGTGACTACACAAAGCATGCAGTTTTCGCCTATATTTTAGGTATTTCCTTTACTTGATTCTCAATTTTCTCTGACAAAAGCCTTGGTTTAAAGGTATCTATTTGGTAACGTATTTCACCACCGAGTGACGCACGTAATGCTATCTATTAAATTTAAATATATTTATCTCCACCAAAACGCCATTAAATTCAATAAGCTAAAGACGAGGTCTATTAGGACAGGCATTTCTCTTATGACTCTGAATTCCACATTCTCTATACTTTGGTGAGGAAGGCTCTTGTACGTGGCTGTCAAGGTGCCGGAGCCGGTCTTGTCTCACGGGACACTTGCGCTAAAATTGCTTGCTCTGGCTGTATTGCTAATATAGAGGCCTCTAAATCTAAGAGACCTCTTTCGGAAGGTATTTGCCTTATCGGTCTAGTTCTTTTGCGCTTTTTTTTCTTATTTTTAGCGCGTAAATCGCTCACTTCTTTCTTGGGAATAGCTATTGGTTATATTGTGATTTAATAGGCTTTTAGAACCTGATTTATTGCGCAATTAAGTAGACTCGGTGGGCTTTCTGAGCGTTGTTTTAGTAGGGCTTTTATTGATGAAGCTTATTTTTGGACCTTGACATTTCCCATGGGGCTAGCGAAAATCTAGTCCCATGGAAATTCCTACAGAGGTCTAGTCCCGTGGACTCACTCCCATGGGACTAAAAAAATTTCCTATCTAACATTATTTTAATAATAATGATGGATAAATTGCTGAGTTATCATGACAAAATACGGCAATTCATAGGTGTTTTAGCGAGTATTAAGACCCACTAAGTATTCATTACTTTTGATATATTCTGACCATGGTTTTGTGATTATTTAGGGTATCTTGAGTATTATCTAATATACATATTCGTCACCTTAATCCTATTTTATCACACTTTCTGACTTACCTCAGAAAGTGAGGGCTAAAACAGATATATCTATATTTAGGAAACTCCAATTTGAATCAGGAAGTGAAGCTTTGATAAGCATCCAGTATACCTATTCCGATATAAATATTCGTTATTGGGTATTAAGGATAATTAGGAGAATAAGGAGAACTAACTAGCGGTAGGAAGTGATATATAGACATAGATAGCAATAAGAAATCGAGGTTAGAAGCGGCTAAGGCGAGAGGATAAGGATCTTGTATATAGATAAGTCTATATATTACTTAGTCTAAAATCATCTATTGTTCAGAAAAAGCTATTGTAAATGAACTACCGTTCGGAATCGCCAAGAAATGCATAAGTCATACAAGTCACGAGATAGCTTGTGTTTGCATTGTTTACAGTCTCATGGGAAATGTCAAGGTCTAGTTAACTAAAACAAAAGATAAAGTTATAAATATCTTAATACTACCATATTTACCTTATTTTATTCATAAGAGTATTAAGATAATCTAGAACTTATAGACTCCTTATCTCTCATTTTTAGAAAGCTTACTAGCAAAAATACCTAGTAATTACTAGACTTCCGCAGAACCCAACTTGGATCCAGTACTGGGCCCCCAGTAAAACCCAATTTTGACCCAACTCGACCCAGTTTCGGCATAAAAATTAGTATAAAATACTTATACATTATACTTCGGTATTGGCTAATACACCTGAAATCTCACTTTTTATATGGATTATATTATAAAATAACTATATATGGCTATATACCGCTATTCTATTGATATAGTTACTTATTAAGGAAGGAAGTATATATGTTATCTTATTTAATAATATATATATATAACTTTGAGTGTAGTCACACCACTTTTTCTATTATACTATGTATTCTATTCAAATTTTAGAATATAGATATATTAGGTTATAGGGTATAATATATCTATAGTGTAATTCAAATTAAATAAAATTACCTTCTATAAATGGATGAGAACGGCCCTTAAACACGTGTATTTTTGCATCATTTATGTTTGCACTATTTGTAACCAAGTTAAGGCCCCAGAACCAGTGCCGGGTTAATAGGTTCTGCGGAAGTCTAGTTTTCACCTTACTTATAGGGCTAGTGCTATCTCTCGTTTCGAGTATCAGCCTAATTTTTTGTACTAGAGCATGATCAGACGTACGGGACAACGAATTCTTGCTTCAACTAGAAGAAGCATCAGCATAGCTTTTCGATACTAGATAGGTTCTAACAGGTTAATAGGACTTTGATTGATTGATTATACTGGCTAGACCTAGGCTAACAGGATAATTGATTATAGGAGCCATAAAAGAAGGTACTTGGATATAAGCATAACGAAAGCGAAGAAACAGGAAAAAAAAGAGGCGCAAAAAGAGAGGCCACATCAAGGTGGGCATTACACAGAGCGGCACACTCGCTTCAATTGGTTCGTGTTGGAAACTTTCAACCTTTTAGTAACCCCAATGTACCACACGCTGTATATATCGACCTACGTATATAGTGTCAGAGTAGTGAACTAGATTAGTATTACGATTAGACCGGCCTATGAACACTTTGCCGTTTAGGGCGCCAGTTGGGCGCTCTAAGGCTATTGTTATCCTCTTTATAAATATCTCTTTCATGACACATGTACTCCCACCACTCTAAACCAAAAGACAGCTATAAAACGCACACAGCAGTAAATGAAGAGGTGCATAGATTTCTTGACTCCTACAAATGCAAACATGGTGATAATACAGAACCTCATGAACGCCAATCCAATGGAATAACTTCCTGTTGTTACAATCAGGCAATATTACCGGCCATACCCATGAAAATTGCCTGAGCAGCCAACTGAAGTGACCAAAATCCAACTTTTTTGAATCGTCGTTTCCGGGCTTGATCATCCACAACATCACGGGCGAACGCATCATAGGTCTGCAAATTCATCAGTACTGACGTTGCACGGATCAAAAGGGAAGCACTCACCGCAGCTGAAAGGTCGTCCATCAAACTGCTGTCAAAGACAGTCCAGCTTCCATCAAAATCTCCAACGCGCTTGACCAAACGGCAGTTGACTGGGATAAATGTTCGCTTCGAGTTGATATATGCAACAATAGGCCGGATAAGTGCGTTATTGATGTAAGAAAGGTCCCGGGTAAAAATGGGCACCACAGCCCGAACATTATTCAGATGCACGCGTAGGTCCATGACCAGGAATCGGCGGTCCTCATTCTCAGATTCTTGACCAGAGGTTGACGACAGAGGCTCTGGATACCGATTGGAGATCACAGTTGCCTCTAGTCGATCATAGAAATCGGCCATCACCTTTGCCAAGCTCTCATTATTCTCAGCAGGGAACATGATATCGGCTACAATATCCACGGTCCCCTCGTGGATCCAAGAGAAAGGACCCTGGACACCGCGATTGAGATGATCAACATTGAGTCCGTCGACGCGTATCCTGTTATGCTTCTTCCATGGACTTGCTTTGCCATCGCTCTCTGCTCCGCTATCCAGCCTAGTTCCCGTATGGCCATGGCTCTGACGAGCGTGAATTGTGAACAAAGAGTTATCATAGGACCCGGACATCATGTTGGCAGAAAGGAAGTCATAAAAAAGCCATTGTTTCCGCAATTGGGGAAGGTCGCAAGAGAAAATGCTCACAGAGAATGGCCGGAAGTTGTCAGGTTGGTATATGGTGACAAGAAGATCATCCATTTTGAATGAGTCAATTTCAAAATCACCGGGATTATGCTCATGCCGGTAGGACTTGGGGTCCAAGTCCTCCTCTGGCCAGTAAACATGCCGGCGATCGACGACTCCCCGTATGCCTTTCACCTCCACATCACGAAGTGGACCTTTTCCATTAAGCCACTTGGTGAATGACAGTGTCACATTTACTGTTTCAATCGACAAATCGAACTGGGTATAGTTGGTATCCTCCTCCTCATCGGATAAGAGCTGGGGATCTTCGTGCCCAGTTTCACCCCGAGCTGCAGCTGCAGCTGCAGCAGTCTTTGACGAACCTTTACTGACATGACCTGTGCCTTGTCCCGGCCGCTTTGACACAAACACATTCTTAAATGTGATGACACCATTCCTCCACTTGGGAACGATTGCAGATTCGAAGACAACTTTCACCCCAGAGGATTTGGTGAGATAATTGCCTACCCACCCTGCTAGAGTCTCTGTAAAAGACAAATTAGTGGTGAATACGAAAAGGCCAATGAAAAGGACGTACCCTGAGCGAAAACCGTATTGATCGCGAGAATCAGAAGTGAGAAGAAAGTCGTAGTTCCCACGACAACCCAGACAACATGACCCAGTAGAACCCATGAAAAGAGGGCGGTCATCTCATCCAAATTAAAAGGACGCACACTCCGTATAGAAAACCACTTGAATCGTACTTTTAACCGTGACCAGAACCCATTCGCGGCGGCCAAAAGCTCTTCCTTTGACGGCCGGTGTAGATGGGGCATGTGAGGTAAGCGATCCATCAAATGGCGATTGGATGCTGGCTGTTGAGGGTCTTGGTGTTTTTCCTTGACGGTAGATGTAACCTTGTCATTGCTGACATTTTGGAGATCATGTTGATTTCGTGGTTGGGTGTCTTTAGAGACATCCGTACCACTTCGGGAATTATTGGAAGTATGTATGCTGCGGCTCCAAACATATTGGGCGGCAATTTTATGGGAGGGGATGATGCGTGCTGTGGTAGTTTCCGCTGCAGTGGGAGTGGGCGAGATACCGAGGACGAAGCATCCACCGGTAGCAAATCTCTTGGTAATATGGGTTGTATTCCGTGGATGTGTCGAGATTCGGGGGCGACTTGAAATGAAGTCGAAAAGTTTACTTGTAGAAGTATCCGATATACGAGTTATTCGTATGCCAAGGAATGGAGTTGCTGTTTCCCAGATGTGGGCGTACAGCCGGCGTCCCAGGTTGGCAGACATATCTTGCCTTCACATCCTGCAGTGAAAATAAGGAGCTTGAAAACTGAGCTCCCGCAAAAAACCGAGAGACTTGTTGACGGGACGGGAAGCTTGGAAGAGCCAAATGAAATCATTGCCCGATGTTTGTTTTGTTTGCACCAAAAAATTCCACTCCGCCCACACTCATTTTTCCGGGAGGGGACTGATAAATTTTGCGATAACAACAAAAAGTTGCTTCAGTCACATCATGTCGGCACCTACAGCTCTTCGCCAGCCCGAAGCCCCAGGCTTTCAACCCGAAAATGTCTCTTATGGTATGTGTGATTCAACCTCTATCCTTATCGCAGCTGACCATCAAAAGACCATGGCGATGAAATCTTGATTGACGCACACACTTCGACTGATGCGATCAACCCCGTCGTCGAACCTACCGATGATAATGAAATGCGCATCGACGAGGAAGGTCGTCCTGTCTTCACCCCTGCCAAGGACGTCGCCACTGCGTATCGCATCGAGACACGAAAAGTGCCTGTCCCTCCTCATCGGATGACACCACTCAAAGCGAACTGGACCAAAATTTGCCCCCCCATTGTGGAACACCTAAAGCTGCAAGTGCGCATGAACATCAAAAGCCGCGCAGTGGAATTGAGAACCTCCAAATTCACCAACGATGTGGGTGCTCTACAGAAGGGCGCGGACTTCGTGAAGGCCTTTACTCTTGGCTTCGACATTGACGATGCGATTGCGCTCCTCCGACTCGACGATCTATACATTGAAACCTTTGAAATCAAGGATGTAAAGACGCTCAACGGAGAGCACCTCGGCCGCGCCATTGGACGTATTGCAGGCAAGGATGGAAAGACCAAATTTGCTATCGAAAACGCTAGTCGGACACGAGTGGTACTTGCCGACCAAAAGATCCACATATTGGGTGGATTCAAGAACATCCATATTGCCCGAGAAGCAATCGTCAGCTTGATCTTGGGTAGCCCTCCGGTAAGTTCCAGACGTATAAGTTGAATGATCAGAATTCTAACATAAAGCAGGGCAAGGTATACGGCAATCTCCGAACTGTTGCCTCACGCATGAAGGAACGGTTCTGATCTTATGAGGTATCTCATCTCATTCGGCATGGTGTGGGCGTTAATACAGGAGCACGAGGGTTTACGATTTTTTTCTTCTCTTTTGAGAATCTATGATGTTAGACATGATGACATACAAAAGTATGAGTTCCGCCAAATTTCTAGTCATTCCAATTATATTCATGTTGAAGTAGATAGAGAGCCCAAGCACCTGGTAGCAGGCCAAGTGGTCATCATTTCTTGCACTCTAATCCTTCTTCAAAGGGTGGTACACCTCCTCAATTCCTTCCCGGGTAATAATCATCATTTGCAAGCCATCACCAACCTCGATATGTCTCTCGACGGCACTTGTAAATGCGTCCCGTACAAGCTGCTTGACTGTGTTCTTGGGAAGAGGCTCAGCCTTTTTGGGTTCCAGTGCATGTCCCTCCCCACTTCCTGGGATGTATTGGTTCTTGAAATTGACTTGGTTGTCCAGGAACGGCATGATCAAGCTCGATGCTGCCCCAGCAGCACGGCACTGCTCTCTTTCGTACGAGCCAACCGGGTCGTAACTGTACAATGCTCCCTTGCCCTCCTCATCCAGACCGGCCAGAATGGCGTGTACATAGTAGGGGAAAAACCGCTTCTCGTAGAGAATTGTCGACAATCGTTGCGCACATGCTCCGACCGACATAGACTTGCCGTGTTGATACTTGTACATCCTCACCATCGTGTCCAGCCTTTCCTTGAGGGCGTTACCATCCGCGGCAAACCCAACGACGGAGAGTAGAATCTGAGCACCTTCACCAGTTTCGTCATCACCGCCAATTCTGAAGACTTTGGGAACCATGCGAGAATTGATATTGTATCCAGATGTGGAGCGGGTATCGCCGGCGAGAATGGCAAAATCAGAGCCCGTGATACCCAGGGTGGAGCCGCCATTGTCAGTGTAGCTAGCATGTAACTGTTAGTCAAAATCCAAGCGAAGTGGTATCGACTGGTTCCATACGGGTAGAAGGAGTGTTGCTTGACAGGAGCAGCTGTTGGCTCAGAGAAGGAGTATCCGATGGTCTCACCACGAGACTGGTGACCCATAAACGACGTCATCTTGGCAGATAAATTGCTTGGTCAAAGAAGTATCACAAGTGTATTTGGATAGAAAAAATAGAGAAGGTATTGGGTAAGAAAGTCGCGGTTGGAGTATGGAAGACTGGAAGCAAAGAAGCTGTCGGGGTGTTGTCTGACGCGATGCGGTAGCTGCCTTCTGCTTATGTAAGGACATCAAGCTCCACGGCCTCAACGGGCGCGACAACTTGTTACCAGGCAACACAATACGTATTGTATTCTATTTGGAAAAGCAGTATATCACTATTCCTTCTCGCAGGACAATTTACTCGTCAGGTCTCGGTATTTGTACCGTAACTCACCAAGCTACACCATGCTTGGTCTTGGAGCATATGAGAGCAGCAGTGAAAACGAGGTAGAGCTTGATGGACCCTCTCAACCCCAGGTATGACTGGTCCGGCTCATAATAGCTATGTCTCTAATAAATGTGCTGACTATTTATTGCTCTAATAGCATACCAAGGAGCCTCCAGACACAGCAGCACGAACAGACCAGGGTAAGCCCATTGCGATCAAGTCCATATATCTGGCATTGACACTGACTTTATTTCAAGGCCCAATTGAGTCACAATATGAAGAGCAAGTGTCAAACGTTTCTACCAATGCCACAAACTTGGTCCCAGATGGGCCTGTTCTTGGCCCTGAGTCAATTGACCAGGCACCCAATTTGGGGAGTGCGCACATAACTACAGGACGCTCATCCCCCTTCCTGGCTTCAAGGACACTCATTCAAGACCTCACACTTCCCCCGGTTCCTAATCTAGACATACCACCATCTCCCCCTGGATCCCCCGATGCAGCCGCAAATGCCAAGTTCGAGCATTTCCTCACGCTCAAGAAGCGGGGTGTACACTTCAACTCGAAGCTTGCCGGCTCCTCATCACTCAAGAACCCCAGCCTGATGATGAAGATGATGAACCATGTTGGGATCAATGAGCAATCACAGCATGACACTTCGCTGCCGGTTGATTTATGGGATGCTTCCAGTCTACCAAGATGGGGATTCAAGGAAGAGATTCTGAGTACCCAACAAGCGTTTCGTCAAAAGATGGAAGAAAAAAAGTCATCGGGTCAACGAAGCTCTGTTGATTTTGTATCTGGCTCTGCCTAAGGGCATGGTCGCAAAGAAGGTCCATTATGTTCAAGTCCGGGCTAAAAAAATAATAACCTTCTGATGATCCTCTCGGCCGAACTATGATTTACGTGTATTTATATATACCCCGTCAAACCGTTCACCAATTACGGCCTGATCCGAGAATGGGGTTAAAGCCCCAAGCCCAAAAATTTCCAACGCTCAGTGATACGGTGTATTGCTTGCCGAAAAGTATGCGTTTCTGTCGCTCGAGAAGCAGTACTGATCTATATTACTTGATATTGTCATTGTTTGCTCGCAGAGAAAGGACTGTGAACATAATACGAGCAATACCCTCCTCAATCCCCTCGGGCAATTTGTCTAATGTTGAGGCAGTTGATATGGATAGCATGTCACATACGCCCATCATTTCACTGCAATTCAACCTCCTCCACCGCCACCTGCTGCCCCTAGGTGGTTGCGCCTTCTGGCTTTCTCATACAAACTCAAACAAGAAATCAAGACCATTCGATCACATTCCTCGCCGTATTCCACTCTGATTTGAATTGTCCCACATTTTCCCGGTTTCCTGGTGCCCGAAAAGACGGCTAGTACCTGCCCAGAGCGCTCATCCACAAGCTTATAGTTTTGCGTGGTCCATTTGGACGTTGCCGAACCACCAACACCAATACTGCGTGTTCTCTTCCACACAAAAGACCGTCTTGCTCCGGCTAATTGTATTCGCTCATTTGGAACAGCCATTTCAAAGCGGTATCTCGAATTATGGATATTCTCTTTGGTCATGTCCTCCCACTGGACACTGCTCATATTGCCGGGATCTCCAAGGCCTAATTTGTAGTCACTAGAGAGTTGCAGAGAGTTGGATACGGCCACAATTTGCGCTTGGTTGCTAGCACTAGCATGAAGGCTAAGGTCAGGCTTGTTGCGAGTGAACAAGGAAATATCCGCATAGAAGAGCGGCATTCCGTCTGCGGATTTGATGTCAGTGCCGGTGGAAAAGTGACTTAGAAACATCATATGAGCGAAAAGGGCCCGAGGTTTCAATGGCAGGGTCAGATGCAATTGATGCTGCTCGGCTTGACGAAGACATGGATAAAGCAAAGTAGACAGAGAAAATTAAGGTAATAATCCGTGGTTATTGGGGAAGGCTAAGAAAGTGAATACAAAAATCTCCTTATTTTCTTAATTGACGCCTAAAGACATTGCAGAACCAATCAATAGGAATATCTACCTAGGTAGGGCTATTAAGATAGCTTTCTACCTAGGGAGGTATACAGGAGTGGAAGATTCCATGGGCTCCAGCGCGAATCTTAGTCAGCCGGTAGCTCTCCGTCAGCTCGACTGCCTGTAGCTCTCCACCGTCATCATTGCCCTGTACTATCCATCTTGGTTGTCCTTGTCAACACTTTGCTTTCACCCTCGAATCACTTTACCTGCAGATCTCTCTGCTCATCTCGTTCATCATGAACCATTTCCCTGAAGCCTGGGGCCGAGTAGGTTGCACACATTTGCTAGACCTTGCTCTCCTGCTAACGATACCGACAGCCCAGAAACGATGTCTACGGTGCATACGATCATTCATATTTGCAGACCTCGGGCCCAAAGGCTCACACATCATCGCCTGCTGTGACTGGAACATCAGTGGTGGGTGTCAAGTTCAATGGCGGTGTCGCTTTAGCTACCGATAACCTGGGTATGCATCCTCTATTGCAGCGTTTCTTTCCATCTCTGTAGCATCATCTGACCTGATACAGCTTCCTACGGATCCCTCGCCCGTTTCTCAGATGTCAAGCGTCTACGTTCGTTTGGCGACAAAGCCATGGTTGGATTTGGCGGTGACGTTTCCGACATGCAATACCTCGACCGTTTGCTCGAGTCGATGGATATCAAAGAGAACTACTCAACTCATGGCAATATGCTTAATGCTAAGAATTTGCACACATACCTGGCCAAGGTGTTCTACAAACGACGCTCCGAATTCAACCCGCTGTGGAACCATGTCCTTGTCGCAGGCTTTGATGGAGAAGGGGAACCGTTCCTCAGTTCGGCAGATTTGTTGGGAACAACATTCTCTGCCCCTCACCTGGCTACAGGCTTTGGAGCTCACCTTGCCGTCCCGATTCTGCGCCGCAAGTTCCCGGAAGATACACCCCTTGAGGAAGTTAGCCAGGAAGATGCCGTGGCGGCCCTGAAGGAGTGCTTGAAGGTCTTGTTCTACCGTGATGCGCGAAGTCTCGACAAGTATTCGATAGCGGTGATCACCAAGGATGGCATTGATCTGAAAGAGGATGAACAGATTCAGGGCCAGAGCTGGGCTTTTGCCGAGAGAATCAAGGGATACGGAGCCCAGACCGTCTAGACTTAGGATATACATGAATACACGCAGATCTGTTACTTGTTCAAGACCCAGACAGCCAAACGTTATGTGATGATATAAACCAGGCGAGTAGGTCTATCCCTGTATTCAAAAATTACAACTGCGGTGCCTTTCGGGACAGCGAAAGCTCAGAGCTTAGAGCTAGGCTTCTCAAACACCACGCGGTTGGTACAAGAACCGACACCCTCGAGGGAAACTTCGACTTGATCACCATCTTTCAACCACAGAGCAGGCTTGCGGCCCATTCCGACACCTTGAGGTCTATCAAACAAACAATCAGCGTGACCTAAATCATGATATGGGGTTTACTTACGTTCCAGTAAAGATGAGATCCCCAGGTAGGAGCGTGGTGCCCTGAGATAAGAAGGCTATCGTCTTCGCTACACCGAAGATCATGTCCCTGGTTGAAGAGGATTGAACAGTCTGCCCATTCAGCTTGGTGGAGATATGCAGAGAATTGGGGTCTGCAATAACATTGGAAGAAACAATTCCAGGGCCAAAGGGCGCCCATCCATCAAAGCCTTTGCCCAACCCCCCACTGCCCTCCACCCCGCTTGATCTGCCAATCTCGGTGAGAAACATCATTGCCAACAGCATAACCCAGAACATATTCAAGGGCTTTGCTTTCGGGGACGTAGCTAGCCTCTTTCCCGATAATAATAACTAACTCACACTCATAATCCAGACCCTCACCTTCCTGAGCAATTTGGGGAACGGGGATATCATCCCCCGGTGCAGAAATGGAAGTCAGAGGCTTGAAAAACAGAACTGGATACTTGGGAATAGGCAGATTTGACTCTTTGGCATGCTGCTCGTAGTTGAGTCCCAGGCAGCGAACTGTTCCAATATCCTTACGGGCCAAAGGCGCAAGAAGCAATTTGATCTCCGCCACTTGATCGAGGATCCGATACTGGCCAAATATATCACCCTGAATGACTCTTGCCTTGGTGGCTTTGGCAATGTCGCTCACTCCAGATGGGAGAATAGCATCGCCATAATAGATCTGGCCATCCTTGGCCAGGAAGCGAACAAGACGCTAGAACCAATTAGTACAGCTCTTGAAGATATCATTAATACTTACTGTAAAGGTAGACATTGTAGTTGGAAAGATAGTGAGAAGGGGGGGGGGATGTAATTGATGTAATATCTCGGGGGCCGGGAAAGGTGATCGCCGGGAAACGGACCTCCCTCTCTCCCATCCTCGCAAATGGCTCGACTCTCCGGTCTCCAACGAGACGTCCTAAGTCTATACCGAAAATGTCTGCGTGAGATTAGAAAGAAGCCTACGGTAATCATACCAATCTTCGATCTTTGTATCTCATCTGATCGTTCCTCAGGAATCAAGGCCTAACTTCAAAACGCATGCGCGGTAAGCATCTCTTTTCCCGGCGGCTTTCTCCCATCTAACGCGGGCTTTAGGGCAGAGTTCCAAAAGCATCTTTCGGTGAACAAAAAGGACTTTAGCGCCGTGGAATATCTCTTGCGCAAAGGCCATCGACAGCTCGAGATGTATGCTTCCCCGGGCATCCGCAACATCCGTTGAGGCCTAAGCTTTACTACTCCGTATGTTTCTCGTGTTTCTCATGATTCTGGTTCATGTTTGTCTCTTATCCTCGTTGACTCATTCAGCAGAGGTCTCGCCCATTGCACTCAAGATGCCATGTCGAAGCCTGACACCCGTTTTAAAGGGCAAGTATACTGTCTTTCTGTAAAGCTTCGGCGAAGCCTTTGTACCATATCTCCAAAAAAATAGAATTTCTGTATTGCATATTATCCAATAAGCAGTGACCTATATGCCTAAGCCAACACCGATAGCCACCGCCTGGGCTCTGAAGTCTTTGCACCCAACACTAGAACATTGCATTACAAACTAAAATCCACAACAGTAAGGACTTCGGAACCTTTTACTTGACAAGTCATTGGCAGTGGTTGATTCTTGAAATTTGTGGCTGGTTGTAGAGTACGCCACTGGGTTCTGGATGATTCCGGAACTATAACATCTTATACACATGCGCATATATAAAATGCAAAACAATCTACCAGTTTAAATTCTATTCATCCACAAAGCATCCAAACCTTTTCAACTCAAAACAACTTCAATCCCCAAATGACTTTCTTCTCACACACCGGCTTCTCGCCCCTCCTCCAACTCCTCGATGACTATGAGAGTTGCCGGAAAGCTCAACCACGCACGTTCGCCCCAGCATTTGACGTGCGAGAATTAGACGATAGCTACCACTTGGACGGCGAGCTCCCTGGTGTGGATCAAAGCAACATTGAGATCGAATTCACCGATGCACACACGCTTGTTATCAAAGGCCACACCGAGCGCAACTACCCCAATGAAGACCTCGCTCCAAGCCGCAGCCCGTCCCCGGGCTGGCACCAGCCTACAGTCGAAGAAGAAGATGCAGAGTCGATCGCCACAACCGACACCGCTTCATCCCATGGGATGGCCCAGCCTTCTCCGGCCCATTTCTGGGCTTCGGAACGTTCTACCGGTGAATTCCAGCGCACATTTAGCTTCACTGCTCGTGTTGATCAGGACTCTGTTCGGGCGAACTTGAAGAATGGAATTCTGTCAGTTGTTGTGCCTAAACTGACTCTTCCCAAGATAAAGAAGATACAGATTCTGTGATACGAAGAGCTGGGAAAGACTATTGGACCGGACTGCATTTGAACAGGATCGCATTAGCTTTGGGGGCGTTCGTACTGCATGTATCATAATGTTTAGTATTAATTTGATATGTTTTTGATGTTTGACCGCACTGTGACACTTGTCAATGTAAGAGCCCAAGCCACATTGACGCAGGATATGTAATATTAAAAGTATACCCCCTTGCTTGATTCGAGATATACATTTAGATTGTACTGTATCTACACAGGGGCCGTACCCAGCCACGCGGTCAATCCAATGGGTGAGATTGTATTTCGGGGACTACTGTGCATCTCCGGGACATATCAAGCTACGTCTTCAATTGACATGTTAAGCAGCCAAGAAAATGCTGGCATTGTGAGATAAATCAAGCGCATAAAAACAAAGCCATGGATCCGGTGTGCAACGCCAAGTATGATCTTCGCTCCAGTTCCAATTCCAAAAGGGTATACCTAAGACATGTATGTCTGCCCTGAACTCCACAGGCCAACTTAAGAACTTTTGTAAATCCAAAATATAAATCAAAACGAAATCAGAGGTAAATCAATAAAGCGCATAAGGAGAGGTCGTCATATGAACATCGGGCTGAGGACGTGACTTCGTCAACTGACAGCGGCGGTAATCCTGGCTCCGGCTTCGAGGCCGGCCTCGTATTGGCTCAGAGCCAGTTAATTCGGCATCATTGTCATCCTGCAAGAAGCCCGGGGACAAGATCGTGGGCAACGGGGGAACTTCAACGCCCGGCTTCAGGCTCCAGATACGACTGCCCCCCTTACTTCTGGATCGAGAACGCCGACTAACAAATGTATTGCTCTCTTCGGAAATGTGATAAGCAGAGGCTGATCTGCGGAGTCGTTCCTTATTTCCAGTAATCGTCTTTTGGTGACTTAGGGCTGTCTCCACATTGGTTGAGTCTGTGACAGACAAGACATCAAGCGTGCTGACCGACAATCGATCGCCATATAAAGGGCCCCGAGTAAAGCCTTGTTGGGGTTGAGGAATTGAGAGGCACCGGGACTCCACAGCAGGTTTTTGTTCGGGACTGGTCCCATACGTTGAAGAATATTCCGTGTAGCGGGGTGCACATAATGTTGATCGACGTGATCGCGTTTGAACGACTGGAGTTGGGTTGCTTGAGTCATACCATCGGCGAGAGGCTGGGAGCAGCCGTGAGTAGCTCTCGGGTTTTTCTTCCAGATTCGAATGACGCTGCATGCCATCGCCTGGTCGACTTTGGGGGGGAAGATTGGAGATCCACGCATTTTTTGAACTGTCCGCGCCACACGAACCAGACGTCTGTGAATCGATGGATTCCCGAGTGCGGCTTCGATGAATCGAGTGGACAGACGTGGCAGAGCTGTAACCACTGTCTGATTTGTTAAGAGATCTGGACGTGCTTCGGGCAAGGCCATCCAAAGCACCTTCCTCCAACTGGACCCTCGTATTGTCACAGAGAGCGATCGCTTCATCATCCGTGTCTCCGGGGAACAAGGACTTGTTCCGTGGGCGCACGGTGATGGTGGGAGACTTCTCGAATGAGAAAGGACTGCCGGGGACATCATCAGGCTTCTTCAAATCAGGCAAAGCAGGAATCTCTAGTGTAGATCCTCTCAGAGGGCCCACGACTTGAATATTCCCAAGTCCTACTCCAGGCCCATCTAAAGGAACGCGCTCGCTGGGGCATGGAGAGGCTGAACCATTGACCACCCTCAGAGATCCAAGCTTGAGAGCCCCGAGTTGAGTATATCGGGCATCAGTTGGACTTGTCGGCCGCGCTGGCGATGGGAGACGCATTCTCTGATTTGAGGGCAGGGGCCACTGCAAGACGGCCGACTCGCTGGGATCGTCGATTGGCTCTCCAATCGGGGATGGAACGCGTCGAATTGCACCGGTTGTGCGTCTCGTAGCAACCCCAGGTCGAGTCAGGAGCGATCGCCGGCGCGTCAATGAGAATCGCTGGTTGCCAACCAGGAAATGAGTGTTGGAAGAGGTTGCATCGCTGTTCTCAAGGACAACACTATTTTGCCTTTGAAGAGGGGTCTGAATTGAATTGGCCCTTCTTGGCTGTTCATGCACCGGCGAGAACTGAGGAGATACATCTGGCGTTCCAGGCTGATACGAAGCCCTCTGAGAACCCGTTGTCAAAAGACTCGGGCGATCTTGACAATTCTCAGGGGCCTGATCATCTGTGAAGGCGGCGTATATATCTGTCGGGCTTTCTTCAGATGGCTCTGCCTCAAACAGAGTAGGGGGAATCTCGGCTTTCTTTGGGTAAGCGATCCGTTTCTCCACGGGTGTGCTGGAGATGCTGTATCCCACCCAAGGATTTTGCCATCCAATCAGTCCCGAGGCCGATGAATTGCACTCTGGCCGGAGATGTTGAGGAGAATGAAAGGTGTTGAACTTCTTGGTTAGGGGCTTTGAAAGTCGATTGGAGCGGCGCGTCTCATTTGGGCTTGATTGAGTGTTGCCCATGATTCAGAAGCAGGTGGGTTCCAATGTACTTCAGGCCGTGAGCGTGAGTGATATACAATTTCGAGGGGCTTTGGTGACAAGCACTGTCCCCCCGCACGAGGGGTAACCTGGCTCAGATATGCACGATGGACTCTCTAGATTAGATCCCCAGACTGTGACGTCTAAGTCAAGCCACGCCGCGAAGCAATCCGAGCTTCAAGCTCGTGCACCCGGTGAGATCGCAATTAGGCGTGCGATTGGCGGTTGATGGATTTCCAGCCAGTAGGCCGGAGATGCGGACAGAGCCGTGTTTCAGATTGGGTGCTGATCCAGGAATCGGTTGGACTGGAGAGACGGAGGTAGTGGAAGTGAGGTTACGTCAAATCCAACAGGGTCCCAGGGTCACAGAAGAACAGAATTTGAGAAGATTCACATACATTAAAGATTACAGCGAAAAACAGAGAAGAAAAGAAGGCCAAAAACAAGAAAATCAAATAGAACAGGGATTGACAGTAAGTCCAGGGGGAAGGGAAACAAACGATACATAAGACAAGAAAGGCATCATGCAACTAAAGAAGACGAAAACGCCATGGAAAAGGGATCCACTGTCTGCATGCAGAGCAAGGAACAAGGAAGAAAGAGAACAAAGAGAGAGAGAGAGATGGATAGTCTCCCGCAAGCGGGGAGAGGTACCCACTACACCTCATCCCTAGCATCACACCACCCAACGGTCAGGTACCAGTTACTACACAATCAGCTTTGTTCTGTTTTCATCTTCACCGCATTCAGATGTGCTCTCACTTTCCTTTCCTAACGCAGTCGGAGTTTGAGGATGCATGTCAGGCTCTCTGCACTTCCTCAAATGGACTTGTCACAAAGGTATTTTTTAGTCTTCCTTTTTCGAGAATGCTGGCTAGTTGCTAGTTGCTAGTTGCTAGCTAGCTCCTAAATACTAGCTACTAGCACTGTTGATGGATAGAATTCTCTTACTGAATCTGAATAGCTAGAGACTGGCCTCAGAATCACACAATGTATTAATGTACCGATGCAAGCCACAGAAGATCCAGAGGAACAGGAAGACGATCCGGTCTGCAGATGCCAGCCCCCTCCCCCGAAGAATGTTTAGTCCTAACCCTTCACCGCAGGAAGCTCTCATTCGCATCAGCCAGCCCAGTTTACAGGTAGATTATGACATCCTGCTATCCCCCACATATCAGGTCCCCGTCTTGTACTTCGGTCTGAGGTGGCACAACCAAGGTCCGCTCGGACTCGACGCCGTCTACCAATATGTGGTGCCAGAACAATACAGGCAAGGATTGAGGAGTGTAGGTGTCATGGGTGGAATTAGTATGGGTGTAGGTGCAAGCTCCAACCTCGTGACAAGAGCTCACGTCTTCATGCAGTATCATCCAGACTCTGGCGCCCCGACATTTTTTGTCCACCCGTGCAACACGGCCGATGCCATGGCGCATATCGCTGACGCACAGAGTGTCACTCCTGGGTCATACCTACTCATCTGGCTCGGTCTGGTGGGTCATTGCGTGAACCTGCACGTCCCACGCGAGATTTTTGCTTAGATGGTTCAAGACCATCGTGCATGTGCTGAAAAGAAAATTGAATGCAGAGCGAGGCAACCCCAAGAGAGTCCTCTATTGGATCAAAAAAGAACTTGATGCCGAAATATTTAATCCTCGTCCGAGGAAGCGTCCATGGGCACATCACTGTCCTCATCCATTGGGGCATCCTCATCACTTTCCTCCTCACGTGCTCGCTTCACTCCCTGCCCCTCAACATTGGCATCAGTCGGAGGTCGTTGAGGGAGCGCACCGGGCGGGCCACTGAAGATAGACTTCTGCAGGTCGGTCGAAACTGGGGCTGGCGCAGTATTCACCCCAACAAAGGTGCCGCGAAGCTTAGCGATGACATGTGATGGCCCTTTGGCATAGACGATTTTCTAGACAACGAATGAGTGAGGGGCTTTGCGATGATAGCGACAGATGACATACCATTTGTTTCCCGAAAAATTCAAATCCCTGCAGAGACCGAAGTGCCTGGGTACTGGCCTGGATATCCTTGAAAACAATATGGGCTTGGCCTCGCATTTTGCTGGTCTTCAAGGCCACAACGTCGAGGACGGTGCCGTAGGTAGAGAAAAGGGTGTAGAGGGACGATCGCAGATCATGCTTGTGGAGCTTATCGGGCAGATTAGTGCAGTATAGTCTGGTATATTGTTAGTAGCTAGAACCAGGCGACACTCAATTATCTTCAACGGAAGCTCACGTTTGGTTTGGAGGACCAGTCGCGACGGCTTTGCCGTCAGGGCCTCCACGGGAGGGCAATGCTTTTGAGGCCATAGTTGAGTTTGACGAGAGGAAAGAACTGGCACAGGTCCAACGTAAAAGCAGCAGGTATCAGATATGATCACTTGTGTGGAAGGCAGCTCAATTGCGCTCTGTATCAAGGGAATACCAGTAGAGGTTTTGAAAAGCAGCTTGAGGTCAGGTGATATTATTACCTAACCAGCCTCAGGGCGTCATCAGCTCCCCTCCCTCGTTCCCGCATCCCCCAAGTACACAATCCACGACTCGACGGTAGAGAGCTCCTCCTGTCGTACTTTATTATCCACTATGGCCGCTCCTCAAGTACACCACCTCTTCCACGCACCAATTGCCGACCACTCGTTCTCCTCTGATAAGCAGACACTTGCTGTCGCCCGGGAGAACAATGTGGAGCTCTATCAGTCGTCAGGCAACAAGTTCACATTAAGTGATGAACTCAAGGGCCACGAAAAGACCGTGACCAGTGTTGATATTGCTCCCAAGAGTGGTCGAATCGTCACTTGCTCGCAAGGTCTGCTTTGATTCGATGCTTCTCGACCATGCTTTTTTTACTAACGGATAATGGCCGCTCCTTAGACCGTAATGCCTATGTTTGGGAAAAGACACCTGAAGGCTGGAAACCCACCTTGGTCCTTCTGCGGATTAACCGTGCCGCCACCTTTGTGCGCTGGTCTCCTTCGGAACAGAAGTTTGCCGTCGGATCTGGCGCTCGAGTGATTGCAGTCTGTTATTTCGAGGAGGAGAATGACTGGTGGATCTCGAAGCATCTGAAGAAACCCATTCGCAGTACTATCACCACTCTCGCATGGCACCCGAACTCCGTTTTGTTGGCAGCTGGATCTACCGACTCTCATGCGCGAGTCTTCTCGAGCTTCATCAAGGGCATTGATGCTCGCCCGGAACCCAGCGCATGGGGAGAGCGTCTGCCTTTCAACACAATTTGTGGCGAATTCCTGAATGACTCGGCTGGATGGATTCAGGGTGTGGCATTCTCCCCCAGCGGCAATGCCCTCGCCTTCACCGGACATGACAGCAGCGTGACCGTCGTATACCCAAGTGCACCAGAGCAGCCCCCACGGGCGATGTTGAACATTTCCACACGATTGCTGCCCTTAAACAGCCTCATCTGGAACGGCGAGACTGAAATCATTGCAGCTGGCCATGTCAGTCGCTCCATTCCAATACTATGTCACTTGTGCTAACTAACAAATGTAGGACTGTGAGCCGTTCCGATTCCGTGGCGATGAAAATGGATGGCAACTTGCTGGTTCCATTGAGAATAAGGCAGGTGATTCCGGAGGTGCCCGCGAGGAATCTGCCTTGAACATGTTCCGACAGATGGATCTCAAGGGTCAAACTCAAGCGGACACCAAGCTCAAATCGACCCACCAGAACACCGTGAACACTGTCCGCGTTCATGAGGAGGCTAACGGGGCTGTGAATTCCTTCAGCAGTAAGTAAATCCTCCATATGGTTTCATTTTAAAATGCTAATAATGTCATAGCAAGCGGTGTTGACGGTCGGGTTGTTGTCTGGTCTGCATAATGTAGACAAACCACCTTCTTATGCCAGTGTTCCAACAATAGCATGCATATAGTACTAAATTCCCAGTAGAACACCGAGTACATGATATTGAATCCTTACACACGTACGTAATGTAAGCCAAGAGATGCGATGACATAATGAGGTTACCCCGGATTCCAGCGTTCTCCACATCACACGACTTCTGTTCCTGTCATTCACACCTCAACCATGCTTGACCATGGCGAGCAGTATTTTCTTCCTTCTACTTCTACATCTCCTGGGGATTGTCGTAGCTTGCAACGAGACTAGACATGTCTCGGGCGATCTTTTTAACTCTCTTGAGGAGCTATCCCGCCTAGTGGACATATCCTACTGTGTTGGAACTACCGGAGTTCAGCAGCCATTTCAGTGCTTGAGTCGCTGTATCGAGTTTCCCGATTTGGAACTAGTGACTGTGAGTTCCAACAGGTGTCAAGGACCCCACAAGCGAGGAAACTAGGATTGACATATGCCCTTGGTAGACCTGGAATACCGGCGTTCTCCTGACTGACTCGTGCGGATATGTTGCAATCTCACATCCCCCTTCACCAAAACGTATCATCATCGCTTTCCGGGGTACCTACTCAATAACAAACACGATCATCGATCTCTCGGCATACCCCCAAGCATACGTTCCATACACTGGTGATGACAACAAGATAAATGAAACCCAATCTCTCAGACCGTCAAGGCCACGCTGTGAAAACTGCACGGTTCATGCTGGATTCATGGCCTCATGGCTTGACACTCGGTCGATAATCTTGCCACAGGTTTCAGAAGCAATGCAAAATTACTCAGACTATGAAGTGACATTGGTAGGCCACTCGCTCGGAGGTGCCGTGGCCGCACTAGCAGGTCTCGAGATGCGCTTAAAGGGCTGGGACCCATTAGTAACGACATTCGGCGAGCCGATGCTTGGAAATGCGGACTTTGCACAGTTCTTTAATGAAAATTTCGACTTGCAACCCACCAACTTAACCTCGAAACTTTCTCAGGATGAGAGTCGCTTTCGTCGGGTCACTCATACTGATGACCCAGTGCCACTTCTCCCGTTACCAGAGTGGGGATATGAGCCCCATGCGGGCGAGATCTTCATTTCGAGATCTGATCTTCCCCCGTCTCTAGGAGATGTACACCCGTGTGTGGGTAATTATGATCCCAGGTGTATTGCTGGGTCAGAAGCCCCTGCCCTTCTACGGGAAATGTATCATGATGTTAACATCCCGGTCGACCTGTCCTCCAGCATGACACCTTGTCAAAAACATCCTGCAAATCATGCCTCTGAGTCTGATGAGCAGGTTGCCGTTGGGCCGTGGAAAGGCCAAGATATTGTTAGCTGCAAGACTGGTCATTCCGATGACAGGCTATCCCCCCTGCGATGGGATTGGTCCCTTATTCCGGCAAAATATCGACTCTGGGAATTGTTTTATGCCCACCGTGACTATTTCTGGAGGATTGGCTTATGTGTCCCTGGGGGTGACCCCACTGGATGATGGGCAATATATGGCTAACCAATTTCGCGTACGTTTCTGGCAATCCGTAGGTTGTCTTGTCTCAAACACTCTCATATACCCCATTTTGTATATAACGACCATCTCCGAAATGGCAATTTGGTTGGACTCTATCTCAGTGGCCTTCATTTCAGGTTCTCCTAGAACAATATCTAAAATTAAAACAGTAATGCAAATTTGTATCGTTAACACATGAAACAAAGTGGCTAGTAGGCACGAACATCAAAGCGGAAATCCGATGCGCCAGAGGCCAAATTAACTATGAAACGACGAGGACAACAATATTCATCACCGACCATGCTCCAGACTTGGCACGATGACAGGACCAAACTTGACCACATTTCCATAGGCACCTTCGCCCTGGACCATAAAATCAGCCGCGAGACTCAGCTTGCTCTTAGAGCCCTGTGATCCGTTGCCATATGTAGGGTTAACAGAGTCCGGGTCATAGGCGACAATAGCGACATAATTACGGCGGGCCATGAGCTTGCGATACTCACGGGCCTGGCCATTGACATCTGTCTGGAAGATTTCCATCATATCTTCCTTGGTGTCGCTCGGTTGGGCCGATGATCGATGGCCGTTAGCAGGAACATATAGTGGCTTGCTGTGACTATGCAAGAGCTTGATGATATAAGATGGGGGCGGGGTGTTGACGACGGGAGAAGCGATAAGTTGATACATGGTCTTGTGGTCTGAGGGCTGAGAAGGATCATGAACGAGACCGGCGCCACAGACGTTTACTGCACCAGAAAGGAAGGTCATACGCAGGGACTTTTGGTGTGCGATACCCTGAAGGGTGCGGATCAGGTAAGTCCGTTCGAGATCCTGGATGAAGTTAGTACAAGAGAGCCTATGAGTTCAAGATCATGACCGAGAACGTACCTTTGATTCGTGCGTCCACTGATCGCGCAACTCGTCCATGAGATCAAACTCGCCGAAGGGACTTAGAATGCCACCCATAAGTCCAGACTTGCCCACAGCCCTCTTCACCGAGTCAAATCCTGATCCCACAAAGTCCTTGGCGCCTACAACGCCGGCCACAGAGCTGGTCACCTTGCCGAGGACATTATATGCACCGGTTACTGCGCGCTTTCCTGTAGCGACAGTTTGGGCAATATGCTCTGCAGTCTCTAGTCGGGGATAGATAAGTGGCATAGAAACCATCCAGAGGCAGTGCTGTACGCTAGTAGGTAGCATTGCAATCTTTGGGAAGAGACCCTGGTACGTAGGACCAGCCATGACCTGATGGGGGTTTCGTTCCGAGCGACAATCGGGACCGACGACAACTACACCAGGGCCCAAATACTTGACAAAGTGCCAGCCAGTGCCAGTAATAGTGAAGAGGTCCATGTCGTTGTTGACATTGCGGAGGATATCGAGAGTTGTATGGTGCTGGAAGAGAAGATACATCTCGATACCAATACGGCCAATGTTTTTGAACATGTTTGAGAACTGCATGTGCTCAGGATAAGAACCGAAACCATCAAAACTGTGACCATATTAGTGATGTTCATTTGGCATGTTTTGATTGACTTACATATCATGGTCGTCAATTTGGCAGATGTAGGGAATTTGCGCAAAAGACTCTCTCATGTAGGGTTGGTCGAAGTGACTGGTATAGTAGTGGAAGTACGCATGGGATACATCCTGTTCGTTAGCTGCGGTCCACGGTGCGTTCTTTCTAGCTTCCTTGCCACTGAGAGTGAGCCACTGCTTGAGAGACGGGATTTCCTTCCACATGCGATCTGCATAGATCTGACCACCCAAGCATAATTGAGTATGGAATCCTCCAATCTCACTGTGCTTTTGCATAATATCTTTCCACATAAAGCCAACACCACCCAGGCGAGCGCGCTCATTGGCATTGACGTTCAGCGAGAAATCATTTCCAGAGGTGGCAATGAACCGCCAGTTAGTTTCATGTCGGCCAGCGACAAGGAACTCGTAGCGAGTGCAGCCCAGATGTGAGGTGATCGCATAGGTCCACTTTGCCGGACCTGCGTCGTCCATCTGCAAATCAATCTCATACTTGTAGAATGTCCACCGCTGATGTGCAGCAATATTGATTGCCTTGAGCTGTCGTGGGTTGGGAGACAGATCCACACTCTGGTGCATGTGAATCGTGGGTGGCTGGGCAGCATCTGTTACAAGAAGAATTGATCCCAACCAGACCCCTCGCTCGAGATCCATATTGGTATAACGTAGGTAAGGACCAAAGTAGACACCGTTTGTAGGGGTGGTCTTGTATAAGTCCATGCCGCTACTGGGAGGAGGTCCTGAGAATCCAGCCATAGGAGACTGCAAGCTTTCAAAGCCAGGAGTCAAAGGTACACCTGGGGATGCAAGAGGTTTCCCGAAAGCCGAAAGGCCTGGAGAAGCTAACGGATGAGCGCTGTAAACACTCCCAACCGGAGACAAGGGTGTCTCATTGAGGTTCAGTGGTGTAGGTCCCTTGGGGAACTCCCATTGTGTTGACTGCGTAGGCAAATGGATATAATAATATTGCCCAGAGCTCGGGTCCATATGAGCAATCCACCCCTCAGGAAGAGGCGGAGGAGATGCTGGAGTTGAACCAGCAGGACCAGGAGAAGTAACTTGAGCTGTCTGTTGATGGAAACCGGTCAAATCACTCGCAACAGAAGCTTGCGGGGACTGTCCCACTTGCTGCTGCCTGGGGTCATTTGCAAATGCAGGATGATCCTGTGTCGAGGCTGGTGGTGCAGGTGAAGGCGCATTGGCAAGAGCAGGATGCTGATCAGCCAAGGCTGGGTGCGCCATTGCAGCTCCAGCCCCGCCGGCGGCGGCAGCCGCGCTTTGTTTTTCATTAAGATACCCATTCGAAGCAGCGGGGCCAGAGACACTTGAGTAGGCAGGAGGGGGCGAAGAACTGAGGCGCATTCGGTCCATATCTTGCTCCAGGGCATTGGCAGGTCTCTCTGGTTGCTCCTGCTGTTGTGGCAACGCAGATGCCGGATGTGGCTGAGATGGCGAGCCATTGTATTGGCTTGGGTGAGGTTGAGGAGGGGGGCTGCTACATTGACCAAGATGGGATTGGGGAGCAGGGCTGCTGTATTGTCCCGGAAGAGACTGAGGGGTTGGGCTGCTGTATTGTCCCGGGTGTGACTGGGGAGGAGGACTGCTATATTGGGCAGGGTGAGCGGCAGCTGGATGACTGTCATCGCTTACAACCTCTGCCCCTTGATAAACAGTAGGAGGTCCATGGGGCTGAGATCCAGGCTGCTCGGTTGGTGTCCATGGCCGAGGCTGTGGAGGCTGCTGGAAAGTCGGCTGTTGCCCAAAGTACTGCTCGGCTCGTCTTTGAGCCGCAGCATTGTGCAACGAAATACCCGCGAGGGTTCCTGTCCCTGCAATACCTGCCGCCGCATAGCGAGCCTCGATATCAGACCCAGGCTGCTGACCAGGCCCGACTATGGGAGTCTCTGGTGGTGGCGGAGAACCACGCTGGGCACGAGTTGTCGAGGTCGAGGCAGTCGAGCTGATACGATTGATTGAGCCCTGCGCAGGTTGCAGACTGGATGGAGGTCTAGCCACCGAACTCTGCCGGGAGGGTGGCGGGTAGTATTGTTGACGGTAGTCATATTGATTCACATTTGCAGAAGCCTCTGCTGGGGGACCAGGCGCTAGACCAGCAGGCGGCCGGGGGTAGGGTCTAGCTGCTAGGGTCTCACGGTCTGGCGCATCCGGACCAGGAGATTCGGGTAGTGGCTTCGGCGCAGCACCACGTCGCTCGGCCAGAGTCGCAACCCTCGGCTCACGACCGTCCCGCGGACGCAGAGCTGAAGGATACTCGTTGGGGCTCATCGAACCAGAGCCAGCTGGCGGAGACCCATATCTCACATTGTCGGAGTGTCTTTCATTCGAACTCGCGGTGCGTATCTGGGGTCGTGGTCGATCATCAGGGTATGGCAGCGGGGCATTCGGTGGGGGGCTGGATCCCGCTGCCGAGGCTGGAGATGACGAGTCTCGTTTGTTGATGCGCAGAGGACCGATGACAGGCGACTCTTGCCTGCCAGGGGAGTCGTTGAGGAAGAGCTCCTCGGGGTGAAGGGCGCGACTGTCGCCAGGATTCATGGCGGATAGGTAGAAGCCGCAGAAGACAGAATTGCGAAATGAGTCAATTACGGAGATAAGCGCGAAGATCGCAGAGGCGGGGTCACAGGATCGGAGATTACACAGTCAAATTCTTCATCTCGAAAAAGAAAAGAGAAAGGAGAGTCAGGGGAAATGTCAAGGTGTAGGCGCCAAGTTTGGGCGAGACGCTGACCCCGCAGGTGATGAGAATTATCACAAGTTGCTGCCTTGAGGCCTGGTATCGAGGCCCTATCAAGTATGTTATGAGTATCTTCACTTCTACAGATATTTTCTGGGGGATTTATATACCCGGCTTAGAAGTCTTGAGGCCATTTAGTCATTTTCGAGGGGTCTACACGATATTATCAAAGTACTCACTATACACATAGTCTTTTACAGCAGGCTATCAGTAAGTAGTATTGCAATAACAATATAGCGATGTAAACATGGACATGCTTGCTTGGGAAATGTAGTGTACTGGGTCGGGGTCGGCCCGAGATCTTTGACCATGGGTTCTTCGTTTCTATATATACACTATCGTCAATCATGCTAAACATATTCAAGATACAATGCCACCCTATGCGCCGGTGCCTTGCAAATCAAAATCCGAAATTCACCATCTGAAGCCCTTCCTGGGTCATCAAGTCGGACCAATCTACGTCAAATGTGTGACCCACACGCATGAGTCGTTCCAACTGTCGCTCATACACGATTTGAAGAATGGCACGGGTGGTTGCCGCATTGCGTCCCATGCCATCCTCTTCATCCTCCATACTCGTCATCAATTCCATCGCCATCATCTTGAGACCACTGGCAGATGCCGTAGCGCCTGCCAGGAATAAGGGGAACACCAGGAAGTGACGGTCGGCTCGCCGAGTGTGTGTAGTTTTCTCAGCCAGGCGCAGGATCTCTGTCACATGGTGATCAATATCCCCATCTGGCGAGAACTCAGACTCAACCCGTTGCCCGGGCCACATGCTACTATAGGAGAACAGCTGAGAAGCATGGTATAGTGTTGCCGACTATAGAGATGTCAGTATAACGTACAAAAGTACTTTGAAAAAAGTAAGCTGACCTGCTGGAGAATTTCCCGAGACCGTCGCGGGAGATTGTCTTGATGCTGGTGCAAAAAGGCAACATCAGGTGCCTCCCACAGCCTCCCAAAGGCCTGACGCAGATCGGCAATCTCTTGGGCTCTCTGGTCAAACTCGGCAAACGGTAAATTTTGTTTGTCGTCGCGAAGTCGAGTGGCCAAGAACCCAAGCTGAGCGGCCAACCGGAATGTGTCATGGTAAAGTCGCATGATGATCGGCAAGCTGTCGAGTTCATCGGAATAGATCACACTGTAACCCTCTGGAGCTGTAGGGTAGAGAAGGCACTCTGACCCAGGAAGCATCTGGTGGTCGATGACAGCACGAACAAACTCTCCAGCTCCTGCTCCACTGAGCAGGGCGTAGAGGTCAATGTGGCATACCCACCACAGAATGAAGGGATACGGCTCCTGGCCGTACTTAGAACGACGGAGGAAGGCGATGTGAAGAAGACGAGAGATGTGATGGGACCAGAGATTTGAGCCGTGAGGCTCAGCGGCTGCGATCTATGGTAATGTTAGTAGGCCCAAGGTATAACACAAACTGCATAATCTTACCTCGTAGATAAGCAGCAGGAAATGGGTTAGGAACAGCCCGTCTGAAACTAGATCGTCGTTGTTCCGTAGGCTGACTTGGAGCGAGGGGAAAGCTTGCTGATAGTACTGTAGCGCATCGACATTGTGACCTGTGCCGCTGTGCGAGAGACTAAGGGCTGAAATAGCCATCATAGCGTGGGAGAGCTAACCAATGTTAGCATACCCGGTCTGACCATTGGAGCTCGATATACCCACAGGAGGGAAATGAGTGGCTTCCTGTTCAAGGAAATCCACACTGAGTGACATGAAATGACTGTCAGATCCATAAGAGTCATCCAGTCTGTGATCATGAGGGAACAATTGTCTCCACACGACGTGACGGAAATGGGAGAAGAGAGTGGAATCTTGACTTTGTTGGTCAACGTTCAAGTAGGTTATGTTCTCCAGCTTCACCGATGGTGAAGGGAGAGCAGGCATGATTGGAGATAACGACAGAGCACAGAACGGATCTGAGATCTCCGAGGTCGGGGATATTCTTGACACTTTGCCATTGGGCGAGCGCCGAGTGACATCTTCAAAAGTCTTTAAGATTACCACGTTGGGATCGTCGTCTCTGACACTGCATTCACTCTTGGCTGCGCTGGTAGGGCTGTTGGCCACCGAGCTCCTACAATCGCTCGAGGCCTTGGATCTAGACTTCTCATTTGGATCGTCTGCATACTCTGGCAGCGACGAGAAACTGTCTGGCGTCATCACCACATGGTACGTGCCTGGACTAAAGGCCTCTGCTTTCTTTTCGCGGTCTTCATCCGAAGTAAGCAGCGAAAAGGGTGGCAGTGAGTCTCCTAAAGAAAAATAATCGGTCCTCTCATCCATAGAACTTGGCGAGGTGACTACTACGTAGTTAGTATAGCCTCCCAAGATGAATGAAGACTGCTTACGATCCCAAACAACATGACCATCCGTCTTCACATCGGCCATTCGGCCCATGATACGAGGGGTATCATCGCGAAACGCCAATCGTGGGCGGTAATCGCAAGTATGGCCCAGACGAGTACATTGCTGGTAAACTGTTAGTAAATGTGGGTTGCAAGGAGCCCGAGGAATGCATACATTACATTGCGGGTGTCCTTCATCACATTTGACTAGAGGAATGTCAGCGGAATCCCAACCAGGACGAGAAATGAGCCACTCACCCTTTCGACTCTGCAGAGAAATAAATTCCAAATTAACAGTCTGCTTTGTTTTGCGGGAAATAATCACTCACACGACATGTCCTAGAAATCAATTAACTAGAGGTTCTGAATAAGAAGTCAATTGGCTTACCAGCAACCCGTCCGAGACCGCGGAGGCAGGCGGATACGCGGTGGCGCGATCAGACCCTTGTCAGCCTTGCTAAAGGCATCTGTGAATACATCCTCCTTGGGGGCGATGATAGGAAGTCGCAGGGGTGGTTTTCCGGAGACTTTGCTCCGACGGTTTTGCATCACCAGACTGGTGACCGTCATGAGGCTGACGGGGGTACCTGAGAGATGCTATCAGGGATTAGTGACCTACATCTCTGTAGGTGAGTTTGCAACTTACGGGTACGGGTGGCGATAAAATATGCAGAATTGGAGAATAGAGAAAAAGAGGGCTAAGAAGAAAAGAGGGAGGCAAAAAGAATATAGATGAATCAAAGTGGGGAAGAAAAACTGCGGAGAGGAGTTTATGTATGTTCACATCACGAGAAAAATGCAAAGCTGCATCGTATGGTTCGAGGGATGGCGCAGCCTTCTTTCTGGCTTGACGGGTGGCGGGGATCCTAAAGAATCTCTCGGATGCGAAATGGAGCCAGAAAGAGAAACAGGTCAGATCCAAAGGGGATAAGCGACAGGAAAGGGTAGAAAGGGAGGGAATGGCATGCAGGTGCCAACCATGTGGGAAAGGAAAAGTAAGAGAGATCTATAATTACAAGGACGCTAACAAGAAGTCTGGGCTGGCTGAAGCCACGTAGGGAGGAAAGTGTAAAGGGTTTTAGGCTTAGGAAGGCCCTGTATCGGAGCCGAAAGGGACTGGGAAGAACTGGAAGGGACAGCAAAAGAAAGGTTTCTGGGGAAAAACCCAGCAGGAAAAACCACTACAATGGTCTCGATCGGCCCGGCCCCGTCTGGATCGACGTGAATCGAGGGAATCGAAGGGATCACACCCGCATTCTCTTATACGGACATGGCCGAGTGTTAAGCGAGTGGCGTAGACACTATTCCCTTTAGGCTCTCGGATTCTGCACCCGATTCTGCACACCTGAATGGTCAGAGAAAAATCAAGAGACATGTAAATTCCAACGAACTACCGGCGCATTTCCCTTTTGGTTTTAGTCTCTGCACGCTAATTGGTTCGATCGAATCGAATCGTTCATGAGAGAGCCATCTGCTCAAATCTGCTCCCAATCTGTCCTTCATGATTCATGGGTTGTTCCTCCGTCGATCAGCCACGTGGTTCAAGACCCAGGGCCTCGTCCAGGATTCGTTGAACTCCTCCAGACCGTTCGCTGGTCCTCCACCTCCGGATTTCGGCCGTAAGCGTGTCAGGCACTTGGGTAGGCAGTTTCAGGTACGCCAGAATGGCCTCTGCACGACCCTTGCGGATGGACTCAACAGACCCATCCCGTTCCTCCGTGAGGAGATTAGCCAGAGCAGTAACATGTACATGTATCTCACCGGATGAATCCGAGATCCAGGTCTCCACTCGCGTAAAGAACGCCCGGAGCTCGTCATAGCCCGTGCTGATGACCTGTCGTCCACCGTGTTGGAAGACTCGGTCCAGTAGACCGGTCATCTGTTCCACGTACTCTCCCAACACTGTGGTTAGGCTTAGCATGGCATGACGCTAGGGGGTTCAGGGAACTGACCTTGGCCCGAACCGGCGGTGGGGTTGAAACACTGCAGTAGGCATTGGATACACGCCGCAAGGGTGTCGTCCTGGGTTCCAGCCTTTGAGTCGATCTCCATCTGGTCCTCATCCACCACTTCTTCGATTACTGCCGGCACGATCTTATTGGCATCGCTCATGAAATTGAGGTCCTTGCGTGCCAGTGCGATCTCGCCCATTGCTCGTAAGCCATGCGGCCGGTAGATAACGTTAGCGCGCTTCGCTTCGCGCACCGTAATCGTCTGACACCCGGTTTAGCATTCCAAATCTTTCTCCCCCTCTACCGGAGTGGCGATATTGGCCCACTTACCTTCATCAGATTACTCAACTCCTTCGCTTCCCAGAATGTCTGAGCTTGACTGCTGAACTTGACTAGCGCCTTGAGCACCGCCTCTTTACCTTCCCATGTCTTCCCCGCTAGAGCTCTTTCTAACACCGGCCACACTAATTGGGCCGTCGGGAGGTCGATTTCGGCGTCAAGTGACTGAATCGCTTGCGCAATCGCGCGTGCGGCTGTATGCTTAATGGCCCACCGGGGAGATTCCAAATTGTCCGAAACAAGGCCGACGATTTCACGGATGTAGAGGGTCACCGCGCGAGAACCACCGACGTTGTCGGACCAGGTTTTTTCAAACTGTTCCTTCACGTGCTCATCTCCGTCATGCTTGCACATGAATACAAATGGCAAGGCTGTCGCTGCAAATGCCATCAACCGGTCGTTGGACAGTTTCGATGCCGAGTACAGGATCTCGCCGGAGATGACTCGCGGGGTGGTATCCTCCGCATTCAAGTAAAGGCTTTTGGCAAAGTCGATTGTCTTGAGTACACGGTCGTCGGAGGCAAGTCGTAAAAGGTAGCCCATTGATGAACAGTAAGAAGCGCTCACGGTGTCATTTCGATCAACCACATACTTGGTTAGGAGTTGGATGAATTTGTCCGCGTATGGGCGGAACATCAGAGTCTTCATGCTGAGTAGTACCAGCACGCGACTGCAACCGACTTTGGATGGCAGGCCCACAGCCGACCGAAGCACATCTTCGAGCCGCTGGGCCAGCTCGTCCAGGTTAGATTCATCCAGGTTGTCAATCAAATACCGCTCAATCACTTCCATCATGGGAGATGTACGGATGCTGGACAAGCGCATTTTGTCGATCTCCTGACCAGTAAGGCCGTACTTGTCGGCATTGAGATGAACGTAGTTCACGGCCTGCGGTTCGAGAGAGCTGAGAGCAGTCAAGAATTTCTCCAACATGTTGGGAACGTGTGGGCGCAGGAGGGAGCCAGGGCTTTTCTTGATCATTTGTATGAGAGCACCAATGGCATATCCTTGCACCTCCTCGACACTAGAGTCCAGTCCCTTGTCGCTCAGAAGGAATGGGATAGCGCTTTTCAGTAGAGTCGCTGCTCGTTTCTCTGAGCCATTCGTCTCAAGAGTGCGGATGACAGAATTGGTAATGGTCTGACACAGCTTCAAAGCGGTAGTTCGGACGGATTCCTTGATATCATCGAGTAGCTTAAAAGCTTTACTGTAAATCTCATCCAGATATTGAGCGAACTTCTCTGGGCGACGACCTTGGATCAGATCTGCAATGGCAGCACAACTGGCTTGTCGAACACGCCATTCTCGGCCAGCTAGTACGCTTTTGAGAAGATCCTGAATGATATCATCAAAGTGAGTATCAATCACAACCGTAGGATCCTTGACTAGTGCCTGCCAGATGGTGTTCATAGATCGTTGCACATTCGGGTTGGGATCGAAGCGGTAACGGAACAGCTTCGGATAGATCTTGGGGTTTTTAGCCAGGTAGCCATCGACGCTAGAGTCAGAGAAGATGGTGCTGATTCCAAAGCGGCCAAAGGCTGCACGGTTAGTCCAAATGGCATTATTGGAGGCCAGTGACATGAATCGGTAAACCAAAGTCGGGTCACCAGCCTCAGCAGCCAGGTTCATGATATCCTTGTAAGTGTTGACAGAAGACCCTTCGCCAGTGGGAAGGGCGCCCGGCTCAAATAGCTGAGTGTCAGCTGTCACGCTGCCACCCCCAAGATTGGGGCCGGTAGAAGTGAACGACTCAACCAAATCTTGCACCAGGTCATCCTTCAGCGATTGGTCGCCAATTTCATAGACAAGGCTGAGTCCGTGCGCGCCAGTCTCCTGCACCACCTCGTCACGGTTTCCAAGGAGACTGCTAAAGGTAGCTTGGCATTTGCGCAGGCGGTCCTGCATGTCTTGCATGTGGCCGCAGTTCTTGACTAGTGACAACAGCCAGATTGCAGACGCCTTCCGAAGAGATGGCTTGGGTGCAATGCAATCAGCAATAATCTTATCACAAACCTCTGCGAACACCGAATGGGGGACATCCGAGCTAGGGAACTCTGCATCAATGTCAAAGTCTTGAATTAGGGCGCGGGAGTTCCATCCGACAGCGACATTGCACAGGGCTTCGCCGACAGTAAACTGGACTTCGGGACTGCGGATCTCATGTAGGCTGTACAGCGAGCCCAAGAAATCCTTAAACAGGGCGCCGTCGGACCCAGATCGGGAGAACGTCAGAGTCAGGAGTCCCAATGAGCTGATAGGAGTCTGATTCTCGGTCTTTGCATCCCGCGAGAGCTTTTCTTGGACCTTTTTCCAGCCATCCTCGGCAAGAATGTCAAAAGTAAGTACTCCGGAGAGACTTAACTGGCCGATGGCCACCTGCGCGGTCCGCTGGAGAAGAGTATCGCGGGAAACATCTAGAATTTCAAAACTCGTTTCAATAAACTGCTTGACTTGTGTTTCTGGGGTCCTCTTGGTCAAATTGCGGTACGCAAGTCGACTTAGCAGATATGCGAGTGCTAAGATGGCGCCACGGACTCGCATGACCTCTTCACCGACAGCAGTATTCCATGATTGAATGGTAACATTTAGTCCAGCAATGAAGCTTTGTAGTTCAGTCTCGGGGAATTCAGGGTGAGAAACCAGGATTCCAAATGCGCGTGCAGTAATATCCTGATTGTCCTGGTTGCTGCTGGAAATGGGCTCCATCAACGAGGTTGCACGCGAAAGCAACTGCCCGACAACGTCATTGGGTGCCAATGAGCAAATTTCAACGAAATGAACGCCGCATTGCCGCAAACCTTGTCGCCCGCCAGTCACAAGACCTTCGAGTGTCCCGGACAATAGTGCCAAGACAGACTCCTTTGCAGACTTTCGTGTGTACTGTCTCACGGCTGTGCGCGCTTCTTCACTGGTAGATAAAAGCAATTCCAGCTTATAATCCCAGTCTTGCTCTAGCTCTGCAGGAATCCCCGCCGCCGAGAAGGCCTCCCAAAGCAGTGTATTGCGGAGGAATGAAATGGCAGGAACAAATGAATTCTTGTAGGGACCAGACAAGAGCTCCGATGGAGATAGCGATTGAACGTTTGACTGTTCTTCTTGCTCATCTAACCCCAACAGGAAGCAAGTAGCCTCGTTGAACTTGGGAAAATCAAACCAGGATTCATCGTGTTGCGCTGCAGGACCGGACCATTTCTGATCCTTTGTGGGGTTAAGCAATCGGTACCAATAAGGATGAAGGCCTTTTTTTCCTTCCTCGATGATCTCTTGTTGTCGTTCCGGGCCTCTTGCAATAGCCATCAAATCGATCCAACGGGCGACCACATCACCGAAGGGCAGGAATCGGTTCGCAAACCGCACCGCCGCATACTGAACACCTCGGACGATACGGTTGCCAGTTTCGGGGTCAATATCACCGGGTTGCATGCTCATTTGACGAACCAAAAATGGCCGCAGCTGGTCTTGGAAAGTCTTGTCATGACTGTCTAATGAGGAGTTGAGAATACTGCCGAGCGCCTGGTCAATGCTGACAAAGATCTGAGGACTGGAGTCATCTGCACTCAAGGACGCAAAGAGCCATCGAACTAGATCGAACTCGAAGTTCTCCACGGCATCGGCTTGCATGGTGAAGTCAACTTTGGGGACCATGATGCCAATACTTTCGTAGGCTAGACCTCGCAGGCTGAGATCTGTCGTGGGTAATTTGTTTCCACTAGCCGCCGGACTAGGCCATCCTTGCGATTGAATGAAATCCCTCAACCCTGCAATAAGCTTGGGTGCAATTTGTTTGAGATCAGACGGAGAGCCCATACGAACAACCCATGTGGTGAAGGTGAAGATTTGGGTTCTGAGTTTGGATGCTTGCAAGCCTTGGGAGGACCTAGCAGAGTCGGAAAGAAGCCCGTTTTCAATCAGTCTCAAAATCCTCTGCGGATCAGCTGTGGCTTTGATAGACTTTCCTAAGAAAGTAAGGAGCTTAACTTGAAGCGGGGGTCTGGCAGGCGGTGCTCCAGGGGTACCGAAATAGAGATCATACAGTTCCTCAACGACTGTGGGATTCTCGATATCAGCGGCGAATCGCTTGAGTGTCTCATCGCCTAGATCAGCAAGGCGAGAGTTGGCATCAGAAGAAGCGATCAGTGAGGGCAAAAATCTTTGGGCATCATTGAAAGCGCCACTGCCGATGAATCGAAGTGCGGTGACCTTGGTTTCGGTGAGGTTCAAGCCGCCGTCTGCTGACGGATTCCATGTTTCGTTTGCGGGGACCCCTTTGTTTAAAAATGTGTATTCATCCGGAGAGAGACCGGGACACGTTGTTGACTCCTTGGGTCCAGGGGTAAGAAGGAGCAATTTGGCCAGCCAAAGGGACAAGAATTGGGCATCGTCATCTGACAGACCGAGGCGCTTTTTCAAGTTCCGATCCTCCTCGCTGCCTTTTGGTGGCAGCTTCAGAAGTGGTAGCAAGCGCAGCACTAAATTAAACACGATAGCACCCTGGGTGGGCGAAGTTCCGATTTGCGAGATACCCTGGAGCAAGGGCAATAGAATGTCGACTCTGGCTTCAGAACCAAGGCGGTCAATGCCTTGTTGGGCATATATTAGATCAAAATGTCTAACCAGTTGAGATTTTTGTTCTTTGAATTGTTTGAGCAGAGCTGCCACGGGCAGCTGGATAGAGGGGGCCTTCACTCGGGCGTTGACATGCTGGCACACCGAAATGATTTTGTTGCGCACTGCCACACTTTCCGACCCCAGTTTCAACAATAATGGGGCAAGATAAGTTTTAAGTAGTGACTGCAGCTTCTCATCTGTGTCTGCCATGGCAATTCTGAATTCCACCTTGCCTATCAGGCTCAACTCACGAGCCTCGGGGCTCTGGGAGTCCGCCATGGTGAGTGTTACTTTGCAGGGTCGGAAAAGTCCAGAAGATATGTCAAACGAAATGATTCAGGGGCAACAATTTAGCAGAAATCACCTGGTTTTGTTCAGTAGGCAACAAACACTCACGTCATCGCCCTTCACGGTCGTTGTATGCGGGCAGTCCACGATATTAGTCAGCTCGCTTAGTCATGTCTGGCAGTCCACCTGTCGGTGAATATTTTCTGGAGAATTGGTGAGAAGATCAATTGTGATATATAGGAGGAAGTATTTCGGATGTGTTCTCGTTGATAATAGCTCTGTTCTGATTGCTAGCTTGGAGTAGCGAGCCTCTGATACAATACGATATATATCCATGCCTACCTATAGATCAGACTCAAACAACCTCGTCGGCCTTGACATAAATGCTTCCCAGTTCAATAGACATTCAAATTCAACATAATATTTTACAATCATTAGTCGTAGCTCATTTATTCGATCCGTCTTTGCTCAGCAGCCTCGCCCCTCAAGAATCGGCCTACTTCCCTCTCGGCCTCCATGGAGGGATTATTGCTATCTTTATCGACCGTGCCACCAAAGAGACATTGCCAAAGGTCATCCTGCTTCACCAACTCTCCATCTGATGGTCCGCTTGTCATCAGTTTTGTCAGGCTGGCCTCTTGCATTTCCATGGAGTTGGCGGAGTCAATGGCTGTTTCTGTAAGATCTTCGATGAGAGGACCATTACCATTGGGAGCGCCCGCTGAATGACCTATTTTCCCGTGCTTCTCTTTCTCAATGATGTGAGCCAGTCGCCGAGTGACAGAAAGCTGATAGATGGATTCCTCAACAGTGCCAGAGACAAGGTACATCCACACTGTGGTTGGCCGATGCTGGCCAATACGATGTACTCGGGCGATGGCCTGTAGTTCGATTGCCGTATTGATGAGCGGTTCGCAAAGAAAGATGTGGGTTGCATTGATCAAAGTCAACCCAGATGATTGTGCTTTTCCATGCAACAAAAAGCACTCAACCTGTTCTTGTAGTCAGCAAAAATATCCCACTAAGGGGAAGCCTTCGGAGTCCATACCGCGGGATCCTTCTTGAAACTTTCAATACCATCTGGCCTGTCAATGCTGCTGCTGACAATCTTGAAGCGATAGAATGCCTCATGTAGTACAGTCAAGAAGCTCTTGTACTGAGAGAAGACAATCGACTTTGCCCCAGGGTCATGTTCCCGCAGCCACAGGATGTGACGAGCCAGGGTGTCAATCTTCGTTCCGAAAGAATCATCCAGGTCGATATTCTTGATCTCCTTAAGAAGTCCAGAGCTGATGTCACTATAGATTGCGTTCTGAGCATGTTGTTCGTGACCCGGTTTGACAGATGATTCTTCTTCCTGGGCGACTAATTCTTGTGGCTTGTATGTGATCTGATGGAAATCTTTGAGCTTCAGGGTCTTCTTGCACATCGGGCAGCTCTTATGGGAACGCCACCACATGCGAATACAATCACTGCAATACTTGTGACCACAAACCGTCAATACACCTACAAAGGTTAGTCTAAGCTCACACGAATTGGTAGCACAAATAACTCTTACCAACTTCGAAAGTTGATTGGCAGATAATGCAGATCCTCGAGGTATTCTCGGCGCTGGAATCATCCCTCAGATGAATGAGGTATCTTCCTTTAGACTTGAGCGAAGAAATTTTGCCGTCAAGAATTTCCTCCTGCCTGAGTCTCGAGTTGAAAAGCTCGTCATCAAGTGGCTTACCTGCACTTTCCTCGTCGTACGGAGCAACTGTATCTGAAATCTGCTGCAAGTGGCGATAGTACTCGAGCCGATTGTTCATGGTGTCACGAAACATTTCGACTTCTTTTTCCAGATTGGATGAAACCTTGAGTTGCTCCGAGATCATTTGACCGGCATTTCTCAAGACCAAATCGACCATTTCATGCTCAGCGCGAGCACGCGAGCTTCCAGCGCTAGCTTGCCAGTCCAATGATGTCAGAATGGTCCGAAGTTCACTGACAATACCGCGGAGCGACCCAAGCTGGGGATCTGGCATGAGCTCACTGCGAGTGTCCATAACCCTGAGGAAGAGCTGCGGAGAGGGTCCTTCGCCTCGTTGAGCCTGAACAATGCCAGCTTTGACCTCGTGGGAGATGAGAACATTTTTTTGGCCAGTGAGAGCATCGTGACGATCGGCATACATTGAGCGTAGAGCCTCCATGTAGACATACATCTCATCTTGATGTTTTGTAGACCGCTCATACTCATTGCCCTCCAGTTCTGCATCTTCTTCTTGATCGATGAGAGATTGTGAAACAAGTTTTATCATGGCGGTGCGCCATTCATTGTACTGCTCCGCATGTCTGTTAAGTGCTACACATAGGTTTTCAAACCTCATGAGCAGTCGATAAGACTCAAGACCATCGCTATAAAGGTAAGGCTTCAGTTTTGGAATGGTCACAAATTGCTTATTTCGTGTCTTCTCCTTGATTGTCTTCATATAGCGCTCAACTTTTCGGGAGATATCTGTCAACATCTCCTTGCGAATTGTTTTTGCCGCCTCGTAGCCTTCTTCTTCACGTTTTTCAAGGGATTTGAATTCTTCAGAGTCTGGCTGGGTTAAATTTGGATCGCTTTTGATCTGATAGAATGCGTTTGCTGTGAAGAACACTGCGATATGCTGGACTTCAAGGGCACTCCGAAGCCTTAGCCTGTATTGACCAAGGCGACTGTTGTTGTCGGCATCTTCAGCCTCGTCCCCATTCAAGTGTTCCATTGCCGATATAGTTCCATTTATACCGTCTGTAGCACTGTCGCTTTTCAGCCTCTGTTGTCGCAATTGTTCTCTGCTTTTTTCAACTAGCTGGGTTGCATGATCTAACGCCTTTTGCCATAGGACAAGAGCCTCCACGCGGCGCTTTGCGTTCTCCAGGAGCTGGCCTCGTCGGAGTTGAGAAAGAAGAAGTGAGCGCTCTTCCGCACGAATAGCCGTCTCATTGGCTTCGATCATAACCTCCAGAACCTCGTCCACGGTCCGTAATGGTCCATTATTTGCACCCAATGCTCGACGAGTGCTCGACGAGACTTCAGGATGAAGACAGGTTTTGCGTAGTCTTGTCAACCACACACGCATTTTTTCAATGATGACCGGATCTTCAGGATCCCAATTCCCCCGAACGGGTGCCCCTGAGGCGTCAAGCCCGCAATCCTCACACATTTGTTCAAATAATTGCCCGTAGCGTTGCTCTTCTATTGCAGTGAACGGCGTAGTTATGACAATGCGCTTTTGAGGAGGAAGACGGAGTTCGTCACGCACTTGATCCTTGCTGTGTCGAAGGGCGATTTTGTTAATGATGGTGACCAAGACCGGTCCAAATCGTGAAAACAGTCTTTTCCACAACGGATTTGAGAAACAAAACGGCTCATAGTGCAAAAAGAGAAGAAGTCCAAACAGATCATCAATATCTCTGCGTAACGGCGTGCCAGTCACAGCCCAAGCGATTTCTCGAGGAATCAAGCGTGCTACTTTTGCCGCGTTGCTGACTCCGCTTTCAATCATTTGGGCTTCATCTAAACAAACACGCCACCATGAAATCCGAACCAAAGGTGTCTTTCTGGGCTCGAAACGTTTTGTGTGCCTGAGATTTCTTTCTGGTGCTACACCAGCGTAGTGAATTTCTCGCGAGATGACGGGATATGTGGTTAGGACAACGTCGAATTGGGCAAGCTCATCGACGATCATATCATCTGTTTCCTCTTTCCCACGCTTGATGCCGGTATAATGGTGAACCCGCATATTAGGGGCATGCTTCGACAACTCCTGTTTCCATTGCTCAAGAATAGCCGGTGGTGTGATAATCAAAGTTGCACCAGATGGCTTCAGTCCATCCAAGCCAGCCTTCTGTTGCTGCTCTGAGAGTCGGCGGTGAAGACTTATTAGAGCAATCATTTCAACTGTCTTGCCCAGTCCCATTTCCTCTGCAAGAATCCCGCCTTTCAAAAGATTTGAAGCATCATACCACTCAGAGATGTCGGTTGTCAGGGTCATGAAGAGGCGGCTAAAATAGTATGTTTGTCCGTCGGCGTCTTTCATTTCCCTGAAAGACACCGGAAGCTCATTTTCCGGGATCTGTTCCATCGGAACAACTGTTCCATCTTGCTGAACTGCCATTCCCTCTCTCTCTAATAACCATCGGAGGGCTCTCTTCTGAAATGGAAATAGGTCACAATCGATATCAGGACATGTAAGGTTTGAGGCACCTTCAGTGGTCCTGGGAACGTGAACACTGCTGTAAAACTCTCGAGGAGACCATTTTTGAGGAATACCCAGCATCCGTTCGCGACGTTGATCCCGATCATATACAGTTGAAGGGTGATCGATATGCTCCTGCAGCACATATCTTGTAAAAACCTCCAAAGCCGGATCTTGTAGATAGGAAAGGACTGGGATCTCGAGTGAATCCTTCCATAGAACAACGGCGTCTAGAGTGAAGACATCCCTGTCTGGCGACACTGAGATGGAAGCCTGGTAGCAGGCGATCGGAGCATCGTTGGAGTATTTGTTTGCATGGGCGAGTCCGCTGGCGTGCCGTAGCTGCTCTAACAAATCAAACAATCGCGAATCCTGGAATGAGTGCGAAAACGAATGCTTTCCCTCAAGATCATTTATGCGAAGTTCCATAACGTAAGCTTCAAGATCAAGCGACTTTTGTTGCGGCGCATTGTTTTCATCGTCATCGAGTAGACGAATATTGCGGACCTCCGTGACCACTGGAATCCGAGAGGGGAAGGGCTCCAGGCGTTGTAGTTGTTCCCCCTTGATTATGGTGGAAGATGAAGACTTCTAACGGGGGACGGGGAGTCTTTAGTATCTTTGTATTGGGTGGCATGTCATGAGGACTTACCATGCGCAATGTCAATCGTGCCAGCGGAATGTAACCTAGGGGTATTCCAGTCGCAGATTTGCCTTTCTCTGTTACCAGACATTTTGGACGAGACTGGGTGACCTTGCGCCGTTTGGCAGGATGAGCATCGGAGTTCGGCGCAACGGATTGTTCGAAGATGCGATGTAGGGACTCAGAACGGCTCTCTAAAATGGTATGAATATCAGTACACACGTTCTACTATCAATTGAGCAAGAAATGTGATAGTACCTGGCAGTGTGATTTCCTCTACGACCACACTCATAATGAAAACGTATTTGCACGCCTGTGCTGTCGCCACAAATGAATTGAGCGTACGGAGTAATCGAAGGCGGAGCCGATAGCTTATCGCAAAGGTAGCACGTGCTGATACGAGGCTAGATCACATGCTGATACAGCGTGAATGGTGCGAAAATTAGGATTGCGATTGATAAGATACCGGATAAAGGAAGTGGATAAATGCGAAAGTATAAAAACTAAAGGGTCAACTTCAGGCACTACAACAAATTGATGTGGTCAACCTTGGAAGATCCCAAAGCCATACAGAGTAGTATCAACTTACTCTTTTCACATACATCATAAACAGTCCCTGGGACTCGAGCAGAGTGCTCGTTCTCTCGTGGACATTCTGATCTTAGATCCAGCACCTCAAAAGGTCGCTTGCCTCAGTAGTATCTGCCTCGGTCTTAATTTTTTCTGCTTAGGTATCTTTGTCTCATCTAACCGGTTTTGAAAAACCTTTGTTCCTGATATCCTGCTTCTTCAAATCACCCACCCTGAAGTTGCTTTCTCAACCAATCTACTTCGTGCTGCATGACATCCATCTTTCAATACCGAGCCTACGATTGAATCGCGTCTCCGCTTTAGTTGTGTCTACGTATAAGAAGACGGCGGGGTCAGGCGAATCGCTCCAAGGTCCGCATTGTAGACAACCTGAAAGAGCAAGTTGCAAAGCTAGAAAGCGACCACGTTTGACTCTTGATTCCAACAGTTTCGGGGACACGAGTGAGACGCCCGACTTCACTGTTGTGAATTTAAAACAGAAGTTTTTCGTGCACAGGACAGTCATTTTGATGCAGTCCGACTACTTTAGCTAGATGTGCAAGAATGATTGGACAGTGAGTCTCTTATATGATACGATCAGATATAATTCAAGCATGACACTAGGTGCAGAAGAACAGTATTGAGCTCAAAGAGGATGACCCTATTGCCATCGAAGAAACGCTGAGACTTTTTACGGTCTTAATAATTGTGTTCCCGACGACATTCCTCCGATGGTGTTTTGAGCCTCAGTCTAGGAGTTTGCCGGCAAATTTCTTGCCTCGCAATTAAAGAAAGAGGTGTCTGATTTTCTTGTGCCTCTTGTGGCCTCCAACTGAAAACACGAATCTTTTCCAGACGTCATTGTAGAGACTTATAAAAGCACCCCGTCTGAGGATCGTGGACTCCGGGATACAAAGTCGCATACGATATTGCGGAGGACCAAAGAATTCCAACGAGTACTCCAAGAAATCTCTGGCTTTGCTGCCGATCTGCTTCTAGCCATGGATATTCAAGCTTCTCAATTTATACCTAGGCATTGCCTGATCAGTGGCTGTAACACCTGGTGGTTCTGCCCTTGTGGATTTTTGCACCTAAAGTGTCCTGTGTGTAGCAGGCGATCAGTTCTGCATGGCGGATAGGTTGAATGGCCATAATAGTCTCCAAATCCCAACAGATCAGTCATTCGAGGAAGATTGATATGGCAGCGAAGGAAACGCAAGGAGATAGCATAAGAAACGCTGAATTGGCAAGAGATTGACTCGAAACACCATGAGAATTCACTTCTTATGACCTGCTACACAGTAGTGTTAGATGCGAGATCACTTGATTAATGCTCCAACAACTTGTTCATTAATAAAATACCCCACGCCCACGGAAGTATCGGCATCGAATTAGACAAAGTGCACAGTAGTGTGACAAAATAATCCCATCGAATTTGGTACTGACCCCAATGCCATCGTTCATGATCGCCTTGGTTGTCTCAGAAAGGAAGTACTTGTTCATGATGACAAAAAGGGCATTCAAGGAAATCCTTTACATTACCAACTTGGATCTGCCACTTCGACAAACAATCCATGCAAACATAAGACTCGACGATACGCGGCTCCAAAGACAAATTTGGAGGAATGTATTGACGCGAAAGCAGCACAAGATCGCTGGCAAGCCCAGGAATATTCGCGAGAAAATTTTCGAGTTCCTGTTTCTCCCGCAAGTCCCTCCTATGTGTTTGACATATTGCTACGATAAAATCACGAAGACCTCGATCTTGCTTTGGTGGTGGTATATGCTTGAGAACCTGCAACCATGAAATTATTCGAGGCCCAGAGATTTTGCACGGCAGAAGCAAAAGTGAGTCAGGCTTGAACCTTGAGGTACTCCGCTTGGTACTTTGAAGCAATGTTATAGACCATTACGTTGAATAGCATCGGGCACATCTCGTTGGTAGCTTTGTTGATACCGTCGTAAGACAGTCCGTAGAAAGAGCGTAACATGGCCTCGATGATGCGAGGGTTGTCGTCCATCATTTCGAGCGCGAACCGCCCAGTGAGATGAATTTCTTGTGGTGGTATCAGTGAGCTTTCAGATATTGTAGAGAGCATAAATCGGAGAATGGCTTACTCGGATATCTCTCGCGATGAGGTCACAAAGGACCTGAGACCGTGCACAGAGTACTAGCTTATGGACCTCGAAGGTCCTTTCTGTTGTTACAACAGTGAGGTCAGAGAAGGCAGCAGAGTGCCAGAAGCTGCTTCGGTCAGCCTTCACGCTTTGAAGTCAACACGGCTCCATGGACCTACTCTTGGAGTCTGTGGACAAGTAGGTCAGTGCCCTCCACGCTTAGTGCATTAATTTCCATTGCAAATACTTTAAAAAGATGCAACAAGAGAGGAGAAATGGCCTGGTAATGTGAAAGGAGAGAGGTGGTGAGTCGAAAGGGTGTGTGGGAAAAGAAGAAAGAAAACAAAACTGACACGAGAAAGTTGTGAAGAACTGGATTAGAGGAGTGACCATGGCTCATCAACCAGATCAGGCAGAATGACATTCATTGATATTCCAGCGCCTTTTGTTTTGAAACCAGTATGATCAAAGATTGAAAGCTATTTTGTTTAAAATGATCCACTGTCGTCTGTAGCACCCAAGGACGGAGATATAATGGTTCGATTTATTAAGGCACATTAGAAGGATTGAATATTGGGTCGGTCTTTGCGGTCTAAGGAGCAGGAGACCCAGGTCCCTTTCCAAGAATAGCTTTCACACTGCCTCTCCCTGATTCATGATCCTGTGGAGTTGCCTGGACCTTGTCTTGCGATCCTGTGTTATGCACGACAGTCCCATTGATTGCGTGAACAGACTGTTGGTACGCTTGTCCATTCGTTTCGCTTTCATATTTCTCAACTGTATCGCCCCATGAAGTTGAAGATCCGCCAGTGACTGAGCTATATCGTGCTTTGCCAGATTGAGTCGTGCGAAGATACGATGGCCCTGAGGTCAAGCTGTAGGTGGAAATCCCGGGTCCCCCTGTTGTCTCAAAGTTAAGGCCTCTCAACATCCAAGAGTCGATTGTAAGTCCGTTTGCAGTAATGCCGTATGTTGCATTCACAACCAAGGGGTATTTGAATGAAGTGCTGTTTGACGTGGGTGTGTCGCCACGCTCGGTAATGATGTTCTTTCCAGTAGTAAGCTGTTTGTTGACTTGGCTGTATCCTTGCCGATTGAGCAGGCCGGAGTTAGAAAAGGACAATGTTTGAGACCACGAGAATTGAGAAGACTTCGTTCTGAAGGTTCTCTCGGCCACTACGGAGTAAGATAAAGATTCGTTCCCTCCACTTTGATTGCGTGCAAGTTTCCGAGAGATGGAAAATGTTGGTAAAGGTGCCTCCACTTGCGGACCTTGGCTGTCTTTCATAGTGACATCCTTGGAAGGATAGCCTTCCTCAAGATAGAGGAAGATGTTTCCCGTGACAACCCAGTATGAACCCACAGTATTCGCAAATGTAGCTTTTCCATCGGCCGAAACATTGAGACCAGTCACCCGGATCTCAAATGAATGCAATTCACCATCTTGTAGCATGGGAAGAAAGGGAGAAATATCGATCTCTGGCTGACGGAGATCAAATGTATCAATGCCAACAATTGGGCGCCAGTACCCTGGAGCCACGCCTCCCGTGAAGATGATAGGGAATGGCCAGACTAGCCCGGCAAGGATGCCGTCGATATAGAGCTGAACTTCTCGGAACGGAGTGTAGCCATAAAGTCCACCGACGGTGCTTTCAAAGCCTTGAGTGTCCTCATTGGGAACATTGGACCACCAAAATTCTTCCTCTGATTGCCCGCATGCTGAGATGGACACAACGGCGCGCATTGCAGCAGCCGGGATCTCGACCATAACAGTTGTATTATCTGTTGGGACCGAAAAAGAGCTTGCGGAGTTGGACACAGACCTTTTGGAAGATATGGGCAGGATGATATCCGCAGTCCTCGCAGCTTGTCTGTAGGAGAAATGTGCTGTCAAGGTCACATAGAATGAACCGGTGTAAATGTCATTGATTATGTTGCCCAAATCAAAGATCAGCTTTTGGGGAGCTTGCCAGAGCGAATTGTATTGTGACATTTCCTTGATATAAGTCCAGACAATTCCGTTTGTTGTCGGCTCTGCTGTTGAAGTCCGGAACACTTCATTGTCCCCAAGATACATCAATGCCAGTCGGTCATACTGCCTCCCCCGGGCAGTGACCTTAAGTTTGATCCGGACAGTGTCGAAAACGCACCTGGGGGGCTTGTAGTCGCCTTGTTGATCGCAAGTTTAGCTTGATCCAGATAGAAAGAAGAACCAGGGCTTTCTTACCCACGAACGGCGATCCGTAGCTTGCCCCAAAAATATGATCCATAAGCAATAGCTCGACATCGCAGCTGTTGTCCCCACTGGGGTCGAATAATACTGGCTGATAGACCTGAAAGGATTCTTGCAAGCTTGTCGAGCTAGGTGTCTGGGACGAAGACTGAAGCAAAGACTGTGAATTGGGATTCGATGAAGCAACCAATGCGAGATTTCCCCATAGCAGTAATCCACGAAGAGCAGTTAAAACCATTGTAACAGACAGTCTCGGAATTGGCTTGATTGCTGTAGGTCACCAGAGCTAGCGGGGAACATGCAATACTTGTGATAATTGAATTCTTCCAAGGACTCCAATATTGAATTGACTTAAGCCCACTTGAAATGCGATTCAGATAACGGGAAGAAGAATTGACAGGGAAGTACAATACTTATGTCGGCAGTTGCGAGAGAAAGAAATTTGATGCAGACTGGGAGCTAACTGGCCCTGAAGATAAGAGAGAGGGGAACCCGGAAAGGTGCATCGCACTAATCTCCTACTCCTCTAGTCCATTTTGAGAGGTTATTCAGCCTTTGCACCAAGAGCGCAGAGTCAGTCAAGTATCCAATGGTCGTCCACTGATAACCAAGCAAATCTTGGTTTTGTCTAACCCATGATTTGACCAGACGAGTAGAGAGTAAGCGTACAAAACAAAAAAAAAAAAAGTCGGAGATCCAAGTCTCATATCAAGCAAAATTCACTCCATATCCATGCACGGGTTCTTTATCCCATAATTTCACATAAACAGGCGCCAGGCACCAAGAATCAAAGCGGCGGTACCGGTACAGACACCCCTGGAGAGAAAACAAAGTCAGTATATATTGATGCAAGAGGATGATTTGGGTATCATACATGAGCCACTGTAATGTTGAGAACTTGACAGCCTCCACCCGTTCTCTCAAGCCTGCAACTTCCTGCTCAATACGTGTTTCGGTTTCCTTGATTCGCATTTCCTGGCCATTCGCTTCCTCGCGAATTCGACCCTTTTCAAGATTCAAATCCAACCGGACAGAAGCTTGTGTTCGGCCGATCTCATCGCGGAGTCGGGAGTTGAGTTTGGCAAGGTCTGCTGCAATTTTCTCGTGCGATGAGCGAGTCAACTGCGCCTCGGTAGAGTCTGCATTGAGCAGCTCAGAGCGTAGTTTAGCAAAGTCCACTTTCTGTGTGTATGTTGACCTCTCCGAGTCTAGTAGAGCGCTTGTGTTAGATACCTAAGGAATACCAAGCGCATTGCCCAAGCGCAATGCGCCAACTCAGTAGCAAGCACATACCTTCTCGGAGAACCATAGTTCTGGTCAAGTTCTGGATAGACTCTTGAATGATATCGTTCAGCACCCGCATCATAGCTACGGACTGCTCCTCGCTGAAGCCTTCGGCCTGGAGGCGCTTCACGAACTTTAGTGTGTCGAAGTGGTGTTCACGAGGTCGAGCCGGTGTTGCATGAAAGGCGCGCCGAGCTGGATTGAAGGTTGCCACATAGACACCATTATGACGGATAGGATTGCTTGGGGGAGTTGAAGATGGTGCCGTTGACAGGGAAGGTCGTCGGGAAAGGAGAGAGCTGGAGGAAATTGCCAGGGTAGATGACGAGATGAAGCGGGATGACTGATAGGTATGGCTGAGAGAATGGGTGTGTCGGTTCAGGGGACTCCAGCCTCGAAGGAGTGGTCTTTGACTTGGGAGTGCGGGATGGTGGGTGATGGTTATGGAAGGGCGCGACGAGGCACTGTTCCAGGTCAGGCGGGGAAGGAGAGTGCGCGGGACCTCGGCGACATGTTTTTGGGACGCCATGTCAAGGACAGCGGGCAGTAGATTACTTCTAGATTTGATGCTGAAACCTGAAGCTGGGAAAGATCCCGATCGAGACCTCGGGAAATGGATGACTAAAGCGCGGAAAGATCGACGTTTCCCGACGGCTCCACGAATTGCCCGCATTCTACTGTGTTGACAGTTCAAAGTGAAGAATTAAGGATCAATTTGATCTAAGTTATCTTTTAATATGTCTCAATGGAGATCAAACTTGCATGCAAACGCTATCACAAATCCATGCCCGTGGGTATTGCACCAACCTCAGATTTACAGGTTAAACAGCTTCTTGAGCTGGTTCATAGTGTCCTCAGGGCCATCGACAGAATGTCCAATGGTGCGGGAGTCTTCATAAATCTCATAGTCGTTACCTCCAACAAAGGTCTTGTCACCGAAGAAGTGGATGATACTGTATTCGATGCCCGAGATGCCCTTCTCCGCCTCGATGTGCTGCAGGCAGTAGGTCTTGTCCCAACCAGTGGGGAAGACATCGAAGGAGATTTGGCCACCGATAGAGTATCTGTAAGTTTTGTGTTAGCAGGGTCATGGAAGTGACTTGCTCATAAAGCACTCACGTAAGACCGTAGTCAGGGAACTCCTTCTTCAGGGCCTCGACAAGGCTCTTTCGGACATTGTGGATCTTGTCATAACTATAAAGCTAGTTAGTCATGATGTCCTAAGTCCATATATCGTTATATCGTACGCTTCGAACTCGTTGCGCTCATCGTGACTGGCAGCACGTCCAACGGGGCTAATGTTGACCATTCCGTTGCGGAACTCAATGAAGGTACCGCGCTTACGGGGAAGCTTGGTGTTGGCAATGAACTTGAGAACAAAGTCCACCAGGGCCTGGTACTTGTCCTCTCCAAGCCATTGAATAAAGTTGTTGCTGGCAAGCGACTGGCCCAGACGGAATGCGGTCAAACCGTTCTCGGAGAAGCAGAAATCGAACAGAGTGGTGACATCGATCGAAGAAGTTCCGAGTTGCTCTTGCTGCTTCACAAGGTTCGAGCCGCCAACCTGCATCGCGTTAGAAAATGAGTATGTGTATTGCTTGGGTGGGTACAAACAAATCCAATGGCGCACTTATGACGCAATCGCGAGAGAAGCTCAAGCATCTCTGGAGAAGCATGCTGCAATCACCATATGTCAGTCAAATGAGTTCAAGACAACGCTTCCTACAACATACACGTCTTGCGGGGGTGAGAGTCTCGTCGACATCAAACAGAACAACTGTGTTCTTGATGGGACGGTTCTCCAATGAAGGATAGACACTGGCAGCTTCGGTCATTTTGAATAATTTGCAAAAATTTTGGATCTCCGGGGAATAAATTAAGAGGGGAAATTCCAGACTCGGGGATAAATATAGAGGGGCGCTTTTTGACCGCAAGCGGTGAGCCAGGGCGGAAGCTTAGCGCGTCCAGAATCAGAGAGAATGCCACCTGGTCTCAGGAGTTGAGTGATTGACTTGATTATATTTTGTATAGATGAAATTATATTGTTACTACATCTACCTAGTCAGCGATGCGTGGTTGATGATCCGAGCCTACTCCGTACCTGATTGTTATCGATAAGATAGTATGAGGGGTATCAAGTGTATACTACTCTATACCATGTGTGTTATTCTACCTAAATTGTACTACCTATATACAAATTCCTATTCCACCCCATACTATTCCAACTCCTAAACGCCTAAGCCAATAAGCAAAAGGCACAGGCTCAGCGTCCCATTGTGGACTGGAACATCTTGGCTGCCAGTTCGCTCAAGAGCCGCGTTCGATCTGGCTGTGGAAGGTCCAAGAAAACTTCATAGACACTTTTGCCCTTGGCGTCACGGACAGCACCTAGTCTATTTCCAGCAACAGCACCAGCTAGCGCTCCCGGGACATTTCCCACGATGAAACCCAAAGCACCTCCACTGACACCCCCGACTAGTGCCCAAAATCGGCCGGTTGGGCGAGTTCGCCTGCCGCCCTCTCCATCATTTTCCTCGGCCAGACCTTCTTCGCGCAGCATCTCTTCGAAAACGGACCCAAATTGGTTGCTGTCACGGTCATCGCGATTGCCGCTAAATCCAAAGTTGGACCAAGAGAACCCACTGCCGCCACTAGGTGGCACCTCCTCTTCCGCTTCCTGGTCTGCTGCTTCGTATGCGCGAGCAGCGTCGTACTCTCGGCGACGTGCAGGGTCAGATAGAGTATAGTAGGCGTCGTTGATATCCTGAAACTTTCGTGTCCTTGCAGGTCTCTCTGGGGAGTCGGCCGGGACTCGATCAGGGTGGGATTTCAATGATTCCCTGCACACTTTTTAGACAGTCACTGCTAATACTGATTTAATGCACTAACCTCTTGTATGCGCTGCGGATCTGTGATTGCGTGGCATCCTGAGAGATTCCTAAAATCTTGTCTGTAGTCTATGTTAGGTGGAGTCGTCGTAAGGTACTGAGGGGCATACAGTAATCGGGGCCTATTCAAGAGTCAGTATAAGTAATCAAATAGTGGGGTATGATCAACGCACTCGACATGGTCCAGACTGTGAAGATATGAAGAAAGAGAAGTAATACAGAATCTACAAGGCAGAGTGGAATGCCACATCACATGGAGTGACGTCGCTCACGCCTGAGGCAACAATTCCAGGTTCCCATGGTTCACTTTAATTGTAGACAAGTGTATTTTATATAGTCAGATATATACTTGAATTCATCCCGAGATGAAATTGCCAAATGGACTACATGTACTCCAAATGGAGGGGCCAGTCTCAGACATGCAGTGTCTAAGGCAAAACGGGGTTCAGGACTAAGTTCAGCTTGCGACACCCCAGCCACCTTATTCCGCACAGGGGTAATTACTCTCTAACTCCTGAGATTCCTGACTTTGATTCGTTCGAATGAAACCTACTGTGTTTCTTTCTCTCTCTTCCCCTGAGATTGCAACTGCCAGCTGTCACAGAAGAGGACTCCATACCTGCACAGCACATCTGTGGTGGAGCAGATGCACACAGCGGCCTAGACCACACACATTGCGCATCGCTGCAGCTCTTAGTGGCTGACTTGCATCGGTCTCTTTTTGCTCTTTTGAGTTGCCACACAGAAGGGCAAAAAAACCCAGTCTCAAAAGGAGCCATCTGGGAATTCCTTGCGCAATCGCATCTCCAAGAATCTTCAACTGTGTACCAACCCGCAATTGCCTAGGACAACCTCAATCCAGGACACTCAATTCCCACACAGTGCTGTACCAGTAAGCAGCTTCACAAAATCAACACCATGGGTTGGTTCGATGGTCGATCATCTGTGTCGTCGGCGGGCTATGTGCGCCGTCGGTCGCCGACACGCCCCAAGTCAGGCTACTCAACTCATCATTCGCGACACTCTGCGCCATCCTTCTTCGGTGGTCTGGGTGGAGGTCGAACAGGAGGACGCTCAAGCCCATCGGTCTTCTCATCTTTCTCGTCATCTTCGTCGCGACGAGCCCGGCCTCGGGAGGGATTCGTCCAGCGCATGATTCGCGATATCAAGCGCCTGTTCCGTGATATTGCTCGCTATGCCCGTCGTAACCCCATGAAGGTCTTCATGATGGTCATCCTGCCTCTTCTGACTAGCGGTGTTCTGCCCAAACTGCTGGCTATGATCGGAATTCGCTTGCCCCATGCAGTCATTAGTGCACTAGGCGGCAGTGCGGCGCATTCTTCCCGCGGACTCGAGGAGGGCGCTGGCAGAGGTATTGGGGAGAACATCAGTAGCCTCATGAACATTGCTAAGATGTTTGCTTAAACATGCACAGCCGGGCTAGTTATTCAGTCCATTCCACGATTTGCGATACTCCCTTAACGATCATGATGATACACCATTGTCTCTTTTTGCACTTGATTCCTCTGAAATTGCGTTATTTTTCACATTCTTTCTGCGTTCTTGTCATGTACTGGGAGGCTCGTCTGGATTCGATAGAATCATTATCTTGAAAAGCTTTTGTTATCGACAATGAAACTATTCAAATCCCCACTCAGACGAACCATGGGGGCCTCCTCATTATCTAAGTCAAGAATTGGTACCCAAGTGGGTATGCCCCGTTGGACAGCTATACACCACACTAGAGGTGTGTCTGCATCTCACTGGCAGGATATGATTTGGCCACTGCGTAGACCCGCCGCTGAACAGATCTTCCGATGTGGCTGGCAAATCGTAAATGTCACATATCACAAGGATTACGGAGCATATTACCATTACTTATGGCTCTTGGTCAACTCGTGTCATTTTGCTCTACAAAGTGAACTTTTCGGTCTTCTTCTTCTTTTTCTTCAAGTATGTGTACAGTTAAATTCCCATGGTATTGCCTATCCGACAACTCTATAGCCAACTTTTGTGATCAGAGAAAGCAATGACCAACGCCCAAGATGTTTGATACGATTGAGTATGCACCCTTTTAAGCAAGTCTATGATCGCTGGGAGCGCTTGGAACGCTTGCGAGAAGACCGGGTCGAAGTAGCAGTGGTCTCACTAGCTTCCTCGACTGGCTCATCGATATCCTCAAACTCTTCCTCCTCAGCGGGAGAGATGCCCAACACCCGGCCAACAGTCCGGTTGAAACACCAGATGGGAAGCTTGCACAGCATCGTTTCACGGATGGTAGGGCGCTCGATCTGATCAATGTCAAGCAGGAACTCCTGACGTTCACCATCCTCGTTCTGCTCTTCCAAGAACACATTGCCAATGGAGTCGACAATCAAAACCTTGCCATTCTCAGCAACAACGCGCTTGCGCTCGCCAGTGCTGCTAGTGATCTCGGTAGGTGTGGATGTTCCAGAGGCACGAGCGCTACCACGACCTCCTCCCTTTTTGTCCTTCTTGTTCTCCTTGTCCATCATTCGCTTCTGGCGGCGGTTCACGGCCACGGCTCCGGCTTCAGACTCGGAGGCAGAAGCAGGAGCAGCAGCAGCAGCAGCCGAGTCGATTCCAGGGATACCACGGACACCAGTCTCGTCTCCCCAGGCAGCTCTGCGGGCCTGACGAATGTAGCGATCCACAAACTCACGCTGCCTCTTCCAACCAAGGATCAAAGCAGCGTAGTGTGCACCACCGCCGAAGACCAGGAACAAACCAGCCAACACGGAGCCCAGACCAGGACGGAAGCGGGAGTAGTAGTATCCTGTCCCCTTCCACAGGGGGAAACCATGGCGGAGGAAGTGATCGTAGCGTTCACGGCCTGGACCACGCAGAACGTTGGCAACCAGGTTCAGACGGGTAGAGCGAGCATCGGCATCCTTGACAGCAGCCGCGATCTCACGCTGAGAAGGACCCTTATTGACATTGACACCCTGCTTCGACTTGGCCTTGGACTTGTCCTTGGAGTAGTTGGCGACAAAGGCGCGCTTCACTTTGTCGGGGTGGAGGATTCTCGACTTCTTGCGGTAAGCCTTGGTGATCTGTTCCTGATTGGCATTGGGGCGGATCTCAAGGAAATCTGCAGGATGATGGAAGTCAGATGTTTATCCCTGAGGCGCAAAAAAAAAAAAAAAAAGAACAATGATAGAGCAAAAACCTGCAATGGCAAGGATCTAGGGTATCTTCACGCACCATAGAAGGTCACATTGGCACCTTCATTTGAGGCCACATCATCGCGTAGACCAAAGATCTCATAGTCTGTGAAATACTATCAGCATGGAGCTTTCAGGGTCAGGGTAAACAATCCCCACCTTCCTTGGACCAGGCGGCGACCAGACTAAAGCATATAAAGAGAGACAGTAATAGGAACTTCATGATGGCGGTCAATGCCGCAAAGCCGAACAGATGCGTGTGGACGAATAGGCAAAGGAGTTGGACATGTATTCGAGGGAAAAAGCGGTCGGGCTTCGATCCACCAACGTGGCCCAATCGAGACCTCGACTTACAGCTGCATTACTAGTGATTTGTTACAAGTAGACACGTATATATAGGAGTCTGTAGCCTTTTCTATCTCACAGATCCTTGGTTCTTCTGGTTTGGTCACGGTCTCGCAGGTCTCGCAGGTCTCGCATCCGGAGTGGGAACTTCCGCTCCCAGTGAGGCCTGAAAAGGAACCACTTTCTATTCTTAGAGACATTTCGTCTACCTAATTTCACGCTTGTCCTTTTGTCCTCATCTTGACACCTTTCACCTTTCAGGGCTGACAGATCGGCCGTTCTGTGACTGACTAAACTCGAAAGGGGCAAGGTAAAAAAAAAGTGACTGCCTCAAAACATCTCTCTTCCTTCTTATCTGGCCAACTCTCGTTTCTCCACCTCACCTTTACCTTCAGCCTCTTTCATCTTTCATCTTTCAGCTCTCAGCTTTTTTCCTCTATCTTCAATATGGTCTCCATCCCGATTGACGCGATCACTTCGCGATTTGGCGATCGCTTCAACAACATCCGCAGCACCTCCCTGACCACGCGCTTCGCCAACCTCAAGCCAGTCTCCGAATTCCTCGACATCAAGCGCCTGTCCAAGCCCGCCAACTTCGGTGAGGTCCAGAGTCGCGTCAACTACAACTTGTCCTACTTCTCCAGCAATTATGCCGTCGTCTTCGTCATGCTCAGCATCTACAGCTTGTTGACCAACCCTCTCCTGCTGTTTGTCATCATCTTCATGACCGGAGGTTTCTACGGAATTGGCAAGCTTGAAGGTCGCGACCTGGATCTGGGCTTCCAGCGCTTCAACACCTCCCAGCTCTACACCGGAATGCTCATTGTCGGCGTTCCCCTGGGTATCTGGGCCTCGCCCTTGTCCACTGTCCTGTGGCTGATCGGCGCAACCGGTGTGACCGTCTTCGGCCACGCGGCCCTACTGGATAAGCCGATTGAGAATGCTTTTTCCGAGGAGGCGGTCTAGGTGGTCGACCGCGAGCTCCTTACGATATGCCCTCATGGGGAAGACCACCGGGGGCACGAACGGGGAGACACAACCGGGGACGCGCGTGGGACGAGGCGCGAGTGGAGGAGGTGGACAGCGAAGAGGATGCTTATGGACGGGAAATGGTGCGAAGTGGGCGCTACATGCGACAACTGGAGTATGGGGGGCGAGGGCCGCGGAGGCGGTCGGACTACGGTGACTTGACGGATGATGAATTGGTGGATGGGGGTGACTTCGACTTATACGACCACGAGGATAGCACAGTGGCCTATGCGGTTCAACTGGCTATGCGGGACAAGGAGGATCAGTTGGTGGACAAGGCGCTGGAGCGAATTCGTCGGGCCCAAATGTTAGGACAGAAGAATGTCCGGCTATCGAACCGCGAGCTGGATGCCCTGGAGAGAAAGCGTCAACAGATGGACGGCCCAAACGGATCGCGGCGTCCAAAGCAGTCTACTAATTCCGCCAGTTCCGTGTCCCGTCCATCATCTCGACGAAGCGCCGCACCAGAGCCACATCCGGGATCGTATCCGGCATTTGCCCCTGAGACCAATGGATGGGCTCGTGGCCCAGGTGCTTCGCGACCTTCCAGTTCCTCGTCTGCGCGTCCGCGGACCCCGACAACCCAATCACTTCGTCCGCAACAGTCCGGCTCGCCTCTTCGACCTACCTACTCGTCTTATACCCCTGAACGTTTTGCTTCGAATGGCCGGTCGCAGTCCCTGCAGTCATCGCCAATGTACCAGCGGCCTCTACCAGATGATCCCCAATGGGCGCCATCGTATTACAACCAAATGCAGATGACGCCATACGGAGAAGCACCCTACCAGCCGCAACTCCCCACCGAACTTAGAGTTGGACCCCAGAGTCGTATGAGTTACCCTTCGGGCTCGGGCTCATCATACCAAGCCTATCAATCCCCCCGGGATACACGCACTCAACCCAGGGGTGAAAAGGCAGAATCCGAGTCTGAGATATCCAGCGAAGAGGAATCGGAGAGCAGTGACGACGAAGTGCAGATCGTCAAGGTCCAAGAGCGGCCGGCCCCGCCAACTGTGAAGCGGACGGCTGTTTCTGGAGCAAGTCGAGTTGCTCGTAAGCGGATTAATCGATGATGGAAATGTCTCTCGCGGTTGCCCTGATATACGCATAAAATTATTTCGGTGTTTGTTTGCCGGGAGATCCCCGAGTGGCGTCGGTAGAAATAGAATGCATATAATGCTACAACCATGGCTGCAGATTATCATCCATAGGTATAGACCGGCTATGGCGGAAGTGTAAGCCCCTAAATGCGCCAAGGCGTTCAGCCACCCGAATTATAGGCAGATCATCGTGGCAGGACAAATAGGCATTCGAGTTTTCTTTTCATGTCTGAAGACCTATATTTTGCGCTGTGGGTCCTTTACGACGGTTTTATTGCGACGCTGCCTTGGCAGCTGATGACGTCGGTCTACCTCATATAACTCATTTTTCCCCCAGTCATTTCATCTTCATCTTCTCAATAAGCGGTTGACTTCTCCGATTCTTTGCAGGAGATATTCGCCCCTGGCGCATGATAATTCCTCTGGTCTCTCGATATCCCTTGCCATCCCGCCACTGTATTTACCGGCTCTCGACTCCAGAGAGCGCCAATCATTGCTACCCTGGAATGCTGTATACCAGCCCGAAACATTGTAAATAAAAGCGAAATAGGTGAGTTGCACACATCGGCTCCACAGGATCTTGCAGAAACAGTCGCGTGGAGAACTTGCGACTAACGAGAATCTGCAGATCCTATTGTACTTCCTATTCGACCTCGAGTCGCATTCTCTTATTGAACCGGGCCTTCCGACGCGTGGAACCACCCGAGTCCAAGATTTCCCTCGCTTTATTGCATTCGTGTCAAAGCCAAGAATTTCCCAAAGATGTGGCTCGTATCATTCTGGTTATTCCCGCTAGTCTCAGCATGCATGTGGGTTGGTAAGTCAAGCTTGGATAGATGTTTCAGTCTGAACTGCAGCTAACATTGTACTCCAAGCGATGCTGATTGCTATGCTTGTCACCTGGGTCGTGGTGGGCAGGCCACACTATGCTAGCATGGAAACTGGACAGAACATTGCGTATGTCGCCTTTTCAAACCCCACCGAGGCACAAGCTAACAGGATTGCTGCAGGTACATCTCGGATGTCGGAGCGCAGGGCCTGAAGCCACTCTTCATTGCAGGAAGTGTGGTCACAGTTGTGTTCTTCGATTTGGGAATCATTTCGGAGCGATGGCTTCGACACGCCGGCCAACTGGTCCCGAACAAGGGTAAATTCGACAAGGGTTGCGCTGGTGCCTCGATCTTCTTCGCTGTTGCCGGTGCCGCCGGTCTCATCCTGCTTTCATGTTTCGACACACTGCGCCACCCAAAGCTCCACGATGGGTTCCTCGCCTTGTTCATGTGAGTCGTCAATATCAATAAGCAGCAACAACTTACTAACGCTTTCTGTTTAGCGTTGGATACGTGATCAGTGCGATCCTCATCTGTATCGAGTACCTCCGCATCGGAATCTTCTACCGCCACGAGCACCGCATCCTGCTAGTCAGCTTCTTCATCAAGGTCGCCTTTATCATCATCGAGGTTGGACTTGCCATTGGCTTCGGTGTTTGCATGGGCAGCAATGACATAGCCAAGAAAGACCCCGGTGCGGTTTTAGAATGGGTGATTGCCTTTGTCTTCACCGGTTACGTTCTCTCCTTCTTGATCGATCTCCTGCCTTCTGTTCGAACCCGCCACCACTTGCCCCAGGGCCACAAGCACGTGGAGATGGCCCAGGCAGGATACAATGGAAACTCTGAGGGCGTTTCCATTGAAGAGCCCCTGACCCACGACTCCATGGGCCCGAACTCAGGCTTCTATCGTGGCCAGCGTGTTTGAGAATTTCTTTTCCTTCAAGATTACATATTACATTGCTTGCTTATATTTCCCATGTGTAATTATATGATGTGGACGATTTTTGATACACCTATGTTTTTGTTTTTGTTTTTGTTTTCTTTCGGTTTTCGTTGATACACATCTTCTGTCTGGTGTTTGGGATATACTGCTACAATTTTGCCACGGCTTTAAAGTTTTTAAATCATACAACTTTTCACTTCCTCAGCAATACTTGTCATTGCCGTAGGATCAAGAACCCGAAACACAAATCAAAATGATAAAATAGGAGTGACAAACTTGTATACAGTGCCATGAAGTATAGGACAGTCTGCACGAAAGCTTCAGCTGTGAGTGCACCGTTTCATTCATTGTTTTCATCCATCTTATATTCAGCTCTGCAGACCAATTCTAGTCTCTTCCTCGTGTGATCGTCAATTTGCTGTTAGTATTAAGCTCATCAAGTCTCATTCTTTGCTATGTCAATGCTTCCAATTCCACAGTATGCCAGGGTAATTAACGTATTTACAATTCCCATATCGAAATACAGAGAGACAAGAATGTACAAATCTCTCGAGAAAGAAAAACGAACCAAAAAGACCATCTCAAGCCAACAACTTCCGCCGAATGCAGTCCTGCATCTCAGAGTCGATCCCAATCCTCTCCAGATACCCCTCGACACCACCATATCGCTCTTTCAGATATTCAGTGGTATCAGTAACAAAGCCGGGAGGACAACGCGTATAGTCTTCTCCAAGCCCAAGCGCCCGAATCTCCTTCATGCGCTCCTCAAATTCAGGAACAAGCTCCAGCTCAGACCGAATATAATCATCCACAACAGCATCCGTTGGTACGGCCTCACCAGCAAGAAGTAGCATCAGCAGAATCACCAGTCCCGTCCGATCTTTTCCTTGCGTGCAATGCACTAGCGTAGGATAGCTCTCTTCCCGAGCAAGTATCTCAAAGACTGTGCGCATCTCTGTCATACTCGAGTCCAGAGTATCTTGCGCTAGACCTGTTAACCCGCGCGGCTGCATGGCTTGTCCACATACTAGACGGACTGCATCATTGCGGTAGCCTGTTGTTACGAGGCCGATCGCTTTCCTGCAGAGGTTCATCAGTATATGCATTCAATTCTGATTCCTCTTCCATCTCAACTTCCATATATGACATCATATGCAAAAAAAGTTGACAAGCAGGGAAACATACAGGTAAGTCATCCAGTCCAATTTCCATAGTAACGCGCGCTCGAACCCCTTGCCCGTCAGACTGATCAAGACACGTTCAGAGCCGGGAATTTGAAGCAGGTGCTCGTCAGGATTTGAAGGGACAGGAGCATCAGTCAGGTCGATCTCAGACGAGTTGGCATTCTCGCTGCGACGTTTCCGCGTCCCCATTTGGTGTTCTGTTCTGTATTGGGTTAGTTCGAGTTCATTCTGCTTCTGTTTCATTTTCTCTGGGAAAACATACGATGAGCGAAGATCAATGACGGTGTGAATGTGTAGTCCCTCGGCTAGACGCCGTTTATCTCGTTCTGACGCATCGTCAAGCTATAACATCGTCAGTGAGATTGTGTACAACGCGTACGTCTCAGAGAGCGGGGTCACTTACCCTTGCGCTGCGAAAGAAGACGCCTTCCTTGAGAATTCTGGATGATGATCAGTGAGGAGTTGAACGCGTATAGAGACAAGACATGACTTACTCTTTGCGACAGAATTGATTTACCGATCGGCCAACATCGCGAAAGTTGATGATGTTGTCAAAGGGCCGATCGGGCGAGTCTAGATCCACACTTGATTGACGAGCCATAGTGAAATTAGAAATTAAAAGAAGTAGAACATATAGACATAGAGATAGAAGTCAGAATACAAGTTGGTCCGTGGAAAGATGGAGTTGATAAAAGATGTGGAGTAAATGGCGGTGGACGTTGGGCAGCATCGCCTTGGTCGCCTGGACAATGGACTCGCGTTTCCCTTTTTCTTGTGATTTCAAGTTTCTGGAGTATTGTAATTCGGTTCAATTGGAATTGAGGATATTATTGCATCTATGTTGGTGAAGAAGCAAGTTATGTATATACATATATAAATCCGGTATGAACCGTAGACGTTGACAGGAACATGAACTACTCCCGAGAACAAGTGCAATGTACCTTTGCATATCAACACCCAACTACACATATGCAGCTCTACTCTTCCACTGTGGCTGCAAGTACGACCAATCGTGATTGAAGTTGAAGCCAGTCTGATAAGCACCGTATGCAACTAGCTCCACCTGACTTAAGCTCGCGCCTTGATCGGTCAGCGCCCACAGGCTGATCGCCAATGTGTTCTCTCCACGATTGTTGATCACTCCCGGCGGAAATGGGAACTTTGTCTGTGGACCAATGTGCGGCAGATAATGGCCAAACTGGTATCCATTCATGAAGATCTGGACCACCGCAGGCGTATCGGATGCAGCTAGCTGGAGACCAATTGGAACATCCAGGTCGGAGTCAAGGTTCAGCTTGAAGGTCGTTGTGTAGAATCGGCCTTCGGCTCCCGACACCCCGTCAAGGGGACTGGAGGATGTTGCAGCTTTGGACGCCTTATACCCTGGAAGATGCCAGCCCATGCGCTCTCCATAGAGACCTCCTTCGTTCAGGGGTCCGCGAACAGGATCAATATTGGCTTCGCCTCCTGCGTTGCCTTGGATGCGCCAGGAAGTGAAGTTGGAGCCAGTGAGTGTGGCACCCAGGATACCACGAGGGTTCTGTGCGCCATTCGGCTTCACATTAGCTTCATCATGGCCGGTATAATCGGCGACGATAGTCAAAACGTTGTCAGTTTCACCAAGGATAGCCTTGCTGAAATCGAGCTCGTCTGATGTTGCTGCTAGTGCAGGATCACCAACAGCTCCTCCGACGTAGGCTCCGTTCAGCCAGGCGACCCAGCCAGCAGCGACACCATTTTGAACAGTGATATTGGCGCTTGTTGCAGTGGTGCCATCAAACCGACCGCGGTAGATCTTCGATCCAGCATGATAGCCATAGTCCCCAGAGTAGAGTACAGGGAGTGTGAGAGGAGCCACAGAGTTGACCGAGCTCGTCTTGTTGCATACTGTCCAACGAGAATCATCATAGTCTGCCTTGATTTCTGGGAGGGTATCTTGCGCCTTCCATGACTTCAAGGTTGGCAATGAGATTTTGGCATCTTCGGCTCCTGGAGCCAAACCGATCAAACTACCATACTTTGTCTTGGTGGTCGACACTGTCTTGCCATTCCACTTGATCTTGGTAACCTTTGAATCCCCAGTGTACACCCTACTGTTATCAGCAAGGTTTCCTATCACAACAAGCATAGTAACTTACTCGATAGATGTCTTGTTAGCATTATCACCAACAAGGCTGACCGTGTTTCCGCTAACAGAGGCGGTGCGAACCAGATAAGGCCCAAGAGCAAGAATTTGCTCACTAGGAGACACCGATGGATCAGAAGTGGTAGGAACGGCGAAGAAATTCCATGCCGTCTCTTTGTCAAGCAGATAGACAAGCACCCCATTCGAGAATTCGAGCACGGTAGTGCCATCGCCTTGGGTATAGGAGTATTGAGTCCCGTGGTCTGAAGCAGTAGAGCTCACGTTTGAATTTCCGTATGTCTGGAAAGTGAGGGCCGGGGTATCTTTGAAAACGAAGATTCCTTTCTGTCCGATGTTCAAGTAGAAGACAATTACATCCACGTCGAGAGTGGCGTAGGTCAATACTTCAGCCGATGAGTAGAGAAGACTCGAGACCTTGCCAATCTGGTAGTCGGTGACTATGATCTTGCTTTGACGGCCAGCCAGCTCAATATCTGGAATAGTGATAGCATCTGTGGCATGACAGTTAGCGTAGATCCTTGATTTGAACTTGTATACATACCGGCCGAGGTGTTGACATTCAACGAAAAGGTAGTCACATCACGGGACGAACTGGTAGCATGTGCGAGAACATAGAAGCCAGCTTCGGATTCCGGATTCCGCAAAGCCCAAGTATAGATACTTGCGTCACTGGTATATCCCGTTCCGTTTCCTTCCATCTGGGTCTGAAGAAGACCAGAAGAAACACGAGTAAACAAGCCCAACAACTTAGTCTGCTTGAGCTTGTCACGGACCTCACGAGTCTCTCGCAAAGGAGCAGAATAGTCATAGGAAGTATAGACAACAGGAGCAGCGCTGTGACCCCAGCTAGTGCCACCAAATATCATATATAGGTTCTGCAAGGTAACCCTGGAACCGACGTTATTCTTGTAGTAAACATCCGCAAACTCAGGCGAAAGCTCCGCAGCACACGTATCGTAGAAAGACCCTGAGCCCCACGCTGAGAACCAGCCACCCTCAAACTCGGGGAGGTAGCTAGGTTGGGTGTAGCTGTAGTTGGAAAACCATTGCGCATAGGTACGGACGAGATTAAATCCCGTGTTAGGATTGGTGCAAGACAAGCCACCGGGATAAGAGTCCAAACCATAGACATTGACAGCACCACCAACATCCTCGTAATCAGTGGACCAACTCATAGAGCGCATTCCCTTCTCATTATGCGAGCTCGGAACGACAATACCAGCATCATCAAAAGCAGCAGCAATCTGCTCCATGTATTTGACAAGGGTGTTGTCAGCACTATGGGTAGTCTCTTGCAGCTCATTTTCATGTTGGTTGAGAATAACTGAACCACCATTAGTGATCTGGTTTGCCGCGATGATCTTGCCGACCTCCTGAATCCAGGGATACCATGACTTATGGTAAGCCGAGTCACTGGTGCGCGCACTACCCATCTGGCCATTAGAAGCCCACAGCGCGAAACCACCAGCAGAGGTCTCGGCATTGACATAAGGACCGGCTCTTGCGATCACATACAGACCAGCCTGTTTGGCATAGTCGAAGACGCGCTGGATATCGTGAGCACCGGTTTCAAAGTCAAAGGTATCCTTTGAAGCAGAGTGGTAGGACCAGAAGAAGTAGACTAGAAATGGAGATTAGCCAATGATAATTCCATGAAGACTTCATATTCAAACCACTTACTTGACACCGCATTAAACCCATTCGAGCGTAGCTTCTGAAACACATCGAGCCATAGCTCCGGCACGGGGAGTCGCTGGTAATGAAATTCGCCGGAGAAGACAAATACTCTTTCCCCGTTAACGGAGAGACTATATTGATCCCAAGTCACATCGGTAGTCTTGCCGTTGTCTGTCGCAGAGACGAAATGGCTGGATGAGAGTCCGAGGACGAGGAGGAGAAGCGCGAGGATACGCATTTTGGGCGCTCAGTAAAAGCCCCTCCATACTTGAGTATCGTTGAGTATTTAATATTAACAAATAACTCGGTGTTCGTGGTAGCAATACTCCGTGCAGCTGGGATTGGTGGATGTTTAGAGATGAAATGTCTACTTTGGGTAATTTTCCAGGCACCTAACGATGCGGGGAACGTCACATCATATATAACCAGAGCATCTCGTTTAAGACCGCAAGTTACGGCTTTTCCTTTCCATCCATTGCTTACTTACCCCTTGCAGAGTTTTGACAGGAAATTCAACATCTCTGAATTATGTAATTTTGTATAGTGACTTCCTGCATACTGTAAACGTATGCGGGGCTTATATTAAAAACGTATAGGGAGTGAGCGTTTTCTCTCAAATTGTTGGTGTATTCAGATACTTGACATTGAACCAGCATCCTTCCAAGAGAGGCATCTGGGTAAGTGCGTGAAGCCACGAACCTCGTAGGTATACTGCGGACTAACCCGTAGTAGCAGGGATAAGTCACATAACCATTCGCTTCTGAGTCCTTTCGCCTTATTCATAGACCAAGAGAGGGCAAAGAAAGAGAGAAATGAATTATATAGGAAGAGGGCATAAATACATAGCTCTTTATGACATGAGGTCTGACAACCAAGTGCAAGGGTGTACTGATTGCCCAACAACTATGAAATCCTAAAACACAAATTTGAGACCTGTTGTTTCGCTCTTCGGTCACTGTGCTCGCTGTTAACCATAGACATCTTCCAGTTTGCTCTGATGAATGACTAGCCTCTTAACCAAGATTTCCACCATCCATCTATGAGATACTTTCAGATACTTTCACACACCATCACCAAGTAGTCACATGTTCTTCAGATTATAGGTGGAAGTGGTCTTTCTGAAAAGAGTGAAAGTGAGGATGAGACGATTGCACGCACATAATTCTGGCAGCTGATGCTAGCTCTACTTTGTCTTGAGAGGTAGGATTTTGGCCAAGGCGGGACAGCCAATTTTTGTTTCGCTACTATGAAAGTAGTTTTCTTGACTTGTCAAGTATTATAACTGTAGATGTTTATCGATTCGACGACCTTTATTTGAATAGCATGAGAGATTTGGTCTTCAATATCTATGTCTGCTTCGAGCATTAGACCTAGAAACTGGGCGAAAGGCATGACCGACAAACTTACTATGTCGTTTTTGTCGAAGGTAGTTTTGTATAAGGCCCAACGAGGCGAGTATCGTTGCTGCGATCCCAAAGACAATCGAGCAGATGAGTTCTGGGTTCATAGTCTTCTGTCTGCCCTGTTATGGATCAGAATTATCGAGCAGGTTTCAAAGTCGCTGTTATATATCGATAAATGCGAGATCGCTTAGTGAAAAATATAGCAGCTTTTCCAGACAATAGTAACCAAAGTGATCCGCCAGATAAATTTTGGAGTCTGTGCATGCTGCCCCTTGAATAGTAATGTCAAAGTAGCCTGTGTTTTTGCCTGAGAACAGAAGTTGAGCCAATCCTATTGATTTCCTTTGATAAGAAACCGAGTCACAAACAATATTGAAAAAGGCTTCAGGAGGCAGATCGGGCGGCTGGTCGCGATGCACAGGCTCAGTCTGCAGGTTTGTCGATCCCGGAAGGAGGAGGAGCCAGTGCAGAACGGACTGCTCGTACACTGTTCACATGTGTCGCCCGAGCCGAGAGAAAGACAGAGGGTGCCAATGCAAGAACGGGGCAGTGTTGAAAAGTAGCCAATAGGAGGACAAGCGCCACGGCCCGGGGCGGGGCGCGGTCCTCACCGAATCGTCTGTGGCAGGATTGAGCCTGTGCAAATGTCTATGGGCGCTTACCCATGGTCTGATATCATTGGAGCCAGCGAGCCGCTGCAGTGTGGCTGTTCGGTCAGGGCTGTGAGCCTGTGCAAGCCGTCGGATATTTTATAATTTGAAAGACTACTCAGACATTTCATCTTCTCATTACGCTTTACTTCTCCACGTCTTTGCCACCTGGTACGCTGGAAAGCACGAAATCGCGCCTGCGAAGGAGCTGGCAATTTTTTGTGGGCGCAAACAACATTCAGTCATCAATCACTTCAAGAATGGGGACTCATACTGCGAGATTCAAGTGTGATTTGTGTCCGCAAGAGTACACTCAAGCATTTTCCCTGCGAAATCATTTACGTACCCATACGGATGAGCGACCATTCGTTCATACTGCGAGATTCAAGTGTCATTTGTGTCCACAAGAGTACACTCAAGCATTTTCCCTGCGAAATCATTTACGTACCCATACGGATGAGCGACTATTCGCTGATACTGCGAGATTCAAGTGTCATTTGTGTCCGCGAAAGTACACTCGATCATTCACCCTGCGAAATCATTTACGTACCCATACGGATGAGCGACCATTCGTTTGTGGAGTGTGTGGAAAGGCCTTCACTAGAAAGCATGATTGCAAGTCCCATGAACAGCTTCACAACGGCACAAGAACGTGGATTTGTCGAGGTCTACTGAAGAACGGCCAGTATTGGGGCTGCAATAAGCGTTATGGTCGCAAATCAAATCTCACGCGGCATTTTGGGAGTCATTCTGGCCGGGAATGTATCAAACTACTTCTGGCCGAGACTACAGCAAGGCTAGAGATAGGAAATCTTTCGAATCTGACCCAGCCGTCATCCCAGGCGGATGCAGAGCACACCGGAGCAAGATCTCGGAATATCATTCAATGCCCAGGGCTGCCATCAGCGCAACCTGATATTCCCTCAGCGAAACCACTCCCCTCAATAAGAGGTTCTCTAGTAAATGTGGACTGTGGTAAGTGGAATCGTGAAATCATCGTCGGACAGATGGACATGAGCTGATCATTTTTTCCAGAACAAGCTGCAGTCCCACACAAGGAACGGATCTGGCCTTAAATCTATCAACCAAGAGTCCATTACAGATCCAGCTTTTCATTGTGACGCTTGAAATTGGCCTTGCTGCATTTTGGAAGTCTTGTCGGCGTGTACCCGGACATGGTAACGGGTCACTTGCTGGAAGAGTACGTCGCTCTGCATGTTGCAGGTGTGTTGTCGCTTGCAGACGTCTTGTATCTAGTTGGTCGACGAGCTCTTCTGCTACTCGAGCGATGTGAAGTTGGCTCATGCTCCATGCTGGCCCTGAATGCGTCGACGGCAACTGTGCAGGAGCTTTTGGCAACTCAGCCACACTCTCCTTGCGCAATTGCTTTGGCTTGCGGTCACAGCAAACCAAGTCCAAGATGCTCGACTGAAGGAAATGGTGCATACGGATCGATGGGAAATTCCGTAAAAGTATTCAGATCATGCTGCGAAGATGCCAACATCGAATCTGCCACTGGTGCAGGAAGATTGGGATAACATTGTAAACTCATGGGCAGCCCATCGTTATACACGATCGAGGAGGCCGTTTCCCATATGCTGTCGTTCAAGCTAACCTGCATTGCGTTTCCATCCACACGCGTTGGAATGTCAGACATATAGAAAGGGATGCGCACAGTCTGATCTGTATCGTCACGGGGGTGAATTTGCATTTGTTGGCTACCCTCCCTCATGAGATTCACGTAGTTTGCCAGGAGCATTTGAAGACCACGTCCGATCCAATGGATGAGGTGGTAGCTGGTACACTCAGTGTCGAGGCAAAGCTTTATAACGGGCTTGACGGTATCCATGACCAGTGTAGCATCAATGCTGATATGACTTTGATACCTTTTCGAAATCTTCAACAGGAAGGAGCACGCAAATGCAATCATGGTGTGATAATAGTGTGGAATGCTAACAAAGGCGATTATAAGGTCTGCATCATTTGCTATGAGCTCTAAGACCGACTTTGCTGAGGAAATTGCGACATAAGCCAGGTCTTCGAACTCAGTAGGGAGTGGATCCGTATTGGAATCTGCTCCCAGGCCACGGAAGACATGAGAGGAGATGAGAAGTTTAGAGAAATAATGGTGGAGCATGATCGCTTTACTCGGGTAAGATCCAATAGTCAGGTGGTGTTCTGTGATCCAGCACTATTAGCAAAGAAATCCGGCAGAACTCCAGGTATAAACAAAGAAATGAAACGCTTGACAACTGTTTAAGCGTAAGATCCTTTTTGAGAGAGACTTACGAGACTTTCTCAACCATTCGAGAGCCCACTGGTCAATCCTTTGATTGAAAACAACCAACTGCGGCTTTAGGAAAGTCGGCACACGTCGCTTTAGATCTTGGCCAAAGGTCTCTGAGACAGACCTCAGTATCTGCAGCAAGGAGATTTGACTGAGAATGCGTATTTCTATGGCGGAATCTGAGCGGGCTGCAAGATATAGTGGCCACTTGCTGATGCCTTCATCCTCCCGCATGATAGATGGTCGTCCATATAGAATGGCCAGATGTTGGTCGCAGGTATACAGCAAATACCACAATCGCACACTGTCTGTTAGTCTTCTCATCTTTCGATCTTCGGTCTTTGGAGCTTCTCCCGTCTTTGAAGACTCCAGAGCCATTAAAGGTGATTTATGGAGGTCCAATTCAATGGCCCGGCGGATTGCAAGGCTCGAAATCGTCCACGAAATATCACTTATCCAGAAGCAGGCAATACAAAGACCTCGAAGATCTTCCAGAGAGACCATATGAGAAAAGGTAAAATCCGCTATTAATTTGCGAAACTCTGAATAGCAAAGCTGATACCAGCGTTGACCGTTCGGATTTTGTAACGCTTCCACCATCAGGATGGCCGTCAGGAGAACCGGTGATGCATGACGAATAGCACTCAATCCTTTATGGTCGCTTGCTATCCCATAGAGATAGTGATCTGTTCGCTGTAGGTAATGACCTACTAACATCTCTGCATCTTCAATGCTGATCACCTGGCGGGATATAAGGTCATTCGGCTCATTTATTCTAGCACTAATATTTTCTTCAGATGCAAGCATTGGCTGTGACCGGAGGCTGCGAAGATGCGTGATGTGATAAAGTGATTGAATGGGAGGTTGCGTAACTGTGATTTCGTCGCAGCTGGGAGCTTCGGAATACCTATCAATGAGCTCGGTGCTTGCGGCCATTGGACCCAAAGGTTGCGAGGATATATTGTCTTCATTAACACTTGCTGATTCTTTGCCTGAGCACAATTTGGAGAGCAGTTCTATTGACTGCAATGGCGGTAGATTTTTCATAGATCCCGCTGAGCGGAGTTCATTTAGGGCGGCGTGAATGGCTCTCAGATCGCTTCCCAGAGAATCAAGTAAGCTATTTGAAATATGAGCAATTTCACCTCAGTCGCAGATATTATTAAGCGCACCGATGGTCAGAGGATGGCAGAGAGTGAGCAGGATCTTTCTTGAACAGGCACGGAATTTCCCGAGCCAGGCAACGTTGACAGGGAGGCTTTTTTGAGCGGGATATCACGCATCGCACCTGTATCTGTTAGCTATAGGGTAGTTTCCCCAATATATGGACGATACCTTGTGCTTTTTGCACTGTATGCAGGCAGTCGCACGGCGTGAGTAGCCCAACGTGGGGCTCGGCTGCGTGTCCATTAGGAAAAATCTCAGTTGACAAGTCTACAATATCATCTCATCTCCGACATCTTCAACAGATATGTGATGCACAAATGGGAAGTGTAGTTTTGCACAGTACAGATGGAGGTATCCCCTCGGCCCGAACATCAAAGTCCCCAGAGGCTTAGTAATACCCCCAGGGCTTCAGGGCTGCTCTTACGCCGTTCCTTTTCTATTTGGATTTTTGTTAAATGATATCTACTTTCTCGATGGCTTTGAGGTAACCAATGGATATCTGTGAGAAATCGCTGGTCTAGAGTACAAAGTAACCTCATATAATGTCGGCTTCTTACAAGTAGTCGCCGACTTGTGTACTATGGACATAACCCCATCTCTTCATGGCCTTCGCAAATAAGTTAAGATATTTGTTGAGAAGATAACTTTGAGGAACGATGTGCGGGTCTTCAATTCTGCATCAATAGGCAGGGGGCAGTGATGTATACATCGCTGTCGGCGCTATTCGGAGTCGGCCCCGACGCCGGGCTTCTCCGAGGTGGAGTAAGCCGAGTTCTCCGGAGAATTTGATACCCCAGGATTGACATGTAAACTTGAGACTACTGGCTTTGGCTTGTAATGATCTGCCCAGGAGCTTGGAGAATGAGCGAGATGGTGAGGCCTTCTGACGCTTCATTTGACGCAGAAGTACATGCAATTTTGTCATATATAAGTAGCCTCCCAGCGTGCTTTTTGAATTCCCAAATACATTGACTCACCCCTTCAGTATTGCTCTATCTCATACCTACCTTACAACAATGACCGTGACTCTCAAGAAGCCTAGCAATATGTCCAATGAGGACTCCAGTGCTTTAGCACCTGACGTTCCTAGCATTGTTCGCGGTGTTATCCATGACATTCGCCAGAAGGGTGACAAGGCCGTGCGCTCATACTCGGAGAAATTTGACAATTGGAGCCCCAAAAGCTTCAAGCTTTCCCAGCACGAAATCGACCAGATCATTAGCAAAGTGCCAAAACAGGTCCTTGACGATATCAAGACCGTCCAACACAATGTCCGCACTTTTGCTCTCGAACAGCGAAAGTCCATTACTGATTTTGAATATGAAATTCGTCCTGGTGTCCACCTAGGCCAAAAGAATATTCCTATTAATGCGGTTGGGGCGTATGTTACTATCCTTTATATACCCGAGAAAAGCAACCTCGAAGCTTACACCGTTTTCTCACTTAGCTATATTCCTGGTGGCCGTTACCCCCTTCTTGCCTCGGCACATATGACGATTGTCACCGCTAAGGCAGCTGGCGTTAAACGGGTCATTGCTTGCACACCTCCTATTCAAGGAGAGATCCCCCTTTCCACCATTGCCGCTATGCATATGGCCGGTGCGGATGATATCTATATCCTTGGCGGCGTTCAAGCTGTAACAGCAATGTCTATCGGCACAGAGACCATAGACAAGGCCGACTTTATTGCGGGGCCGGGAAATTCCTTTGTTGCAGAAGCCAAGCGCCAGCTATTCGGCGAGATTGGCATTGATCTTCCTGCTGGCCCAACTGAGGTTTTGATTATCGCTGATCAGGCAGCGGATCCAGCACTTGTTGCTACCGATCTGCTCTCTCAGGCTGAGCATGGCCCGGACACGCCAGCGGTGTTGATCACAAACTCATGACAGGTGGCGGAGAAGACTTTGGTGGAAGTCCAGAGACAGTTGAAAATCCTGCCCACAGCTGGTATTGCTTCTGTATCCTGGGACTGCTTTGGCGAAGTCCATGTCGTCGAGAATCTCGACGAGGCTTATCGGCTGGCCGATAAATACGCAAGCGAACATGTACAGATACTGACTACGAACCCCCGGGAAGCATTAGAGAAAATGAGCAATTATGGTGCTCTCTTCCTCGGCGACAAGACATGTGTCTCATACGGAGACAAGGTGAGCTATCCAACCTGTTATCATTATTCGATGCTTTTCCTACGAGGGTATGAGTATAGGCTAACGCAGCGCAGTGTATTGGCACCAATCACGTCTTGCCTACGAAAGGAGCTGCTCGGTTTACCGGCGGTCTCTGGGTAGGCAAATACCTCAAGACCGTCACTTATCAAGAGGTGACTTCTGCGAAGGAGAGCGGAGAATTGGGTCTGTTGTGCGGTCGTGCAGCACGTGTAGAGAAGTTCGAAGGCCATGCACGTTCGGGCGATATCAGAGCCAGTAACTTCCTCAACAAGTCCTTCGATTGGCTTGAAGAAGATGCTAAAACTTAGAGTCGTTTCTATCGACGGTGGACCGAAAAGACTGCAAAATTAGTACCCCGAATTTCTCCTTTGATGTGAGAAAGGAACCAAATGAAGTCATTATAATATTATACCTTATGTAAACTTTCCGGTAAAAAGACGAGCTCTAATAAGCTGCTATTTGACCTGGATGATTGGAAAAAAAAACACTCTTTCGACGAGTAAATCGCTGCTTTCTACTTCCTATATACTAGAGAAGTGAAGAAGTCAAATGGAAATTTGACTAGCCAGACAGTCAACAGCGGTGGAAGCATCCTTCTTGACCTCAGCGCAGTTAGAACTATAGAACAAGGCTAGAGATACATAAGGCCCTGATGATCAGCAATGGTGGGTAGACCTGGGCTTCAAACCATGACAATGAATCAAAGTTCTAATGAAGACGATACATCTAATTCAAGCTATCGGCTAATCAATCTGGTTAATACCGAGTTCGGCGACACCCCGACGTACTCCGATCTTGTATACTTCCACGGAGTTGCCTCCGACGTTTGCCGGGACTTACAGTGAAGCAGAAAGAAAAGAAAAGATTTATTTATTTGACCAGTAATGAGCATGCAAACTGCTATCATTCTTGTTTTTGTTCTATGATAAGGTAACTTCTTCCGCCATGAAAGTTGCACTCGTCACAGCATCCTCCGCAGGCCTTGGGACCGCCATTGCAAAGAGCTTGGCCCCGAACATGCGAGTTGTGAACAATTACTGGTCTAATGCCGAGCGTGCCGAACTTATTCAGAAAGAAATGGGTATCATTGCCGGAAGTGATAAGTATGCCGATAGCAATGGTAAAAACCAGCCCCGTTTCGCTTCTATCCGTGCCAATTTGGGCAATAAAGAGAGTATTTAAAAGGCTTGTTTCCGACACCATTGATACCATGGGGCGATTAGACGTTGTTGTATCCAACGGAGGATGGACTCGAATCAGAAAACTCGATGACTTGGATCAGAACGTTGATGAGAATGACTGGGATCAATGTTTTAACATCAATGTCAAGAGTCACCTGTTTCTTCTGCATGCGGCACGGAAGTATCTTGATGAGACCCAAGGCTCATTTGTCACAGTTGCCAGCGTTGCAGGAGTAAAACCAAGCGGGAGCTCAATAGTACTGCCCCTACCTCTGTACCCTCCTGGGCACCTTCATTACTGATGACCAACCCATTGTTAGTCATACTCGGTGACAAAAGCAGCTCAGATACACATGGTCAAATGCATTGCTCGTGCAGTTGGGCCCAAAACCAGGGTGAACTCAGTGTCGCCCGGAATTTTGATGACAGTAGGGATCTAACCATTTTTCTTCCATCCTACCAGATAGGTTGATATAGCGATATATATTAAAGCTATTCATCAGGGATGGGGCCAAAAATTCCCAATTGAGCACCTACAAACCGCCAAAGATGTCACTTTACTCAAAAGGTTTGCTACTGTCGAGGTATGAAACCCTCCACAGTGACGAAATAGCCAGCGCTTACTGACTCACCACGGAAAAGGATGTTGCTGAAGCAGTTCAGATGCTAGCTTTGAATACATCATTGACTGGACATAACATGGTTATTGACGCGGGATTTTCTGCCTGAGTGCTTTGGTTTGGAACTCAATCTGTCCATGCTGGGCTTGATGGGAATCTGATCTGAGTGACCGTTCAGCTGTGGGGGAATGTTGAGCCCTCTGCTTTTCATGTCAGGTTAACGTGGGATTTGGCAGAGAGGCTACTTCTTATAGAGAATACTTTACACGCCATGTGAATTGCCCAATCGAAACACCAGAATATCTCAATTTTCGAAATGCCGTGTGAAGTCTCCATGCATCACGGTATTTTGTAGTACCTGAATACTTTATGAAGCGTTTTGGTCTTTCATACAAGCAAATCAAAATATCCTAGGCCTTTACGTGGCATTTGGTATCTGAGGTCGTGGAGGAGCCAAAAGATCTCCTTCCAGCAGCGATGCACATCGCATGTGGAATTACCTACACCAATGGTGCTGTGATGCGAGCATTAACGCAGTTGATTAACCTCGGCTATGGAATTTCCTATTCCGAGGCAAGGGAGCTGGAGCTTAACATCGACACTAAATCCTTTGAGGATCTTCGTAGTTCTAGGGAAGCAAGTACGTCCAGAGATCAGCACGCTTTAACCAACAGGTTTCCGAACTTGATCACCCTATGGGTATGAAAGGTGGAATGGCAGATGACGATAAATAGTCTGCTTACTTGCATAGGACTGCAGTTACAGTTCCCCAGCTCTCTATTCCTCGTCTTGCGCAACACACGCATATCCAGGATACCAAAGCTGTGGACTAGTTTACCATGAAGATTGTTAGTATAGTAATGCCATTTCGTGTACGTACAAAGTCCAAAATATCCAGAGAAAGTACCAAAGAAAGTAATACACATCACTGATATATACTCAAGATGTAAACCACAAAGCCAAGCATAACTCCGCATAACTCCGGCCCTCCTCCTTAGTATCAGCCTCAATTTCCAAAAATAAGCGCCGCTTTTAATTAACCCAAAAAAACCTCCAAATTGAATTACATCATGGAACATAGACATCATACATAAGAATCACAGATCCTCAGAAAACCTCGACTCCCGGGCAACACTGCCAGTCTCACCGATTGGAGGCGGAGCAGGGAGACCCTGTTCAGCAGCACTATTACGCAGATTCTGGAGATCAGTACCAGCAGTATCCTTAGACTTTGCCGAGGGAACCTCAGAGCCACGACGGGAATCCCCAGGACCATTCGTCATGGGCTCATCAGAGCCACGCGAAACAGACTTGAGGAAAGTCCTGCGAAGACGGCTTGGCTTCTTGCCATTGCCATTCTGCTGGGTGATGGATTCCGGGGAAGAGTCTTGCGTTCTGCTCTTGGCCATGTCGTAATCATTACTGTAGTAGCTGGAAGACCGATTGTGGACTGGGACGGAGTCCGACCCAGCCATAGGATGCGAGCTGAGAGCCGCTCCGCGAGTCTCGTCTCGGCCGGTCAAAGCCGCTCCGCCTTGAAACGCAGGTTCGCTGTCCGTGTTGAAGTCTGGCCCGGGCTGATGGGGATAGACAGGGACCGGCCCGCTGGAACGGCGGACGAGACGATCACGGAACCAAGTCTTGAGCTTGGAGTCAGCGCGGGGGCTCGAGACAGGACGCTCGAAGTGGTGGATCATAGTTGAACCCGAAGTACTAGCGGCAGCATCTCGCGGCTCAGTTTGGAGTGGTGCGGATTGACGCCTGGGCACCGCAGGTGGGACATCAGTTCCGGTGGTCCTATCAGCCTCTGCTGCTGAGGCTACTGACATCGAGGGGGCAGTTGCGGCTAGAGTACCTGTAGCAGCCGCCACCTCGGGCTCATTGGTGGCCTCTTCGGGCTCTTTAGTGCCCACCTCAGGCTCAGTAGCAGCCACCTCGGACTCACTGGCAACCACCCGAGCTTCACTAGACGCCTCCTCGGGAATAGTCCTTATAGAGGCATCGATATCGGCGGTCCCACTGGGTGTCGGCTCCACCACACCCACAGTGTCCTGAGCCACAGGCGAGACAGGCTGGGCCTGTGCGGTTTCGGATTCTTCTACACGAGCTCGCTTGCCCTTCTTCCTCCAGAGAAAGAATTTAGGGATCGAAACTTTGCCCTCAGACTTGTTTTCACGCTTGTTTGTACCTACTCAGGGGTCAGAAGATGTCCGTACAGTGAAGACAGGGGAACTAACCTTTCTCCTGCTTTTCCAACTCGCGGAGCTCAGCTTCGCGTTGGCGTTCAACAGCCGCATGTCTTTGCTTCTCCTCAGCATCGAGTCGGGCCTCTAACTCCTCGGCCCTGCGCTGCTCGGCATTATCGGTGATCTCATCGAGCGCGGGCTGGAGGCGAGTACGAGCAACAGCTTCGACATCGGCCATGTCCATGTACCGTTGACCGCCGATGTTGACGCGTTCGCCTTCGGCGGCAGCTACTTCGGATGCCTCTGCCTCCTGTCTAACCCGCTCCTGGGCGACCTCATCCCAGCTCCTCTGCACAGAAGGTGGAGCTCGGCCAGTTTTGGCATAGTACCTCGTCTCCATGTCCTGGAGAGTTGCGTCCACGTTGCGGCGAGCAGCTTGCATGAGCAGTTCACGATCCTTTGTTCTGCGCGTATCTACTTGGTCCATCTTGGTCCGCAAGCTGGACATCTGGTTGCGGATATGTCTCGACTGCTCTGCATCAATCTGAGAGGCATCTGCATCGCTCGAAGTTCTCTTACGGCGAGTAGTCAGGCGCGAACGTGGCGGCTGAGGAGCGGTGCCGTAGTACTCTAGATACTCGGCGTTCTCATCATGCATGAGCGCGAGCTTCTCAGCAGCTCGCTTTTGTGCTGCATCTTGCAAAGCAATTGCGCTTCGGAGGGCAGACCTATCCGTGCTAGAGACAGTCTTGCGATAGCCTAACTGACTCTGGCCTTTCTGGGCTGCTAGGACAGCGGGATCCACTCCCCCGGTCTCTTCCTTGGTCTCTTCCTTGGTCCCGTTGACTTTGTACATGTCTTTCGCCATTGAGATCGACGCAGCGCGAAGAGAGTTCTTGTAATTTTGCTCCTCGATCTCAGCCTGAACAGGAGGGTTCGAGGTATACAGCTTTGCGTTGGTATTAGCGATATGAGAGATCCGGCTCACTTCATTGGCATTATCCAAATGACCAAGGGGGACGTCGCTTCCCATACGAACATGGCGCGACGCGCCGGCAGCCGAACGAGACAGCGGAACCTCGGAAGGACCTGGCTCACAGGGTGCCGAGTCGGCTCTCTGACACGACTGGGTATACGCCCCTGTCGCAGCCTGGAGAGCCTTTTCCTGAGGATCCCCACCAACGGCAGTGTAGTATCGGTCGCGGTGCTGGTCAACGGAGATGCCACGCTTGTGAGTGGGTTTCTGAGCAGGGGCAGTTCGCTGTTCACCACGGACGGCGAGCAGCGCAGCGCCCAAGCCCGCAGCGCTGTGCCCAGTAGGAGCCTGAGGTGGCTGCGGAGGAGTGTAATCCTTCACGCTATACGCGGCTTTCTCGGCAGCCGGCTGTCGAGCAGGGGGTTGCCATACTTCCACTGGTTTGCGATTCGCATGCGCAAGGGCAGAGGCGGCCGATGCGTGGCTGAGGTTGGGGGTTCCACCAGCTCGTGGGTCTACAAAGCGCATCGTTTGTCAGCTTGCGATACATCTTATCTGGTTTCAAGGGGTGATGCTCACTAAAGTAGGTGTTCGGCGCGGTCGGGGCGCGCATGGACGCCTTGCGTTCGGGATGGGTCACATAGAGGGCAGCTGTTGCGGCTGATTTTAGTTAGCGATCAGTGCTCAGCAGAGATAGAGACATGCAGAGATTTTCAGGATTTGCAGGATGTGCAGTCGATCATGTTCTTACCGTCATCTGCTAGCCGAGAAGACCGAGCAGGCATCGCGGTTGCCATAGTGGTAGACCTTTGCAGGATGAAGAGAAAGGGAGAAGCCTGGATAGAAGAAAAGCCATTGAACTATGGATGGGATTTGAAGACCGAAAGCTTCTTCTCGTGACGTATGTAAAGATCGGGTTAGCCATTGCATCATCATCATGAAATTGAGTCGATGGCGCTAGTGATCGACTAGTGTTTAGTGGGGTCCACTTCAGCCCTTCCCTTTCCGCTTTCAACATTGGTGACGTGGGGACTTCGGACTCCCGGGATTCACGAACCCTGATCTACACATTTCCACGTTCCTGATCTGATCGGAAGATATCGTATTATACTGATTACATTCTATTTGGCATCTCAATGCGGAGTAAGTCAACAGCTCACTAAAAGGTACCCTATTGGTCTCCTATCGCAGGTGCAACATCTCCAGGATGTCATGACGCGCAAAGAACGAGCGGTTCCATTTCCCAAAGATATCTACAGGAGAGAAAAGTTAGTTCAGTGGAGACAGATGATCGGATGACAGACTCACACATGGGGATACTCAACAGGCAGATCCCCACTTGGATACTACCGATGATCACCATAGTGTGTTTGATGCCCCCGTGGGCAAACCATTTGTAGGCGTAAAATGTTAGGACGAAGCTGAACAGATTCTTGAAGACCAGCATGCAGGTGAAGGCCTCGATGGCCATTTCCCCTATAGTCAATCAGTATAGATACTCGGTAGGGGGAGATCGACATACGGTGGGCATCGATAATATAAAGCGACGCAGCAACTGCGCCCATGACCATGCCAATGATCAGGAAAGCGAAAAACACGTCCGGGAGTATATACCCATAGTGCATGACATCGTTGGCTGTCCATCCGAAACCGTATATCCCGATGCCACAGAAAATGAGCTGGGGGAGCACTAGCAGGATACGGAACTCCGGTTCATATTTGCCATGGTTCAGGCGGATCATCAACTTGTTCATGGAATCACTGAGTAAACCAGATAGCACAAGGCCCACAATTGCACCGATGAACGCGCCTGTGTAAAGGTACCCGGTTTTGTCTTCATCGAACCACATTGGCGGGCCGAGGAACACAATCGCTAGAACGACACCTACAAAGACCGCCCAACCAATCACGACGCCTTGGATCAGGCAAGCCTGTTATCAGTCAGTGTCCGCTCGCATGAACATGAACATGAACATGGACTGGGCACACTTACCCAGAAGATCCCTGGATGGAAGAACAGCGGGAACGGACGAAGTAGCAATTTGAAGAAGCTCTCGTCTGTCTTTCGGCCATTGAACAATCGAAGGGATTTGACAAACGAGTCTTTCTCAGGAATTGGAGCAGGAACCTCTGTCCTCGATGTTCCCAGTGCATTCCTGTCTTCCGGTCTGAGTTCCTTGGTCTCATCATTCGACGCTCCGCTGATTGAGGTAGACTCGCCGTGGCCATCCTGATACTTGAAGTCCGTGTTCAGATAATCAGGACGTCGGAAAGCAGTCTCCGGCACGAAAAAAAACATCAATGGAAATGAAGCTCCAAGGAAGATGGCGACAAAATAGAAAGACCATTGCCATCCCATGGTCTTGGTGATCTTTCCTACCACAACAGGAGTCAAGAAGGCAGCTCCAAAGAGAGCGACATTGGACACAGCCATGCGCTTGCCTCGTTCCTAGATTCGGATCAGTTTCGTCCTGTACCAACACCTACAGAACACAGAAAGACTTACATGAACAAAGTATAAATCTCCCACGCAGGCATTAACCAATGCTTCAAACGGCGCCAATGCAACACCCTGGAAGATCCGTGACCACAGAAGACTGCTATGATTCCTCCCACTCGCACCAGCCCAGATACAGCTCACAGTCATCAAGACATGCCCAATCAGAAATAGATGGCGTTTACCCCAGACTCGCGCCGTGGGAACAATCAAGATGCCCGCCACTCCAACGCCACACAAGTGATATCCGGTCAACAGAGCAGCAGCTGTAAAGGTGATATTCTCGTAGTCGGCAATTGTGACGGTATTTGCAGCTAGAATGGAGCTGAGAGTTGTGCAGAGGACAGTCACGAATGATAGGATGGAGAGGATGAGGTCGCGTCGCCATAGCGGCCAGTTCTGCTCTGTTGTTAGCCGGGGTCTGTTGCCTAGGATATCACATTGTGATAGAGCGCTTGGTGCCTACCAATGGATCATTGGGATCATCACTTGGCTGGGGGACGAGGATGACTGGCTGCTTGCCCGACCAGTCGCATTTGAGGCCTGCAGTGCCTGGTGCTAGATCGCTCGCATTGCTGTTTTGTTCGTAGATATCGGAGGTACCTGTGCACGGTAAGCATCATACTCGACCTAGGCTTGGAACGGCTGTGGGATACAAACCTGGAACGTGGGCCGCCTTGGTATCCAGTACTCCAAGACCCATTCTCGCAAACTAGCGACTCTGCGCTAGCAAAGACAAGCCAGAAAGACAAGATAAGTAGTCCAAGAGGGGAAGTGGAGGAGTTCCGAGGGGAACTAGACCTACAAGCTTCAATAGGACAGACCAATAGGGGCAAGTGCAATGGAGGGACAAGGCGACTTGCTTTCTCCGACTGAGTTTCCAGTTCCCAGTTCGCTGGTGTCATTTGTATTGGTTCGGCTGAATGTAATGGAGCTATGCAGGTTTTAGCCCGACAGATCTACCTCGCCGTGCTACGTGCAGGTACAAGGGGTCTTTTTCATACATTATGGACCCATTTTGAACTATGAATTGAGGCACTTGTAACTGAGTAGTAGAGAGGCTAAAAAAAAAGAGAAGGCAAAAGGCAAAATATCTCGCAGAAACAGTATACCAGGAGGGTTCTGTGTACAAACTTGCCCCCTCTGTTGAAGTTCCAATGATCTGTTTCTTTACAGGCTTTCACTCTATTCCATTTCCGTTTCAGGCGCGGGGAAAGGCGATCCACTGGAAATTGGGATTCAGCTGAGATCTGCAATTTGGGACCTGTGGGCCGAGGCATCACATTCGGCTTGATTACAGGTTTCCTCCTCTTTTCGGTCTATATGGATATATTATCCTGGAAAAAGAACCACTTTACACATGAACAAAGACTTACTGGCCGGAGTATGCAGTGCACCAGCAACCCGATTTTGTAGGGAATAGGGGAGTAGAGAAGACCAGGGACTGTGATCCACTGTGGAGCGAACCCTACAGTAGCGCTGAGTGGCTTGTATGGCCAGGTATCGAGGCAACAGTGGCCGGGGTAGAGGGACGTGGGAACAGCAGGCTCTGACTATAAGTGGATGTTAAACAAAGCTATCTCGTATACACACTAATGCCACAAAGGTCACATCCAAAGCCCACGACAACGGCAAACACCTGCATACCTGCATATGGAAATACAATGACTTTCAGTTACACAATAGATGTATCCATTGGATCTACAGTACCTACAGTAAAGTAAAGTACAGCCCCTGGGGTCAAACCCCCAAGCTCAGTTTTAAAGCGGGGAGAGCTTGACTTCTGCTTTGCATCTCTCACCTATTCAACCATGAAGTTCAACATCATTGCCCTGGCAGCTTTGCTGACCACTGCCGCTGCTCAAGGTCTAGGTGACCTGCCTGACTGCTCGGTATGTACCAATTATAGAAGCAATGAGCGGTCTGCTAACTTGTTTCCTCTCTTCAGAAAGACTGTGCTACTGGTGCCATTCCCCAAAGTTGTGGCATTGACTTTAAGTGTATCTGTGAGGCCAAGTCCTTCCTGAACGATGTTTCCTGCTGTGTAGCAGACAAGTGCTCCAAGGCAGACCAGGAGAGTCAGTGTTTCCAATCGCAATGAAGACCCGAAGGAACAAACCCCGCTAACCTGCTTAACATCACAGCCACCCTCAAGGTCGCCAAGTCGATCTGTGCCCGTGGCGGTGTGACCAACCTTCCCACCGAGGTAACCTGCTCCAGCAGCAGCTCGACCTCCAGCTCCAGCTCGACCTCTACCGGAGCCAAGTCTGGCACTGAGGCGACGGCCTCGACCTCGACTGGTTCGACCTCTGCGTCGGCCTCCGATGCTTCTACCACCAGCGCTTCCAGCACTAGCTCCGATAGCTTGTCTGCATCCTCTGCATCCGCTGCCGCTACCAGCACTGGCGCTGCCATGCCTGCTCGCAAGGATTCTTCTCTTGTGGCTGCTGCAGGTGCCGCTGCCGCTTTTGCAATCCTCATCTAAGAGAACAATGATGAGTCATGTCGAATGAATGTGCTCTATTATTAGCGGTATCCAAATATTTGATGATGAAATGGGACAACAATGGCTGGTCTCTTAAGTATGACACGATGAATTGTATCTTTAATCCACAATACTGCCACAATTAACCAAGTTACGCGGTTTTCGTGATTCTCAAACGAAAAAAACAGGTTTGATTTTATAATACACTGGTAAAAAAGGACATTGATATTCGAAGAGGACTCAGAGGTCGCGAGTGTCCTCCAACAGCTTGGTCAAACGTTCCTGGCGCTCCTCGCGGAGAGTAGTAAATATCTGTAGAGGCCATCAGCGGCTGAATCAAATATACCATACCAATTTTACTCACCCAGAACCAGAACATCATCTCCACAAACGCAAAGGTGAAAACCACACGGTTCTTCAGACAGTCCAGGCCAGCCATAGCCGCAGCGGAGGTATAGGAAGATGCCAGTAATTCACTTCGACCGGTATAAATGAATAGCGCGAGACCCGCGTACACGAAGAACCGGCACGCAGCAACACCGATCCAGACACTCCAGTAGACAGTCAAGGATTTGGTGATATACTCGGGCAGGTTCTGAAGGACCTGCAGGTCCTCAGCCGGGAGGTTGCCATTGCGCAGGGGACGGATATATGGCAGGGCTTCGTCGAGCGCTTCATGGAAGGGAAGGTTGGACAAGAGGACGAGGTCGATGAGGGCTTCGACGAAGAGGAGCACGGCGCAGAAGGTGAAGGGGGATTGTTGCGGGCTTGACAGAGATGGGAAGTCCTGGGATAGCAAGATTAGTACATTCATTCAATCCAATTGAGCTCCAGTCCAGTCCAGAGCTGGAGAGCTAGGATGTGGTGCATACAATTTTCAAGGCTTCTCCCATCATAAAAACAAAGTCGGAGTCGGTGATCAGCCCTGGGCTTTTGACCAGGTAGCCGGCAACCACGACCAGGAGGATGCCATGCACCTGGATAAGAGTTTTAGACGAGACGAAGACCATGTTGGGCGTGCAATGGCGGAAGGAGCTGGGAAGGGACAGATAGATGTCGGAGACTTGGAGTTGGTCCGAGTGTTTGTTCCCAAGGCATGTGGGGAAAAAAGCATCACTTCCCCCACCACAGCTTAACGATTTGATCTGAATTACGATTGATGCCTCACTAACCGGAGCTAGAAGAGGCCTTGTTTCAACAGAGCTTAAACTACAACCCTCGGCAATGGCCGATCCACTCTTCAACACGGAGCGCCATGTCAAATACTACCTCCGATGCCTAAAGACCTTCCTGCCCTCCGCTTACACCTCCAATGACTCCAATCGCATGCTCCTCGGCTACCTGACCCTCTCAGGATTGGACGTACTCGGCGTCCTGTACACCAAAACCACACCGGAAGAGCGACAAGGATACATCGACTGGCTCTACCACTGCCAAGTGTCAACAGGCGGATTCCGCGGATTCCCAGGCACTGATTTCGGACCAGAGAAGCGAAACAATGACAATGAAGCTTGGGACCCGGCAAACGTCCCCGCGACATTCTTCGCGCTGGTCAACTTGCTCATTCTCGGGGATGACCTGTCCCGTGTCAAGCGGCGGGAGTGTCTCGAGTGGCTTCCCAAGGTGCAGCGCGCCGATGGAAGCTTTGGAGAGCTTGTTGGTCCTGATGGGGGTGTAGGGGGAGCTCGTGATTTGAGATATTGCTGCTGCGCGACTGGTGTGCGGTATATCTTACGCGGACGAAATGGGGCTGGGCTTGAGGGTGTACCGGATATTGATGTGCAAGGGTTGGTCTCTTTTATTGAGGCGTGTCAGGTAATTGGAAATCCTCTGAGTTTGTTTGATGAAGTGACTCATGCATGTGGACTAGACGTACGACGGTGGCATGGCCGAGTCTCCTTTCTGCGAATCGCATAGTTCGTGTCTCCCCTCTGCTACGGTCGACCCTCCTAACTGAAAACTTAGGTGGACATACATATTGCGCAATTAGCTCGTTGGACTTCTTAAGTCGCACATCCCCTGATCTGAAATCCGTACCGCTACTATCGGCCGGGTCAGACAAGTTTGAGTCTTTGATTACATGGTTAGCCTCGAGGCAGACGGCCCGACTTGAAGAAGATGATTATGAAGATGACACTGGGAATGAGGCACCCAAGGCCTCTGAGGCAGGATCTCTCAATGAAAGAGTTCACGGGCTTCCCAACGTTGAAACACTCGAGGCAGACACAATATCATGTGCCGGCTTCAACGGTCGATGCAATAAAGTTGCCGACACCTGTTATTCATTCTGGAACGGAGCGACACTGGTAGTATGTTATCTGTGGACTCCCAGTCTCAACCATTTACTGACACCGCATCAGATGCTGGACCATTATTCTGTGATTGACGATGTTCGCAACCGTCGATACTTGCTCGAAAAGACCCAGCATCTTGTTGGTGGATTTGGAAAGGCGCCCGGGGATCCTCCAGGTAAGGCCAATCGACCTAAATAAAGACCTCGCTGACCACACAGATCTTCTTCACTCATACTTTGGCATGGTTTCCCTGGCTTTCCAGGGCGAAGCAGGGCTCAACCCCGTCGATCCCACGATGGGCGCCAGTAAACGTGCTGTGCATCATCTTGAATCGCTGCCTTGGCAATAGAAGTATATCATACCTTATGACGTTGGTTTCAGCCATTCATTAACTGGCCCATGTCAGCGGATATGGGCCAATAGGTGCAGCCGCCCAAATTAATCGGGCGTCGGTGTACATGTACAGCTACACCAGTAAGGGATCTGTGAACAGAGAGTCAATCCGTATGTTGGATGATCTTCCCTGATTTTAGTTGTTTTTAGTTGATTTTAGCGAGAGAAAAGTTGGGAAAAAAAAGATGGGGTCGGGAGTCGGGTTAGGATTAGGGGGATGGAATGATATAACCGACACTAATTACGGAGTACATACAATTGCAAGACTAAAAAAAGGAGACGTTCGAGTCCCCACACGGTCCACGTTCCCGTTGACGTCTTGGAAACTTTGTATTGAATTCTTAACTCTTCCTTTCCAGCCACCCCTTACCCACACCACCTCCCGTGTTTGAATGGCGCCCGGCCCTGCCACTTTCACCCCTACTCTTACGCAGAGACTTCCGCGATTGACAGGCAATCACACATGCCGCCCCGAACGAGAGCGGGGGTTCAAAGCCAGAAACAAAAGGAAAAGGTGAGCATGCAGGAGCTCCGCAGCTCCGGTGCGGAGCGGAGCGTTGCGCGGAGTTCAACGTTGGCTAACTGGGGATCTCGACTACAGCTTGCGAGCTCCTACAATGAACTTCTCGAGTAAGCGGTGACCTCGATCCAGGGTTTGATGGGATTTGCGCTAACACGATACGTCTACAGGGAGTTCTCGTCCAAGGATCTCCGGAGTGTAGGCAACTATACGCTGGGAAGGCTCATTGGAAAGGGATCCTTTGGCAAGGTCTACCTCGCGTCACACAAGCTCACCAATGGCTCCAAGGTGTGTTTTGGTAGATCAAAATCCCCGGACAGTGCTGATCAGTCGATAGGTCGTGCTCAAGTCCTCCAGCAAGGAGGACACGAACCTCGTGCGCGAGATCCATCACCATCGCCAATTCCTCCATCCCCATATTGCGCGGCTATACGAAGTGGTGGTGACCGAGAGTCTGGTCTGGCTAGTGTTGGAATATTGTCCTGGTAGGTCGCGTGCTTGACGGAAGGATCCCAGGAAAGGACCATACTGACAGGGGACTGTCTAGGTGACGAACTTTATAATTACCTCCTTCGCCACGGCCCGTTACCGGTAGAGAAAGTGAAGCGGATCTTCACACAATTGGTGGGAGCCGTAGCGTATGTCCACAGCAAGTCCTGTGTTCATCGTGACCTCAAGTTGGAGAATATCCTTTTGGACAAGCAGGAAAATGTGAAGCTGTGCGATTTCGGATTTACGCGCGAATACGAAGGAAAGGCCAGCTATTTGCAGACCTTTTGTGGGACGATATGCTACAGTGCACCAGAGATGCTGAAGGGGGAGAAATATGCCGGGGAGAAGGTGGATGTTTGGAGTTTGGGAATCATCCTCTATGCGCTGCTTGCTGGCGAGCTGCCATACGATGACGACGACGACCAGGTCACAAAAAGGCGGATTTTGGCAGAGGAGCCCACGTACAATGACAAGTTTCCAGATGATGCCAAGGCATTGATCAACCTGCTGCTGTCGAAAAGGCCATTGATCCGGCCAAGTCTAGATGAGATTCTGGCGCATCCTTTTCTCTCTGAACATGCCCCTGAACAGCTTGCTATATTGAAGATCCCACGGCCTTCGCCATTCACCACGCCGTTAGAGAAAACTACCTTGCAGCGGATGAAGAGTGCCGGCGTCAACATCGACGAAGTTATTGAGAATGTTCTAGCTCAGCGCTGTGACCCATTGGCTGGATGGTGGGCGTTGCTGATTGAAAAAGAGCAGCGGAAAGAGCAAAAGAGAGAACGCAAGCGTCGCGAGCGAGAGGTTGACGCTAAGAATCTGCGTCGTCTTAGCGCTGCTAGCAGTCGTTTGGAAAAGCGGTCATCGGCTTTGATGGAAGTCAAAGAGGAAGGTCAGGCAAACTTGGGATTGCATGAACGTGGAAGACGCGACAGACGAAGCTTACCATCGCAACTGGCAGTTCCGGAACTTCCTGCGCTTCCTGAACCGCTACCGGTGTTCCCACCGGAGGCGACGACACCACCGTTGCCCGTTGATAAAGATTCCATTCGATCCCACGGTTCATCACGACGCCGCCCAGTTCCTCCGCCCAAAGACCGACGTCGATCCCGGCCCAGCATGCTGCATGTTAGTGCATCGCAACCTGAGCTAACACAGCACCATGGTATCTTCCGACGTCGTACTAGTCGCCGCCATCAGTACCCGATACTCAGCCAGCTGGCCTCTCTTAAGCACTGGTTTGTGGAATCCGCAAAACGAGCACGGTCTCCCCATGCTAAATCAGGCAACTCTCGCAAATTGTTCTCTGAAAAGTCGAGTCCGGCCAAGAGTCAGGACACCGGGAAAAAGCCGGCGACTTTGTCGTCTCCGGCAAGTGAAATTCCCGGGGAAGAAGTGGTGACACCAACCCAGATCAAGCGAATCTCCGGTGCCAGCAGTCTCGCTCCTAGCAGTGCTTCATACCGCCAAAACCGACACTCCTACCCTCGTCAACCGCGTCCATTGAACACCGGTCACTCAAGTCATCGCAACTCTCTTTCACCTTCCCCCATCACCCCACGCGGTTCCTATCGGCGTTCATCGGCCGGACTACGAGGACGCAAATCCACGTCGTCCTCGGTTTCCTCAATCCGCAGCATTCACCACACTCGCGCCCACTCTAAGGCATCATCCATCTCCTCTAATAGCGTGGATACTATATCAACACCAACTGCCAGAGCCTCAAAATCACCCCACTCATCCATCAAGGTCCTGCCTACCACACCAGGTGCTTCTGCTCGTTTCCCTAGCAACATTCGGTTGGTAAGAGGACCGGGTGGAGCACCTCGAGAACTGGCTGATCACGATCAAATGCCTTCGGCGTTCAATGAGGTGGCACCATCACCATTATTGTACTCGCCTTCATCCAGCCTGGTGTTTGCGCGACGCAAGCGATCCGCGTTCAAGGGTCCCATGATCCACACAAGTAATTTGATGGGAGGCGGTGGAATGGCCAGCTCACCTGTTCCCGGCCAGCCAGTCAACACCAGCGAGTCTAGTATCCCGGCAGGCCGACCTGTGGCACGCAAGAGCCAAATCATCGAAGAAGAGGAAGACATGGACGGAATCGAAGAAGACGTCGAAGAAGAAGAAGATGGTGATGGGTTTGTCACTGATCCTGGCACGCCAGGTGACCCCGTCAACCCATATGACCAGCTCACCGACACCACCCCGAGAGGCTCAATTGACCAGGAGGCTGGATCTCCCTCGGGTGAAAAAACGCCTCTTGCCCCTACGCCGGGTCTTGAAAATAGCCCCCTTCGGCCTCCTCGTTCTTCTTCTCTGCGTTCGCCAACCGACGTTGCAGAGGACAAGATCGGGACAGCCGAGTGATGTGTTCTCGGCCCGACAGATCTCTCTGACAGTTGCTTTGCTTTGCATTAGATGCGAGCGTTCTCGCGTTCACACGATATCTCCTTTCTATGTTCGGTTAGACGATAGATCTTTTATACCCCCACTTACACAGCGTTTCCTGCGTTTCATTTCCTTGACTTGACCATCGATGCTCCATTGGAAACGATCCAATGAAATGTCCTGCCCTCTCTTGTTCATTTTCCTTGCTGTCCCCCATCTCACGAAGCGCTTGTCCCTTGGGATTTCTTATAATCCTCACGACTCGACATTCGCTTCTTACCATGCTCTTTGATCATACATCACTCCTATTCATCCATAGACTATTGCTTGTTGTGATCGCTTGATCAGTTATATCATCGCCAGATACTGCATAATGAAATTACATATATACTGGATCATGTCCGGCAACTCTTGGCGGTCCCCTTCCGTTCTAGTGCTCACCCCCTCGCCGGTTTTGCTCCCCGGCACACCCCTGATCGACCTGAGCCGGTCAGTGATCATTATGTAATCGAACTTATCCACTCACTGATCGTGACCTGAGCATCCGGTGTGCTTACTAAGCACGTTATTGGAGGAGCGACATGAGTCTGTCACCCAAGTAGTTACGGACACCACAATGTATCACGTGATTTCCGAATCAGGTAGCTCCCTCACCAGACATCATCCAGGATATACCAGAGTATAGTGGTTATACACACAGGATAATGTCAGCCCTGAGGAAACGGTGTCCTCGATCACCCCGGTGGATCACTGATCATGGGTGTGTAAAACGCCCTTTTACATGCCCCGCTTTGCTCCTAGGAACTTATCGCACTGCCTGTTTCGTTCCTAGGAGTTTATTAGTTTGTCGTCTGATTGGTTCCAGTAGGTACATCGAGGCTCTTGGTGGGATGCCCCCACACAGCCAGGGCAATATCCGCCATGGCGTCCTGCCCTGGGGTCATGTGACTACCATTCAGCTGGGGTATACCAGAGGGACCACTCGAACGGACAGTCCAGTATACCACACCTAGTACCTAACTGTAGACCACACCACGGAGGACTGTATATATAAGGACACTCATGAGTCCAAATGTATCTGGTTCTTCGCGATTATTTGCACATTGTTACTTGGATACCACCTTTGCAATCCATAGTTTGTCAAGGATTGTGGCCCGGGGGAAAAGCCACTAGAGCAAGTTTGACTTAGCGTTTGTCGTGATTTCTTTGTCTTATCAAATGATTTACGACACCCGGAAAGTTCCCGAAGGCTCAACCCTACATCTACAGATATATAAGCAAGGACACTTCAACAAGTCCTCGAGGGTGTTTGGTCTCTTCTTCAATCATCTCAATCATCTCAATTCAGATTGGTTCCCCTTGCTTCTCTAGCCCCATTAAATGCGTACAAGGCCAAACTCTGGTTCTATAACTTCACAATAGTTCACCCTTAAGACACCCTATCCTACAAGTAGGGGAGCTCACTCTGTGACTGACTGTAAGGGTAAAGGCTGTCCGGTAGAACGATGCTAGTTGATCAGGTAGAGAATCTGATAAACAAGGGGTAGCGTAACGGAAGCGACAGTGGTGAGTAAATCTATCATGTATTGATAACACAAAACTCAATCTTGAAGAGATTTAGACAGAGTGCCTGGCGGAGGAGCCCTAAATTCTTAAGTCCCAGTTGCAGCCTGATCGCCGCCCAATGTCCTCAAACCGTAGCCATGCAGAAGTCCACGCTAAGAAGGCGGGGAAAAGGGTCTGAGACGGTCATGAAAATGCAGGGGTTCCATCATAATCAAAGGGATCCCCTAGCTCTGGTCATGGGACAGGGCGTCCTCTATACTTTCCTTCACACACAGTCTGAGTTAGTCAACCCGCCGCCCTAAGCTGCCCACCGAGCGACCCTAAGCTGCTTGCTGAGCGGCCCTGAGTTACTCAAACGTCAATGCAGAGATGAGTCTATCTATAGTTCAAACTAAATGGAATCGGTGGGAGAAGCCAGTGGGAGCACACGATGAAGCAAGTGGACTGTGGCTGAAAAGTTGAACGAAATTAACATGAGAGTATAGTGATATTTGATTCCAATAACAAAGAGAGATACGGAAAGCCAAAGCTGATCATGATTATTCTAAAGGCCATGCGACTGCTACGGAACACGAGGACAGCCGAAGCAATAATACTGGATCTCTTTGTTGATGAGTTCAGAACTAAGAAGTTAGCTAAAGATAGTGGTCCGGTCAATTACCTGGCCTAACCTGTAACTGCGACCGTGACAACCGCTTTCCCGATTATGCAATTTCGTATGCCCATGGTTTATTCTCAATGTCAGAATATTTCGCCCGTAGGCTTCCTTGCTTTTCCGTAGGACGTTGCTTCTCTGTAGATTTTTGGGAATCGGACGCTTCGTCGACATTCGGGGGTAGCAGTGAGAGGCCGCTCACTGCATCTTGCTTCTCCGGAGGACGTTGCTTCTCTGCAGACCTTTGGGAACCGGGCGTTTCGTTGGCATTCGAGGGTAGTAGTGAGAGGCTGCTCACTGCAAGAAGGTCTTCGATGTTGGTGCTTCCACTCGGGGCAAGCCCACCACAGTCTTCAAAATCTTTCAGGACCTTGTCGATTATCTCCCCCTGGCCACTCATATATGTAGAAAGTTTCCAATACAAGCTTGGATCTCGAGAAGTTGAGGATCTGGAAGTTCCCAACTTCCTTTGTGAACTCTGAACTTGACAAGCCGATTTTTAGGTAAATTTCGTATTGGCCCTGTGGCGGTATCTGGAAAGGTCTTGATTCGATATTGGTGAGCAACTCCGGTTGCTTCAAAAAGGAGTCTGAATTGACCGAATTCCGTGTGAAGCTGGGAGTCTAGCATCAGGACGTTCTTTTCCGAATTGATCTGTTCTGAGGTAAAGGACATATTGCGAAGGACTAGAAAGTAGTGCCTTAGGTTGACCCAAAATTTTGCATGTCTGTCTACTGCCTCCCCGTTATTGGCCTGAAAGGATCCAAGTGCAAATGGAATAATGTGGGCCGCTTCAAGATGGGTTGTTATTGCGTTCCGTGCATGGGTATGGCTGTGACTGTACTGCCCCGTTGCAAGACATTTGTTGCCATCTCTTTCTAAACAGCGGTGCCGGAGTTGCGACTGAGAGCTTCTACTGATGGGCTCGATGTTTAGGCTCTTGAGACCAGAACGCGGAGACGGAGAGATTTCAGTGGGTGTTTTGCCACCCTGTGCTTTCATAGGAATCAATAAACTATTTCTGATGCGTTGGACCAGTTGCCGAAGCTTCTCATCGTTTGCACACCTTGAAACGTCCCCCGCCAGATTTGTTTTTCCGTCCGGAGGAAGGATCTTGAAGAAGTCACCGAGGAAGTCCTTGGTTTTGTCCGTGGGTTCAAGTGGTGCGTAACTATTCAGCTTTCGATCCAGCCTCTAGCCTGATTATGAGTATCAAGACTAGAAGGCACAGAGGGACTCGCCGTCTTTGAGGATGATGACATTCTGCCGATTACCCAGCTTGGGATGCGCTTGGGGCCAGGCGGCCGAATCAGGTGATGATAGATGAGTACGATTAGTTGAAGCCATGCAAGGAGATGATGAATGGGTGCGATTGGTTGAAGGAGAGTTGGGTGGGGGCGGGGAGCCAGGAGTAAGCAGTGACTGAGTGATCACATGACTGCACTGACCAGATCACTGAGCATGAGCGCGTGCTGACATGTACTCGGTGAGCCTGAGCCTGATCGCCCTCATTAACGCGGCGGCAACCCAGACAGGAAAGCCTCACCCGGCGGACATTATCCAGTGTATATAGGCACATATTGAATAATATTTCTTGGTTAATACAGTAGACCTCCACATGCCAAGAGTCCGGGGTGGAGTTGCCATACGAGAGCCCACTAGGTTAAACTGTTGAGACTTCCACTTTCCAGGGGTTGGCTACTGTCCTTGGACCGCGCCGAGACTTAAGAATTCCTCCCTTGATTCTGAAAGTCTGGTCAGCAATCAGGTCATCTAGGGTTACGACTCAAAGAACCGCGAACGAGGGATTTGGCAATCATTTGGGTAGCTAATCACTCCATACCAGCAGGAGAGTTGCTCTTTTCTGTGGCTGAGATTGCTGAATTCCGGCTTCGAGTTCAGGTACGAGACGCAACTGGGGCGAGAGTTAGAATTTCTTTCTTTCTTGCCGTCATGTAGGGTGCAGTGAGGCACTTTTTGACTCTTTTCTCCATTTTTGGTCTCATTACATGTGCCTCCGTTCCTTTTTGATTCGTCTTTTCCACGTCGAGGCTCTTCGGCATTGGGTGGCTGCGGGGGCTCTCTCGAGGCTGGACTCGAGGACGTCTTAACATGGCTTCCTTTCGAGGCCCACCTTGCTAGGGCCCCCCTTTTTATTCTTGACATTACTTCACTCCCGATGGATACTTAGTGTCATCTCGCCATTTCATGATTCGATCTGGATTTCCAGAGAGGACTACTACTGTACGCATCCGACTCAATCAAGCATCCCGAACAAGTATTTCATATCACGTAAGATTATTGATTATCCCTCTATAATTAGAAGACCCGAGCAAGTAAAGCAAGTCCCAAGCATCCACCAACGCCTCTGGGATCCCCTTCAAGGGCAATATAGAATCACGACACTACCGCTCCACATGGACAGCCTGGTGCTTCTCATCAAAAGCCGAAGAATCATGATGAGTCTCCATGGCAGCCTCTTCATCCTTGCTATCCGAGCCCTCGAGACCAATCGTGCTCTCGCCGACTTTGTCAACCGTACTCACGTATGCAGGAACGAAGTTGACGGCGACGGCGTAGGTCCAGGCGACGACCATAAACTGGAATTTTGTGAACAATGTGCCAGGCAGAGATGTCGGAAGAGGTCATACCATAGTCGGAACGATAAATGCAAACCCGGTATCATCACGCATATCAGCAACATGACCCAGAATCGGAGGAACGACAGCACCACCACAAACACCACCGACGAGGAATCCAGATCCACGTTTGTAATGGCGGCCCAGGCCGCGGATGCCCAAAGCCATGATTGTAGGGAAGCAGACGGACTCGAAGAAGAGTGTCAAGAATAGCATGGCTGTAGTACAACATTAGTCTCAATCCCATCAAACCAATGATTATCAATAGGAGAAGTACTCACCAATGCCAGCTTGCTTTGTCTGTGTCACGGACGCCGCAAGGAATGCCACCGTGCATGACAGATATACCAAGAAGACCCAGCGAGCCTTGACATACTTCATGATGCCCGAACCGAGGAATCGACCAACTGCAAAAGCGCCCTGCGCTCCGGCGAGATACTTCGCAGCCGTGGCATTGGACGTACCCGGCCAGGTCTCTGTAGCATAGTTGATGAAGTAGCCAGCGATAGCGACTCAACATCAGTCAGCATAGAAATCCCGAATGTGGATCACGGATAGACCCGAGGGTACTTACCTTGGGCTCCAGTATACGTAAACTGCGAAAGCGTCGCATGGAACAATTTATAATGTTTCCAGAACGGCCTATCCTGCTCGTCGACATGAGTCTGTGCCACCTGGAAAGCCATATCCTCATCGGTGACTTCAGGGATATTCGAAAAGAAGAACACAGTGGCAAGGCAGAAAACGAAGATACCAATGGCGAGATAGACCCATTGCACGCGTTGCAGAGCAGCGACATCATCCGAAGTCTCGGTGAAGAAAGCGTAAGAGCCTAGAACAGGCCCAACGACAGTGCCAATTGCATTAAAGGCCTGGGCGAAGTTGATTCGAATCTCAGAGTAGCGGGGTGGACCGCAGACTAGAAAGAAGAAATAGACACGGTTAACGAGAGACTGATTCAGACAGATGTATATGTGAAAGTGCCACCCCACCCGTTAGATATGGATTAGCTGCTGTCTCCAGTGAACCCAGTCCGGATCCAATGACGAAAGTTGCACCGCAGAAACCGCCGAAGGATTGATTCAGACCTGCCGGCCACATGCATAGAGCACCTATGCCGTAGAGGACTAGACCGAAGATGAAGACGGTTTTGTAGCCATAATGACGGAGGATCCAGTTTGCGTAGCCGAGAGAGGCTAAGGGGTATGCACTGGGATTGTTAGTTGAATTGATATCGGGTCGAGTAGATGTATGTTGTATGTTGACATACCCAAAGTAAGCAGCTTGGAGACCAGAAGAACGTCCTCGGTCAATGTGGAGGGTATTCTGGAAGTGTTTGTTCAAGGTATCCAGCAATCCATAGGCGAATCCCTACTGGCGGTTAGTATACTCCATCCCGTCCCCTGGGGATGCTTGTCATCGCCACATACCCACAAAAAGAACAGAATGGTAACTAGTGTCAGCGGCCACAAACTCTGACGCAGAGTCAAAGTCGCAGCCGAGGTAGTCTTTTTGTTGTCAACGCGCAAGCCAGAGCGGCTCTTCATAAATTCCTTGAAGCCCATAATAGCCAAAGAGCAGATCAAAGAAAAGCAGACAAGAAAACGCAAAGAAGAAAAAAAAGACAAACAAGGGCCTGGCATTTAAATGTAACCTCTCCGCAACTCCACACTTTCCCCAATCCCCAGTCCGGGGAAAGCCAAGCGGTGATCCCTGGGGTACGTCGATTTTGACCACTCACGGAGTTGCCTCGACGTGATCAACTTGGCACGGTTGACACGGTTTAAGATGCCCCTCAAAACACGGGAAGCTGGGACTGGCTCTGGCGTCAGTGTTGCATGTCTCAGCCTGAATGCGGGACTTCATTCCGCTGGCTGTTCGGGTTATTGTATCCCGAGTACTTTATACAATGTCGAAGACTTTTGGTGCCTCCTTGTTACATGGATCCTATTCAAGATTGACCTACGAGGTTTGATTTGGCTACTTCAATCCAAGGTTATCTATCATGTTTTTATCGTGATCACGCGCCTGCCTAACTTTGACTCCGGGGTCATGTTAGACTTGGAGAAACGGTGTGAGAAGGTTTATTCCAAAAGTCGGAGTTTCTGGATGGCTACGATGTTGGAATAACGAGGGTTACGGTAGTACCTGGAAGGTTAAACATTCGGGGATAGTGAATGCATCTTCTAGGGGGCGCTATTGTATATGTAAAAGGAAATCAATCGATATTCATACGACAAAAGGCTCAATTAGAAGTAAAGAAAAGAACATTCATTACATGTTCGAGCTTCCATTTCAGGGTCTTTCTATGGGCATGATAGCATGTCATACTTGATCCATCTCACCAAAACCAACAGCCAGGCATAATCTATCTCTATTCACGCCTCTAGCACCGGCCAAAAAAACCCCGGGAGAAGAGACGGTATTCATTCGCCTTTATATCTTTCCTTTAAGCCCGCTTGGGCTTACCGGCGGCGCCGTTGACGGCCGGGGAGACGGAAGCGTGAGTGTTGTAGAGGCAACGCTCAGCAAACTTGAGGACCTCATCGATGAGAATAACCGGCGCACTGATCACCAAGACGGCCTGCCATTCGGTCCAGTCCAGAGGCAGAATCGAGAACAGGTTCTGGAGGAAGGGAATGTAGAGAATGGCAAAGTGGAGGGCCATGGACAGAGTGATGGCGTAGACCAGCATGGGGTTGTTGCCCAGGAAGAAAGTAAAGAGAGACTCGCTGGAGGACAGGGCGTTCATGGCATTCAGCATCTCAATCACAACGAGAATGGAGAGAGAAACAGTGGAAGCAGACTTGGCCATGTCGTTGGTGAACATGTCACAGCCAATCTCGGGGAACTGAGCAGAGCACTTGTGGAAGTGGGACTAGAATTTGTTAGACAAGTAGGACGAATGACTGTAATATGACAACTTACCAACTGCCAGAATGTAATGTGGGGACCCTCAGGGTTGTAGATGAACCACCAGACGTAACCAAAGACGGTGGCAGCACCGACGTAGATACCGATAACCATGTAGCGGAACAACAACCAGCCACCGACGAGAGCCTCGTCACGGCGGCGGGGAGGACGCTTCATAACATCATGGTCGGGAGGGTTGAAGGAGAGAGCAGTGGCGGGAAGACCGTCGGTGACAAGGTTAACCCACAAGAGCTGGACAGGAACCAGAGCCTCGGGCATGCCCAGGGCAGCAGTCAAGAAGATAGACACGACCTCTCCAATGTTGGAAGAGATCAGGTAGCGAATGAACTGTTGAGTGTTGCTGTAGATAGAGCGACCTTCCTCGACGGCAACGGTGATGGTAGCGAAGTTGTCATCCGCAAGAACCATATCCGCAGCCATCTTAGCAACGTCGGTTCCAGTACCCATGGCGACACCAATGTCGGACTTCTTCAGAGCGGGGGCGTCGTTGACGCCGTCACCGGTCATGGCGACGACGTGGTTCATAGATTGGAGGAGATCAACCAGCTTGGACTTGTGGCTAGGCTCAGTACGGGAGAAGAGCGAGGCAGTCTGAACAGCCTTCATCTTCTCGCCTTCGCTGAGGTTATCAAATTCGCGACCAGTGAAGCTCTTGCCAGTAAGATCCTCGTTGGCACCAAACACGCCAATGGCGCGGCAGATGGACTCGGCGGTGTTGGGGTTATCACCGGTGATGACAATAACACGGATTCCGGCGGCGTGACACTTTTGAATAGAGCCGGCAACCTCAGGACGAGGGGGATCCAACATTCCAACCAGACCAACGAGAGTCATATCCTGCTCCAACTTGGCGTAGTCCTCGGTAGTAGAGGCGTTCTTCAGAAGGGAGTTACCAGCGACACCGCTGACATTTGCGATAGCCATGACACGGAGACCGCGATTACCATACTCAACGACCTCCTCGCTGAGAAGCTTCAAGTAATCCTTGGTCATAGGGACACGAGTTCCGTCAGCGCCACGAAGAACATGAGTGCAGCGTTCGAAGATAGTTTCGGGAGCACCCTTTACGAGCAGCTTCTGATCCTTGCCCTCGCCAACGAGGACGGACATGCTCTTACGGTCACGAGAGAACTCATAGGTAGCCTTGAGAGGGAGACGGGATTCGTAGTGAGCACTAGCGGCATGCAATCTTTCAGACGCAGGGAGGCGGTAGAGCTTCTGGTTCAGGGCAGTGTCTGTGGATCCAATCTTCTCGACTAGGGCACGAAGAGCTCCCTCGGTGGGCTCACCGATGCTGGAGAAGACTCCGGTCTTAGGGTCATGGGAAAGAGTAGCAGCGTTGCAAAGGGCAGTGACCTCGGCCAATTGTTCGATAGTAGAAGAAGAGACAGCCAGGTTTTCGACGACCTTGCCGTTCTGAGAGAGCTTGCCCTCAGGGGTGAAAGTGGTACCCTCGACATCAATTTCCTCGAAACCCTTGCCGGAGGCTGACAGGTAGACAACCTTCTCCACACTCATCTGGTTGGTGGTCAAAGTTCCAGTCTTGTCAGAGCAGATAACGCTGCAGCTACCAAGGGTTTCAACGGAAGGAAGAGAGCGGACAACGGCGTTCTTCTGGGCCATCTTGCGAGTACCAAGGGCCAGACAAGTGGTGATGACAACGGCCAGACCCTCGGGAATTGCAGCAACACCAAGCGAGACAGCAATCTTCAGGTAGTAGATAGCACCCTTGGTCCAGCCACCGAAAGCGGGATCGTTGAAGTTCTCATAGTTGATAACCCAAACCAGGACACAAATGATGGTAATAACCTTCGCCAGCATATCACCGAAGTCGTTCAACTTCTGCTTCAGGGGAGTTGGCTCAGAGATTTGGGAAGTAATGCTTTCATGAATGTCACCAATAGCGGTTGAGCCACCGGTCAGAACAACAAGGGCAGTAGCATGGCCGTTGACCACAGTAGTACCAGAGAAGAGCATGTTGACCTGGTCCTGCTTGACAGCCTGCTGGTCCTTGATAGCCTTGGTCTCCTTGCCAACACTCTCACTTTCACCAGTCAGGATAGCCTGGTCAACACGGAAGCTGTTGCTGTGGATAGCAAGCAGTCGGCAATCGGCGGGAACACGATCACCAACGGCGATCTGGATCACATCACCAGGGACCAAGTCCTCGGCCTTGACACGGCGAGCCTTTCCATCACGAACGACCTTGGCCTCGTTGGCCGAGTATTCCTGAAGAGCCGAGATAGCCTTCTCCGCGCTGCTTTCCTGGGTGACTCCGACGACGGCGTTGAGGATAAGGATGGTGAGGATCTGTAAGTTGCCAATTGGTCAGCACGGTTGATCAAGCAGAACATGGGCGATAACAAATCACGTACAACGACAGGGTCTACGAATGCAGTCCAATCATCGCTCTCTTCGAATAGAGCGAGCACAAACGACACGGCGGCCGAACCGAGGAGGATAAGGACGAGTTGATCCTTGAATTGCTCCAAGATCAGCTCCCACATAGGAGTTGGGGGCTCTTCGGCAAGTGCTAAACAAAGCGTCAGGTCAATGCGTCTCCGGGTCAGTGTGGATGTGGACTCACCGTTGGGCCCATATTGCTTTCTGGAATTTGCAACCGCATCCTGGGAAAGACCAGTCTGCTCGGTCACCTTGAAGTGCTCCAGCGATTCAGCTGGAGTGCGGAGAAAGGCATTCTCCATAATGGCTAGCCTCAAGGGCAGAAAGGTTCAGGAAAATGTAAACAAGAGAAAAAGAAATGGGAGACCTGTTTAGATTAGATACATAGGGTTCCCAAATGAAGCAGAAAAGAGAAAGAAAAGAGCGAGATCAGCCAGGAAATAGATCGAAAGCCGAATGGGGAACCTCCAGTGGGGGACGAGGCACAACGTGTTCTCATTGCTTCCAGGCGCTGAGTAAGCTACCAGGGGCCACAGGGCTGCAGGGCTGAGGTGCGGGTCAACTGCAATTCTCCGCTTTCTTGCGCTTTTCTCTTTCTTGGACGTTGTCGACATAGCTATTTCTGTGGTCTATCACTATCTCTCATTCAGAATTCCCCACATATATCCCTTCTAAGACCTCTCAAAGATCCTCTTGGCCCTACATCGTCATCGATACCTTTCCCCAGCTTGTCTGCTCAACTTGAAATGACTTATGGGGCGCCACTAGGCTGCATCGTTCTTTGCCTATCGGATGGCCAGTTGTGGATAACCTCTCTTCTTGGCGGCTTGGTGCTTGGAAGATCTGAAAAGGACACCGCTACCTGAAATGGGGTATCCAATCTTAAATCGAGCCAGTCAACTCTCAAGTTAGAGTCAACTGGAAGGCCGCTATACCATCCGACTGGGCTTTCTTATCTCCTGATGTCTGTGCCTGTATCTCTTTCGGAGACCGTGTGATCAGGAGGACGGCAGTCTTCGGATAAAGACTGAATCAGGCGGGACCATCCCAGTCTACTTGTCATTGGGCTCTGTTGCTGTACCAGGGCAGAGATCATCGAGGCTAAGGCGGAGCCTTCTGCTAGACGCGCAACCTATGGAGTTTGCAGGAGGTCTCCTCGCCTGTAAGGCTGAAACTAAAAGAGTCCACTGCTGCATCATTGGGATCGATGATCTCACCGTCGCCTTCCGGAAGACGATGATTTGAAACACATGGCACACATGGTACATATAGACGTGTAGTTCCCCGCTCTGTGATCATCTCCTTGCTTTCCAAAGTTCTCTTTGCTCCCGGTAGATCCAATTTGAAGTTATCTTCGCGCTTAACAGTAGGGAGTAAAGGATGAAATTATATGAATAGCTTTGAGCTCAATGTTTATCCTAATGAGACTACAAATTCTAAACCAAGTCCCAACCAGGAAATTATGCTTATTTTAAATATTAACATGACATATTGCCCGTGCTGGTTAGTTGCTTAAGCTAGACTACATTCATACTCAGCCCAGGCTAGTCTATAGATATTGATGCCAAAGCTTGACTTGACGTTCATTTTTGGTTTTATGTCCCTGATATGGACCAAAAAAAAGCAGTAATCATGATTCCTAACACGAAGACTACCCAGGTATGCAGTGCTGGATGACCTATTCGGTCAGGGAAATCTCGGACTATTTCTTTAGTGGCTAACTAATTAATTTCAGTTGTGCAAACTGTATAAATTATCTTAATTTGTTTCTCAACTTCATCTAAATTGTTATGTTTGCCGATACTTCTGGTACATGTGATGTCGGTGTGCGGCTGATCAACTACATCATACAGGCACAGTGTCTAGAAGGTTCCAAAGATACTTGTCTCATCCCCAGACCTCATCCTATAGGCACTGTTTTTACTTATATATACTCATTTGACTACTTGTATCTGACTACTGTCTAGATATTCCTAATTATTATATCCCAGAGTAGACTTAAATTGCGGTCATGTGCTTTCAGCTGATCCTCGGTGACAGTACCGGAATCTGGTACCAAACACGTTGGTTAGGATCACTTCACCAAACATCATACATCATATTCACTGAAGACTTATATATATCTCGACTATTTCTGCCTCAAATCCACGGTAAATAGGTACCTACCTAAGTAACTATGAAGGCATGCAAGTCAGCACTGTATCATGTACTGTCATATATACCTCTCCCCGCTAAATAAATTACTGGGTAGGGGGGATCAGCAGTAAACCCAATACTGGGCCGCAGCACAAGTACCCGGGTACCTCCACTAACTAGTGTCACACTATGACACACTAGGTACCCAGTACAAGCTAAGTCTGTATTATTGTTATGATTCAAATGCCCCCAAACTCCCTTCACCTTTTGGACTCCATCTCTCCCCCCCCACTTGGTCCTCTTTACCCATCTTCTCCTTCTGCATCTCGCGTTCCCCTATCTCTTATTTAACTCTCCAACTCCAACACTTCTTTCGATTTTCAATATGGGTTCTGAGGTAAGATGCTATTCACCCCCTCCGCCGGGCCCCTCTTGCGTTGTCACCGCCATCGCAATCCCACATTCCCTTAACGTCCCCCATCTGGAAATTCTGTCGATAAGAAGGCTAACATCTCCACCATGCAGCGTGAGAAGTAAGATCGCTATCGTCATATCCTAATCTGTTGCCCGACACTGACCCCTGACTAGCAAGACGTTCCTCGCGAGGCTCTGCGAGCAGGCCGAGCGCTACGATGGTAAGTTGGCTCGTGAGGATGTTGTCGAGCGCGTTCACTGACGTGTCACTTTGTGCTTTACAGAAATGGTCACCTACATGAAGGTTAGTCGCAACCCCTCGTGCTGTTTACTGCAAGGGAACCCATGCTAACCGCCCAACAGGAAGTCGCCAACGTATGACACGGTTTCCCTATGACCCTCCGGATCGCCTGAACTTGGACCATTGACATATATCTAGATCGGCGGCGAGCTTACTGTTGATGAGCGTAACCTCCTTTCCGTTGCTTACAAGAACGTGGTCGGTACCCGCCGTGCCTCCTGGCGCATCATCTCCTCCATTGAGCAGAAGGAGGAGAACAAGGGCTCCGACGAGCACGTTGGCATTATCCGCGACTACCGTCAGAAGATCGAGACCGAGCTTGAGCAGGTCTGCCAGGATGTCCTTGACGTCCTCGACCAGGCTCTCATCCCCAAGGCCGAGACTGGCGAGTCCAAGGTCTTCTACTACAAGATGTTGGTCAAACTGAGCCAATTTCTGACTTGGAGATCATCGTGCTAATCTGCCAACAGGAAGGGTGACTACCACCGTTACCTTGCTGAGTTCGCTTCCGGCCCCAAGCGCAAGGGTGCCGCCACTGCCGCCCACGAGGCTTACAAGGTATATCGTCTCTTGCTTTATTCTCTCTTTTGAACACTTGCTAAACTCAGGATAGAATGCCACCGATGTTGCCCAGACCGAACTCACCCCCACTCATCCCATCCGCCTGGGTCTCGCCCTGAATTTCTCAGTCTTCTACTACGAGATTCTCAACTCGCCGGATCGTGCATGCCATCTCGCCAAGCAGGCCTTCGATGACGCTATTGCAGAGCTCGACTCCCTTTCCGAAGAGAGCTACCGTGACAGCACCCTGATCATGCAGTTGCTGCGCGACAACCTCACCCTCTGGACCTCATCTGACGGCAACGAGGGCGAGGGTTCCAAGGAGGACAAGCCCGAGGAGGAGACTCCTGCCGCTGCTGCCACCGAGGCCGCTGCTCCTGCTGAGGAGAAGCCCGAGGAGGCTAAGCCCGCAGAGACTGAGGCTTAAATGGCCGTTATGTATGCCAATTGCTAGGTTGGGCGTTCGCATTTCTTCCTGGACGTGGTCATGCAAGTCGCTTCTTTGTTTTCATTGCAGCGCTGGGTTGGACCGGCAGATATCTTGCACGTGTTCGGGGACCGTGTGGGTCGGCCGGCGGAGTTTGATATTCGGTTGACGCGAGCGAACAAAAGGGGCTGAGTGGAAGTTCTCTCTCTTTTATTGTCTCCTATTCCCACTCCAGCACGATTAAATGTGTTTATTTTCCAATTCCACTCGGATCTCTTCACCCGATGTGTACCCGGTATTCGGTTTGCGTAGCGAATGATTTCTCTGTTACATTCACTGAAGCATATCGAGTATAGTACAGTAGAAAAGTCAGGCTTGTGAATTCTGCCGTTCGTCCGACTAGATCTACAATAGAGTACATATACAAACATTAATGGGTTCTCTCTGCAGGACCTCTTGACCAGGGACACGCGAGAGACACGCTAGGAACACGAACCGCCAGGCAAGACCTCACAAGACCTAGGGATAACCACTCAAGACACTCCACACAATCAAGACCCTAAGCAGCGCCACCAAGGAAGCCATGTCATCCTTCGCGAAAGGTGTAGAAACCATCAACCTGGGGAACAAGAATCATCCAAGCGATTCGCCAGCATCCACGGCCAAACAAGACTACTTCTAGAAAAACCAAGCTCCACCACACCAAATTCACTATCATCTCTCTCCTCAACGGCCTCGTCGAGTACACATCCCTCTCACGAATCCAGTGGACGAATCAAAGCCGTCCAGCTCAGCGCCACGGAGGGGCCGCGCACAACCTTGGACGGGCTACTGGATATGACAACTGACAACTGACACCTAGACAGGTGGACGATCTGCATGCTGCAACTTGCTGCGCAAATTTATAACAGCGGGGAAACGCCACGAGGTGGAAACGGTAATGGTTGGCCAATTGTAGCACCGGCTATTGGTGTGGATGGTGATTGGGTTTGTATCTGGTGTGTATATTGGCAGTATAGCTTCTTTGGGGCAGATTTCTATTGCAGTGAGGATATAGATACAGTACACTTGCATTTGACATAGATACCGGTTGTCGTTGAGTTGTCTTGGTACCGATATGGAGCTTCTCTGGGTATATCTGACAGATGAGTATAGATAGCAACACAAGCCCAGTCTGATAAGAATTATATCCGCCATAAGGTTGCAGCAGACGAACTCCGGATCGATAAAACCATGAATCAAGTATTGGCAATAAAGTCAGACCGATATCAAATTGAGGTACCAGTAGAGTTCCGACTCATCCAATACATCATACAGATAGAAGACAAACATATAGTAGAAGAAAGTGAACGTCAAGACGAAAAGCAACCTCCATCATGCATGAACAGTGTCCAATTTTGGACAGAGATGTCACGTCAAGGCTATTTTCCCGCTCTTGTCGCGCGTCAAGCACGCCAGAAAGACTTGCATTGGTTGAAGACGCCCGAGATAGGACGATCGTCCGAGTATTCCTGATGTACAAGCAACTTTGGGTTTCTGCCTTGGTGATCCCCATTTCAGGGGCATATCAGGGCAATTATAGGGACTGTTATATTTGCTTGGTTTTTGGCTAGGGTTGCGGGTGCATGTTCGATGTCGATCTCGGGTTTTGACTACCGAAGGCCTACTTGTAGTGGACAGGTAATAAGTTATATAAAGAAACAGAGATAGAGTAAAGAGAGCACGAAACAAGTGCCACTCTCCGTCTCTTAAATGTACCAAAATTTCTCAGTAGATTCCTCTAAGAATACCAGGACCATAGAAATAAGAAATACAAGTACAAGCAGTCCCTCAACATTCATGCTATACTGTTGACGGGTCTAATTCCAGCTGCAGAACTCCATGCAAGCGAGACGAATAGTCATCAAAAGTAAACTCCACCACATGACAAGAAAGCCAGCAAAGCCCCGGCTATGCCAGATTCGGCTATATCACCTGAAATGCGCAGCAAGATGCATAAAGTGTAGATGCAGGTTAGCCAAGAAACGCCTAGTGGTATTCGGTGTTTTGATTCCACCTAGCAAGCTCCCTTACGAACCTGATTCGTCTGATCGCTAATAGTATACCCAAAATTCATGCTGTCGGATCTTTGAACGTGAATCCGGCGTGGTGTGTGGTATGTGGTGAGAGCGGACGATAGGCACAAATGCACTAGTTCACCTGAAACTATCTTAGACGAGGAACTAAGCATCTATAAGCAGAGTCTATAAGCTAGTTTACCCAGCCCAGTCTTCTCACTTTTCTACAAGATAAACGTTAAGATTAAAAAGCGTTCATCCCACAATGGCATTCCCACAACCCCTCAACCTCGAACCAAACACAATCTACATCCTCCTCCTCGACCGAGAAAACACATACCTCTTCCACTGGGTACTATATCTAGCCCAAACTGCCACGACAGATACAGTCTTCCACATAATCAACAAAGGCGGGCCTATAGCTTGGGAATACAAAACCGAGCCTACAAACGAATCCCAACACTTGGTCGACTGATACTCGCCCTTCAAGTTGGGACTGTGTCGCCGGTTCTACATGCTGCGCTGGCGGGTAGACTGGCCATTGCACCGCTCACGCTGTACTCGGCTCGATATCGAGAAACCTTGAGTTGTGTTGGATGGGTACTGGAGGCGCTGTTTGCCCTTGATGGCGAGGGGTATGTTTCTCTAGGTATAGGGATTCGGGAGATTGAACAAGAGGCTAAGCAGATTGGTATGATGAATAAGAGTCGGGGGATGAGGACTCTTGTTAGGAGTCGTGCATTTGCGAGTTAGGCGTGGCCAAGTTATGGAATGTGGGTAATGGACTTGTATACAGTCATGTGATAATTGATAATAGGATGATGAATTTAATCTTCTATGGGTTGGATATTGTAGATTGTAGAGTTTGGGGGATGTACATGGGGAGTTTTGAGATCAGAAGCAAGGTCAACCTTTTGAAGTGCCGGGGCAATGAGAAAGAGATATACCCTGTATGCGTGTTTTCGAAAAAAAATCCAACGGAAAGCAAACGCGAAACAATTCGGAGACTAGTCCATAATCACATAAAGTCATCTTCGGCGAGACCGTCATCACCATCGTAGTTGGTGTTGTCGACAGGGCCACGGCTAGCGTTCAGCGAGATCTTAGTCTTAGCAGCCTTGGTCTTCTTGTTGCCCTTGTCGGCAGCGCGCTCCTCGCGCATCTTCTCGTTGCTAGCAGTGGTCAGGGCACTGGCAATCTTCTTGATCTCAGCGCTGGGCAACTCCTTGACAAGCCTGCGGGTGAAGTCCTGCGCCCAAATGGTGTACTGAGCCTTCTTCGCGTGAGGAGTCAGGAGGGGAATGAGAGCGTCGCTCAGAGCGTTGAACTGGTCCTTGGTGTTGGGCTTAAACAGAGGCATGGAGGACAGGTCGATGGACTTGGTAGGGTCGGTCTTGTCGCTGATGACAATGGCCTTGGGGGCACCCTTGTTGCGCTTGGTATCGACGGAGCCGAAGAGGTCCTCGGCGTGAGCGAGATCGGCGTCCTGCTCGGTCCGACGCAGACGAGCGCGGCGCTCAGCCTCATCCTCATCAGAGTCCTCGTCGGAGTCGGCCTCCTGTCGTCGCTGTTCCCGGTGTTCCTCTATCCGCTGAGCCTTGGTCTTCTTGTTGGCTGCGGCGGCGGCCTTAGCCTTAGCGGCGGCTTCCTCGGCCTTCTTAGCCTTCTCGCGCTCTACCTCGGAGTCTTCACCGGCATCCCATGAGTCGAGGACCTATTCGGAGTTAGGTTAGTGCCTGTCGCGGAGGAAATGTCGCCTTGGTAACCGGCTTTGAGGGTCTGTCTTACATCCTCCTCCTCTTCGTCGTCGAATCTGCGGCGAGGGGCCACGACAGGTGGAGGCGAGTCGCTCTCCTCTTCATCTGCAGGAAATTAGCAAGGGCTCGGAGGCGGGAGATGCTCGATAGTGAAGGATAAGAACATACCCCACTTAGAAGGTGGCATTTTGGGCTATAGAAAGGAGTTATAATATCTGATAAGAGAGAGAAAAACGAAGGTACGCAATGCGCTAGACGCAAGACCAAGTAACAAGCCAAACAGACCCAACAAAGGATGGAGGGGCGAGGGCAAATTTTATGTGGGACACACTTATCGTCCCCAGGTGGCATGTGCACGTGACCTCTCGGGGCCTTTTGATGCCCGATGAGCTGATGTCTACAATTCATTTGTCTAATTTGGTGTGTTTGGGTACGTAGTGAATTGAAATGGAAATTTGTTTTCATTGAAATTCTTAATTAAATTCATAATCATCATGGGTTGTGACGGAATCATCAAACCATCTTTTTGAGCCTAAGCTCGATCTACGCTGAAAGGCCGCATTTACAGGTTAACAGCAGTGCGGAACTTGTCACCAGCGTAGACAGCGTTGGCACCGAGCTCCTCCTCGATACGGAGAATCTGGTTAAGCTTGGCCAGACGCTCGGAACGGGCAGGGGCACCGGTCTTGATCTGGCCGGCACGGAGACCAACAGCGATGTCAGCAATAGTGACATCCTCGGTCTCACCGGAACGGTGAGAGACCATGACACCCCAGCCGTCGGCGTAGGAGTCCTTGGCGGCCTGGATGGACTCGGTGAGAGTACCAATCTGGTTGACCTTGAGGAGAAGGGCGTTGCAAGACTTGAGCTCAATGGCCTTCTTGATGCGCAGGGGGTTGGTGACAGTCAGGTCATCACCAACAATCTGGAAGTCAGAGGTCTTGTAGAAGTAGCTCCAGGCCTCCCAGTCGTCCTCAGCGAAGGGGTCCTCGATGCTGACAATGGGGTACTTGGTAGCAAGGGACTTGTAGAGGTCGGCAAGCTGCTCGTAGGTGAGCCACTTGGTGGGGTCGCTGTCGGGGTTCTTGAAGTCAAGATCGTACTTCTTGGCATCGGTCTTGTAGAACTCGCTGGAGGCAACATCCATGGCGATCTTAACCTGGCCAGTGTAGCCGGCCTGCTCAATGGACTCGGTGATGAGGTCAAGAGCCTCCTCAGCGGTCTGAATATCGGGAGCAACACCACCCTCGTCACCAACGTTACCAGCAGACTGGCCGTACTTCTTCTTGGCGAGAGCCTTGAGCTTCTGGTAGACCTCAGCACCCTGGCGGAGAGCCTCGGAGAAGGAAGGAGCAGTGCTGCGTTCGTCAGTGTGGGGTCATCAAAGGCATTTATAACGGGGGAACGTACTCGGGAACGATCATGAACTCCTGGAAGGCTAGACGGCCACCGGCGTGGGAACCACCGTTGAGGACGTTCTGGAAGGGGACGGGGAGGACGTAGGGCTTCTTGGTGCCGGCAAGGTCGGAGATGTGAGCGTAGAGGGGAACACCCTTCTCAGCGGCGGCAGCCTTGGCGATGGCCAGGGAGACACCGAGGATGGCATTGGCACCCAGGTTACCCTTGTTGGCGGTTCCATCGAGCTTGTTCAGGAACTCGTCAACCTTGGCCTGGTCCTTGACATCGATGTTCTCCTTAATGATGGCAGGGCCAATGGTCTCGTTGACGTTCTTGACGGCCTTGAGGACACCTATAGAGTGAAGCTGTTAGGGCTAATCCTGGATATAGTTCGAAGCTGATGGTTCACTTACCCTTACCACCCCAGTGGGTCTTGTCACCGTCACGGAGCTCAACGGCCTCGTGCTGACCTGAAGATAGATGTAAGCTTTCCAATCCAATTTCCAATACTCGTTCATAAGCTCGGGGTTCAGGTGTACATACCAGTGGAAGCACCGGAGGGGACAATGGCGCGGTGAAGGCCGGTCTCGGTGACAACGTCGACCTCAACGGTGGGGTTACCGCGAGAGTCGTACACAGAGCGAGCGTGAATCTTAGAGATAGGCATTTTGAAAGGCTAATATTTAGTCAGATGAAGAAAAGGGAAAAATGAAACAGGAACTGGGCAGATATATGGCAAAAGCAGTGTGACTAACGGCGGGGGGTGTTCACCGATGACCGAAACAGAATGGGCGGGATGGAGAAGGACGTGATTTGCGAGCTCAACCACTTGTTGATGGGGCAATGTCGGTTTGCCTACTTACGATCACCGGGGAGAAGTTTTGGGGGATTCTTTCTCTTTCCAGAAGATTGGGGGAAGATGTGAAGGTGAAGTGTATAGGGGAGAGGGGTGGCGGGGTATATATGACTTGCAACTTATGATATCTCACAACTTACCTGTGAAAAAGTAAACAACTTCAACTAAGAAAAGATCATCTATACGGAGGGACCCGAGTCTCTTATATATTCCCCATTAACCCCGGAAAAGATCACTGCTCCTCCGATTCTTTCCAATGCGACAGTGGGGCTCCACGGCTGTTCTCCAGCTCTTGCTGGCTGATCCGACCGTATGCGGCACCTCAGCTACGAGATCTTCCGAGAAACGGAAGGGCTATGATGGCATAGTCTTCTTCCGAGCATATGATAACCTTGGAAGCTAAGAGTACTGTACTTTGTACTCGTAGGCCTGTGTATATAGTACACCCCTCCGTGCCCCTCCTGGGCCGTGCTTCAGCTGGTACTCGAGAAGCTGGGGGGTTGCCCACTGTGTTAGATTGGACCAATGTTACCTTTGATTATTATAATTGACCAATCGAAGCAAATTGACTTGTTCATCTAACGTAGCATTGCCATCGGATTACATGTAGACGAACACAGCTCAGTTGCGGCCTGGCTTTTGAGGTGTTCACATTGCATTTCGATGAGCTAAGTATTACGTAACCAATGTTGCTTCCCATGCTGGTGCCTCGTCGCCTAATGCCTTACTTCTTGGCCTTATCGCCTCAGGTGTCTTTAGCGGCCAAGAACGTGACATAATAAAAGTCATGTGACCCTGTTTGGCTCATCGCTGCGTTGCGCTGGAGCTCCCCAGGCAAGGTGCTACTATTCAGTCAGATCCATCCATTCTGCATCCACGACCCTCCACAACCCTACCTCTCTTGATTGCAGTATTGACTCGGCTTTCCTATCTATCCATTTACACTCGGTGAGCCGTCGTTCGACCGACTTTCATCATGAGCGACCCGGAGCGCGACCAGTCGCTCGAGGATTATAAAAAGAGCTTGCTCGAGCTACGAGAATGGGAGACTAAGCTTAGGACTCTCCGTTTGGGCATCAAGGATCTCCAGCGGGAGTTTGATATCTCCGAGGAGAACATCAAGGCGCTACAAAGTGTGGGTCAGATCATCGGCGAGGTGTTGAAGCAGCTCGACGAAGAGCGATGTGAGTATCATCCCCATTATCATTCATCTCGGGCTTGTTTCGGGTGGCTGACAAATTGATAGTCATCGTCAAGGCGTCGTCCGGTCCTCGATATGTCGTCGGTTGTCGGTCAAAGGTGGATAAAGCCAAGATGAAGCAAGGCACACGTGTGGCTTTGGATATGACAACACTCACCATCATGCGGATGTTACCTCGTGAGGTTGATCCCTTGGTGTACAACATGTCTCTGGAGGATCCCGGGTCAGTCAACTTTGCCGGTATTGGTGGTCTCAACGACCAAATCAGAGAGCTCCGAGAGGTCATTGAACTGCCGTTGAAGAACCCAGAGCTCTTCCACAGAGTCGGTATCAAGCCTCCAAAGGGTGTCTTGCTCTACGGTCCTCCGGGTACTGGTAAGACGCTGCTTGCACGAGCAGTGGCCAGCTCGATCGAAACCAACTTCTTGAAGGGTATGTGTGGACCAATCCTTTCTCCCTGCAGATTACTAACTGTGATTAGTGGTCTCATCGGCTATTGTTGATAAGTATATCGGTGAATCCGCTCGACTGATCCGAGAAATGTTCGGATACGCCAAGGAACACGAACCCTGCATCATCTTCATGGACGAGATTGATGCCATTGGTGGACGAAGATTCTCGGAGGGTACCTCAGCAGATCGAGAAATTCAGCGAACGCTGATGGAGTTGCTGAACCAGCTGGATGGTTTCGACTACCTAGGGAAGACCAAGATCATCATGGCAACCAACCGACCCGACACACTGGACCCCGCTCTGCTGCGTGCCGGTCGTCTGGACCGAAAGATTGAGATTCCTCTTCCCAATGAGGTTGGCCGTTTGGAAATCTTGAAGATCCACACGAGCGCAGTTCAACAGGAGGGTGATATCGACTTTGAGAGCGTGGTCAAGATGAGTGACGGTCTTAACGGTGCTGATCTTCGAAACGTTGTTACCGAAGCGTAAGTGCAATCTGGTCCATTGGGCACAAAGAATACTACGAACGAACAACTAACATTTTATAGTGGTCTATTTGCGATCAAAGATTACCGCGACGCCATCAACCAGGACGATTTCAACAAGGCTGTACGGAAGGTCGCAGAGGCGAAGAAGCTGGAGGGCAAGCTTGAGTACCAGAAGCTGTAATTGTAACTATCTTGGGCTAGTGCACGGTTTAGATCTTTCTCATGAAGCGCTAATACTATGCGTTCAACTATCTGTTTCCTCCAACTTGTGGCGTAAATTGCCAGTCATTTTCGGAAGGACCTGAGCAAAATGTGAATTGAATCCTCGAATAATTTGAGAGCCGTATAGTCTGATTGGCTTTCAATTATACAAAATGTCCTGTGCCGCCATACATTTGAAACTTGGTTACGCGTGCAAAGAGATGATTTGCGGACTCCTGATGTTGGCTCTCCACTTCCCCAGCTTCCTTCAACCTAGCCACGGTCTTCATTGTCTTCGCCAGGCGCGCAAATTTCAGGTTGGAACTGACATCGAAGTTGCCCCTGGGACACTTGGCTTCAACTTTAGGACTTAGCAACTGAGAACACGCGGGACAGTCTCCGCCTCCGCATCTCCGAGAAATTGTTTACGGACCACCCACTATACACATCTGGATCAGGGCCACCTTTGCCTTGTGAAATAGTCCCTGGATGACCATTGCGACCAAGATTACGACGTAAGGACGGCATTTTTGAATGGACAGGCACATCAGTATGTCTCCATTACAACGAGGGGTTCCCTGTGGAAGAAATCAAACTGACTCCCGTTGAAGAGCAAACTAGAACTTCTACTTGAATACTCTCAACCTACCTCTACGATAGCAGTCAACGCGGTACCCCAGTAACATCACACCGAAATCCCACCCCTATGTGTCGCGATCGATAAGCGCAACCCAGGCAGGCATTCGCGAAGCAAAGCTCCCAAGAGACACAATGGCGTATCAACCATCGCGCAGTCCATTCGCGCCAGCGCAACAAGACAGCTTCTATCAGAACTCCCGCAACGGCCTCCGTGGCTACGGACTATCCAATCAACCGATCCCCCTATCCAACAAAGTGAACGGCTATTTCGAGAAAGACCGCACGCTACCGCTATACAAAGACAAGCCCTACTTCCAACCGCGGCGCACAGGTCCTCGGAGACGATGGAGGCCGTTCATTGTGCTCCTGGGAGTATGCAGTTTGGTATTCTTGTTGTACTATAACTTCTATCTCCCGTCATGGACAGGGTCACGATCAAGCGATAAAGGGGTGGACCTTTGGAAGTGGGCTCAGGCTTTGGAGGATGAGAAGGTTTCTTCGGATACATCTGACTGGGCTGAGAGGCGGGAGAAAGTTCGGGACGTTTTCATTGTTAGTTGGGAGGGCTATGAAAAGAACGCTTGGGGTAAGTTGTGGTGTGGCTTTTGCGTTGGATGCAGGACTGATACTTTTTCAAGGCTACGACCAGTACCGTCCCGTGTCGAATGTCAACCAGGAGGTTACTAGCGGCGGGTTAGGGTGGATGATTGTCGACTCGCTGGACACCTTGATGATCATGAACCTGACCTCCAAGGTTCACCGAGCCAGACAATGGATCTCAACCTCGCTACAGTATGATCAAGACCGAGAGGTAAACACATTCGAGACGAGTATTCGCATGCTCGGTGGTTTGCTTTCTGCGCACTATCTTTCGACCCAATTCCCCGATCTGGCACCGCTAAACGACGACGATGTCGGCGCTGCGGGTGAAGATTTGTATATTGAGAAGGCTGCCGATCTTGCCGACAGACTGCTTGGAGCTTTTGAGTCTCCGAGTGGCATCCCATGGTCAAATGTCAACCTCAACACGTCCGCGGGTATCCCAGTTCACTTTGATGAGGGCGCCACATCTATCTCTGAGGCTGGATCAGTGCAGCTTGAATTCAAGTATCTGGCCAAGTTGACCGGAGAGGCAGAATACTGGAAGATAGTGGAGGATGTCATTAAGGTAGTTGACTCTCAAATGCCCCAGGATGGCCTTGTGCGTTCTGCTATCCACCCCGACAGTGGGACGTTCAAGGGAGACAGTGTGAGTCTCGGCAGCAAAGCAGACTCGTACTACGGTATGTTTGAATATTTAGAATGGGATTGGATATCAGCTGACCCCTCTAGAATGCCTCATCAAGCAATACCTGCAGACCTCACAACAGGAACCCGTCTATAAAGCAATGTGGGACGAGGCCCTGAAGGGTATGCGCAAGCATTTGATCACATTTACCAAGAATGCACATCTCATGGTCATCGGCGAACGGCCCCAAGGCCTGGACAAGGAACTTCTACCCCGAATGGACCACCTGGTCTGCTTCATGCCCGGAACAATTGCGCTCGGCGCCACAGGTGGTCGCTCACTGGCCGAGGCAAGAAAGTCCTCGGACTGGTCCCAGCAACGCGAAGAGGAAATCCTTATGTCTCGCGAACTGATGAAGACCTGCTGGGCAATGCACAAGAGAACAGCAACAGGACTTGCCTCCGAGATCTCTTACTTCACACTTGACTCTCAGCCAGTGATGATGGGAGACAAGTACCCAGACTTATCCACCAACCCAAAGCAAGGAAAGCCCGAAGCACTCAAAGGGATTTCCAAGTCCCTGGAGACGTACGATGGCGCAGAGTCATGGCGCGAAGACATCGAAATCCACCGAAACGACCGCCACAACCTGCAACGCCCAGAGACGATTGAGTCCCTCTTCTACATGTACCGTATCACCGGCGATGACATGTACCGCCAATGGGGCTGGGAGATTTTCAAATCTTTCGTCAAGCACACAGCCGTCGTAGAGAAGAAGAGCGCCTCTCGCATCCCAACGACAACCAGCAAAGAACCCATTTTCCGCATCAAGGGCTTCACCTCGCTCGGAAACGCGGATGCCATCCCACCCTACAAACGTGATAATATGGAGAGCTACTGGATGGCAGAGACGCTGAAGTATTTCTATCTCCTATTCTCAGACCGTGATTTCATCTCTCTTGAGGACCATGTCTTCAATACTGAGGCTCATCCGTTCCCGCGGTTTAAGCCTAGTGGTGATCTTAAGACTGGGTGGGAGAGGAAGCCAAGGCAGTAGATTTCAAAATTTCTTGACGAAGCATGTCCTTTTTGTCCGTGATATGTTTGTACAGCGCTTTGTTTCTATGTTTTATTCGGAATCTGGTTCTCCAGATTATGTATACCAACTTTTGTACATGACCAACGTTATTTTCAGGCGCAATATATAAATTTGGTGACATGATTCGGCATTAGAGATTGCTTTCCAATATCCCTTTTTGTAGGAAACTGATCAGACCCTACTGGCATTATATGCAAAGTAGCTAAAATAATGTGATTACCCGAAATAATGCTTCCCGGCTGTCGTATCCATGCTATGCAAATGCAACGGCCAATTATACTGTGAGGCCCTGCTCCTCTCTATCCAAAGCAGCCTGGATCAGCTTCTTAAATCCACCAACGGCGTCCTTGAGCTGGCGCACGCTCAAAGCCTCATGGTCACCATGAGCAACAAAGATACTGCCAGGGCCATAAAGGTAACGCTTGACGCCAAACCGAACAGACAGGTTCGGAACATCGGTACCATAGTTCACGGTAATAACATCAAAGCCTTCAACATCGGTATCAAGATCCACAGGCGCATAAGACTCACCATGCGAGCTGAAGTCCACAACAACCTCAGCCTCCTCGTCACGGCTAGCATCCGCAACAGCGCGCTTGATAATCTCATGCGCCTCGTCAGGTGTTCCAGCGGCAAGACGTACGGAGACATCAGCATACGCCTCAGCGGGAACGACATTAGTCGCAACACCAGCGCGGACAACGCCAACATTCAGCGTCGTCTCGCCATACTTCGGGGAAGAAGGAAGACCGCCCTCCTCTGTCGGGGTACTGCCCAACTTGTCGACGCGAGAAAGCGCGGGTAGGATGGCTGAGACAGCACTGTGGCCGAGCCATGGGTATCCCGAGTGTGCGGCCGAGCCGTGGGCGAAGACCTCGAAGCCGAGCATACCTTTGTGGCCGGAAACCAGGTTTGCTTCGGTGGGTTCACCAAAGACGAGGGTATGGTAGGCGCTGTCTTTGTTGTACTCCGAGTTGGAGAAGGCCTTCATTCCATCACCACCGACTTCCTCGCCGACGACGAAGAGGAGGCCCAGCTTTGCGTCGGGTTGCTCGTTCAGCGTTTCCAGTGTGGCGAATATTTGCGCCGCAACGCTGCCCTTAGCATCGACAGTACCACGGCCAGCCAGGACGAGATTTTCAGAGTCAAAGCTGCCCGACTTGTCAGTCTGAGGGCGATGTACCGAGTATGGAATGAAAGGCGGAACGGTATCGATATGACTCGTAAGAATGATGGAGGGAGACCCCGAATGCGAGTCAGGATAGGCGTAAATATTGTATCTTGTCTTTGGGCTTTCATGGCCATTCAGTGGAGGTACCTCCTGCTTCACGACGGTGAAGTTCCTAGCCTCTAGGAACTTTGCGACAAAGAGGCCGACATCGTGCTCATTGCCCGAGACTGACTCAATTTCGACTAGGTCTCGGTGGAATGATAGTAGAGGCGAGTTGTTGATTATATCCTCTGTGTCGGTCTGGCTGTAGACCGGCTGAGAAACGGTGGATGCTGCTCCTAGGGGTTCCTGTTGTGCAGGTGCGGGGTGCGGAGAAGCCTTCACGCCGGTGATAGCAGCCGCGACTGCGAGGTATGAAGAGAACTTCATTGCGGGTTGAGGGGATGGACAGGTATCAACCAAGAGAACTTCAGTTCAGTTACAGCTGCAATTCTACAGCATCAACTCCAGATAATTGAAACAAGCGGGTTGAAGCCTTGCAGGAGGTTGGATGCCGATGACGGAAATTCCCGATAGATAAGTATAGGGTCACGTGAATCGGAGATAGTTATATTAAATTTATAGTCATGAGGTGATCTCCTTTGATCCCGATTGGATTGAGTTGTGTGTGGCTTTGTGAACATCCATTATATATTCCTGCTGTTTACAAAGAGGCTATTCGCATCAACTTGCTAGAATGGATGTGCTAGGTATATCACGACATCTACGCTATTTATATGATTATCAGGTTCACTCATTGGGCTATCTGCAGTAGTGGGATCACACTGATTCGGTATCACAATCCATTCTCATCCACGTATCTTCAATCCAACGGAAGCCAACAAAAGGCACGAGACACAATATGGCAGGAGATTAAGCTCGTTCGGTGTGTTCCTTTCTGTGAATGGGTCTGTCCAGCTGCTGATAAATACCAGGTATGTCTCTCAGGGAGGAGGGATAGATCGACAAATCGCATGCTCTCAACGGCCGTGTGTATCAACAATCGGTCACAGTGACTCAACACTTCAGTCGTGTGCATAAACCGGACGTGTGCTTTAATAACAGCCAAATGTATGTAGGAAATATAAACATGCCTACGGGCGTCATACTGGGAGTATCATCAGAATTTAAAGCCGGAGGGGCCAACGTCGCCGTAGAGGTGCTGCAGGTTCGGGTACGACTATTGGCCACGCTGGTAGATGTTGCCAATGTTACTGGAGGGAAAATGGACAGCCTCAGATCCAGAGTAGTATTAATGAAATACTTGCTCAAAATTATCAGCCGAGATCCTGCTCGGACCAAGGCCGGTTTCGGCCCAGTTATGGATTGTTCCAATGTTCATAGCGGAGATATTGATCGCTCCGGGGTTGGTCTGGTGTTGAGGAAAATGTGACCAACATTTCCAAACGTGTAGTTCATGGGTTTTTCGTCACCACCCTGGGGGAGCCTGATCTGAGGATTCTCATCATAAGCGAGTTGGACGACATTGTAGCCGGAAGACAGATTGACAGCTTAAGCAGCGCAGCGATGGGAAGTTGTAAGAAGAGATGGGGGTATGAGAAGAAAAGAATAAATGCAGACAATGAAGCGAGAAGCCACAGGCCTGAGAAGTTGGGATTGTTGAGGTTTGCTGTTGATGAGCCATGCGTTGTCTGTTGCTATGACTATTCACGTTTGCCCAGCAAGCATCACCACGAACAGGGGTTCTGTGATCACTCAACACATAAACCCATAAGGGCAACTTCAGCACTCGATCGATTTCAACGCGAATCAAGTGGGTTCCACTGTTCTGTTAACTTGGAAATATATTGAGTATAGATGTTGATATGTACCTTGGAAAGATATGCGAGAATTCACCGCTAATACTTGTTCAGTAAAAGATCATTATTAACTAAAAAGTAACGTTCCCGAGCGAGTTCCCTAACGTCGACTATTTACCCAGGAGTCTCCCGAAGTCGTAGTATTGGGGTCCACAAGCACCGAGTCAGATGCCGAAGATCATGGCAATCAGTAAATGACGGATAGCATGAAATAAGCAATACTAAGCTCGGAACTTGGAGGTATCAGATACAGTGAGCTACAAGTGTGTATTGGGCGTCAAGATGTGACAAGTGATATCACAACGCAAACATCGGGATATCGGCACCATGATGACTATAACTAGCATACTCCATTATCCGCGACACATTACTCAAATAAGAAATATGCACAGATACTCGAGACGATCCTAGCTGCAGGGTGGGCCTTTTTAGACTTACCCACAATAGTACGTAGACTGCAGAAATTTACGGATAGCATGATGCCATCGAATTCAAACCGAGTACACAAGTTGAGGTAAATAACTCATATGAGGCTTGTATAGTCAATGTATCTTGGCACGTCGGTTGAGGCTGTACATCAGCAGAATGTACCAACACAGGAAAGTTAACTCCGAATCAACTGTCCGTGGAGCCCGAACTAGTCCTGGACCACAATAATTCAAAAATAAAGACTCTACTATCCACTATAGACTACTTCTATACAAATCTTGCAAGAACATTGGGTATTACTAGCATCACGCCACTAGATCCTACTTCCGCATTTCAAGGAAGCTGCTTAGTATGACGCCTAAACTATCTTCCATGCATAATGTATATTTATTGCACATGATATTATGCTTTGAAAGTTACATAGTGTACATGATATGGTACCTTATTTGCCTATTTGTTCGGGAACATGCATATGCTTAATGAACGCCACACTATACACAAAAAAAAAAGACAAGCTTCTTACCCCTGTCAAAAGTTCGGCATGTTGATGCCGGGAGGGGTTCTTGTGAAGGCAGAACCAAGCATAGGTATGCCCGGTCCGGATAACGGGTACTGTGGGCCTGTTTTTTGAGAAATGATCTGCACATGCAACAATGTAGCCCACACATAATGGAGCCATCCATGAGTGAGCGGCAAATCGGCTGTTCAAGAGGGCATTTTTCCGATAGTAGAGAGTTTGGTCAAGATATTGGATCAAGTCACTCTGGTCAGAACTATAAAACTCGACATTCCCGCCGTGGACAGTCCATCAGAGCACCATCTATTTCTGCATTACACTGTTTATCCAGCTTATTCATATTTTATTCACCTGATTTAATTATGAACCAACAAAAGAGACTTCTAGCGATAGCTGTCGATGACCATGCAAAGCACAACCCTAGCAATATCTTTGCAGTCATCCCGCAAGGCTCGGAACTTAGCCATGGCTTCCGTAGCCTGACCATGAAAGACCTGGCACACGCTGTTAACGGTATGTGTTGGTGGATTGAAGGAACTATCGGACTAGCACAGTCGCCCGAGACACTGGCGTACATGGGGAGCAATGATGTGCGCTATTTCGTCTTCATGCTTGCCTGCCAGAAGACCGGTTACCAGGTGAGAACAATCACCATACGGTTGACATGGAGGTATGCTGACCGATTCTTGACAGGCTTTCTTGCCTTCGACCAGGAACTCGGATGAAGCTCATCTCCACCTATTGAAAGTGATCGACTGCACCAAGTTCTTCTTCAGTGAGGAGCGACGGGCAAGAGCTCTGGAGATCCAGGGGCTCTCTTCGAAGGCCTTGGAGCTTTTCCAGGTTCCCGCTCTCAAGACCGTCCTCAATGAGGAGCCTGGTCTGCGCTATTACCCATATAACAAGTCGTTTGCCGATGCCGAAAATGACACAATATGTATCATCCACAGTTCAGGAACAACAGGTAGGTCTTGGATATATGAATTGTGCCGTCCACTGCTAACTTCCGTAGGCATGCCAAAGCCAGTATACCTCACCAACGGCTTCTTTATGACTCTCGACTCGCTCTCTAACCTTCAATGGCCAGCAGGCCGCATTCCAGCTCCCTTCTTCCATTTAGGCCAAGAGGACCTGGTGCTGAGCACAACACCCTTTTTCCACCTCATGGGACTGATGGCCTTGATATTCACGGTCTGGTTTGACGTTCCTGTCCTAATTGGCCCTGAGAAGCCACTGTCCGTCGATCATATGGTGGGACTTATGCAAATCGGCCGTCCGACATTAGCAATGTGTCCACCATCGGTTTTGGAGGACATGAGCTATTCTGATGAAGCACTGTCCTGTGTGAAGAACCTCAAATCCGTACTCTTTGGAGGCGCACCACTTGCACCAGACGTTGGAGACCGTCTCCGCCAACACACCACAGTTGTGACAGTGATCGGAACCAGCGAGATTGGCTGGATTGCATCGATGGTACCAGAGGACCCAGCTAACTGGGGTTACTTTGAATGGAACGACACATATGGTGTCGATATGCAGGATATCGGCGAGGGCATGTTTGAGATGGTCATTCCTCGACAGCCGGATGCTCGCGACTTCAAGGGTATCTTCCATACATATCCCGACATCAGTGAATATCACACCAACGATCTGTACACTCGACACCCGACACACCCCCGTCTCTGGAAGTTCCATGGACGAAAGGATGATGTGATTGTGTTGAGTAACGGAGAGAAATTCAACCCCGTGGGAATGGAAACCATCATTGAGGGTCATCCGTTGGTTGATAGTGCGGTTGTAGTTGGCCAATCCCGCTTCCAAGCTGGGTTGCTCATTGAGCTGAACCATGATGTGCCGGACATGGACACCAAGCTATTTATCGAGCAGATTTGGCCGACGGTGCAGGTGGCTAATTCAACCATTGCTGGCCACGGACGAGTCATGAAGAACAGGATCGGCATTGCTCCCAAGACGAAGGCCTTCAAGAAGACGCCGAAGGGCACTGTACAGCGTCGGACTGTTCTTCGGGAATTTGAGGAGGAGATTGATGCGATTTATGCTCAAGGAATGGACGACGAATTTGACCAAGATCTTCCGGAGAGTTTGGATTCCGAGAGTGTCACCAAATTCATTCGCCAAACCATTGCGCGTGTCTTGGAGAAGGAGATATTCAGTACTCAGGACTTCTTCAGTGCTGGTCTTGATTCTTTGCTGGCCATCCAGGTCTCTCGAATGATGCAAAAGATCATCGAATTGCGCCCAGGAGTGAAAGCAGCCATTACTGCTCAAACCATTTATGCCAACCCGACAATCGAGAAATTGTCTACTGCTGTGCTAGCCATGCTGGAAGGGAAATCCCAGGCTGAAATTCCACGCGAAAAGAAGCTCCATTACTTGGTGAAAAAGTATACGTCCGACCTTCCCGTCCGGAAGGTCCGCCACAATGAATTGCAAGCGCCTACCACTGTGATTTTGACTGGCTCCACTGGCTCATTGGGCAACTATCTACTTCATCGTCTACTGAGCAGCGAGTCTATCTCTAAAGTCTACTGTCTCAATCGCTCCGACGCCGTATCACGACAGCAAAAGGGCTTCGAAGAGAAGGGCCTGTCCCTGGACAACTGGAACAAGGCCGAGTTCCTGCAAGCATCATTCGGAGCAGAACGCTTTGGCCTTGACGGGGCTAAATACCAGGAGCTCGTTGACTCGGTCGACACCATCATCCACAACGCGTGGAAAGTCGACTTCAATCACACCGTTGACTCTTTCGAAGACACTCACATTCAAGGTGTGCGACGCTTCGTCGACTTCAGCCTGAGCAGCCGCAACAATGCTCACATTCACTTCGTCTCTTCTGTCAGCACAGTAGGGGCCTGGACACCTGAGATGGGATCTTCGATTCCAGAAGAGCCCATGGACAGCAATGTCGTTCTCTCCCAAGGATACGGCGAGTCCAAACACGTCGCGGAGCGTATCTGCCTCGAAGCCTCACGCCGCTCAGACGTCCCTACGACGGTGTATCGCGTTGGACAGATCGCAGGACCAACCAGCCGGAGTGGACAATGGAATCCACACGAATGGTTGCCAATGATCATCGCGACGTCGAAAGCGATGGGTAAAATCCCAACTCGCTTAGGATCAATGCCCGTTGATTGGGTACCGGTGGTAAGAAACCATCCCAAAGCTCAAACAAGCCGAAGGGACCGAAAGCCCCTGGCCGAGAAGAACTCATGCTGATCCGTCTCGAAATAGGACACCCTCTCCGCGATTATGGTGGAGATTGTCAACACACGTCATCGGTCGTCCGACCTGCCCTGGGCCGTGTTTCACCTCACCAACCCGGAGGCAGCGCCATGGTCATCGCTGATTCCAGCCGTTCAAGAGCAATATCCGGTCGAGCCAGTTGATTTTGCTGCGTGGGTTGCCGACCTCGAAAGCATTTCCAATCCCAGCAGCGCGGACCTCGCTTCCAAACCGGCGCTCAAGCTATTGAGTTTCTACCGCGGGCTTTTAGATGAGGGGGGGTATGTCTGTGCCGTTGGATGTCCGGCGGGCGAGAAACGCCAGTCGTAGCATGCGGACCTTGGAACCAATCTTGGCCTCGCTGATGCAAAACTGGCTACAGCAGTGGCAGTTTTAATCTACTGTCTAGATTAATATCTTCTATCAAGAGTCCAATAAGAGACCTCATTTCGGCTTACATCATCCTCGATAAGGTTTTTCTCGTTCATTTAGCCGAGAGATAATGATTGGCTGTCGGTCCGGACTAAGAAAGGCTAGCCCCGTTTCAGCGACAGCGTCGCCCAACTTGGACAAGTGACCTGCAGGGATGTTTCTAGTAGAAGATATGATCGGGGATCGCCAGGGGAAAACAAGTTATAAGTCAAGAGCCGTGTGATATATCCACCCATACTTGAGAACCGAAGGCAAAATGACCTGTTGAGAAAAGTCACAGAATAGGCCTGAGTACACCTCAAGAGGCACACCCGGAGAGGCGTCCCTACGACCATGGGTTCCCCTCCTCTTGGCTCCCAGTCGCCAATCACCATGTAACAAAGCAATGGTTCCCGAATCCCCGTGGCCAATTCTGCCATGTGGATCTGACGTAGTTGCCTTCCCCTCTCTTACCTACGGCTTCCGATATTGCATGTTCGCCTACTGTAAAGGGTAGTCCCCGTTCGGAGCGTACACGGTATTTCCAACTGTACCTGGTCGTCATACTCGGACAAAGTTCTTACAGGGACCGTTGTGCTCCTGAATCACGGGTGGATGCAGAAATGGAAAACGGTCAGAAAAATAGAGAAAAAATAGAGAAAGTGACCCATCAAAACTGCCCAAACATATTAAGAGTTCACCTGTCGAGACTAAAGCGAATAAGGAATGGACGACTGGGTCGGTATGGCATCATAAAAGTAGTTCCCGGCATCCACTCCAGTCTAGACGCTGTCGATCGCACAGTTGGATTTTAGACTGTTGTGTAGCCGTATACAAAGAAGAGAATAGATAAAATAAACAGAATAGATAAAATAGGAATGCAGAGCATACAATAGAGAATGGATGGAATAGAATCACTATATTGGCCACTCTGTGCAGTAGAAAGAAAAAGAATCAAAGAGGAAGGCTTCCAGACTCTTTGCGGTTCCGTGGTTCCCGGTATTTTTCTTTCGGATTTCGCATCGACGATCGGCTCTTAGTCAGTTTTCACTTCCGACGTCTATGTCTTTCTCTTTCTGTATATCTCTTTCTCTCTTGATATTGTACCCTATCTCTCACCAGGATCTCCCTGCATTGCTGGCCCGTTTGCTGATCGTGAGTATTCCCCCGCGAAACGTTCGTTTCTGCCCAGCCAGCTGGTCACCCCAACTTGTTTGGTCCACGTCGCTTGCTTTTTTTCGGTATTTTTGGATAGGTTCTATCAAGATCTCTGCTAACTGGCTCTATCCCTCAGTTCCCGCTTTCCCGGACTCTGATCACACCGCCACCTTTCCTAGGGAATGACTTTTACCTCTCTCTTTATCTAAGCTCGTCGCCAATGCTGAGCTGTGATCCATCTCCATTTATACAGCCACGGGCACCCGTTCATAATGCACAAAGTGTCTCAATTAATCGACGCGACACGAGATTCTCTCGACGATATGTCGCGGCAGCCCTTGTCTCCGTTGACTATTAACACCTCCGCGCCGGCATCACCGGCCATCTCTTTGTTCTCTACCACAGGACACAACCGCGTTTCGAGTTCCGTCTCTTCCCTCGTATCGTCAGATCTCAAGAACTCCATGGATAGCCCTAGGAGTTATTTGACCGGAGTAAAAGAGGAGGAATCGCGTGACTCATTGGAAGAGCAATATTTCCGTATGTATCGCACGGGAAGAGAGAAGATATGTACTAACCGTTCTTTAGAACATTTTGATTGTGGCATGAACGACGAGTCATACTTCCCCATGGATAACTCGGATAACTACGACCTCAGCGATACTGGAATGGAAACTACCCCCCTATCGAAAAAGCGCCGCTCAGATGACGCATCGATGAAGGGAGTCTCGCGCATTGGTTCACGCATCTCAACTATGTCAACCCGGTGGAAGCGCTCCCACTCTTCGGGCACTGAAATTGATGCGTTCCCAGACGATCTACGATCTCGCGCTGGCTCAGCCTCCTCCGCACTAGCCAGCCCCGTGGTCGGTCCTTTGAGCCGTGTCGATTCAATTCCTCCTTCGCCCGCTCGCACCATCTTCGAGGAGCGTGTTAGCGACTCTGGCGCACGCCCAATTGATATTACCCGGGCCAACAGCTTCAGCCAGGACGACAATGACAAGCAGCAAGCCACGACTCCGCTTCTGCCGCCATTGTTGGGAGACGACTCAACAAACATTGTTTCCCGTGTTCAGTCGCCCCTGCAGTCGCCCTCGGTAGCCGATGTCAGCGAGCCTCACCACTGGAGTGTGACTTCCGACCCCCGTTTCATGGGAGTTCTTCCCTCACCCCCGCTTTCCTCCAAGCCATCTGTGGCCTCGTTCAACCGGCCCCGAACTAGCACCTTACGCACTGTCTCGGGTGAAGCACCCCTGGTCCTTTCCGATCCCAACGATGAGTGGGCCAACAAGCTCGGTCACGCCAATTTCACCATCCAACCCGAGCCGTATGTTCCCGTGATTTGCGACATTGGCAACTTCCAGCAGGTGCGCGCCGACTGGGATATTGCGCGATGCAATTTTGCCAAGCACCTTGTCCGTACTGGCGAGCATTACGGTGTTACCTCTACTATCTACAGGCTCACCATTGAGAAGTGGGAGGTCATCAACCGCGCATGGCGCACCCAACACGAGGCCATGCTCAACCAGCTCGGGGCACTAGATGGTGTCGCCCTCACCTTGACCCAGTCTAACATCGACCCATGCGCAAATGTCCGCATTCCCGGTCTTCACGACAAGTTCCCCGAGATGGGAGACGAGGACATCGTCGGCCCAATGACTGTCGCGCCAGCTACAGAAATTGGCGGCCCATGCCGAACTGAGAAGAAGAGGAATTTCTTCCGCTTTTTCCAGGATCTGGTCTCCCGACCTTAGACAGCCGTCCCTGCTTGTCTTCCTTTCGTTTCGTTTCCTTTGCTCTTTTCCATCCAGCGACCCGCAACGATAATGACCATAGAATATTCCCCACGGCGTTTCGATACGCGCCACCTGTCACGACTAATGTCTCTCTCTCACCGTGTTTTCCTTTGCTTGTCCAATAATGACTCACGATTTCCGATCCGGTCGACTATTTCCTCGCCCGATCATGTCCTTCCTTCTCTTCCCAGTCATGTTTTTTTCGGGATACGGTATCTGTCTTGTCTGACAGATACAGACAAGGCGGATACCATATCCCGGACTGGGCTCAGACCCGTCCATTCCTTTTTTTTTTTTGCTTAATTATACCCTATACACCAAGCCTATTCATTGTATCGCATAGACTTCATTCCCAATTCCCTTTTTCATGCCTCTCCGAGCGCAAAGCAAAAAGCAAAAGAAAAAAAGCACATGTTTCCATATCTGTAAATATACACACAGCTTACCTATTGGCGGGCTTCATCTTGTATTCATTTGGCAAATACATACTATACTTCTCTCCTACACTTTCCATATCATATGTTCACCCCAATTGACCTATCTCAAACAATACACTAATAACTCCCGCATATTACATGCACAGCGAACACGAGGATGACAATGCATGGCCCCAGCATCATCCGAGGTCCAGGCACGTGGAGCATCTCAAGCCAGTTCATGCACAGACGACCAGTCAGTTGTACCTGACAGCCCTGTGTCCTTTGTGCCTGACCACAAAACAGCTGTTTCGTTGTTCAATGAGTCACTGGGGTGAAAAGGAAAGCCCTAAGGTCCACCGAACATGCACGACCGGTAAAAGAGGAGCTAGGTGGGGGTCCGCCACGTCTAAGGCACTACCGCCATTCCCTCATTTCTTTTCGCCTTACAAGTCCCAATCAGATAATAACATAATACAAAGATCAAAAGTTACCGATGTTCAAGCAGAACATTACAAATCATTTATCAATCATACAAGTGCAGATTTAGGCTCCGATGTCACAAGGCACCCGCAGAGTGATGCGATACCGTTGGTGTCTGATCCCAGACTAGCTCCATCCGGGTGAATATCTGTAGGAACAGAAGCTAGTGCGATATTAGTCTCGGGTCGACGTGTTCCAGGTGCCTTGGCGAGATTCACTTTTCCGGCTTTACGCTTATCTGGAGTACCTGAGGGGACCTGAGGGGGGGGGGTACCTGAGGGGCAGGGTTAGGGCTTTTGGCTTTGGATACCCGTGGAACTGGTTCGGGGGCTTGAGAGTACCTTTGGACTTGGGTATTGTAATTCAATGCAGGAACTTTTTTTTTTTTTTTCCTTCGCTGCTTCTCGCTTCTCTTTTCGCTTCTGGGTTTTCTGCTGTGGCGAATCGCTTATTGTTGCGGTACAACTATACTGCACTTTACTGTGCAGGATCGGATCTGATCACCTATTGTTACTTATTCACTAAGAATAGTCTGTGTATCTATAACGGTTATTTTAATGCATGGATGTATCTGCACAATCCGAATAATGTCTTAGTCGTACACTCTAATCTCAGACGAGACACTAGGTCTAGACCTATGCTGAGAAGTTTAGATGTATACTGTAGAGGGTATAATGAAACAAACTATATCCCCCAAACCTGTTTTCATTCATGTCAGACCCATTAGATTAGATCTTACATGCGTCGACAAGCAACAAAGGAATGTAAAGAAATGCATTGATTCAGGTTTAGATGGAATCCAGATTCAAATCCCTTTGTCTTCATCGAAGCAGTCCAGATGGGCATTTTCCGCTTTGATGTGGTCATTTGAATGATTAGGAAACCGAATGCTATCAATAGATGTACGTGCCCAGCTGCTATGCAATATTTCATATTATCAACTGTACTGTAGACCTGAACTGAGATGAGACATGGTATTGATGGAGCCTAGAAAGAAGCAAAACCCAAGCCGTGAGAAAGGACCTTGAAAAAGAACATCAAGTGTTAATATCATCGATACTTTCAAATCCAGTACTGGCGCCAAAGAGCCTTGGCCTCGTCACTGCCGCGGAACTGGAACTCGACAGGGATGATATCGTCGAATCCCTCGTCTAACGTGGGTGCCTGGAAGCGGCGGCCGAAGTCGCCAAAGGCGATTCCTGGAAGGGAGGTTCTAGATTCGGGATTCTCGGAGGATGTTAGTATAGAGATGCATCATTGGGTGTTATGGTGTTGGCTGGTTAAGACACGGGATATTGCCGATTGACGCGGGTACGTACAAGGTTTTTGTTAGATGCGCGGACAGCGTCGTTGTGTTTGCAGAGGTCTGGGGTTGAGATGAACTGGACGCAGCGGATGGGCACTTTCAACTCCTTTGCTAGGGAGGTCCAATAGGCTCTTGTTTCCGGGTCGGCATTTGTGTTGTCTGTTCTTGGGTTAGTTTGTTGGTCAGTTTGATGGGTATGGATGAGGATGGGACGTACCGACTACAACTGATTTCTTAGCTTCAAGGTGTTCGCGAGCGACCTTGAGGCATTTCGGGCGCTGCGCTTGATTAGCAGGGAATTCGGTGGAGTTTCCGTATGGGTGATGCGAGTGCATACCGTTTTAAGCATATCCTGGTTCACTCGTTTGTAACCGAGAGGTTCCAGATGAGTCCAGTAGAAAGTAGATTTGCCAGCACCAGGACTTCCACAGAAGATGACTAGTTCCAAGGGGTGCTTGCGAGTAAATGGTTTGGCTTTTATATGAATTAGCCATCGATTTGACCTGGGGATAACTTCTCTGTGGAAAGAGGGATAGCATACCAGGTTCCTCTTCCGACTTCACATAGAGCATCGGATCAAACAGCTTTGTCGCTGGCTCTGTTGTTTCACCGAGAAAGAACTCTTCTGGTGTCTTGAAGGACATGCCCATGTTCGTGGCCAATCCACTAGATCATATCAGCATCCATCGAAATACTAAAAGCAACTGTGAGATGCTTACCGATCCACACCCGAATGATCACCAGGCCGTCCAGCTGCGTCTCCCACAAAGACTGAGCCAGAAAAATCAACACCGGCAACATCAAGGTCATAGTCATCCAAGAACTCGTGCCACATCCCGAGACGGGGCTTGCGGTACTCAGGATCCGTAGTAGCTGCGTAGACGCTCACGGGAATATCAAGTTGCGTCAAGACAACAGTCATCTTCTCTTTGAAATTCGAGAGACTCTTCGATTCACTTCGACCCCCCTTGATGTCTTTCTGAACGCTGATCTTCTTCTGGTTTGAGAAGATCACGACTTGGTAGCTGTAAAGTGTAAGCCAGGGTTTTCTCGCTGAGATATGTATGCTGACCCTTCGGAATTGAGCTCCTTCAGACGACCTGGAACTTTGTCGTTCCACCATTGCCAGTCTGTTGCTGACTTTGGGAACACATTGCCGGATTTTGTCTTGATCAATGTTGAGTCCTGAAGCGCTTTTTAGCATAGCTCTGACATCCAATGCTGTTTTAGCATCATTACAGGTAATTGAACACATACCAGATCAAATCCAGCAATACGGCGTTTCTCAGAGGGACTCGGCACTTGGTTCTTGGAGGTCTGTTTTCCGATGATGCAACTCGTCCCAATGAGGCGCCATGTAATTACTTCAGGCTTCTTCTGCGAGGCCGGAGTGAAGAAATTGGCAACCGACTTCTCTATAAACATATATCAATAGCTAATCAATCAAGGTAGCCAGAGAACCTACTGGTGACAGTCGGGTCGACCTTGCGGCGTAGCGGAGGCGGTGAAATGGCCTGGGGAGAGGCACTCCTTTTAGCTGGCCCCTCGGCCATTCTGACGATGCGAGCGAGAGAGAACGTTTTGAAGGGTTTAGGGCTAATTGGAGCTGCAGCTCAATTCCTTGTGTGTGTTGAAGTTGGAGATCTAGGGACGCGCCAAGACCAAGACGCGGAGTCACCAAGTCACATGTTTGAACATTGAATGGGTCAAGTCAGAAGAGAAAAATGAAAGATGACATAAATTGTGTATATTGTTTTGATCGCTAGATGGGTATCTTCTTTTTTGATGAATTATGTGCGAGTTCTAAAACATTCCATGCCTTGTTTCCTCAGCTAGAGCCAGTCGAGGCGTCTACTTAGCCCTCGTATCAAGAGAGAGCCGGTCTGCCTGCTCGAGACGAATTACCGACTTCAATTGCTCGCGTAGCCCGAAGAGATGCTGCGAGGCTAGCTTCATCGTTTCTTGGTTGCTCCCGTCTTGAACAGTAATGGAGGCCTGTAGAACGTAGCTCCCGCTCTTTTCTAACGGCATCATATCCTTCAATGGAGGCATCTGCTGTCGAGGTTGACTTGGCTCCTGGTCGGTCGGGTATTGCAGAACCCGCTGCAAAAAGATCACAATTTCATTGTGTACGAACAGATCACCCTCAACCACATGCTCGTTCACGAAGCTAAGATTTCATTAGCGCCGCCAATCATAAGATCCAAGTCACACCACTCACTTGTAGCCCCACGCACTCATGACCGGCATGACATCTCCCGATGGCAAGGATGAACTAGACATCTGACGCGATGTGACAGCCGAGCGAGTGCCAGCTTCCGGGATATCTCGAAATTCCAACCTCCATGGCTGATGTTCATAGTCATACCGGTAAGCCTCGGGCTTCTCGTCTGTACCATCCATATGCATATCGGAATCGATTGCAGCACCAAAGTCCTTTTCAGTGACTGGGCCAACCACCTGGGTGTAGTACATGCTTCCATTGAGCATCTTGTTCAGCCGCTGAAGGTCCCCCGACTGGATGTCCTGGCTGGCACCCGTGCGCCCCGCCATGAGACCGGGTTTGCGATAGGCTTTGAAGATCAGCCGCCGCTCCAAGCAGTGGCGGGGCTGCATGGCTGTCAGACCAGCAAGCTGTTGGAGGAGCTCATAGTGTTGGTGTGCCGGGACCGAGGCGAACAGCAATACCTCGTGCATCTTATGATATGCGGGTGAAGTCGGGATGTTTAGTCAGGGTCCAAGCTTTGAGTGGCGCCTTATCGAATTATTAGATGTGGCGATTTGTAATGCTTCAGGGACAGGATTCTCTCGTTAGGGCAGTGAAACCCTTTCGAAGTATGAGTTCCGCGTATTCACACAAGGGGACCGGAAACGTTAACGCAACCGACTGCGGGGTGGAACAAAGGAATAAACTTGGAGATGCTCAGATCGTACGATTGGTGGAGGAGAGCTTCAGAAGAAAAGAAGATCCCAGTCAATAATTGGGGAGCTCACCGGGAGAGCAAAGTGGGAAAGGATCTGAGAGTCGGGGAACCGCGAATGGCTTCACACTGCGGGGATGAGTTTGGGGATCCCAGTCTACGGCGCTGTCTACCAATAGAGGAAGCCGGGTCAAATTCCGAGCAGAAGTCTGACAGACGTACAACCGCAGTGTTAGTGGCCAATTTAGGAGTGTTGCGTGGTTGAGATTGTACCGCGTAGCCGTTAAGCAGTTCATCGGCTCCGACCCGGTCCCAAAGCGGTAACCCTCCCGCCGGCACTTCTTATCTTCTTCGCTCCTCCTCAGTCTCTTTCTCTGCATCTCTGTCTCTCTAGCTGTATTCTTCTCAATCGCAATCTCGCCTACTATCACTTTCATAATCCAGCTCACCACCTCACTTTCACTCTCTCTCGACTCCGGGTCGGTTCGGATACTACCGGACCCGTTCAATTTCGCACACTCGCGTTAAATTGATCTCAACCCTCTCACCTACACCACCTCCATAACCCACCTTCACAATGCGTGTTACTTCCGCTCTCTGCTCTGCTGCCCGCACCCCTCTCATCCGCTTCGTTGGAAAGCGTTCCATCCCTAGTACGTGAATCCCTCGAGTCCCTCCGAGATCCGAACCCTGAGCTAACATTTCTGTCTCCAGAGTCGGTTGACCACGCTCCTCGCGCTCACCCCGCTTCTCCCACTGGAACTCTCCCCAACTCCTTCGCGGCCTACCGCGCGAAGGCCCAGCAGCACGGCCCTCTCGGTCGCGCTTCCTTCAACAGCACCATCGGCGGCCACTCTGGCGCGTCGCTTGGCCCCGTCAAGCCCCAGAACGGCGAGTTTTTCGACCGCGCTGAGCTCCCCTCGCGTTTCGGCCGTCTTCCTTGGACTCAGGCCGAGATGGAGGCTATCGAGACTGGCGGCGCCAGCATGTTCGCATAAGCGCCCCCTGGCAAAGATCAAACTAGAATATGAGCGATGGGGCATGACACTTCTTTTTGGAAGTTGTGTGATGAGCGATGAGCAGCAGATTGGATTCTGTTTCAACCCTCCCAGAGTCGAGGCTGCTGCTGTTGAAAGGTGGTGTTGAACCTGGCCGACCGTGGTGATGCTTCGGTCGCTGGGACTTGGATCTGATGTTCAGATCGGCCACTCGTTTCCTCAACCAAAACTTCTTTCACATTATACCTTGTCTCTTGCTGTTGGTCAATCGCCATACGCAAGGACACTTTTTTCACAGAGCGCTTCTTTTCCGCTCTGTCTCCTTCTTTCTGTACCCGGCGCTGGTGGTTGATTTATTTCGGTGTTCTTCTTTTATATGCAACCGCTTCCAATTGGAAACGCGAAGAGCTTTTATACATAGATCTGATTGGGTTGATCTTTTGAAGATTCACATTCATTGTTCAATAGTAGGCTCTGGGAGCACTTATCATAGCAATGGATTATCTCGAGGCAAGCTTGGAAGATGTGACCATTTAAGGTTATTACTGCAGTAGGGCATATCCTGCCCTATCATGCCAATTTTATAGCAGCAATTAAGGGTTGACGTGGTCTCAAGCACGTGCCTCCTACCTACCTCTAACCCCAGATTTTGACCTTTATCATCCATTCGATCAACATGGGGTCTAGTGAATCCGATAGACTGATCTTCCAGGAGACAGATGAGGCTGGCAATTCCACCGCAACCTACATCTACTCCGGGGATGGCGCCTCGAGGCGAACTTCATCGGGTCGGGTGGATGTTATGGTAAGACATTCCTCGGACTTTGAACCCCAGCATGGCTGCATTCCTGACGCTTTGCATCTCTCATCTGCTTGTTTGTTGCGAACACTACCCTGGTTCCAGGATGACGTGGCACGTACCAACTTGTCCGGATGAACAGGACCCAACCATGTGCACTAAAAACATGTCTGTTCATTTCAATGCTATGGATAACATACTATAATGATGTCTCGCTTTGATCCGAACATGGGATGGTGATATTCAGCCCTGGTACCTTACTGATATTGAACAGACATCTCCCTCGTCTACCTCCTTATGGTCAACAAAGCCTCTGGTCAGCTCACTGAGTGATGTGTTTCTTCCTTCCGGATACCCTCACAGTGTCAGTGATGACTATCTACCGTGAGTCTTCCAAGGCAAACCAAACAAACTGTGCTTTGTCGTCTTGTCTGTGCCATACATGATCTACAAATGCTAACGGGATATCAGATATCAAGTCTTCGTAAGCTAATCCATGCACTAAACACGGATACTGTTCAATCACCTACATCGCCAATCTGCCATATCAAGCCGAATACCAAATCAAGTCTAACCAACCCAACCCATAGGACTCCCTCCAAGCCTTCTGTAGCTCAATAGCAGGTCTCCTCTCCTCCCGCGCCGTTCTCCAAGGTCAATCCCACTCTTCCCAATGCAAGCCCCAATATTTACACATTGCACAGGAGTCGGCGTCGGCAACGCAGATGCATCCCCAACATCAGCCCTCCTGCTTCACATCTTACAAGACATATCCGGCAGGATAGCCACAATCCTCTTCGCTCACCGCGTCGGCACAGCCCTGGAACCAGAATGCAAGACTTATAGACTTGCCGCAGATGTCTTCAATGACATTGCCATGATCATGGACTGTCTCTCGCCGATGGTTCCTGCTGGTATGATGCGGGTTACTGTTCTCAGTACGGCGGGAGTATTGCGTGCATTGTGTGGTGTTGCTGGGGGGAGTTCGAAGGCTAGCTTAAGTGCTCATTTTGCACGGTGGGGGAATTTGGCGGAGCTTAATGCTGTATGTTTTGTTCCTCTCGTGGTGTTGGTTGAGGTTGATTTGGGAGAGCTGACATTTTGTATAGAAAGATTCGTCCCAGGAGACTGTTATTTCGCTGTTTGGAATGCTGGTAGGTTCTCTCTATATTGTTCTATTCTTTTTTTTTTTTTTTTTTTTTTTTTTGCGTTCAGTGTTCAAATTAACTGGGCATCGGTCACTAACTTTGGACAGGTCGGATCTGTGGTCATCTCACACATTAACAGCTTCACAACAACCTGGATAGCACTATTGCTCCTTCTAGCCCTCCATCTTAGCATGAACTACGCCGCTGTCCGCGCAGTACAGATGACAAGCCTGAACAGACAACGGGCGAACATTACATTCTCGGCTCTACTTGACTCCGACGCAAGCCTGGCAAATAAGCTAAGCTTGAACTCGATGTCGGCCTCAGCAGTCACCAGCAAGTTGACAATTTTCACACCCGCAGATGTAGCATATCACGAGCGCATCTTCCATCGAGATGGGGCACTACGATGGACAAGCCATTCATCAACATCAACATCAACATCAACGGAACATCTAGGCTCAGCCCAGATAGGCCTCGCCCTATCTTCATTCTTCGGCACATCAACCAACGGCATAAAGACAACCATGCCAGTCAACCAACTCACAAGCCTATTCTCAAAAGAGTCCTACCTCCTCTACCTCACACCCTCCTCACAATCTCAAGCCCCAAAACGAACATGGAACGCATCAATCCTCCTCAAAAGAAACTGTTCAATCATCGACCAATTAAAAGCATGGACACATGCATTACTAGCAGCAAGAATCCTGATGCAGATGGATTCGTCAAAACAGAGTCAGGCAGAGATTGAACGGGGCAGAAGTAAAGAAAGAGGACGCATAAACCGAGGGAGGAAGGATTCCTCGCCGGGTGATGCAGCGGATCTTTCTGGCTCGGGTCCTACCCTAGATGTCCTTGAACGGACTCTTTCCTGTTTAAATGCAGAGTCTCGGTTTGAGGGGTATCTTGTGCGTTTAAGAGATGCTGGGTGGAATCTTGATATTGCGGCTTTGGAGACGAGGGGTGGGAGGAGGGTTTCTGTTTGATTTATTGCTGTTTGATCTGGACTGAAGACGGATTGCTGTGCTTTTATTGCTATTGCTATCACTATCGCTATTACTATCGATATCAATATCAATATCGAGTACTCTTACCAATCTCTTCCCTGGTGTCATTGCTCTCTCTCCCTCCATCTATACATATCTCCTTCCACGCCCAATCCCATTCGCAAGTTCTAATTGCAATCCCAAATCCTTCACATTCAATACAAAACACCCAGTATCCACACTCAATGCAACATCGAAATGACCCGACGTACCTAACAAATCAATAGGGTTACACATGCACCCAACCCTGTACAACGCCAAGGCCCTAAGAGTCAAGATGAACCTCATGTCCTCCTTCAATTCTTGGATCTGTGTCTGCTTGTACGACGCTGTGAGGTGTAAAGTTCGAAGTGCGAGTCATGAGTTTGGATCTTGTACGGATTGGGATTGGGTTTCACAAGATTTTGGATTGGGAAAGAGAGTTGGGAGATGGATATAGTTGGGTATTCCATGGTTCGGTGGATGGCTTGATTATCTGGTTGTTTAGTGTTGTAGGTGTGGATGTGTGGTCAGTTAGTTTGGAGATTTGGCTAATTAGGTAGCTAGGACGGTGGATGTGATAAGGTGTACATGTTTGAGTATACAGTATGGATTGGGATTGGGTTCAGCCATTTTAATACTTTGGAAGGTGACATTGCGGTGGGAAGTATTTGGTCTTTTGCTTTATGGACTGTGACTGCATTGATTAACAGTGCCAATGATATCACGTCCACATCTTCACTCCTTGAAGATTTGAGGAAGATAGACTACAGATTACAACCACAAGTACAATTGAGAATAGATGCAAAGTGGGGTATCAAGTCTATTGATCCAACAAATAAAACTCCATAGGGGAGGATATGATATAGAGACATAGTCTCAACAAAACGCCAGGATCCAGTCCGGAAGACCTGAGGTCATCCAATCTATAGATGAGAACATGATATGATATATAAGGGTTTCTTTTCCCGTGATGCCATCCGCCAAAAAAGTAACAAGAAAAAAGAAGGAAAACGCCGGTTTCATATGCTTTCGATGCATCATGCTCTCATACACTGCCAATATAAACGCTCGAAAAGGCTAACAAGTCGTAGGAGATGCATATCGGAATTCATGCGAGGGTGTGTAGAGATATCGTTGAGGTGGTCATGGAGATGTCGTGAGTTGAGAAAGGACGAAAGAGGTATGTCCGTTTTGTAAAGTCGGAGAGAAGAGAAAGATGGGTTTAGTCGTCCAAACCGAGGATCTTGGGGTCGCGACCCCCGTTGCTGCCACCAGTAGACCGCTTTTTGAAGCCAAGCTTCATACCCATCTTCTTCCACGGGTTCTCGGTGCGAAGTTTAGGGCTTTGGATGGGGAGATGTGGTTCGCTGGCAGGCGGGGTGGTGGGCGGCGTCATGGGTTCCTCGGCGGTGGGACTGGACTGGGGAGAGCCGCTGTCATCGGTCAAAGCCAACGAGGCAGACTCGCCACTCATACCGAGCAAAGCACCGGAAGTGCGTTTGCCAATGGCATGCGCGGCGCCGAGTGACATGTTCGAGCGGCTGTGGCCCGTTGATGGGAGATCCCGTGTTGATGACTGAGGGGAGGTCCGCTTGGCACGCGACCGGACCTTTTTCATCGGATTCTCCTCCAGACTGGTCGATGACAGGCTCATGATATCTTCCGGGCCCAGGAGGGGACCAGAGGAGGCGAGCATGGAGGGGGATGTGGTGTGAGAGTTGACAAAAGGAAGAAAGATGGATTCCTCCATGAGATCATGAATGCGTTTGACGGCGGAATCCAGCGTCTCCGGGACGGGAGGCGCGGTGACGGTGGAGTATCGGAGAAGGTCGTCACGCACTTCACTGGAGAGGTTGATTTCCCTTGGTGACCCAGGGAAGATGTAGGCATTCATCAAGCGCTGCCAGAGCATGCACAGGTGCCGACTTTCTGGGCCGTCGGACTCCAGAGCGGCGGGGCCTAAGCGGTCGGTAAAGGCGTAGTATGATTCCCGGTAACGGTTGGCCTCCATGGTGAATTCGAGAGTCTCGAGACAGTGATTCTGGGAGAGGTAGGCCATAAAGGCGCTGAGGGTATATGGGGGTGGTGCGACATTGGCCAGGACTTCGTCGAGGGTCGGGCGCATAGAGAAGGCTCCCGCCGAGACGGCCAGGCTGACCGGTCGGGAGCCAGAGGATTCCATATCCTCTTCAGAATCGCTGTCTGAGGAGGTAGGAGACAATTCGGGGGTAGTAGTTGGAGTATGATTCCGGAAGAAGAGGGACGGCGCCAGCGTCTTCTTCTTAAGCATAGCGTAAAGTTTGCGTCGGGGACCCTGTATCTTCGGCTTTTTTCTCACCAGTCCCCTGCGTGTGGGACGAGAATCCAGAGTGATTATTGTAGCATAGGATAAATGGGAAGGAGGGAGTGTGGTCGTGTGTGTGTGAATGTGTATGTGAGAGAGTGAGTGTATATGTAGAAGTGGAGGTTTTGAATGTGCAGAAGGCAGAAGGGGGAGATAAAAGGGAGGAAAACCGTATAATACCAAAGTGGAGTCGAGTGGAGCGATAAGATATTCTTTTTGGTCTTTTTTCTATTCTTTTTTTCTCTTCTTCTTTTTGCCTGTTTGGGCTTTTAGTGGCAATTCCCTGATTGGCTGTGACTCTTCCCAGGTGTGGCGACACGCCAATCATGACGAAATCTTCCACAGCAAGGGAGTAAATATGGACAGGGGGCATTCTACAGCAAAAACGGGAGATACCATTCCTTCCATGTCATGGGTTTCTGGAAAACTGCGTGGCGACTTGACTCCACCCACGCGAACTGAGCCCCAGCCATCCATCATCTTCGATAAAACTTCTACTATAATGTGTTACAATAATAATAATACGGTTCCTGACCTAATTCCTAATGCAGCACCAATCTTAAGACCAGACTGGCCCACGGTGGCCGCTAGCACGCCATCCGAGACCGGAATGTGAATCCATGACCCACGGTTCAATTATTACAGTAATGTCATTACAGCCAGCGTCACCTTGGGATCGCCGGCCCTGCCGATCTCCATCGTTAACCAAAACCGGTTGGGTAAGATTGCACACAAGCTTCATAGTTGGCACATTCCCAACACTCGTGGACGCGTATGTGGCATGTTCAACCTTACATAGGAATTGACTGGCTTTGACACTGGCTTTGACATTGTGGCATTCGTGTCGCATTTGTAGCATTTGATGGAGGCGAACAGGCTAAACCCGAACAAACGACTTAACAGACTAATAGACCCGCGATGAGGTTTTCTTGAATGCTACGGTCAGTATAAAAATCTCGACATCTTTAGTTTGCGGTATATCACCGCACCCGGCCTGCCCAGCCCTTCTAGATTTTCTAGAATCCCCGCCGAAGCACTTTAGTTCCTCAGCCCACACGATCGCCACATCCGTGAAAGAAATTTCATGACAGGTGTACCCCTGGCGGGCTTGGGCACAGTTCCACCCAGTCACCTGTAGCACCGGATTTTCACCTTTTTTTTTTCACTTTCGCCACTATCCAGATCTCTCCCGAGTCTACCCACACACAATAATATATTATACATTTACACTATAATTATATCCCCTGCACGCCAAGTCCTTTTTTTTTTTTTTTTTTTTACATATCCCTCACGCACGAACCTCACTTGCATATGTGTTCTCTGTAGGCCATCCAGGATATAGCTGGCGAGGAACATCCTAATTCTTCCGGACTACAGCGTGGGCCACAATCGGCTCCGATACAAGCCGAGAGCCAAGATTGGAGGCTCCAATGTGCGGCCCACTTCGCTCACCGTTTCGTGATAAGGTCGCAATATTATCAACGGGGTTTCGTGATGAAGTTGGGTAGGTAAGTTACTCAAGTTATTGTTACGGATAAGTCAACCATTATGTCATGGTTCTGTAGGGCTCTAGCCAGATAGAGTTGGGCTTGACACGGCTCTGAGATGCTTGGTTCGCCTATCAATTGGCTTCAGGGTATCTGACTTGTCTCTGACTGGCGGGTAAAGGGTAGATAGATGATTCAACATTGCAGCCTTGTGACTTCAATTGAGTTATTATTCTAGCCATACATATATTTCTCTATTTCTATATATCTGTAATTGCGTTTAGAGGCGAATCAAAAGTACAGTACTCGTACAAGGTATAAATCCAGACTATAGTAGAACCACTCCCATTGCAACCTTGGCGGTCAGGTAGCAAGGTTCTATATTGATCTACACATGGTCTGGTCTTCAAAAATTTGCATATGCAACTAACAAATTCAATCGAAGCACAGACCGTATGTCTCGAAGCTGTCAACTTGGAGGCAAACTCGGAGGAGAATGCCGCCTCCATACTGTACAGCATATGTAGAATGACTACTGTTGCATCTGGATGTGCATGTAAGCATCAACAAACCAACACCACATACAGTAGCCATATAGATAGTATCATGAATACAGCAAAACAAACAAAACCAAAAACGCCGAGAAAATCACCGAGCGCCGAAACCCTCGGCATACCATATCGCGCCTAAGCAACTCACAGTTCGTACTCCGAGCACACCTATAAGACACAAGTAAACTTCCAAGCGCACCCACCCACAGGATTAGCTGTTTCCTCGTAGCACGCAAGGTCCCTCCCATCTCTCCACAATTTCCCCGTTTCCCCCTAAAAGCAGGATAGCCCGACACGCCGCAAGGATACTCCCCACATCGTCGCGCACGGGATCAAGATGCGCCCTTACCGTGGCCGCTGCGGGCCATTCCTTTCCACTAGGGCGTCTAGAACGTCGGCTCGCTTGCCTGTGTCGCTTCTTAAACGTATGGGGTGCAGGTGCATGGCACTACTGTAGGTCCTGATTCTTTGGGTTTCTCATTCTGACTGTAGGTTTTGGTCTAGTGTCCTTTTAGTGTTTTTCGGCGTGCTTGTGTGGGTGTATGGGGTAGGCTAGTTGCCAGTACTACCACATTTCTGTATGACTCCCCGTGGTGCGTGGGGCACTTGTGTGGTGTGATTGTTTAATTCTTGCCTACTTTCTGTCTATGGTGCTGGTCAGGTATGGTTGCCTGAAAATAAACCTCAGTATACTGTAAGTGCGTAGGGGCTACCCCTGACTCGCGCATTGCAATCCTACAATCCTGTGTAGAATACATTAGAATATAATAATACAGTCAACCTCGATAGACTCGCCCTTATCTACAAGCACGTGCGAGGGATTGACTCAATTCTCAGTCTCAGTCTCGATCTCACTCGATCTCACTCTGGGTCTCAGTCATCCGATGCTATCCGAGGATCAACGCAAGGATGTAAATTGTAAGCACGACAGTAACCCTTCTTCTATATGACGTGCACCTCCCAACCCCGGGAATGACCTTTACCGATCTCCTCTAAACACCTAAAGTGATGAAAATCGCAGATCGCGCAGATCTGTAACCGTAAAACCAGACAGTAACACTTTCATTCCAAAAAAAAAAAAAAAAAAAAAGCCAACGAGATATGGACTAAGTTCCAGACTTCAAAAGTAAACCAACCAAAACAACCAGCTAAGTCGATCAGACGGCAGAAGCCGCAAATGACCTCATTTGACTCCACAACGCATTTCATTTCCTGATTGTCGATGGAGCAAGAAAAAAAAAAAAACTCATACTATCTGCGCTTATGGAGTACACTGTGGGTGTAGAAGCAAAAAAGGTGAGATGAAAGAACGATCGAGGTCTATAGAGTTGTTTCATGCCATATTAGCCTGAATCCTTTATTCTGGGCGTTACGCTCTGCTACTTTACTCCTTACACGCCTTTTTCGGGCCGGCGCTAGGTGAAACACTTTGGCTTTTGTGGTATCATTTGATAACGTTCTGTTTCTATGATGTACACGATTTGTGTATGACAGTATTGTGGGACTGATCTGGATTGTCTCATCGGCTCAACAGTACGGAGTACCTTGGGCGATAATGCTTGTGCCGCTGTCCTATCCTGTTCCTTGATATTTTTCTTCTTTTTGGTGTGTTGCAACCATGGGTTCGATGTGATCTACAATCCTGAACGGGATTTGAACGTTAATGATATGATCGTCGTCACTCGGCTTTGGTATGATGTACAGGGAACTGTTTATTACGGTAGGGCTCCGGATATCGGACATGTGATTCCTATCTGGCCTACTCTGGACACAAGGCTCATGGCTGCATACTGGCTTATGCTTGGGTTTTGGCCCCGGGACATCCGATGTTATCTTGCTATGTGTAAAGGGGGCTAATTTGTGTCTAGGGTTGTTCTGCACACATGCACCTAGGCTTCAAACTCGGCCTTCCTAGGTAACCAATCTACAGTATAGTATTCGCCATCGCTTAATTGAAATGACATATCATCTCTGCTGCAAAGTCATCATATCATCATATCATCATAGAAATACGATGGAACATACACCAAATCGGAGTATATCCTCACAACCAATCTGCATCGTACACATCTAACCAAACAGTAAACATACCCAAGCACCCAAGCTCAAGCTCACCAATCCCAGCCACATACAACCTATCACCATTCTCGAACCTTCTCTTGCCATAACCAGACAAGGAACATCCCCGTAAGCAATCAGCCCACACCAGAAACCAAAAAAAAAAAAAAAAAACCAAAACCCCTGCCCAAGACTCAGCCAAGGCCAGGAGCCATGTATGAAAACGTCTCTGCCTGAAAACAAAAGCAATCAGCAGCCGAAAAAAGCAAGAAAATAAAAAGAAAATAGAAAAGAAACACACGCCAAGGACCGATGGAAATGCGGGGAAGGGAAGTGTAAAGAGCCAAATCACCCACCAACAGTAACACACACACACACGAACATACCAATAGCACGATCAAACCATGCAGCCTAATCATATCCATCCCTCTACAGTACTCTGTTACAAGCCCCATTTCCTCGCCTTCTCCCTCTAACTGGCCAAACCCACCCTAGTGCGCGGATACTTCGTCACCCTGCAGGGCATGGGTGGACCAAGAAACCGACTAGTCAATGCACCATGCACTCCGAGCTGTAGGGGGGATGCTAAAGGGTTGCCAAGGTAGCCATACGTGGTCGTGATTTGCTACATGGTACATGTACAGGGGGGGTTGTGCATACATCCTCCGTATGGGGTAGTCGGGTCCTGGGGCTAGTGCGGGTTATTCATTGGTTTCTGGATGCTGCAGCTGCACCGCTAGCTTGGGATTCTGATTTCGAGCTAGGATTGGGACTGGGAATTGGGGCTTGGACCTTGGCTTTTGGGGGTGGTGGCTGGTGCGTCTGTCTGAGTTCTGTTATTGGTCTTTGGTGTTCGGGGATAGAGGGGGTGTGGGATGACTTCCTTGATGGCGCAGTGGTGTTAATTTAGGACGTTTATTAGACGAGTATTATGTTGGCCGTGCTTTAGAGGGGGTGCCTGGGGTGATCATTGGTAGACCAGACTGGTTTGTGGCGTTTGCGGGAGTTTGATATAGTGCTGTGTGCCATATGGGGTACAGTAGACAGCATTGATGTTTTGCGAGTATCAGCGTTCATGTGTACAGGAGACAGATACTACTCCGCCTATTGGCTACACATAGTCCATGCAGGAAACAACACAGAACCCCCCTCTCCCCCTTACTCGACCATACCATTCCATGCCAGCCAAGAATGTCAAGTGGTGACACGACAGACATGCAAAGAACGAGAATTAAAGGTAAAGATTTGCCCCAAAATCCGGGGTGATCGACGTCTGCAATCATCAGCCCAGTGGCCACTGTCTAGTGGAGGGGGGTAAGGTTTGCGTTACCTTGAAGAAATCATTCATCATTCATGCCAGGACCTGCCGATGTACAATGTACCGCTATGCCCATATCCACCTGGGCAGTCATGCATGTCCACAGCTGCGGAAACCATACTAGACCCTATACACGGCTAGCACCCTAGCACCGGACGTGGTCGCCAATGATGTTGCTGTGCGATGATATCAAAACATGTATCAAGGTGGTGGAGCGTGCCGTTTTCTGGTCTAGATTTGTTGACGTGCATGGCTCCCGTGTCTACTAATTTAGTCTATACTGTAGTAGGTAAGGATGGGCCGATGTCTTTACTACAGTAACGGGCGGTAGTGTAGTGTAGGTTGGTTGCTCCACCTGTTGACAATAGGACTCTGTTTTGGTTCGACGTCATGCTACAGACTGGTGATCCTTGCATTAGCGTAGTCTCATGGGTTGCTGCAGAATTTGCTGTGGCTGTACAGAGTACATGTGCTCCATACTCTGCTCGGTTGGTACGTGTGCTTGTGAATTTGTCTAGCGGCATTGGGCTTGTGATTGCCACGGGATGTGGGGACTGAGTGTCTGAGATAAAGATTTGGTGATCACTACTGTACATGTAGATATGTTTGAGTGGTGTGGGAGTGAGGTCATTGTGTTACTTCCCACCTTCGCTTGTTTCGGAGATGAAGATGGTGTGATATGGTAATCTATATGTGAGTGATATGTCTTCACCTAGGGGATGATATAGAAAGGATATATATGGTTCTGGTACCATGGCAGGTTTCCTTATTAGTGAAAAGAGACTCACGGTTGTGGAGCTTAAACTGACTGTATGGGCCATGTTTATAGATCAAAGATGGCCGTGACGATGACTCTCAGAGATTGCACCCTGATAGCCGTGGTCCATTTCAAAGCTACAGGGTAGACCTTGCTTACAGCAAAGCAAACATCCTGTGACACTCGACAGGAGAACTATAGCATGTTTGTTTGCAACTCATCGACACGAATAGTCTCCCGCCAGACAGACCACTTCCATTACTGTATCTACAAGTATCAAGCCAAAAGGGAAGCCCTTCATATTACAGGAATTATGTATATACGCCATACGATAAACCACAGACTCAAACACAGAACCAATGAAAAAAAAAGAAGAATGCTATCTTATGCCACAACTACCGGTAACAAAAACTCGCTTCTTGGAACAGACAGAGCAAGACAAGGAAAAACAAACAAACAAAGAGACAATTATAGACACGGCGCAAATAGATCAGAAAGGTTGGAACAATCAAAGAGGGGGCAGGCGTATGATGGAAAGAGAAAACAAGATCAGGAGAGGTGATGAGGGGATATATGCAACATGCTCTCTTCAGGTTCTGCATGCAAGAAAACAATACCATGCAATGGAAAGAAACTTGAAAACTCTTTTGCCCGGAACGGGAAGAAAGGACGAGTAGGACAAGACATGGTCATTATGAAGACGGCGTGAAGGACCCATAAGAGAATGACTGGCGGGATTGACCTGTTGATAAACAGGGCCAAATGATGCATGAGGTATATCCCGACAGAGAGGATGAGCTGCTTGATACTGCTTGTCGTCCCTGGCAGCGAAGCTCATCCCCAGTGTATTTTTTTGGGCCATTCACCATATTGCGAACGAGATTGTTCCTCACAGACCAGCGCGGGAGTCAAGGTCCAGGTGAATGGACAGTCAATGAGCTCAGACCGATTCCAACATCGGCTGTATGCAAATGACCAAGTTTTGTTATTAAACGATGCACGCCGGATATAGTGAGACCAACAAAGAAAACGACAACGCAAGACAAAATCTCACAAGTTTGCCGCTCTGAGCCGTAGCACCATGAAAGAGTGATGGGACGTCATCATGAGAAAGGCTGTTCCTACCCACAGTCAAATGTATAGGCTGAAGGGTCAAATGGGACAAGAAAGAGGGCCAAAGGGGATGTAGGCCGAGAAGCGCAATTCTTACTCGGCCAAGCGGCACTAAACCACTTTATGCCAGATAAGAAAAGAGCGAGAGGTGAAAGAAACAAGAAGAAAAAGAAAAACCCACGCCGACTTCCTGGGCCTTTTGTGACAGACAAGAAGAAGAGTAAGAGCGTGGCTAGTCTAGATGTGCCGTCGCTTCATTTGACTGGATATCAACCTGGATGCTGAGATGAGCTGGCTGCCCGATATAAGGGACAGCCGAATCACCTACCGCAGCACAGAGCCTTCATCACCTTCTGGGCGAAAGTAGGCTGCGGGTCATTGCCCTGAGCCCCGAGAGCTTGCTGGCTCATTGCCTGGTTGCCCGGACTTCCAATGCGGTTGGGCAGGTGAGCATTGGAGTTCTGGAACTGTGCCTGGGTAGACGCGGCAGGAGTTGACGCTTCCAACCCCCCGCTCTGGCGTTTGGGCGGCATGCCGCCGGCGCTTGGGCGCTCGCGTGTCTTTCCTGCTCCAGCTTTGGCCGGAGAAGGAGGCGGGGGCTGCGCGGCGTTTAAACGGTCAGCTGTCACTCCGGGACGTTGGCTGTTGCGGAGCTCGCGAGCGTGGTGATCGCGGCCCGTTGAGCTCTGGTGCTGGTTGTGGAGGTGTGCCTGAGATGAGTAGGACTTGTAGTCCCAGCCGCGTCCATTGTTCAGCTTCATCCAGTCGTATTCACCGTCTTCTACCTCTCCGGCGTTCTTGAGAGCCTGAGTCAAGATATCACGGAGGTAGTCGTAGTCAGGAGTGTCCTCGAAACCGAGGTTTCGCACATAACTCAGATATTTGTTGAATTCTTCTGACGCCATGATTAGCAATGTAGGGAAATAAAAGATTACAGGACAGCATACCTGGGTATCCATCACAGAGATCCTTGATGGCTGTGGTCTGCTTCTTCTCGCCAATCTTCTCGTACTTCTGCTTGTTGGTAGCAGCTTTCAGGCCCTGCCAAGGGAGACCACCTCTCAGGAAATACATAAAAACATGTCCCAAGGCCTCCAAGTCATCACGTCGCGATTGCTCACGTCCGAGATGTGTGTTGATACTCATGTAACGAGCAGTCCCGGACAAAGATTTCCGCTCGCGGTAAGGGATGTGCTGCTTAGTCTTGGGATCACGGTATTGCTTGGCCATACCGAAATCAACTACGTGAATGACGTTGGCGGCCTTGGTCCCGGGGCGGCCAATGAGGAAGTTGTCCGGCTTGATATCTCGGTAGATGAGGTTCTTCTCGTGGATCGTTTGAACGCGCGAAAGCTAATGTCGTTAGCGAAAGTATAACATTGTGCCAGGAAAGAACCTACCATCTGCTTAGCCACCATCACAACAGTCTTAGTAGAGAACCGGCGGTTGCAGTGGTCAAAGAGATCCTCGAGACTGGGACCGAGAAGGTCGATAACGAGAATGTTATGCAGACCCTCCTGACCAAAGTAGTAGACATTGGGTATGCCGGCTAGGACGAAGTCAGCACAGGAGCATCACCGCCCGTGTGTTCAAAACTTACGGCATCCGACCAAGATCTTGTATGTACGGTACTCATCCCGGAGTTGGGGAGCGTCGCTCTTCCGGGGTTCCTGTTTCCGGTAAGATTAGGGATTGGTGTGTTGAGCGGGAGGACTACGAACGAATTTGATAGCGACCTGCTGGTTGTTCAGGAGGTTGGTGCCCTCAAAGATGACACCAAAAGAACCTTCACCAATTTTCTTGCCGACACGGTAGTGGACACCCACAACATTCGACGAAGAGGACGCCATGGATGTGGTATTCAGGGTTGGAGAGCCGGGGAAAGAGAAAACCTTCGATCACGGGGCTGGCTTCAGGGAAGGCGGCACGTGATTGATACTATCACTGGGGCGCAGTCAGCAATGATTTGAGCAGCAATGGACAATAAGGACAATCTTGAGAGGGATATAATCACATACACCACGGAGACCTTGTGTTTTCCGACCGAAGCTGCTGTCACGGCTCAATGGGAGGCGATCTGCGGAATAGCCGATGGACCGGAGAAGGTGTAATCGGAGACAGGGGTACAGATGGACTGCAATCGAGACAGGAGGTAGAAGCGGTGTGTGATCCGGTGCTTAAACAGCGCTAGGAGCGGAATTGACGATGTTGAGCAGGAATTGAAGTCGGGGGTTGACGGTCGGGGATCACGGGATGGAATTGAAGCCGAAGAAAAAAGACAAAGGAAGCAAAAGAGAGCACGCAGGGTACTCGACCTACTGCGAGTACGAGCCGCACTGAGCAGTGGTTCAATAGACCAGAGAAGGGGGAAATGGGGGAGGAAGAGAAGAAGAGAAGGGAGCGGAGAGTATTGGGGGTGTATTTGGTACTAGGGCCCAGGGTAACTTTGAGCCGTTGGACGTTAACCTTCAAGGCTTAAGTTATCCCTCTCTACTCTCTTTTCTTTACTTCTACAGGACGTCTTTTTCTGTTTACATAGTTGCTATCCACTAAATATTTACGATTCACTACTCACCTGCTACTTTGGACGGAGAGGAGAACTCTGCCCAGCTCAGACCTCTTCGGTGGCCCAACCTGCATAAAGCCAGGCACCGAACGGCGTTATGCCTTATTGGAAAGTGATCAGGGCAGGGGAAGCATTTTTGTCTCTTTTTTCAGGAGAAAGATCCCGTCTGGACTTGGTCTGGAATGCGCTTAATCAAGCGGTAATATTACAGTCTTGGCATTCCCAACTCCATCTGACACGTCTAGAGTGCCATACTTAATGGTCTCCAGCATCTCCATCTTCGGCTGCACTGCCAAGCTCATCTCTGACCAGATCCATATCTTCATCACTGTTCTGGGCTTCTTCTTCTTCTTCATCGTCACTGTCCTCTTCACTGCTGGACCCGCTGCCTTCACTATCGTCACTGCCAGGGTCGTAGTCCTCCTCTTCTTCATCTTCTTGATCTTCAAGCTCGCGCTGGGCTTTCTGAAGCTCGCTTTCATCTTCACCGCCTCCTTCAGCGGTAGCTGCTGCTGCATCTTCCCCGGTCTTGTTCACATTGTAGCGCTTAGCGCGACGCGCTTCAGCCAAACTGGCATCTTGAAGACCGTGACGCTTGATATAAGCGTCGATTCCAGAGAAGTTTTCCTGGTCAACCATTGAAAATTCATATTCCTGGATGTCCTCCTCGGTGCCGTTTGCCGCACGAGCCATGACGTTCAAATTGAACGTGTGCAGTAGGACAGATGTGTAAGATACCGAGTCAATGGTGTCAAACGAGAAAAACAGAAGAGGCTTCTTGAATGCGAACAGAATGCCCGTAGGCAGAAGGAATAGGTAGCCTGAAGAGAAGCAATATGTTAGCACACGCCAAACCAGCCCAAAGACTCCACTGGAAATAGGGATAAGACATACCTTCTTTGCTGCCGCGGAATGCCTTAACATGGTATGCTTTCTCGCCCTTTCGGTGCGCCTCTGGCATGGCACTGACGAACTGACGCTCATCAGGGCGCACAACCTTGATGTGAGACATGCTCTCATTCAGGGTTTTGCGAAGCAATTCCTCGGCCGTTTCGCCCGCACTATTGCCAACCTTTTTCCCATTCCCTAAAAATGCAGCCTTGGCCGGCCCATCGGCTATCGTAAACACCATAGCTTCGGAGACTGCCGTTCCCTCGGGTGGGGGTGTGATGCCATCTGCATACTCGGGAATGATGCAGAAATTGAACTGTTTCTGGGTCTTTTCTGGCACAGGAAGGCAGAGCGCATGTCCTAGAAACAATGAACAGAGATTAGCAATTGTTCCAAGGCTGCAAGATCCATTGGTTTTGAAATCTGGTTCAGACTCACGGATTTTGTCCATAGAAACACCGAATTCAATCTCTTTTGTAGCTTGGTTCCTTGCCCGCAGGAATCGGTGTCCAGTAGTAATCTCAAGCGTGAGCTTCTTTCTCTGCGGCGTAGCGAAAGAGACATCTTGAACGTAGAAGTGCAACGGCGCATTGCCGTCCTTCATGTTGACTAACGTCTGCACAGCATCGCCTGAGTCGCCATTTTGAAGTTTGCGCTTTTTAGCCGAAGGGGCGTCATTGGCCGGGGGCCGGGAAGGGAGGGTAGTGTTGGAAGTCCTGGCCAGCAGGCTGGAGGTGTATTTCGCAAGATCCTCAAACAGAGGTTGGTGCAGCGGTGTTGTTCCTAAACGAGGATCGCAATTGACGACGGTCAGCAGGAGGTTGACGGACGGCCGGGGGACGTTGGACGCTGTTTGCTACGCACCGATCGCATCGTAGACTCTCTTCTTTAATGAGGGCTCAGTCGCGAATGCCTCTTCGATAGCGACAATGGGCGCGCCCGAATTGTTAATTGAGGCAAATGCCATGTTGATTGCGACTGCTAGTATTTTGGTCGCAGTGCAAAGAGTGAGAGTTGAGAGGTTGAAGGTGAAGATAGATCGAAAATGCGCAGGGAGAGGCGGGCCCGAAGTATCCGCATAGAAACCCGATACTGAGGATCGATACAGGGGAGCGATTTAAGGAAATTTAAGATGACATTGACAACGAATAGATATAGTGAATGCAAAGCTTGATACTAGAATACAGTGATGTGTACACAATGCTACAGGATAACCCTCTTGATTTCCTGCCTCAGACCTCCTTCAGGTGTCTTGGACTTCTTCTCTCCCTCAGATTATGCCTTGTGCACGTGTGCCCTTTTCCCCTTGGCTTTCTCCTTTGGCGAGTTTTTCCATGACTCCTCGAGATGAGAGTTAATGAATGCTTGAGTTGTCTCAGACAAGCGCATCTTTCCATCTTCATCTGTCATGGCCTTCCTCCTTTCCGCGTTCTTAGCAGTACCAATTCTGATGCTGTCTGTCTTGGGTGTCATCATAGACACAGTTTCTCTGTATTCCTTGCGATAGTCTTCCATCAACTTCTCCTGCACGTACTCAGGGTCGTGACGGGTACGGAACTTGGAGTACTTGTTGCGTAGCTCGTCAATAATAGTCGAGGGAAACGGTGGCTCGCGGAGAGTCGGTACGAATGTGCTGGTCTCGACCTCCACACGGAGGGTATCCATATCTGCATCGGCGATCGGAGGCTCCTCCTCAACTGGCCAAGGGATCTCGATGTTCAGACCAGAAACGTATCGGGAATGTCTCGGGAGTTTGCTGTGCGGTGCGCGCTCATTGTAAGGGCCGGCAGCGTAGGCATGGTCGACAATGACGAGTTTTGTCTCCCCGGTGTCAGTGTCTTCCAGCGGAATGACGTGACGAATGTCGTCCATTGGAATGGGGAAGTTTTGTGCTTGGGTGTCGTTCTGGTGTCCCATTCGCGACTTGGCCCACTCGGGAATGATAACGTCGTACTATACAATGAGGATCAGTGAGAAAATAATTCTAAGGGAATGGGCGGATTGGTAGCCGGTCTGAGCGGTCCACGGCGTGACGTACCATGTTGACATCCTTGACGATGACAGTTTCACTCTCCCGGTTGACTTGTTGGATGACATTGATCTTGCCCTGGTCGCGTCCACGCATGACACAAACCTTGTCGCCTTCAGCGAAGAGGATGTGCTTCCGACGCAGGTGCTTAGGGATGGACGGGGGTTGTAGGATAACACCAGGAATTGCGCCGTAAGTGCTCGCATCGAGACCGGAGTCTCGCATAGGAGCAAGTGAGCCTTTCTCCCAATCCTCCCAGCGGTTCTGGCGTGCTGCCTTGTGCTGAGCGTACAGCGCAACACCATAGTCCTTCCGTTGCCGTCTCATGGTAAGACGCTCCATCAATTCCTGTCGTTCATGGTTTTTGACCGTTCTCCGAAGAGCCTGCTTCCGGGCTGAAGCTGTCCGTTGGATAACCTTCTGCATATTGGGCGTTGTGGTTCAGCAATGGCCGAACAGTGATACTAACCTTTGCAACCCCGATCCGCGGGATCGAAAATTGAGGATGTAGGCACGTGATCTTGGCTGATTACATCAGCCATGTTTCGTTAACCAGATCGAGCATCAAAGACCATTAACTTGACCCAGAATTGACTTGTTCGTCTTTACCTTTTCCATGATTCTGTTTAGTATATCCATCATGTCCGCCTCTGGTAGATATCTGATAATTTTACAAGAAAGGAGATGTGACTCGATCACCCGCTGTCAAAAAGCTTGACCGCAAATATATGGATAGCATCAAGCCATCATAACTAGAGACTAACTGTGTCGAATATTGTGAGACTGCCGAGGGCTCAGCAATAAGGCTGCCCCTGGTCATGATGACAGCCAGGAATTCATATTACAACTTACCCCGGTCTGGATCAAGTACACCAAATGTGTCTACATGCATATTCTAGACATCTGTTTCGTCCACGCTTATATCTGCACACCCATTTGTGTTATGTTTCTTTTGATATGAAAAACGCCATGCTATACAGAATCTGCAGTTGATGCCACCATCATGGCCTGTGCGAGCCTACATGTACCTACAGGCATGGATGCCATATGAACGATCTGATCAAGCACACCAATTGGGATACACATGTCATCATGGGGCCAAATTCATGCCCAAAAAGGCAGGCAATTCAAGCTCCGCGGCCCAATGTCTGATAGGGCTGGCTCTGAGGTGGGCAATCGGCATAGGAACTGAACTGTCTCCAGACGGGACGGAAGACCGATATGGGCGACAAATCAAATCACGCAAAGTTAAGCGATAATTGGGACGGTTCAATTGCAAGGTTAAAGACGGAACAGCAAATAAAAAGTGGAGCGGTACTTTAGAAATATGTTGTGTAACGACGTTAGTGACTCTGAAGTAGAGAGAAGTCGTACGTGGATGAGGAATTATCGAGCGCTAGAGACATCCACTCGAAGCTCCCATTCTCTAGTAATAATTGAAGGATCAGCCCCTGTTTACTATTTTTAGCCGCTATACGGAGTATCAAGGAACTCCACTCTGAACAGCAACAAGAATGTGTGAAGTCATGGAGCTCGGAAATAAGCGAAAGGGGGTTAAAGTTTGGACCTGAACACGAAATGGAAGATTCCACTTGAACAGATTCATGCTAGGACCCCCTAGATAGTGAGATCATCACAGCCGAGTCACGTCAGATACTAGATCGGAGTCAAGCCTTTGACGGTTATCAGGCAGCTGCATAGTACGGGGCACTGCCCGACATATAGGTGGAGCTGAATATCAGTTCTGAAGTAAAGGATAATTAAAATGAAAAGAGGCTGAGATAGCAAAGCCACAATGTAAGACTGAGACTGTAATTCCCCCCTATACTTCGAGATCTGGGGCATATGATATCAGCTATCTTTACAGCCACGGTGGCTGTGTTAGAAACAAAGCGAGTGGGCCGAACAGTTTTTCCCAAGCCACAACGGCAAGGGGATAGTCCGTACTCCATTAACTGGAGGTACTTAGTAGAATACTAGAAATACTAGCCTATTCTACTCATTTGGCCAGCTGTTAGTTGCCTGAAACTCAGGGGGTTGTAAAGTACCTGTATCAGATACCAAATACCATCGAAACACACTATCGGGGGAAAACAGCATTTACAATACTGCCACCGCCCTCTGTTGTCTGGCCTGGTCTTCTATCTTTCTCTCCACCTCCAAATCATCACTCCATCGTCTTTTCCATCTCTCCATCGGACTTTCTTGTTTCCATCGTCCTTATTTCTCTCCACTTTGAGGGTAATAGCTGGTTCACTTTTCTGAAAGGCCCTCCGTTCCGCCAACAATCACCGTATGGGATCACCCTTTTCCTTCTCCCCCTCCAACTTGTCCCTTTCTCAGACGTCTCCTCGTGTCTCTTGTCACCCCCTCACACTTGACATTCTTAACCCTGTCCTTTACTTCAATCTGCGGGGCTTTGCCGTCGTTTCTCACTGATCTACCCCTATACTAACTCTCTTATCAAGATGGCCGAGATCCGTCGCAAGCTCGTCATCGTCGGCGATGGTGCCTGCGGTAAGACTTGTCTGCTCATGTAAGTCTTCAAAAGGCGTCATCAACGATGACTCTTGCATTCCTCTGGGACTCGTTTGAGCAGTCTGACCGAATCACAGTGTTTTCTCCAAGGGCACCTTCCCCGAGGTAAGCTCCCCATCCCATCAGTCGATCTGCCGATCCCCGATATCAGCTTTTCCAACACGGAAGCAATATGAAGAACCACAGATAATCTGACATGATTACCAGGTCTACGTCCCCACCGTCTTCGAGAACTACGTCGCCGATGTCGAGGTTGACAACAAGCACGTCGAGCTTGCTCTTTGGGATACGGCTGGTCAGGAAGATTACGACCGTCTCCGTCCCCTGTCATACCCCGACTCACATGTTATCCTGATCTGTTTCGCTGTGGACTCTCCCGACTCGCTCGACAATGTCCAGGAGAAGGTGTGTTCCTCCAACCGATAACGAATCCAGTTGCAAAATTGCCTTCATAGATTGGTACAAATATGCTGACGCGGCCCACTAGTGGATTTCCGAGGTTCTGCACTTCTGCCAGGGTCTCCCCATTATCCTGGTTGGTTGCAAGAAGGATCTGCGCGATGACCGCAAGACTATTGATGAGCTCGCCAAGACTTCCCAGCGCCCCGTCTCTGCTGAGCAGGTGCGTTTTTTTCCCCCATGACCTGGTGAACAAATCTAACACATCACAGGGTGAGGAAGTCCGCAAGAAGATTGGTGCCTACAAGTACCTCGAGTGCTCTGCCCGCACCAACGAGGGTGTCCGCGAAGTTTTCGAGGCTGCCACCCGCGCTGCTCTCCTCAAGGCCCAGAAGGGCAAGGGTGGCCGCAAGAAGGGAGGATGCCTCATTCTGTAAACTAAATCAATTGTTGGGTGGTCGGGCTCGAGTGGAGATCATATGCACGGATGAGAGCCTCCACGGAAACAACTGGTGAACTCATCTTTTGGAAAGGAGGAGGGCTACTCGAGCCTACATGTGAGATTGTGGATAATATCGAATCCGGGCACAGCGAGTCGTGGAAATTCTCCCACCACTCACTTGGTCGACCTTGTTTTTTTCTTTTCCTGTTGCCTTTGTTTTGCAGAATTTGTCTAGGGAGGCGTTGTCTTCATCATAACCCTGTGGGCTTTTCTTTTTCTTATCCTCTCTCCGACTGCCGTGAATTTCCGAATGCCAACATGCTACGTTGAGTGGCAGTATAAACCAAAGCAAAGAGGAGCCTGTGGTTGTAGCATCCATGCCACTTGCATGCACTTCGGCCAACGTTGTGATTTCGCCTTCCTGGCTGAGTTCCCCCTCTCATGATAGATGATTCTTTGCGGATATCTCCCACATGCGATGAGCTTGACTCGGCTTTGTTTCCCCTAAACTATACTTTTACAGCTAATGCATCAACTGCCTTCCATCTTTAATCTCACCAGCTCCGTGCAGAACCACGTGCAAGTAGACCATCAACCATAGACCAAGCACTGTTGCCTATCACAATACAGTAGTCACTTGTCCAACGCCTCCAAGCGGTGTCATTGAGCAGCGCATGTTATATACAAGTATTTATTCCAACAGAGAGGGTATACCAGTGAGTAGAGAATACCGCAGCCGTATATATATCACACAAAACCAGCGCCAGACATCATCATCTATTCAAACTTAATAACCCCTCAATATACCGCCTAGCATCTATACCCAACCCCTCAACCAACTTCGACGGTGCCATATCCGCCGCCCGAGAAGAGCCCGTCAACCCCGAAGAACCGGAAGCACCTCCCAAATCCCTGAAAAAGCGAGCACCACTACTAACACGCCCGTGTGTAGCAGGTGAGACATAGTCGCTCGCTTTGCGGACGAGGAATGCTTCTTGTGGCGGAGAGGGATTAGGAGTGAAGGAATCTTCGTCGTTTATTAGGGATGAGAGGGCGACGGAAGAAGATGTTGTTGATAGAGGCTGTTGTTGGATTTGTGATTGTGATTGTGGGATACGTACCCAGACAACCCACCAACCGCGATTTGTTTTGCTTGTTCGTTCCAGTTCTTGGGGTCTGGAGCGTGTGTCTGTGTATGTTGATAGGAGGCGGTGGTGGATTGCTAGGCTTTCAAGGCGCGACCAGGGTTGCGGGGATGGAGAGGGGGATGTGGATGGGGAGGGGGAGCGTGCTGGGGATTGGGGTTGGGGGGAGTTGGGGAGGTTTAGGGATGGGATGTTTGGGATTGAGGAGCGAATTGTTAGGTTTGATGGGTCGTAGACTAAATCGTAGACTGGTTGAGATCGGGTAGAGAAGCGTTTGCTTGGGTCTGGAGAGGCCTCCGACATGGAGATGCGGGTAGCTGCCATTTTTGGGGATGTTGATGATAGGAGTGGCTTTTGGAGGGGGCCTAGTTGGTGGTGCATGCTTGAGTAGAGAGATGGAGATGCGAGAGATTGGGTTTCGGGGTCAAAGAGGAATGTGAACATGAATGGTTGGTTCTGGATTTGTTAGCGGGCTGTGTTGACAATGTGCTGAATCTGGGGATAAAAGCCTTACCACGTAGATCACGACCTGGAGCTTCTTCTGGGTATTTGATCCATCCGCCATGTGCAAGTGTAGAGTTCTCTGTACTATTCGAGTTTTGGGCTTGCCATTTTCGGTCCCTGGAACAGGACTTCCTTCTTCCAAGTCATCGAGTTTTTCTAGATCATCGCGAGGTCCTAGAACGAAACGGCCGGAGGTATTGTTTCGAGTCTTCGCATCTACCTGAGATGGGTTGGCATTGGAACCATCCTTTGGAGCTGGAGAGCTAGATGTGGCTCCATCCTGCCCTGGAGTAGAGCTGCGAGTAGGCGTAGATGCTGCCGACTTTGGCGAGAAACTCCAGGCGGAACCATATCCTAGAGTGAGGTATTTCATGACAGTTTCCGTGGGAAATCCTGGACTCTCATTCTTGTCGTTTCCAGCTTCCGCCTCGTTATCTTCGGGTATCTCCTGAAGTGGCTGTGGTGTTGCCATTATAAGCGGACGAGGTATTCCAGGCGTAAAGCTGCGGTCCGGTGTAGAGGGCTGGTTTTCTGGAGGCGGCCTTCCACGCTGCTTTTTTGACTTGCGGCGACGCAGCGAAGTTGGGTCCCGCCCAACTCCATACGTAGAATCCCCAAATCGATAGATCCACTCCATCCATTGTGACACCTGTGCCAGCGAGAGTCTGGAAAGACCACCGACACCAGCGAACACAACGCCATCGGATGGTCTGGGGTCATTGTCTGACCCAAGCCATAGCCCTTGATCGTTTGATCGGTTCGAGGCCGGAGACCCATCGAATTGTGTTGATGAGTCGCCAAATCTGGAGACAACCAGGTCCACTAAGCCCTCTGTCCTGGTAACAAAACCTTCGAGTACTTCTCTTTCTCCGCTTCCCCATTCTTCTTCTCCGACGCCAATACCCAACTCTCCTCCAGCGGAGAGCTTGATACCGTTATAGACTTCAACGATTGGGTTTCCGGTCAACAAAAGCTCCCAGTTCCATGCAAACTTGTCCCAAAACCGTTCAAGGAAGAGACAGAATGAAGCTCTACCAGCTTGTTTGTATAGATCGTCCAACATGAAGTCATGGTGAAGAAGGAATATCGAATGTGCACGGCGTAATTGCTGGATAAGTAGATGGGGTGACCCCATTTCTCGTGATGAATATTGGAAAGCTGGGGGATCTGATGTCCCCGAAGATTTGCGAGCCGAATTAGCAGGAAGTCGAGTAAAATCGATAGACTGGCTTATCATGAGCTTCAACATCCGCACGCTTTGGATTTCAGTCACTCACGGCAACAATCCACCAGCCCTTCTCCAGCTCTAGCAGAACGACACGGGATTTGTCTGTCTCAATATACTCCAGTGCCTTTCCATCCGAGAAGTTGCTGCGTATGAAACGCGATTAGACTTGTTCACTCGTAGAGTTGCGGAGATGCCCACCTAGCAAAGTTCACCATGCCCTGCGCCAGACCTATCTGGCGCAATCTCTCATTCTGTTCATCCTCAAAGACTTTATTATCTTCCTCCTCTGTTGTAGAGTTATCGAGCCGTCGTGCATGGCTTGACTTTGAGGTGTAGAACACGATCTGATCCGCTATCGTCTCGTCGGTTGGTCCGAGGTTCGGGTTGTAGATGGCAAGATAGGCGAGCTGGGCCGGGATCACCGAGTCATGATCGTTATTAGGCATCGCATCTCCAGGGAGCTTCTACAACTCGCGCTAGAGAGCGATCACAGATAATTGCAGGAATGATTGCGGAACAAATGACTGCGAAGTGGGATCTGGGGGTGTTGACATCACGTGTCTTATCGATAAGATCGTATCGTTGGAGCTTCAACTTTCACGGCTTATCACTTACTCAGAGCTGAAGCAGTATGTGGACGATACCAGGTCCAGGGAGCTTGCGTCTCTGCAAACGACCATTGGTTCTCAGGGGGCTTGTAATTAGGCCCTACACTACGAAAACCTCCGATCCTCTCCGCATTCTCTTTTGCGGATCCGATGACTTCAGCATTGCCTCCCTGAACGCTCTCCGTGCCTATCAATTAAAGCAACCAGAACGAATATCCTCAATTGATGTGGTCTGTAGACCTGGGAAAAGAGTTGGCCGAGGTTTGAAGCAAGTTCGAGAAGGTATGTCAATATTCAAATGAACTATATGACCTGAGCTCTGATTCGATGTTTCCTATAGTACCGATCAAAGCGGCCGCAACAGCTCTTTCTCTTCCGGTGCACGAAATTGATACTTTTACTGGCTGGAAGGTATTACGCATATCCCGCCTACATAAAGCTCAGGCTGACAGGTTTAGCCGCCAACCTCCTCGGACGGACCTATAAACTTAGTCATTGCAGTGTCCTTCGGCCTCTTTGTACCATCGCGCATATTGAACGGGGCCAAATATGGAGGGCTGAATGTACACCCATCATTATTACCGGAGTACGTGATTATCATCAGCTCAGAACTGGGAAATTGGAAAATTGACTGGATCAATCAGCTTCCGTGGTGCTGCACCGCTACACCATACACTCCTATCTGGTCAGCGCACCACCGGCGTGACACTTCAGACCTTGCACCTTAAACACTTCGACCATGGAGTAGTACTATCTCAAACCCCAGCTCCTGGATTGGACATCCCCAACCCGGACTCTTGCACAGTGCCCGAGTTGTTAGGTATCGTTGCACCGAAAGGAGCGGAATTACTTGTTAATGGCATCGACAAGGGCCTATACGTACCCCCAGTCGTCGATGCTGGATGGCGCGCCGCTGAAGTTACTGGCGAGTTGACACATGCAACCAAAATAACACCAGAGGACCGACGCATTGACTGGGCGAACTGGACACTGGCAAAAATCAACAGACGCAGCCGCATTATTGGTCCTCTTTGGAGCACAGCCCTTTGCGCAAGTAATGCAGAAGGCGCGGCCCAGTCATTCCAGCAGAAACGATTGATTCTCACAGACATTGAAGAAGTCGATCCACCGCAAGGATGCAACGCCTTTTCGATCATGCCCGGTCTGCCATTTACGAATGCTTCCTATCCAGTCCAACCAAAGAAGGGACGGGAGCTCTATGCTTTCACCAAAGATAGAAAGTTGATGCGCATCAATCGCATGAAAGTTCAAGGCGAGCAAGACGCTGAGGGACTACGGGCTGCTATTAAAGCTCGCATGTTCGGTGATCGAGCCTTCAACTACGACGGCGCGGAATTTACTCCCTTCCGCAACGCCCTTGTATGAGTATGGAGCAATTGTGTGTACTATAATTTGGGTCTATCTAATGTGATATTATTCTCGTGCTCATAGCGAGAACCCAGAATCTAGAGATGTTAGTTTGAGCCTGACCGGTGGATGTTTGGAGCCATACCAATCTGAATTGTCTGCCCAGTCATGGATGCGTTCTTCGCCATTGTGATGAACATATCCGCACAATCTTCCACCTCCGGCTGTAAAGCGATTCATAAGCATGCAAGCGGTTTTTCGAGATGCTTGGGTTACTTACTACTTTCTTAAGAATTGTGGCGTTTGTCCAGGCGTCAATCTTCTCTTGGGGGAACCGCTGGCCCTGCAATGCCATGAGCTTCTTATCCAGGCCCAACAAAACCAAATATCACCTACCCATTCAGTGAGCAAAAGACCGGGCAGAATAGCGTTGATGCGAACTTTGGGTCCTTGCGTTTTGGCAAGGCACTTCATAAGATGGAGGGCTAGATGATTCTGTCAGCGTTGTCTACTATACAGCTGAGAATGACATACTAGCCGCCTTGGTCGTAGCATAGGGCAGGCTGCTGCCAGTCGCCGAGACACCCTGAAAACCCCAGTTAGTACTCGTATGTTCCACCCTGTTGGTCGGGGTCATATAGCATCAGTTCGGCGACATACAGCAATCGAAGACGTGATGAGGAACGAGCCGCCTTCAGCGTTCGCGTTGAAAAAGGGCAAAGCTGCCTTGAACAGGTGGAAATTGCTCTTCACATTAACAGACCAGCACTGTTTCAACAATCAGCCTCAGAGTTCCATTCTGAGTGGAGTGTCATTACCTTATCCCAGTCATCCTCGTCCATTGCATCAAGATCACCAAAGTTGGTCATTTTAGTCCAACCCTTCATGAATTAGCTTTCAATGTACCTTTTCTCAATTGAAGATATGACCCACGGCATTTGAAATGACAATATCCAAACCACCCAGCTTCTCAGCCGTAGTCTTGACGACGTTGAAGCAGTCAGCTTGAACTCCGGCGTCCTATTCCCAGTTCATGACCATGTCAGCGGCTTGTGTCTCCGTATGATGTAAATTCTCTTTAGAATTGAAAGCCATACCCCTTGAACAACAACAGCCTTCACATTGTGCTTGCTTGCAATATCCGCCGCTAATGTATCCGCCGCCTCCTTGTTGGACATATAGTTGATAGCAACGTTGCTTCCTTCGGCGGCGAATTTCTCAGCCGTGAGAGCACCTAATCCCCTGTTCAAGCATGTGTTAGCTCTATTGATAACTGATCACAAAGAGCTTGAGCTCATACCGTGAGCCACCGGTGACCAAAACATTGCGACCTGATAGAGAGTATGGCATGGCGACGTAGTTTTTTTCTGAATTTGAGCAATTGATCTTGAGCAATATTTGAGAACAAAGACAGACTTTAAAGACAGAGAATGGGCCGAGGGACATGCGTCGGATGCCCCGATGCCGCCGATGCCGCCGATGCGGGGCAGCTATGGCGGACTTCATTGCGCATTGCCCGCAGATCCAGGTCGGAGCTGATTATATTCGCTGACGGCGCATTACTTGGATATTTCGGGGCTATTTTGATCTTGTCGGTATGGTCATGGCCCAAGGAGTATACTATATGCAGACATACAAGTCGACTTAACGAGGGCAAAGAACCAACTGTAAGGTCTGCTCAGGCGTGGGCTACGCAGTTCTTCGGTGGATTCGCTGAAACCACTTCGCTCCTAGATTACACGCCAGCTTAGTTTTCACTCGCCGGCCTAGTATTTTCACCCCCTGTCCATTGTTCAGAACTGAAGTTGGCCCCCATGAGGATATTCAGACTACTCATTTTCCATTTTATGTTGTTATCCGAGATCAATGAGTCTTATGGCCATGCTTCATGGCGTTCACGAGATACCGTAAGATATTGTGAGTGGTAGCTCTAACTGCCACTGTAGCTGCAGACTAGATCACGCTTGAAGCCTGGGGCTGGACAACAAGGGAGACCCAGCTCGATGTGGATCCGTCGGCATCTCCTCCAGTCGGGATAGCCGCTGCTGTTGCTTAGCCGCTAGAAGTAGGGGAGCCCCATCCACAACATGATTGTGCCACCGAGACCGAAGACGAGCCGTTCACTGAAATCTGTCGACTTTGCAGAAGTGAGTCGTCCTTATCAGAGCTGGGTAGAGCACGTACCTCGCTTTCCGAAAGTTCCACTTTTCTTTTTGCTTTGAAAAGTATAATATGCGACTACAAAGAGCTGGGTTCTTTCATAGAGACCAATATTGCCACACTTGTACCTCAATCCAGATTTTAACTTTGCGAAAGGTCGGGATAAATGAATTCTTCTTCTTCTTCTACTACTACTACTACTACTACTAACACCACTAGCTGTATCATCATCCGCTCGTTCGGGGTATATAGTATCTTGTTGTTTGCCTTGCTGGAGAAACCATATTTGAAACCCAACCGCTGTTTGTTCCTGATATTGTAGTGGTATAGTTGACTGTCACAAGGGAGCAATGGTTGTCGTGGCTGTTGATACTTTCGACTGAGCCGTCGAACGAGTTCTGGATATTGGATCCCATGAACCTTGCAATCCTCACACAATAGGAAACTGTACTTAAGATGTTCTTCCGAATGGTCTAGAGATATTATCCTCCAAGGCAAGTACATCGGTGCCAGCGAGATTGTGACTATTCATCGAAATGTCATTAGGGCATAATCGCCTACTTCCACTAACCCAGATACACTACGGATAAAGCTGTGATTACCCATTGCGCTTGGGAAAGAAATTATAGTCTATTCAGAAAGTATCCTTGTCATATTGTGGCTATAGAAGGCTTCCAAGAGGCAAATGCGTAAAAGAGTAAGAGTGCAATTATGGTGCGGCAGTAAAACCTCTATAGATAGGCAATAGTTCCCGTTCAATAAGAGGTAGGCTGTCCAAAGGCACCTTCGACAGTATCAATGATAGTTCGGCCTTCCCCTTGTCATCTCACTAGAATGATATAATTGCTACCAAACATTGCCCGTAACGTTCGATATAAATAACCAAAAATCACAGAGTACGACAGGACACATGGATTGTCTCGCCGTGCAACAAGAATGAAGCCCTTCCTTTTCGCAGGCCTTGATCTATAATGTTTTCTCAAGGATTCGATCCTGCATGATTAATGTCTACTAGCAACCTCAAACGTTTCATTCCACAAAGCCGATGGCTATATCTCATTATAGATCACCATTCATTCTTGTCCCTGCTGCGTCCCTCGAAGAAATTTTAAATTTAAGAGAGTCCACCTCACAGCTAGCCTGTCTTCCCACATGACATGCCAGGGGAACTAGGCTATGCAATTGAATGATCCTGGGAGCAATGCGTCTCAAGAGCAGGCAAGTCTAGGGTTCTTCGAGTTGTCCGCTCTTACTATCACTGTACGACGGCATCTTAATTTTTTTTTGTATAAATTCTAGGGATGAAAAGGCTTTTCCCCCGTATATCTACGCACCATTGTGAAGGACGGTTCCAGCGGATGTGGCATACCGGCAGACAAACATCTAGTTTCCTGGGAACAAGTCCAGAAATCCAGCTTTGAGTCTTGAGTGCCTGCTTCTTCTAAGACTCTGGATCCTGAGTTGGCATTACCTAGAGCACCTTCTTCCTAGGATTGGAACCCGCTCTTGTCAAAGTAGTATGCCCGAGACATATACAGGAAGTGGAGGAGCGATGATATACGGGACCCGCATACTGTCTCTGGGGTTGTCTGGACACGAGGAAGCATTCCTTCGCCTCTGGTGGTACCTCTGAAACCTTCCGAAACGAATAATTTTTCTTTACATTCTCTACCCAATCAATCATTCTTTTCATAGTGAAACCTGATTCGTTCAGGTGAATAGTTACAATGTGCCATTAAAAACAGGCGATGTGTATAAAGCGACCGCAGTGCGGACTTAGCCCTCTTTCAGTCCATATTGTTGATGATTGGCTGACATCTATTATTTCCCTCTGCTTCTAATAATAATATTGAATCCGGAGTTCGAGCAGTGCGGAGTCAGCCGGAGTTCGCTGTTTTGCAGTCCGATTGGAAGCCGCAGCCAGAGCTGGAGAAAGACCGAGTCCCAATCACAGGGGCTCCCGCGACGATAAGCTTCTAAAGTTGATTAGACATTGTCTGGGGATGTTGTTCAAAGAAAGTTCACACTTCAATGTCCGAAGCCCGGAGCCCGGAGCCCGGAGTATTGTTTAGTATCTTCGAAGCACTACAGTTTCCCGCCAAGCAAGCTTGCGCTATTACTATTGGCGAATAAATCATTCATATCAAGCATGATAGGGTGCTTAGTTACGCTTGGAATCAGTGCAAATCACTATTTACAGGACCCTAAACTATGCTCATTTGAGAAATTGTCTTCTTGCGTACTGGAATCATCCATCTATCCCGTCAACTGGCACGGAATCTTTCCAATTCAGTTTTACATACCAAACATACAAAATGGGTAGCACCAACGAAGATTGGATTAGCGAGCCCATCGCCATTATTGGCTTAAGCTGCCAGTTTGCAGGAGATGCAAGCAGTCCCGAGAAGCTGTGGGATATGCTGGCCGAGGGGCGAAACGCCTGGTCTGAGATACCGTCCTCACGGTTCAATCCCAAGGCGGTTTACCACCCCGATAGCGAGAAGCTAAGCACGGTGAGTTGAGTCAGCTGGAAAGGGGGCAGCTAAATTGAAATTGACAGGGCTAACGCAACCTAGACCCATGTCAAAGGCGCTCACTTTTTAGAGCAAGATATTGGCCTTTTCGATGCCGCGTTTTTCAATTTTTCGGCCGAGACTGCAGCAGTAAGTGTTGAGCATGTATGATATGGGTGATTTGTCTGATCGAGGTTTCTCCTCTTCTCCGTTCAGGCTCTAGATCCCCAATTTAGATTTCAGCTTGAGTCTGTATATGAGGCCTTGGAAAATGGTAAATTGAGGAGGCTCCTAACTCTGCCTGGCAACGGACTGTTAACCCAAAATATACAGCCGGCCTTGCCATTTCCCAAATCGCAGGGTCTAACACATCCGTTTATGCCGGCGTGTTCACGCACGACTACCACGAGGGGTTAATCAGAGATGAGGACAAGTTGCCGCGGTTCTTGCCCATCGGCACCCTGTCAGCTATGTCGTCGAATCGCATATCTCACTTCTTTGACTTGAAAGGTGCCAGCATGACGATAGACACAGGCTGTTCGACGGCCCTCGTTGCTTTGCACCAAGCCGTTCTTGGTCTGCGCACCGGCGAAGCCGATATGTCCATCGTGAGCGGATGCAACCTGATGTTATCCCCGGACATGTTCAAAGTGTTTTCATCCTTGGGAATGCTGTCACCCGATGGTAAGTCATACGCCTTCGATTCACGAGCCACCGGCTACGGCCGCGGAGAAGGGGTGGGCACCATTGTCATTAAACGGCTCAAGGATGCCCTGGAAGCAGGCGATCCGGTTCGAGCCGTGATCCGGGAGAGTTATCTGAACCAGGACGGAAAAACCGAGACAATTACGTCGCCGTCACAGTCTGCACAGGAGGCGCTCATCCGCGAATGCTACCGTCGAGCCGGCCTCAACCCCCACGACACGCAATACTTTGAGGCACATGGCACAGGGACGCCCACGGGTGACCCCATTGAGGCGCGATCCATTGCCGCTGTTTTCGCACAGGGCCGAACGGAGCCGCTCCGCATCGGCTCTGTCAAGACCAACATCGGCCACACCGAGGCAGCATCGGGATTGGCCGGTCTTATTAAGGTGGTGCTGGCCATGGAGAGGGGCCAAATTCCGCCAAGTGTCAACTTTAAAAAGCCCAACCCTAAGTTGCAGCTGGATCAATGGGGACTCAAGGTGGCTTCAAAGCTGGAGCCATGGCCAGCGGCGAAAGACAGGCCCTGGCGTGCTTCCGTCAACAACTTTGGCTACGGTGGAACCAACAGTCATGTCATTGTCGAGAGCATTAGGTCATTGGCATCATCATTGCCTTCCCAGCTGAGCAACGGCACACACTACCCCATTGACAGCAAGACTAAGGCAGAGAGCAAGGTACTCATCTTCTCCGGGCGCGATGAGCAAGCTTGTCAGCGTATGGTGTCCAACACCAAGGAGTACCTGCTGAGATGTAAGCTGCAGGACCCTGGGATGACAGCCGACAAGACAAATTCCTTAATGCGAGACTTGACATGGACGCTCACGCAGCACCGTTCACGCTTCGCGTGGGTGTCGGCACATGCAGTAAAGTACTCGAATGACCTGGACAAAGCCATCGAGAGCCTGGACGCACCACAGTTCAAGCCCGTGAGGCTCTCAGATACACCAGCCCGGATCGGCATGGTGTTCACGGGCCAAGGAGCACAGTGGCATGCCATGGCCCGCGAGCTCATTGACACGTACCCCGTGTTTCGATCGTCACTGTACGAAGCCGAGCGCCATCTGCGCACAATTGGAGCGGACTGGTCTCTCACTGAGGAGCTGATGAAAGATGCAGCCACGACTCGCGTCAATGATACAGGCCTCAGCATCCCCGTTTGTGTTGCGGTGCAAATCTCACTGGTCCGGCTGCTTAGGTCATGGGGTATTTTGCCCTCGGCCGTGACGAGCCACTCGTCTGGAGAGATCGCGGCGGCTTATGCAGTAGGGGCATTGACTCCGCGCCAGGCTATGGCTGTCGCCTATTACCGTGCAGTCATGGCCGCGGACAAGACGCTTCGAGGTTCCCACGGCGGCCCGAATGGTGGAATGGTTGCTGTGGGTGTTGGCAAAGAGGCTGCTCAGGCCTATTTGGACAAGGTCAAGACTGCCACTGGGAAGGCGGTGGTGGCTTGCATCAATAGCCCCAGTAGTACTACTATTGCTGGAGACGAAGCAGCTGTACAAGAAATTGAGGAGCTTGCTACGGCAGACGGAGTCTTCGCTCGCCGCCTCAAGGTCGAGACCGGATACCACTCTCACCACATGCAGCCTATTGCCGAGCCATACCGAAAAGCTCTTCGCTCTGTACTGACTCAAAATGAAAATGGCCTCGAGGGCCAAGAATGGCTTGACAGCCTGGACGGAGTAGAAATTCCAGACGGGGAGTCCTGGGCTGAGCGATATCGTGCAGCACTGAGGGATGCTATTCCAGATGCAACCGCGAAAGGAAACCTAGACAAAATCATCTTCTCTTCTCCCGTTACCGGTGGCCGAGTAACCAGTGCCGAGGTACTGGCTGATCCAGAACACTGGGTACGCAGCCTGTTGCAGCCCGTGCGGTTCGTTGAGGCCTTCACAGATATGATCCTTGGTGGTGATTTGGATGAGTCAGGCTTCAGCAATGTTGAGGTGATCCTTGAGGTTGGGCCACACACAGCGCTCGGTGGTCCCATAAAGGAGATATTGTCACAGTCCGACTTTAAGGGCGTCACGTTACCTTACATGGGCTGCCTAGTTCGCAAGGAAGATGCTCGCGATTGCATGCTCACGGCAGCTATCAATCTCCTCGGCAAAGGCCATCAGGCCAATTTGGTCAGAATGAGCTTCCCGTGGGACCTTAAAGGAACCGCCAAGCCAAATGTACTGACCGACCTGCCCCCGTACCCATGGGATCACAAGAAAAGACACTGGAATGAGTCGCGGCGCAGCCAGGCATACCGCCAAAGAAGTCAAGAGGCTCACGATCTTCTTGGAGCGTTGGTGCCGGGAACCAACCCAGACGCAGCCTCTTGGAGGAACATCATAAAGCTTTCGGAGGCGCCTTGGCTAAGAGACCATGTCGTCCAGGGCAATATTTTGTATCCCGGTGCAGGATTTGTGTGCCTGGCCATTGAAGCAATGAAGATGCACACGGCTTTGGCAAGCACAGGCACCGAGACGACTGAATTGTTGGGCTTCAACCTGCGCGACGTGGAGATACACCAGGCCCTAGTGATAGCGGACACGGCTGATGGCGTGGAAGTGCGGACGATACTCAGGCCTGTGCCAGAGAAGACGATTGGCGCCCGTGGCTGGAAGCAGTTTGAAATTTGGTCGGTGACCACCGACAGCGAGTGGACGGAGCACGCCAGGGGTCTCATCACAGTCAAGCTGTCGATGAACACAACGAAGACTGACAGAACCACTGCTATCATGAATGGAGGTGCAGCCAGCTTCTTGGACGAATCAGGCTACACCCGACGCATCGATCCGCAAGATATGTTCTCCAGTCTCCGCGCAAAGGGCCTTAATCATGGACCCATGTTCCAAAACACGATGAGCATTTTACAGGACGGTAGAGGGAAAGAACCGCGTTGCGTTGTCACTATCAACGTCGCCGATACTTCATCTTCCAAAGATAAGGGCAGGCACCCTCAAAGCGTGCTGCATCCCACAACGCTGGACTCCATTGTCCTCTCTTCGTACGCGGCAGTTCCCGATGCAGAGTCGGGTAACGACAACAGCGCCCGGGTACCACGATCCATCCGGAAGCTGTGGGTGTCGAGCAGCATCACCAGCACTCCCAGCCACGGTTTCATCTGCAATGTCAGGATGCCACATCACGATGCGCAAAGCTACGAGGCCTGCGTCAGCGTCTTGGATCAAGAAAACGAAAACAATGAAATCCAGCCTGTGCTTGAGATGGAGGGCCTTGTGTGTCAGTCTTTGGGCCGCAACGCAGTAGGAGAGGACAAGGAACCATGGACCAAGGAGCTATGCGCCAACGTCCAGTGGGCTCCTGATCTTGGCCTCTCATTAGGATTGCCGGGTTCACAGGAAGCTATCGACAAGAGGCTCAACACGCTCTGGGACCAAGATGCAGACACAGATAGCCGGAGTATCGAGGTTCAAACCGTGCTGAGGCGCGTGTGCGTTTACTTCAGCCACGACGCACTTCAGTCGCTAACCGAGAAAGATGTTGCCAACCTCGCAAGTCATCATGTCAAGTTCTATGAATGGATGAAAGACACCGTGAGCTTTGCGGACTCGCGTCGCTGGAGCTCCAACAGCGACACCTGGAAAAATGACACCCCTGCGGTACGCCACCAATACATCGACCTCGCTACAAAACAGACCGTTGATGGAGAGCTGATATGTCAACTGGGGCCGCTGCTTTTGTCCATGCTGCGCGGAGAGAGGGCTCCCCTTGAGGTCATGATGGAGGGTCGACTGTTATACAAGTACTATGCCAACGCCTATAGGCTGGAGCCAGCCTTTGCGCAGTTGAAGTCGCTCTTAGGTGCCGTCTTGCACAAAAGTCCTCGGGCACGCGTCCTTGAAATCGGAGCTGGAACAGGAGCTGCTACACGACACGCTTTGAGAACACTTGGCACTGACGAAGATGGCGGCCCTCGGTGCGAGAGCTGGCACTTTACAGACATCTCTTCTGGCTTTTTCGAGGCGGCCAGGGCCGAGTTCTCGTCCTGGGGAAACCTGTTGGAGTTTGACCGGCTCGACATTGAACAAAGTCCGGAAGCCCAGGGCTTCACCCTGGCCAGCTATGACATTGTCGTGGCATGTCAGGTGCTGCACGCAACCAAGAGCATGGCGCGAACCATGAGCAACGTCCGTAGCTTGATGAAGCCTGGAGCAACACTGCTGCTTATGGAGACGACGCGGGATCAAATCGACTTGCAATTCATCTTCGGCTTGCTGCCCGGGTGGTGGCTGAGCGAGGAACCTGAGCGTCATTCGAGTCCGTCGCTGTCAATTGATATGTGGGACAGGATTCTCAAGGGCGCGGGGTTCACCGGTGTCGAAATTGACCTTCGCGATGTCAATGTCAAAGCCGATAGCGATTTGTACGGTATCAGCAACATTTTGACGACAGCGGTCAGTCCCAGCCCTGGATTAGACTCGGCCAAGGTGGTCATTGTCACCAGCGACAAGGCAGCACCTCAGCCTAGCTGGCTCGAGACCCTGCGAAAATCCATAGCCCAGGCCGCCGAGAGTAGCCTTCTTCCGGAGATAGTGTCCCTCGAGTCGCCGGGCCTCACGGCCGAGACGTACAGCTCCAAGCTCTGTGTATTTTTGGGCGAACTTGACAAGCCCGTGCTGACTGGTCTCAACGCCGTCAACTTCCAGGCCATCAAAACCCTGGCCTCAGGCTGTAAGGGCCTGCTTTGGATCACCCGTGGTGGTGCAGTCGAGTGTATGGACCCAGATTCGGCGTTAGCTTCTGGTCTTGTTCGCGTCCTTCGCACCGAATATCTCGGACGCCATTTCTTGACGCTTGACCTCGATCCTCGAGCATCTACAGAAGACAGATCTAAGACGGACATCGCGGCCATTGTACAAGTACTGATATCTCGTCTTGCCGCTTCTGATCTCCCGGCACCTATCGATAGCGAGTTTGCTGTGCGTGATGGCCTCGTCCTAATTCCAAGAATATACAAGGATGTGGCATGGAACGCGCTGCTGGAGCCGGAGATACCTGACTGGGCTTCTCCGGATTCCATTCCCGAGGCGCCTCTCTTCCAGACAAAGCGCCCACTGCGCTTAGAGGTTGGCATTCCCGGCCTCTTGGATACACTCGCATTCGGCGATGACAGCGGAGCTGACATAGCTCTGGCTGATGACATGGTCGAAATTGAGCCCCGAGCATATGGCCTCAACTTCCGCGATGTTATGGTGGCCATGGGACAACTCAAGGAGCGCGTCATGGGCCTTGAGTGCGCGGGAGTTATCACTCGTGTTGGCAGTGAAGCTGCCGCGCAAGGATTCTCTGTTGGCGATAATGTCATGGCTCTACTGCTTGGTCCCTTTAGCACTCACGCCCGGGTAACTTGGCATGGGGTCACCAACATGCCTCAGGGCATGAGCTTCAGCGACGCTGCATCACTGCCCATGATCTTCACTACAGCTTATGTTGCCCTGGTCCAGGTGGCACGCCTTGGCCATGGCCAGTCGGTACTTATCCACGCTGCAGCCGGAGGTGTCGGGCAGGCGGCCGTGATGTTGGCCCGGGACTATTTGGGCGCCGAAGTGTACGTGACAGTCGGGTCCCCGGAGAAGCGAGACCTACTGATACGCGAGTATGGCATTCCTTCCGAGCGCATCTTTAATAGTCGGGATGCTTCCTTTGCCCCGGCGGTTTTGGCTGCCACGGGCGGACGGGGTGTTGACGCGGTCCTGAACTCACTTGGAGGCTCACTACTTCAGGCTAGCTTCGAAGTGCTCGCACCTTTTGGTAACTTTGTCGAGATTGGCAAGCGAGATCTTGAGCAGAACAGCCTATTGGAGATGGCTACATTTTCGCGCGCGGTTTCCTTTACGTCGCTGGATATGATGACACTATTGCGCCAGCGCGGGCCTGAGGCACACCGCGTTCTCAGCGAGCTGGCCCGTCTCGCGGGCCAACATATCATCAAGCCCGTCCACCCCGTCACCGTTTATCCTATGAGACAGGTTGACAAGGCCTTCCGCCTCATGCAGACAGGAAAGCACCTCGGTAAGCTGGTGTTGTCGACTGAGCCCGAGGAGCAGGCCAAGGTCCTGCCGCGCCCAGCGACCCCAAAGCTCAAGCCTGATGCATCTTATTTGCTAGTGGGAGGTGTTGGTGGTCTTGGAAAATCGCTTGCCAATTGGATGGTGAACCACGGAGCTCGAAACATCATTTTACTGTCGCGAAGTGCCGGGAAGCATGACAGTGGCACCTTTGTCACCCAATTGCGCGAGGCCGGGGCCCATGTTGCTGTTACTAGCTGCGACGTATCTAAAAAGGAAGACCTGGCAAAGGCACTGCTTGTTTGTGAGAAAGACTTGAAGCTTCCTCCCATCCGGGGTGTCATCCAAGGCGCTATGGTGCTGCAGGACTCGATCCTTGAGCAGATGAACATAGACGACTGGCAAGCGGCCATTCAGCCCAAGGTGGCTGGAACTTGGAACCTACACACGCAATTCTCGCAGCGTGGCTCCCTTGACTTCTTCGTCATGCTTTCCTCGCTCTCGGGCATCCTCGGCTGGGCCAGCCAGGCTAGCTATGCGGCGGGAGGCTCGTACCAGGACGCTCTGGCACGTTGGCGCTGCTCTTCTGGTCTGCCAGGTGTATCTCTTGACATGGGAGTCATCAAGGACGTCGGTTACGTCGCTGAGTCGCGCACCGTGTCGGATCGTCTTCGCAAGGTCGGCCAGTCATTAAGACTGGCCGAGGACTCTGTGCTACGGGCTCTGGCCACAGCCGTCCTCCACCCCTTTAGTCGGCCCCAGGTCCTCCTGGGTCTCAACTCAGGTCCAGGCTCGCACTGGGACCCAACAAGCGAGTCCCAGATGGGCCGCGATGCCCGATTCATGCCCTTGAGGTATCGAAAGCCTGCCGCATCCCGTGCGCAAGCCGGCCAAGCCGGTAATGACTCGGACTCAGAGCCCCTCTCCGCTAAATTGCGAACAGCCGAATCGTCTGATGCGGCGGCAAGTCTTGTTGGTGACGCCATTGCCGCCAAGCTGGCCGACATCTTTATGGTCCCTGTTGACGAGATTGTCCTTGATAAGCCGCCCTCGGTGTACGGGGTTGACTCACTCGTGGCTGTCGAACTAAGGAACATGCTGGTACTGCAGGCCGCCTGCGACGTATCAATCTTTAGTATTCTCCAGAGTGTGTCGCTGGCTGCGTTGGCGCTTGACGTCGTTGCCAAGAGTGCATACTTTGAGATTGCCGCATAGAATGTTTCCCCTATTTTGGACTATTGGATAACCGGTGTTATTTGAAAAAAAGAATTTTTTGGAGTTTCTTCCTTCCCATCCTGTTGTTAATTTAGGTCATAGATTGGAGCATTGAGAGTCATGTTTGGATGATAGTGGCCAGGCTAAGTGGTAAACTTGCAGTGTACGAAATGACATTTTCGGCGTCTGTAGACGTTGCTTAACATAGGATCTGAAATATGACCGTATCCAGCCTCGTACTGCGTACTATCAAACGTAGGGTCATGGTGAGTCAACCAGATAGCGGAAGCACAGCGTCCGCGGAGACGGGAGGAGCGGAAGGAGAATTCCAACTCTGCAGGGCTTGGCGTAAATCATGTGATGTCGTTGCATGCCATACCAATTTGAATTTTGTTGTTATTGGTGGAATTGGTTGATCTATTTGATTTGTGATTCGGTATCCTCCATCAAGGAAATGGGCAGTACCGAGTGCTTAGATGGAGTTGGTCACAAAAGCTTGATCAAGTTGGATGACATATATTATGGGAACGTAGTCACAGGAAATGGCTGATTAGGTCTCAATTTTTGATCACTGTATTAGACTTGATCTGATTTCATAGGAGCCTTGAAAACTAGTTTGGCTGGGTGGACTAAAATCAAGAATATATTAACCCTGTTGGGTTCTACGAGAACACCGGCGTTCCATGGCCAAACAGATTCTTCGGGTCCCATTTGGCCTTGACCTTTCCAAGCTTGGCCAGGTTGGCTTTCGACCACCAGGCTTCGGGGCCTTCATCGCCATACGCATAGTTGACGTAGATGTGAGGCTCCGAGAAGCCGCTAGTCGCTTGGAGCTTTTCTCGGAGCGACAGCAGCAGCTGAACAGACGGTTCTTCCAGAGAAGGATCAGTGTAGATGTTTTCATGAAGCCTGTATTATTCGTTCCAGTCAGTCTCAGACAGCTTCGATAGCCTTGGGAAAGGAGGTGATGTTGCACTTACCAGAATGTCTTGGTGTCTCTCCACGGGTACACCGCGGTGGAAAGGGGGGTCTTGAGCGTGTTGTTGTTGGCATATCTCTGAAACAGTGTCTCACCCAAGTACCCAGGGTGAGCCTCATAAAATTCAGTCATTTCTTCAAACACCTCTTGCATTGTCTGGGGGTCGGTGCGGCCGAGCCCCATGGTACCGCCGTTGATATAAGCACCGCTCTGGCAAGGTCCATCCAAGTTGGCGAAAAGCTCGACCACTGTTACATTCTGGACGGTGCCACGGCTGTATCCTAGCCTCATTGCAGTATTCCAGTGCGGCACAAAGGTGTCCCAAGGGCCAAAGTGCTTCATGTCCACCGTGAGCTCCGATTCATTGGTCGTGCGATTATACGAAATGCTCAATTGAACGCCTAGCTCAGCTGGCAAGACATAATCGAGTGCTTGCAATTCTTCAAAGACACCAAGAGTTTGCGACGAGTTGAAGACGAAGCTACCAACCACGGCGTTGCCGTTGTTCGGCTGATCAGCCAACCTGAACGTCGCTTCCGTGATGATACCAAAGTTGGCTCCTGCACCACGGATTGCCCACATGAGCTCTGGGTGGTGCTTGTCCGAGACCGTCACGATGTCACCTGTTGCCGTTATCAGGCGGACAGACTCGAGCGCGTCGACACCGAGGCCATACAGGCCCGTCTCGAAGCCGATTCCGCCTCCAATTGTTGCGCCAATCATGCCAACACAAGGGCTGTTACCACGTGCTACATCATATTGTCAACCCAAGAGCTGGTCCAGAAAAAAAGAGCGAAAGAAAGAGGAGGTTCTTACGAACGGCCTTGCCAGCTTTGTACAATGGCTCAGTAATATCGCCAAGCTTGACGCCAGCTCCAACAGTCAAATGGTTTTTGGCAAGATCAATCTTGGTGGTGTTGAAATGAGCAAGATTGATGTCAATACCTGTCACAGTACCATAGATGATGCTAGTACCATGACCGCCATTGGTTGCCATGAAGGGTATGTTGTGTGCCGAAGCAATTCGAACCTTTGTGGTGCAGCTCATGTCAGTACATTCCCCAGTCCCATTCAAGTCGTGAACCTACAATATTCTGAAGGTCATGCACTGTTTGGGGCTTGATGGCACCAGTCCATTTAGGGGGATCCCACTCAGACCATCGCGGCGAAACCACAGAAGAGAAGTTGGCATCAGTGGGCTCAGCCATCAAGCTGCCTGGGGACAAATAAGGCTCAAACAAGGCCTCAATATTAACGCCGGACGCGAAGATCCCCGCAACATTAGCCAGAATGGCCACAGCTAACGATCCGGACAGTCCGCGAACCATGTTTGGACAGACAAGAGATAGCAATACGTGTACCTAGAGAATGGATGCGAATACTAGAAGAAACAAAGTCACAGACTACCAGCTTAGCCAGCACATGATGGCTTTCTAATAAGTCGATGCGTCGGGATGGTGTGATACCACCACCTCCCCCATCACTAGTACACCGAGGCAACACATCCGTTCCGCCGTGTTCGCTAGGGTCTTGGCTGTTCTCTGCAAGGATTGCTGCGAAATCGGAGTGTTTGAAGTCCGGAGGCGTTCAATCAAGGTCTCTGCCCTGCATCTGACATACGAAAGTCCGGTGGCTTCCTGTTCCTGTGCTTACTATGACTCCCGACGTTCAAGTCCTATTGGATAGCGGAGTCCACCCTTCCCAGGTCCGCCAACCTGATTGTGGGAAATAGAAATCGATTCGAATCTCCGAGCGGACAATCAGCACGGCACGCTTGACTGCATTACCAAAGCCTGAATGATACAGAGGTAGATACTACAGTGGCAGCACAAGACTTCTAAGAGAACTGCTGCGGCCCCCTCGTCTGGGATCTGTATTACGAATTTAGACCATTCAGATTATTCACTTAGTACTTTCAAATGTCTTTTCAGATGGGTTGAAATTTAAAATTCTTGCTCTGACAGATTTCAAATGTTTGTAGAAGTTTTTTAGATGGATCCTTTAGTGCCCCCACGACGCATGAACCGCATAGTCTGGTCCTGAAGTATTGGAAATCGGCGTTTGTCATGTCTTTCCTAGTGGTCGTTATGCAAGTTCGCAGTAGAGCGCACTAGTCAAATCATTGGTTAGGCAGCAGGCACAATAATGCCACGGGTGATTCTGATAATATCGCGACGACCCAGGTGGTGGTTTGGCGCTTGATGATATAATGGAACCCAGGCTGCTGTAGCCCACAGCAAAGAATGCATAGAAAAGTGAGAACACATACAAGATACTGGCAAGACAATTTTACGGTGGTTCAAAAGAACTCAGTGGTAATTTTGAGCCATATGAGAAAAAGTTTACTATTTCAAGTGCAACAATAACCAAATGCTAAACGTCTGAGAGCGGCAGTCAATTGTTGGTTGTGATAGATCAAAACAGCAAATTAACACACGACAACGGAAGAAAAAAAAAAAAAAAATAGTGTCACTCTTCGAGACTTCAGTTCAGATAACCCATCTTCTTCCAAGAAGCCACGTAGAGACGGGCCACCTCAGGACTCACAGGGCCCGCACTAGCCATAGTTCGGGAGTGCTCTTGCGTCTTACTCGTATCTAGAACCAGACCGCCGCACGACATGCGCTCAAAGTGGTCATCAAGGAAGTCGACCAGGCGAGCAGCTGGGTTCTCTGTCTCAAGAGACATGGGAGACCGGCGGACCCTCGAGATCCAGCTCTTGAAGGGAATGATGGCTTGGGGCGGGATATCTAGCGCAGCAGCCAGCACGGGTGACATACTTTTCCATTGCTGGCCAATGGGATTGTCGATGTGATAAACAGGATAAGCGTCCGGGGCTTCGTCGCGCAACCCAATCTTCAACAGGTCGGCCATGATGCCGGCGCAATAATCCACAGGAATCCACTGCAGCACACCATCCAGGTCGGGCCACATACGCAGCGACTGGGCTGACTTGACTAAGAAAGCAAAGTGCTCGACGGGGTTCCAGAAGCCACTAGTGGATGATCCTGAAATTTGGCCGGGGCGCACCACCATTGCCCTGAAAAGACGCGGGTACTTATGCAGCGTTTCATCGAGCATACGCTCACACACCCACTTGGCTTCGCCGTAACCGCTGGGAAGAGTGGCAGATAGTGGCACGCGGTGCTCAAGGACTCGCGACTCGCCAGCGAAGCCTACGACTCCAATAGACGAGACGAATTGGAAGCCCACGCGGCTCGGAGGGTTAAAATCTCGGGACGCTATCTCGCGAGCTAAGTCCAGCAGGTTGCGCATAGCTTGGAGCTGCGGTTCAAACGCACTGATAGGCCGTGTGCCACTCATGGGCCAAGCGTTATGCACAATATCAGTGGCGTGCTCGACAAGCCACGAGTAATCGAGCGGCGAAAGACCCAATTGCGCTTTCGAGGTGTCCGTCTCAAGGATGCGAAGTTTGGCACGAGCACTAGGGAGGAGTTTAATGCCACGGTTGGCAAATGCTTCTTGTTGCCTTTTTTCCGCGAGCACGCTGCTGCTGCGGCGGTTAAGGCACACCACCCGCGCAACCTTGGGATCATCGGCCAGCTTCTGGACGAGATGTGAGCCCAAGCTTCCCGTGGCTCCCGTCACCAGAATGACGGCGTCGAGGTTCTTCTTGCGTGATGGAGCCTTGCCACTTTGTTTCAGCTGAACATCCCCTTTTTTGGCGTCAAGGAAACGCAGCTTGGGCGTAACCCAGCCATTGGAGTATGTGGCTACGAGCCTCTCTGCCTCCGCCGTGCGTGTCTCAATATTTGCCGGATTGAGCTCCGGGATGGGCTCTGGGAGGGCAGCTGGCTTTGGTAGTCGTGGGCCCTGAGCCCCCGACTTTAGCGCTATAATGACCTTTTGGAACGCATTCTCAGGTAGGCTGCCGTCGGTCCAATCAACATGTCCGAACCCTGCGGTGTGCAGTTCACGCTCCCAGTGTTCTGCAGCTACAACGGCGTGGCTTCGCCCGTCATCAAACAGCCACCAGCCTTCCAGCAAGCCAAAGACGAGGTCAACGAAGGGGACAACCTCTGTCATCTCCAGTATCATAAGGAAGCCGTCAGCGCGTAGGGCCTTGTGTACATTCGACAGCGAGACCCCCAAATTGTGAGTGGCGTGGATAGCGTTGCTAGCCACAACAAGATGCTGGCCCTTGAGTTCATCAGCGGGTGCCTTTTCAATGTCGTGCACAGCAAAGCGCATGAACGGATACTGTTTGCTCAATCGACGACGTGCGTTGGCTACCATGGATGGAGAAATATCCGTGAACGTGTATTCGACTGAGGTGATGCCCATTGCGGTAAGTGATGCCATCAAGGGTGCCATAATGAGTGTGGTGCCACCCGTACCAGCTCCCATCTCAAGCACCTTGAACGTCTCTCCAGAGAATTTGCCGCTGCTGTGGATACGCTCTGCCAAAATTCTCGTGACTTCACGCATCTGGACGTAGCTCATACAGTTAAAAGTATGCTCGCAGTACATAGCAGCTGTCAGCTCTCGGCCTTCGGGGCTGCCAAATAGCACGCGAATCCCATCCGTCGATCCGCTCAACACGCCCGCGAGCTGCTTTCCTGCGTAGTAAGTAAGCCTGTTTGGCACCGCAAAGTCGGGATTGGAAGTCAACAGCTCTTTCAGGATTGCATGGCTCGTTTTTCGCGGGGGCGCGACGTGTGTACGCGTTATGCGTCCAGTCAAAACGTCCACATCGATCAGACGGGCATCACGCTCAAGGAATTCATACGCCCACTGCATCAAGCGGGCATGCTGAGTGAGAAAAGAGACGCGGTCAATGACTTGGCCAGCAGCGGCTGTACGGAGTGGCGACTTTAATTCGTCAAAGGCTTCCACAACGAGTGCTGCGCAGAGGCTATTGCTGCCGGCTAGCATAAACTTTTCGGTCACATGGACGCCGTACTCACGCATGAGCTTGTCCGTGGTCATTTTGACCTCGCCGAAAGATTCAAGCACATCAGAGGCTGACAGCGACAGGCGACTATCAACTGGGGGCGCTATGGCTGCGAGACCGGCTGGCTTATGAATAGGCACAGCTTTTAGAGGCAATACCTCGTCCTGAGGAGTGAAGATTCCGGTATCTGAAGACTCTCCGCTGGACAACACGTCTTGGTCACTCGCAGCAGAAGATCCAACGGAAGAGTCCTCACTCTGTTCGTCTTCATCACTTTCTTCACCGCTTGTGGTGGAATATCCCTGGTTCGAACCAAATAGAGCGTTGGACACGCATGCGACGAACTTGCGAAGACTGGTAGCCTCCATCTGCTCGTTCTGGTCCAGAGTGCACTTGAAAGCTGTCTCTACCTCCTTGGCCAGCTCCATTCCCATCAGAGAGTCAATGCCATAGTCGGCCATTTCGCCATCAAGCTCCAACTCGTTGGCCTCGATGCCCGAAACGGTAGCCACAAGGCTGCGTACCTCATCAGTGATGTCCCGCCAGCCTGAAGCTACCTTGTCTTTCTTCTTGTCTTTCTTTGCCCTAGTCTTGGTATTTCGAGCCTCGGATATCCTTTTTGTCGTCTTTTTCACATCTTCGACGGGGTTTGGCACAACATAAACTGACTTGACGGGCTGGGAAACAGGTGCTTTGATCCGAAGAACCGATTCATCCTTTGTCATCCGGGCCAGCATCTTGCTCATCGATGCCTTCGCGACCCTACCGTACTGCACACCTATCATAATTTCGATCAGTTGGCCCGTTGTTGCATCAAATACAAAAAGGTCAGTCATGAAAGCCTTGTCGCCCTGACGAGAGTGACGCGCATATACATGCCACACTTCCGTGTCGGCACGACTGGAGGCATTTGGCGAACGCATCGACAACTGGCAACCCGTTGCGATGTACATGTCTCCCGGAGGAAGATCCGTCATCAAGTTCACCCAAAGCCCACCAACCTGGCTAAAGCTGTCGCTCAAAGGTACATCAAGCCAAGTATCCCCACGGTGAGATTTGGGTAATTGGACGTATCCGGCGCATTCATCGCCACGACCCACAACGTAACGGACTCCGCGGTAAATATCGCCATAGTCGACAATAGGACTGAAGGCTCGGTACACATTGCGGCCCTGAAGCACCTCAACGTCAGTTTCGTCGAGATTGAGGCTCAGTACATCGGTGCATCGTTTATGGCTGACGAGCCGCTCAAAGTTGGCAAAGTCGCGAAGGTAGGCTGCATCTGTGGACGCACAGAGTTCAACGCTGGCCTCGGCGTGAATATCAGGTCTTTGATCATTACTTTGAGTCGCAACACTGAATATTTGGAAGCTCCATTGGGTGCGCTTCTTGTTCAGGGGCGTCAGGTCGAGGTAAACAGTTCGCGACGGGTCTTTGCAGATTGGTGAGTGATTGGTCATATCGCGAACCACAGGTCCCCATCCCCCACTCTTCCATTCCGACTCAAGGCTGTAGAGAGCCTCGATAACAATGTCGCACTCAAGTGTGCCTGGGCAAATTGGTGCAGTCTGCGCAATGATATGACCCAAGACGAAGCTGTTGTACTTGTCCGACTCGGTATTAATACGGAACCGTGGCTTCTCCTTCTCTCCGTCTTGGAATCCGACAAAGTCCCACAAAGGCTGTGTCCTGGGATCTTGATGGAAACCAACTTCTTGAATATGCGCCATTCCTGCAACACTAGCCGTCATCAGCGCGGCGGCCGCTTTTTTGACTTGCTCCAGCGGCGACTTCATTGGAAGCCAGTGACGTGGAGTTGTGTCGAACTGATATGGCGGCAGGAGTAGCTGCTCGTGCTCAAGCGTTTGAACTGCGTGATGGGACCAGAAAGAGACGCGCAGGCCCTGCTTCCACAGAGCCGTGGTGGCATCCGTCAGCCCATTCAAGCCCATGTCGTTGGTGATTGACACCGCCTGGAAATGGTGCGAGTCTGAGGACGAAGCCTGGCTTTGAGCAATAGCGCGGCCTGCCATAATGGTAATGGTCGAGCTAGAACCAGCTTCGAGGAAGATGGCTTCCGGGTGTCGCTTGGCCAACCGTTGGACGGCGTGATTGAAGAAGACGGGCTGGCGCATGTGCTGGAATACGAACGAAGCGTCTATGTCGTCTGAGCCAAATGAAATCTCAGTGGCCCGTTCCAATGATATAATCGGCTTGTGGAAGGCTAGAGTCTTCCCGATTTCCTCAAGATCTTCGCTAATGTTGTCAACGAGGGCTGAGTGGAAGGCATTGGTTACGCTCAGGAGCTTGCTCTTGATGGAACTGAAGTTAGAGTTGGACGCTATAACCTGCTGTACTTCGTTGATGGAATCGGTTGATCCAGCAATCGTGAAGCTACGCGGGCCATTGTAGCACGCGATACTAGCGGAGCCATTCGAATCCCGGTTTGCCTCTACGAGTAGCTCGCGGACCAGCGTCTCGTCGGCCTCGATGGCGATCATAGCGCCTGAGTCAGCACCCCAGCTATCGCGAACCAACTTGCTGCGCGCTGCCACTAACTTAACTGTGTCCTCAAGGCTGAGTACACCGGTAATACAAAGCGCCGTGATCTCTCCAAAGCTGTGGCCCACGACGGCTTCAATCTTAGCCTCGAGGCCGCAGTCTATCCAGCATTTGGCGCCCGCGTATTGCAGGGCAAACAACATAGTCTGCAGCTTGACTGTGTCCTGGATCGGCTCACGCGTAAAGATATCTGGGTAGATGCTGTCGAGGCCCTGGGATATGAAGACAGTGTTGACATCGTTGAGGTGTTGCCGCAGGATGGCCACCGAGTCGAACAATTTGCGATCAAGCCCAACAAATCGCGATACCTGGCCACCAAAGCACAGGATGACGGGTCTTTCGGCCTTTGCTGTTTCGATGCCCGCATTAGCAGCGAGGTCTTTCTTGGAGATGACTTTGGCCGCCCGGTCTAGCTTCTCATATAGCTCAGCCATTGAGAGGCAGCTAAAGATGAGTGCCTGAGTCAGGCTACGGTTGGACTGCCTGTTGATATTGAATGAGAGATCGGCCAAAGTTGGCTCTTTGGGGAACGACCGTAGCCACTGGCCAAGCTTGGCGCAGTACGCAGCAATGGCTCTGGTATCGAAACCTGGAATCCAGAAGGGAACCCGTTTCCCAATTTCTCTCGAGAGTGAGCTAGCGATCGGCCCGGATAGGGCCCTATCTGGTTGGGTGATGATCATGCTCGCGTTGGACCCGCAAGCACCATAGTTGTTGAGCAGGGCTGTCTTGTGTGACTCGTCCCACAACTGCAGCTTTGTCACCACCTCCAGATTGTCGTCAGGCTTGACGGGAATCTTGCTGTTCATCCTTGTAAAGCTTGCCTGGGGCGGAACAAAGCTGCCACGCATCATCATGATGATCTTGACAAGTGCAATGGCACCGGAGGCACCTTCGGTGTGGCCAATATGGCCCTTAACGGATCCGATTGGCAGTTTCTTCTTACGGACAGGGCCACCCAGGGCCGCGAGAATACTCTCGTATTCAGCTGGATCTCCGACGGGCGTTCCGGTACCATGGGCCTCGACCAGTGACACATCGTTGACAGTCACCTTGGCCTTGCGCATCACATCCTTGAAAAGCTGAGACAGAGACGGCGAGTTGGGCACGAATAAAGGTGTACAGTTCTGGTTCTGGTAGACGGCACTGCTGGCAATGGTCGCGATAACGGGGTTGCCGTCTCGTTTTGCGTCCGACAATTTTTTGAGGAAGACAAACGCAGCGCCTTCGGCACGACAGTACCCGTCTGCATTGTCATCGAATGGCTTACACTGTCCGGTAGGGCTAACGAAGGAACCAGCGGCAAGATTCTGGAACCAATTCATGTTGGTCACTGTGTTGGAACCTCCAGCCAAGGCTGATGTGCATTCGCCAGACAAGAGGTTTCGACATGCTGTGTGAATGGCTACGGTTGAGGAAGAACACGCTGTATCAAACGTCAAACACGGGCCAGTCCAGCCAAACAGGTGCGACACTCGGCCCGTTATGAAGCTTTTGAGGGCTCCCGTGGCTGTGAAGGCATTAGGCTCGTGGCAGGAGATGTTATGCTCGTAGTCCACTCCGCATGAACCTAGATAAACGCCGACATGCGCCTTGTCGCGTCCATCTGGCGTATAACCAGTGGTGTTCTCTGCAAAGTAGCCCGATTGCTCAACAGCCTGATATGCTGTTTGGAGAACAATGCGGCTCTGGGGATCCATGGCGGCGGCCTCGCGAGGGCTCTTTTTGAAGAATTTGTGGTCAAAGGCGTCGCCATCGCGGAAAAAACAGCCATAATATTTGCGTTTTGGGTCGCTGTCAGCAGACTCACGGAACAGCATGTCGTGCATGAGCCGATCCCTGGTGATTGGAATGTGCTGTGATTTGCCCGTTTTGAGCATCTCGGAAAATTCAGCCAAATCATCGGCCCCTGCAGTCTTGACTGACATGCCAATAATGGCAATGCTCTCATCGTCAAAGTCTATAATTGGCTTCATACCTCCATCATCAGTTCTCAGTCGTTGTTCCTGCTTCTGCTGCCTTTGTTGTTTTTGTCCGCTTGAGACGTTCGGCAACCAGCTGGAGGGCTGCGCAGGATATTTGGGCAAGTCTTCAAAAAAAAATTGTCTGGTCCCGAGACGTCGCATCAGGGTGGGAGGTACGCAACGCTCCAGGCCAAATGTCACGACAGTGGGATCTTGGTGGCCCTCCATCACGGCTGAGAAGGTGTCGTACCATTGGCACTGCTGTGTCAAGATGGACCGCAGAACCATCTCGCTCAGGCTCCCTCGTCCAGGCAACAAGGGCTTCCCCTCGCCTTGATTGTCGAAGGTTGGGAGTGCAAGGTTACCCGCATCAGCGTACTGTAGACCAGGCAAAGCGTTGCACAAATCGACAAGCGTATTTGTTTGGGCTTTCCTGTCCGCATTAGGACTATGGATCTGGCCCTTGATGCCAACTTCAGCTGCCGTGATGCCAGCAGCGCGTAGTCTTTTGAGGAGGAGAGGAGCAATAGTATCTGAAGCTGTCACTGTGGCACGGGCCTCATCGTAGCGGACGGCAATGTAGGCATCGGTTGACAGGTTGTCAATAATGCGTGTCATGTCATCTTCTTGCTTTTGCCCACGCCAGGCAATTGCATATGATGCTGAACTACCCTTACCGGAGCCCTTGTCCCACGCTTCTTGGGCATCTATCAGACCCCCAATAAGCATCGCCAATCGCACCGCGACAGCGCCGTACTCCTGGAATTCCTGTCGACTTTTCGCGCTGGCGACGGCAAGAGCGGCTAATAAACCAGCGCAAAAGCCCAGTATCTCAACTTTGGCTCCCGCCTGGCTTGGATGCTGTGCAACCAAATCTGCCTGCAAGTCTGTTACCTGCGTGCTGTTGACATTTGTCTGCTCCAGGTAACGCCAATATTGAGTGAGCTGTATCAATACCACGAGCGGGCCGACCATTATACTGGGTAGATTTGTATCATCTTTCGACAAGCTGTTTGCTCCGTGTCGAATCCAAGAGTCGAGTTCAGCTAGTGACTGAAAGCCATCAACATCACGAGCCAACTTGGGTATCTTGGCCGTCAGTGCTTCATAGTACTCCGGTAAGTCGGCCAGTGTGTCAAGAATCCATTCTCTCTGGGGGCTTTGAGAAATCGGTTGTACCAGCTTGTCCATTGATTGACTTGTTAAAACGCCAACATGTGGGCCGAAGAGGAAAATCTTGGACTCGCTGGGCGATCTCTCCGCGGCGCTTGTTGTTGTTGTAGTTGTCATTGTGATTGAAATTGACTGTATCAATCCCTAGGTGAAGAGAGCTTCTGATACAAAATGTTCGGCAAGTATTTGCAGAAAGTAATTCTGTTGAAGAGTATGGTGAATTGTTCTAGCTCATGATACAGGTAAATATGACAATGCGATAACTCTTGGTGCTGAGAAATGAAACCGTATTCTCTTGATTGAAACCTCCCATCTGGCGCCCTCGGAGATTCCGGCGCTACTAATTCCGTCAGATATGCTCTCTGTATCGTACTAAAGTCACGATAGACGGTCTAGATCTCATTTAACCGGTCTTACAGCCTTAAATCATTATCGCCTTGGTGGCTTTTACACGACGGACTTTCGGACTCGCTGACTAGGGGGGCATCAGTAGTCCGAAACTCCGCATGACTCCTGATCCCCAGCTTAGTCGATGTTTTCATTACGGACTTGCAGAGGGCAATGGTAATTCAGCCGTGGTAATCAGTTTTGCTGTTGTTCATATTGGCTGGTTTCCATGGCTATACACCGGTTCTCATGAAGGCTGTGGTTCTCATGAAGGCTGTAGATATCTAGACAGTCCCGACTTCTAAGGAAATCAAAACATGTTTAATTATAAACAAAAAATCTCAGAATTTCTTTTTTATATTGCGAGTCGAGTTCGGCGAGTACTTTGAGCTCTTCTAATGGGTGGTTTTTGTCACTGTCCTTCAATATATCATTTGAATGACCTGGTTGAATACTTCCAGCTGGAAAAGCGAAAGATGGATTTACAGTCCTCCCACTCTACCTCCTTAGCTAAGTCGATAAGATACAGAGAAAGACAGAAAAACAGGAAGTCTTATGATGCCACAAATTTCGTCCTGTTTGACTATTGAAGCTGTTAAGATCAACCACAGCGAGGTGATAGTACAATTTGAAGTATAAAAAGACATAGCAGGAGGCAGTTTTTGCAACGAATAGCCTTGTGTACTTTGCTTTGCTCTACAACTCCTAGGACATTCAAATTCATAGACATTGATAGCCCTCAAGTCGTTGACTCACATGGCCTCAAAGAAACATATCTATTGAGCCGAGAGCCTTAAATCTGAGAATCATAGACCTTATTTGCATCAGTAACCATGCCGTCCACATCAAAATCCCAAATGACTTCCGAACGCCTCTCGAACTCGGCCTTGCATCTGTCGCCATCATCTCCAGATGCAGGATATCGCCACTCGTACACGTCTCCCATCTCCCGAGAGCTCTTGACCAGCCATTGGGTGCGCTCAATTCTCACGGAGCTGTATGTATGCAAGGCTATCTTGAGGTTGCGCTGTATCGTGGTGGTAGGCCCAGCGTTGACGCGTGCCAAAAGCTCGGCCAGGACCAAAGCATCCTCAACGCCCATGCAGGCACCCGCGCCGTGAAATGGGCTGCTCGCATGTGCTGCGTCGCCAGCCAGACACACACGACCAGAAGCGTATGATGGAAGCGGATTGTCAGCTTGGTCAAAGATGGCATATTTGCTCAAGGTTTCAGGGAACTCATCAACCATTTCCTTGATATGCGGGCCCCAACCCTGCAGTGCCTCCACAACTTCATCACGGGAGCTGGCGACGGTCATGGTATGCCCATGATGCCACTCCTCTGGATCGTGTAGGAAGATGAAAACATTATAAGCTTGCGCGTTGTTTATCTAAAGATGGAATTAGCTTGGTACTATATCGCCAGAATTTGTGTGCACGAACCGGGAAAGACACGATGTGGGCATCGGGTCCCATATGCGCAATTTGTACATGAGCCTTGTCGGTGCCTAGTGCCTTGATTGCACTCGGCATGGGTACCATGGCGCGGTACATGGCCTTCTGGGAGTACTGGGCGTTTGCGGCCGGGTGGTCTGCACCCAGGAAGATCTTGCGGACAGTTGAATGAATACCGTCGCACGCGATTACTGTTCTAGGTTGTAAGTAACTATCATCAAGACTGCATCTATCGGCATAAGCCATGCGTTGAACGGGAGACAGACCAAGGTCGGATTGGGCGGTGCTTCCGTCAGTGAAGCGCAAAATTACCTTCGCGTTTGCCTCATTATCATCGTAGCCCACAAGTCGTTTTTTGAACTTCACCACGTCGTCAGGAAGCTGGGCAGCCATGTCTAGCAGGAAATGACCTCTTAGACAAGCCCAGTAGGCCATGTTCTTTTCCAGAGTCTCAAATAAGAGTGCGGATTCCTCTTTCATAGCAGACTCTTTGGTTTGAGGGTGGAAGCCATCCCAGTAACGAACCTTGTCATGGGGGCTTCTTTGGGCAACTCGGGCAAGAGACTCAAGTACGCGCGGGTCGAGACGTTCCATGCACACTCGTGCAATGCCCGTGAAGGCAAATGCGGCTCCCACATCTGGCCATGTAGCAGCACGCTCATAGATGGTAACTTTAAATCCTCGGCGCAAGAGGCCCAGTGCCGTCATGACGCCAATGATGCCGCCTCCAACAATGGCGACGTCCAGGTGGGCTTGGAAATCGCCATTACTCGATGCCGCGTCGCTTTTGGTTGCCATTGAAGCTCTTTAGTTTTCAATAATCGCGTTTATCGAAATATCTTATGTGGAAATATCTCGTGTTGTCCTCTTTCTTATAGTACAAGTATTTGTTCGCCGTTAGCGTCACCAACTACTTCAACATGGATTATACAGAGTGATCTCTTCAAGCCGTGAAATTTGCTGTCCATGCTATTTTCAACAAATAAGGGCTGTCAAATGCCTCAGTCATTGCTCATTTGGTGTCCGACTTGGTCGCGTCCGGACCTGCGGAGTTTGCATCTCCGCACGTCAGCACGATCGCACGTAATTCGAGACGCTTCGGGCTTGAAGATTAACGGAAAGCAATGGAGTTGAGACATTTATTGCCTTTTAGACTGCATGCAAGGCTAACAGGGTGCTAGCTTACCCACGGGCTCATTATTGTATGCGAAGGAATTAATTGATTGCCCCTCCCCTTTGAATACGTATAATCTCAGCTCGCAGGATCATTTAGCAAACTCTATGAGCTCGAGACAAAATTGTTTTCGTTTAATCTTTCACGATCTCTTGCCCGGACAATCCAAGTCTACTAAAGTTTTGATGCAGTCGTCGGAGTTTGCGGGCGAGATGGCGCCTGGCGCAGAACGTACCCTAGACCTCCCGCGCATTCTTTGCCTCCATGGGGGCGGCACAAATGCGCAAATATTCAGGGCCCAGTGCCGTGTCATTCGTGCCCACCTAGCGGATTCATTTCGTCTCGTATTCGCTGACGCGCCATTCCCCTTTCAGCCCGGCCCAGACGTGACACCCGTATACAGCGATTGGGGGTCGTTCCGAGCTTGGCTACCGCGGCCAGACATGATGGAGCTCAATGTCGACAGAATTGATGGTTGCATTTCTGCTGCTATGAGGGCAGATGACCAAGCTGGCGCAACAGGCCAATGGGCTGGTTTGATAGGGTTCAGCCAGGGGGCCAGCCTAGCTGCCAGCCTGCTATTGAGGCAGCAAAGAGACAACGAGAGTCAGGCCTCCAGTTGGGGTATGGGATGCAGTGTCAAGAACCCAAGCCCTGGATATCGCTTCGCTGTTTTATTTGCTGGGAGGGGCCCGCTAATGGACATGGGTTCTTCTGGTGATAACACTCAGTTCGGATCTGACCTGCTGCGGCTGCCGACCATTCATGTACATGGCCTGCAAGACCCTGGGATCGAGATGCACAGGAGCCTGCTGCACTGCTGCCTGAAATCTAATACGAGACTTGTAGAGTGGGATGGAAACCATCGAATGCCCGTTACAACCAAAGATGTTAGTGCAGTGGTGGCTGAGATCCAAGGCTTGACTCTCAATCTTCAGGCGGCCGACTCTTCAGGTAAAGAGTGCTGCAGGAAATGTTAGTGGCGGGACTGTGCTATGATCGCATGGCTCTGACAATACTTTTTCCTCCATATGTTTTTGGATGGGAACACGGGTTTCTTCAGACCACAGAGAGTGCCATACAACAATACTAGTATTTTGAAACCAACCCCCAGAATAAGCCCCATTAAAAAAAGAGGCCACTCTCGGTACCATGTTTCTAGGCATATAATTTTGTAGAAAGCTAGGAAGCTCGGGCTTAGACGGAGACAAGCTTCCGATTTCGAAGACAACTTAAGCTCCGGCCCAAATTTGATGTGAGTGAAGAAAAAAGCCCCTTATCGAGCTCGGATTGTGAAAGCAGACTCCGATCCTTCAATCCGGTCCAAATCCGATGCAGATGCAGGTGAAACAAACCCTTGTTCGGATTTGGATTTCGGAATCAAAGTCCGCTTCATTCTAAAACCAACGTCTAAATAGGGGATATGAGTGCAGCGCATTTATAATCAACGTTAGAATAAAAGAAATGTGGCTCTACAATACATCCATCATGATCCTGTAGTCATCACAGTATCTCACTAGCACCGCAAGTCCTTCACCCGCAGCACTCGACTAGAGCTCCTGTCCTGCCATGGCCGAGACGAATTCTTCACCTTTGGATGAGCCTCCTGTAGAATCATCTAAGACTTGGCAGAACCAACCGCTAGAAAAGCAAGACGGCGCCGAAATCAGCGCTTCCAGTGATGGTGGAGAGCCCAAGCGCCAATATCCTTCGGGCCTGGCAGTTACTCTTATCCTCACATCAGTCACTCTGGCCTATTTCCTATTCTTCCTTGACCTTGCCGTCATTTCCACCGCCACTCCGGCCATTACCTCTCAATTTGACTCTTTGGTGGACGTCGGTTGGTAAGTCACTATCTTTTGGTCTGGATCAAAACTGCTGGTCGATCTTTTGCGAGATGCTGATCCATTTCCTCCAGGTATGGTGGCGCCTACCAGCTCGGAAGTGCAGCATTTCAGCCCTTGAGCGGCAAGATCTATAGTCGGTTCTCTATCAAGGTATGTCTTGATTCATGTCATGGCTCATGCATGGTGATGACACGAAAAGTAAATGCTCACAAGCTCAATATATAGTGGACCTTTCTTGTCTTCTTCGTAATCTTTGAAGTCGGATCTGCTATATGCGGAGCAGCTCATTCGTCGGCCATGTTCATCGTCGGCCGCGTTATCGCGGGTGTTGGGTCTGCTGGAGTGGCCAACGGCGCAGTGACAACCATTTCCGCGGTCCTCCCAACGCAAAAACAGGCGCTTTTCATGGGTCTTAACATGGGCATGGGCCAGGTTGGCCTTGCGACCGGGCCTATCATTGGAGGCGCGTTTACCACGAATGTGTCCTGGCGGTGGTGTATGTTATTCCATTTATTACATTGGAGATCTCCAAAACACTGATATTTCTTTTGTTAGGTTTTTATATCAACCTTCCTTTAGGCGTTATCGTCGGCGGATTCCTTCTCTTCAATACAATCCCCGAACCAAAACAAAAGGATCCGCCTCTGCAGATTCTTAGCTCTGCCATCAAGGAGCTCGATCTCCCTGGATTCATGCTTATTTGCCCGGCGGTCGTTATGTTCCTCTTGGGCCTCCAATTTGGTGGTAACCAATATGCCTGGGACAGTTCAGTTGTCATAGGCTTGCTAGTCGGCGCTGGTGCTACATTTGCTGTCTTCCTTGTCTGGGAGTGGCGCCAGGGGGACAATGCTATGGTGCCACTTGCCATACTCAAACATCGAGTTATTTGGTCGGCTGCAATGACAATGTTCTTCAGCTTGTCCAGTGTTCTTGTGGCTGATTTCTACATTGCAATTTATTTCCAGGCAATCCACGATGACACACCCCTGATGAGTGGTGTTCATATGCTGCCAATCACCCTCGGTATTGTTCTGTTTACCATGGTCTCAGGCACCCTGAGTGAGCGCTTTCTTTCGTGGCCTTTGGCTTCCCGTAAAGTACTTTGTCCACTGACCTTCGCTGATACTGAACAGTTTCCGTTTTGGGCTACTATCTCCCATTCCTTCTTGCCGGAGGTGTTATATCATCTATTGGCTATGGACTCTTATCGACATTAAGTCCTACGACTCCAATTGCAAAATGGATTGGGTACCAAGTTCTCTACGGTGTCGGAAGCGGTTGCACGACTGCGGCAGTAAGTTCGGTTTCTATCGAAGAATAAACCCATCAGCTGATGTGTATTTTTATTTAGCCCTACATCGCCATACAAAGCCTCGTGGCTCCAGAGCAGATTCCCCTTGCCATGGCCATTATCATCTTCTGGCAAAACATTGGTGCTGCCACTTCTCTGATCGCTGCAAACGCCATTTTCAGTAACAGCCTTCGTTCAGAGCTTCAAAAACGCGTCGCGCAAATTAGCGTTTCTCCAGACACCATCATCAATGTTGGAGTCCGCTCCATCCGTGACCTGGTGTCTGGCTCCGAATTAACCGCCGTGCTCGCCGCATACGCCAAAAGCATCGACAAAGTCATGTACCTCGGTATTGCTGTCAGTATCGCCGTCTTGGTGTTTTCTCCGGGACTTGGATGGAAGGACATACGGAAGGTCAAGGAACTTCAGGTCCTCACTAACAAGTCTCCTAACAGCGGTGATAAAGATTCCGCAGTGATTGGTTAAAATTAGAGTTGTTGGTGAGCAATCGACTGGGAAATGCTATTTTCATTCTCTTTATTTCATCTACGGCTGATGCGGTCGCATGTTCACCGCCATGGTAGTCGTTTTCGGTTCTGTCAATTGTTGTGCCACCTTTAGCAGTCAACTGGTTATTCCACCGTCTTTTTTTGTGGGAGAAATTACCCTAATTTAGAATTTGCTCTCTTCAGACAGTTTACACAACATTTAGTACTATTCTTTTGTCACAAATTTCCCTGCACCGTAGAACGTTGTTCGGTACGGAAAGATAATTGAGCGATCCGCTTTCCTACCTGGGCATTTGAATCATTGAGGTACTGATTCAATGAAACGATTCATCTCGGTCTCTCTCTCTAGCACTAGTCTGCTGTTCTCATATATACAGCGCCCGAGCTGCGGCAGTCATTAATTTTTGATGCACAACAGGGCATGGGGACCACCTGGGTATCTTTCTTAGCTGCGCCCCTTTCACTCTATCAGTGCCGCTGACCTTCGTACATACGCTCATGTTCATTTTGGTCGAAGAGACGTACCAACTGAGAAAGTTACGTTTATGTAGCGAGGTGAGTGACTGTTTTATGCACAGGGTTGTCAGAAATCGCGGTAAAAGGGTATATTCCAAAAACTATATAACCGATATCCTTTCTTGTCCTGATTAGAATCCATAATTGAGTGACTTCCTTCACCAAGCTAAAGCGTTACGACAAGTTTCTTTCCCGAGACACCCTTTCTCTGGAGATGGAGGGCGTCTTGAATCTTGTCCAGTCCGCTGCCCACAACATACGGAGGAGGAGCTGGCACAAACTGGCCCTGTTCGAGTGCCTGGGGCAAGAAATCCTTGTAGACATGAGAGACGACACTATCGGGGTCAACTAGGCCGTCGACGAGGATGAATTTGGCTTCGACCCCAGTCCTCATGCGCGTCCCGGTCGATTTGATCATGCCGCCCATCATGGCCATCAAGTAAGTGCCCTTGCCAACAAATGTTGTTAGCTTCTCGGCAGGTATGATGGCTCCGGCCACGGCAATGAATTTCCGCGTGAGGTTGGGATCATGTTTCTTCATAACCGCGGTGCATGCCTTGACAGAACCATCGCCAATTGTGTAGGCACCGACGAGCTCGCGGCCTTTCAAAGCACGAAGGAGTTCTTTGGCTAACGTTTTGCTCTTGTAGTCAAATACGTGGGTGGCGCCTAGACCCTTGACATAGTCAAAGTTCCTAGGAGACGACGTAGACAAGACTTGGTAGCCAGCGGCCACAGCAAGCTGTACAGCGTTGCTACCAACACTCGAAGCGCCGCCAGTGATGATGACAGCGCGCGGCGAGCCTGACTTGCCCACGACTTTGGTGGGTGCTGGGATCTTAGGCATGTCGAGACCCAGATAGTCGGGGTGGAAGAGGCCGTACGCCGCAGTGCCGAGACCCAGTCCCAGGACACAAGCCTGCTCATCGGTGATGTTGGGTGGAACTGGTGTCAACAGGTTCTGTCGCATTACTGTGTAGAGCTGGAAAGCTCCCTCGGCCGGGCGATTGACCTCTTTCGCAATGGCCGCAGCACTTCCACAGACTCGGTCACCCACGTGAAAACGCTCCACGTCGGGGCCGACCTCAACGACTTCACCAGCAATATCGGTACCAAAGATGAAGGGATAGTTGATATAACCGGCAAGCGCTGGGCCAATGTACTGCAAAACCCAGTCGAAAGGGTTAATGGCCACAGCTGAGTTCTTGACTACAACCTGACCCGCGCCAGGGCGGGTATAGGGCGCGTCGCCGACTTTAAACGGCAGGACCTTTTTTGCGGGGATCCAAGCCGCCTGATTCGTTGGTGCCATCTCTATACGAAAGGATAATGAAGCAAAATGAAGCACCAATTAGACACAATGAGTACAGGAGGGACACGAAGCAAAAGCGAAACCCCAAGACTCGAACGGGGTTATATGTACATGTATTGCCATACCAATTAATGTTCCCGAAGAGATCCCGGGGTTCATGGCCGAGCTGCATCAAGCCGGAATTTGTTCGGTATTCAGAGAACCGAAGTCCGGTTGAGGTCCGGTTGAGGTCCGTTTAAGGCGCTACGCGGAATAATTCTTTGTTCCCGCGCAACCACTTCCACAAGTTTCCTCGGCGCTGACACTAAGTTCCATTCTCAAGCTCTGCTTTCTGCATATGCATCTGCAATCTACGGTTAGCCCCCTCATGCATTGTAACATTGGATGATAATGTAAAGGAGCGCTAGCCATGCCCACACGGGCCCCCGTACCTTATGATAGGCGATAGGCCGGAAGTATGCATGTAAGACAGCTTTGCGCCAGCGAGCCACAATATGAAATGCGAGAAATTACAATCGCAACATTCACAACAGACGCTTATTCTCTTCTGAAGTCATACCAAAAGCGTCCATTTTTTCTGTATAAAAACACATTCATTAAAGATGAAGGTTTGGATGTCTACCTAAGCACCTAGATAGACTTTGATGAATGATAAGTGAGGCTGCCAAAAATGGGGCATAATACATCGTTCAGCCTACATTTGCTCCGATATATGTGGCGGGCTACTTCCCGTAGCTGGCTTACAGCTTATCAAATGTAAGCGTACTGTAGAGCCATTGGACAGGTTCGCTTAGTCTGCTCTCTCGGCCCTCTAGACTGCCAAGGGCTCAAGGAGAAGGATCTGAATCCCAGAGGCTTTGTGTCAGAGATCTGGTATTGGGGGCCACAAGCACGTAGTATATAGTGGGGTGTCAGACTCAAAGTGATTGTTCTTCCATCCCTGCTTCAACTCACGGTGACAATAAAGAATGGATTTGCCCCGCTAATTACGGGCTGATATATCAAGTTATCCTACACCAGAAACACCAGAGTCATTGCTTCATGGCGTGTCCAACGGGAAAAAGACTTCGGCAGCAGCCCGGCTTTGCCTGTTTGGAGTGCCGCAGACGCAAGGCACGATGTGACAGAGCACAACCAAAGTGCGGCTTCTGTACTGAGAATGGCATGCAGTGCATCGTGATAGAAAAGCGGCAGCAAAGGGGTCCTATAAAAGGCCAGCTCAACTCAATGCAGTCACAACTTGGTTGGTCCACCAAATTTCGTTTGTTTCACAGCATTTCTTTCTGCAAGTAGTTGGGTGTAGATCCGATCTCATCCCTGTCTTTCACATCTTTCGTTGCAGTGATGCTTTCTCGCCACGCGGCCTGTGGGGTGTTGTTGTTGTTGTACATTTATCTGGTTTTTCCTATTTGTTCTTTTGGTTACTTTCGAGAGGATTGTTAACATTTGTTCTACAAAGCATCGCTACAATGCCATCTTGAACAATACCTCAGGCCTCGACCTGCCCTGTCTATGCTGCCGCAGGGATCCATTGAGCCGGACCCCGAGCCCCGTGCGCACATCCCTATGATGCTGGGCGACTGTGATCTTCAGGCGGGCCTCAATAGCCAAGACCTGTCCGTCGCAGCTACAACATCTGTAGGAATGTCAACATCCACTTTTGTGACTTCAGATTCTGCATCAAAGCCAAGAATTTCGGCTAGTATGGAGACTACTGGTATCAGTTTCCCGGTCTGGCCAGATTGGCTAGACTGGCAGGAAATCAATAGCACCAGCTCGACACCACCAGAGTTGCTGGCCAATACATTAGCTAACCCGCCTGATCTTGAAACTCCGAACATGAACACGCCAACAGCAGCCGACTCCAGTTCAAAGATCAAGATAACAGATCCCATTTGGGCCGAACTGTACGAGCACTCCAAACCCTCCCTAACGGTCTCTTGAGCTTGCTGACAACCCCTTGTAGAGATCAGCTATATTTCGATAGAGTACACGCGATATGTCCCATCATACACCGCCGGCGATACTTTGCGTTAGTAATACAAAATAATCACACGCCTGCCCAAACATGTCTCCGTTTGGCTATGCAGACCCTTGCTGCAGCAATGTCTGCCCATTGGTGTCATCTCAGCGAGCAGCTCTATTCTGAGACACGCAGTCTGCTCGAAATTCAGAGCCAGATGCAAGCTAACCCTAGGGACAAGGTTCCTCTTGAGCAAATCCAAACCTGGTTGCTTCTGAGCCATTACGAGCTTCTGCGAGTAGGTATCCACCAGGCCATGCTTACGGCCGGTCGTGCTTTTCGCCTTGTACAGATGGCCCATCTCTCTTACATTGATACCCCAGGTGGGGATGTGCAAGTCTCTAATCTGGTTTCCTGTTCTTCCTTCTCATCTTCAGCATCATCTTCTTCGCCTTCGTCATCTTTTTCCTTGCCGCCTGCCTTTTCTGCGTCCCTCGGTAACGAGTCTAGCGAGAATTTTGTTGACGTCGAAGAGAGGAGGCGAACATTTTGGCTGGCTTTCAGTTTTGATCGCTTTCTCTGCTTGCAAAATGATTGGCCTCTAACACTTCAAGAAGAAACGGCACGTTGTTTCTCTCAAACCTCTTCGCTACACACCTTAGCAATGCAAGCCTGGCTAACTATTCCTTCCAAACAGATATCCCCCCGTCTTCCGGCACCAGAGGAGAATTTTCAAAATAATCAGCCGACTCGCACCAGCTTTCTTCATGAGGCAGTTGCGCAGACAGGACCTAGCACGTTATCACCCTTCGCAGAATGCATCGTCTTGGCAACACTCCACGGCCGCTGCATGACTTACCGGCGCTCCTATGCAACCGAATCCGAGACCGGGACGAGGGAATTCTGTATCCACCAGGGATGGCTGGCCTCAGCCGTGGAAAAGCGAGTGCAGATGCTTGTACCTTCCTCGGCGATTGAAAGTGATCCTATGCTCCTTTTCACTCACATGCTAGCATACCGTGCGGCCGTTGATCTTAGCAACACGGTACAACGGGCTCCGTGGCGCACTCCCGACCAGCAGGTCCTGGCAGCAACATACCAGAACCGCGCCGCACAAGCAGCTTCCGAGATTGTGCGTCTAGCTCAGGCAGTGCCGTATCTTGGCCCCTTCAAGGCTCACCCTTTCTTGCCTGGCACTCTGGCGTGTGCGGCCACCTTTCTCTCTACACATGCCGGACGCCATGGTGGTGACTACTTCTCTTTCGCCCGTCTCAACTTGATAGGAGAGGTACCCACTGTTCTGCCAAAGCGGTGAGCCATCTTTAGACAGCGGCTGCAGTGCAGGGAAAACTCGACCCCCATCACAGTGAGGCGACCTCCAACCGTCTCCCTTTCAACTTCCCGACACGCCATCCCCATCCCTCAACCACGCAGGAGATCGCGTCTCGCATCGCGATCCTTCTACTGGACTCTCCCATTACGCTCTTCCACGCCGCGCGCGCCTTTTTTTCCCCTCCTTTTCGACTTCGTGACGTCCGGGACTCCCAGGTCGCCGGCGCCCTCGTGGCAAGGGCTGCCAAAGGCCTCAGCCGGCCAGCTGCTTCCACACGACCTTCGTTTCATCGTCGCTACGTGTAAATTCGACTTTCAGCACTCGAGCTAGTCTGTCTCTTCAAATTCTGCGACGTCTGCGATAACAGCTCTTTCGTTTTCGCCGATCCACGATCCATCCGCCTGACCGGTTAACTCCGCGTTTTTCATCGGCTTTCCCCCGAAAACTTCGCCAATATGTCGAACGTTTTCTTTCCATACTCCAAGGCGCCTCTGCGCACCATTAAGGAGATTCAGTTTGGTCTCTTCGCCCCCGAGGAAATCAAGCGCATGAGTGTGGTCCACATCGAGTACCCAGAGACAATGGTGAGTAATCATTACTGAGTTTTCGTCGCATCCTCTTCGATCTACTCTATTTGCAATTCTTTTCATGGTTGCTAATGACGCGATAGGATGAACAACGTCAACGGCCTCGGACCAAGGGTATCAATGACCCGCGCCTCGGTACAATCGACCGTCAGTACAACTGTGAGACTTGTGAAGAAGGTCCCAAGGAGTGCCCTGGACATTTCGGTCACATTGAACTTGCATCTCCAGTATTCCACATCGGTTTGTACATCTGATCGATTCTGATGGTTCTACCCGCTGACTTTTTCAGGTTTCGTGACCAAAATTAAGAAACTTTTGGAGACCGTCTGCCATAACTGCGGAAAAATCAAGGCCAACCAGGTTAGTCATCCCTTATGGGATGGCAAATCTTGATGGCAGAATTTGCTGACATGATTACCAGGCCGATTCTAAGTTCGCCGAAGCCCTCCGATTCCGTGACCCCAAGCGTCGTTTCGATCACATTTGGCGACTCTCCAAGGATGTGCTGGTCTGTCAAGCCGACCCTCCTGCTGATGATGAAGAATTCTCCAAGGACCCCCAGCAGCGCTCTCACGGTGGTTGCGGTAACGCCCAGCCCACTGTCCGAAAGGAAGGAATCACACTTGTTGGAACATGGAAGCCCAGCAAGGCTATGATGGAAGACGAGATGGCACAGCCGGAGAAAAAGACCATTACGCCCGCCATGGCTCTGAACATCTTCCGGAACATCTCCCAGGAAGAGGTCCGCATCATGGGTCTCAGCAATGACTATGCTCGTCCCGAATGGATGGTTCTTACCGTCCTTCCCGTCCCACCTCCGACCGTCCGTCCCAGTGTTGTAATGGGAGCTACCAGCAACGCCCGTGGTGAGGATGACTTAACATACAAGCTTGCTGAAATCGTTCGTGCCAACCAGAACGTGCAACGCTGTGAGCAGGAAGGTGCCCCTGAGCACGTTATTCGCGAATTCGAATCTCTGCTTCAGTACCACATTGCTACATACATGGATAACGACATTGCTGGTCAACCTAAGGCTATGCAAAAGGGCAACCGTCCCGTGAAGGCTCTGCGCAGTCGTCTGAAGGGTAAGGAAGGTCGTCTGCGTCAGAACTTGATGGGCAAGCGTGTGGATTTCTCTGCCCGTACTGTCATTACTGGTGACCCCAATTTGTCCCTTGACGAAGTGGGTGTTCCGTACTCGACGGCTCGAATCCTGACCTACCCAGAAGTTGTTACCCCATACAACATTGAGAAACTTCAACGGTTGGTCTCCAATGGACCCAACATTCACCCCGGTGCCAGATACATTGTTCGCGACAATGGCGAGCGCATTGACTTGCGTCACGCCAAGCGCGCTGGCACTCAGCAGCTGCTTTATGGCTGGAAGGTCGAGCGTCATCTCGACAACGGTGACTACATTCTGTTCAACCGTCAACCTTCGCTTCACAAGGAATCAATGATGGGTCACCGTGTCCGTGTTATGCCCTTTTCAACGTTCCGAATGAACTTGTCTGTGACCAGTCCTTACAACGCCGATTTTGATGGTGACGAGATGAACTTGCACGTCCCCCAGGGCGAAGAGGCACGCGCTGAGCTTGCTGAATTGACTTTGGTCCCCAAGAACATCGTTTCGCCTCAGCGTAACGGTCCTTTGATGGGTATTGTACAGGATACGCTTTGCGGAATTTACAAGATCTGTCGTCGTGATACTTTCCTCACTAAGGCCCAGGTCATGAACCTCATGATGTGGGTTCCCGATTGGGATGGTGTGATTCCTGCTCCCGCCATCCTGAAGCCCCGTCCTCGTTGGACTGGAAAGCAGATGATTAGCATGGCTTTCCCCTCTGGTCTGAACTTGTTGCGTGTTGACAAGGACGGTGCTGCCATGACTGAGAAGTTTAGCCCTCTCAACGATGGTGGTCTTCTGATTCATGGTGGACAGTTGATGTACGGTATGCTTTCCAAGAAGACTGTCGGTGCTAGCGGTGGTGGTGTTATTCACACCATCTTCAACGAGTACGGCCCTGACACTGCTGTCAACTTCTTCAACGGTGCTCAAACAATTGTCGGTTACTGGCTACTTCACAACGGTTTCAGTATTGGTATTGGTGACACCATTCCTGATCAAATGACTATCCAGAAGATTGAGGAGGCTGTCCGTAACCGAAAGCAAGAAGTCGAGACTATCACTGCTAGCGCCACTGAGAACACTCTTGAGGCTTTGCCTGGTATGAACGTCCGTGAGACATTCGAGAGTAAGGTGTCTCGTGCTTTGAACAATGCCCGTGATGAAGCTGGTGATGCCACCGAGAAGAGTTTGAAGGATTTGAACAACGCCATTCAAATGGCTCGCTCTGGTTCCAAGGGTTCCGCTATCAACATTTCACAGATGACTGCCCTTGTCGGACAACAATCCGTGGAAGGAAAGCGTATTCCCTTCGGCTTCAAGTACCGTACTCTGCCGCATTTCACCAAGGATGATTACTCTCCCGAGTCCCGTGGATTCGTTGAAAACTCGTACTTGCGTGGTTTGACTCCCACTGAGTTCTTCTTCCACGCTATGGCTGGTCGTGAGGGTCTTATTGATACTGCTGTCAAGACTGCCGAAACTGGTTACATTCAGCGTAAGCTGGTCAAGGCTTTAGAAGAAGTCATGGTCAAATACGATGGTACTGTCCGTAACTCCCTTGGCGATATCATCCAGTTCATTTATGGAGAAGATGGTCTTGATGGTGCACACATTGAGAACCAGCGTGTCGATATCATCAAGTGCTCTGATGAGAAGCTGCGCGAACGCTTCCGTGTCGATGTCATGGATCCTGAGCGCACTCTCGGACCCGAGGTTTTGGAGCAGGCTAACGAGATTGCCGGTGATATGGAGGTTCAAAGATACTTCGACGAGGAGTGGGAGGCAATTCTCAAGGACCGCGACTTCCTGCGTACCGTGGCCAAGGAAGATGAGGAAATGATGCAGCTTCCCATCAACATTCAGCGTATCCTTGAGATGGCCCGCACCACTTTCCGCATTCGCGAGGGCACCATCAGTGACTTGCACCCCGCTGAAGTCATTCCTCAAGTCCAGGCCCTCTTGGATCGCCTGATGATTGTTCGTGGCAACGATGTTATCTCGCGCGAGGCTCAGGACAACGCAACATTGCTGTTCAAGGCTCAGCTCCGCAGTCGTCTTGCATTCCGTCGTCTCGTTACCGACTATTCTCTTAACAAGCTTGCGTTCCAGCACGTGCTGGGTGCCATTGAAAGCCGCTTTGCCCGTGCGGCAGCCAACCCTGGTGAAATGGTTGGTGTTCTTGCAGCCCAGTCCATTGGTGAGCCTGCTACTCAGATGACCCTGAACACCTTCCATTTTGCTGGTGTGTCATCCAAGAACGTCACCCTTGGTGTGCCCCGTCTGAAGGAAATTCTGAACGTTGCTACCAACATTAAGACTCCCTCCATGACTGTGTACCAACAGGGCATGAAGACTCACGACAAGGAGGGTGCCAAGACCCTGCGCAGTCTTGTCGAGCACACCAGTCTGCGTTCCGTCACCGAGTCTACTGAGATTTACTATGACCCAGACATTCAATCCACTGTCATTGAAAACGATCGGGATATGGTTGAATCCTACTTCATCATTCCCGAAGATGTAGGCGATGACGCCGCGTCGCAGTCCAAGTGGTTGCTCCGTATCGTGCTCAGCCGTCCTTCGCTTCTCGATAAGGGTCTCACGGTCCAGGACGTCGCTACCAGGATTAAGCAGGCTTACCCCCGCGACATTGCAGTTATCTTCAGTGATAACAACGCTGACGAACAAGTTATCCGTATCCGTCAAGTTCAAGACTACAAGGATGACGATGATGAGGATGTCGAATATGATGTGACTTTGAAGAAGCTTGAGCAGCATCTGCTCGACACTTTGACTCTGCGTGGTGTTCCTGGTGTTGATCGTGCCTTCATTAACGAGAAGAGCAAGGTCCGTGTCATCGAAGATGGCTCGCTCCACACAAGCAAGTCCGATCCCCTCTGCAAAGAATGGGTTCTCGAGACCAGTGGTTCTTCTCTGGCTGCGGTTCTCTCAATTCCTGGTGTCGATGCCTCCCGTACATACTCCAACCAGTTTATTGAGATTTTCGAGGTGTTCGGTATCGAGGCTGCCCGTACCGCTGTCCTTCGTGAATTGACCCAGGTGCTGGCCTTCGACGGTTCCTACGTAAATCACCGTCACTTGGCTCTCCTGGTCGATGTGATGACTGTGCGTGGTTACCTGACTCCTGTCACTCGTCATGGTATTAACCGTGCCGACAACGGTGCGCTCATGCGTTGTTCGTTCGAAGAGACTGTTGAGATTCTGTTGGAGGCTGCGGCCTTCGGAGAACTTGACGACTGCCGTGGTGTCTCGGAGAACTTGATCCTCGGACAGATGGCACCCGCTGGAACGGGAGAGTTTGACGTCTACCTGGACCAGACCTTGCTCAACACGGTTGTGTCGAACAATGCACGCTTCGGCCTCATGGGCGCTGTCGGCGCCAAGGATGCTATCATTCCAGACGGCGCCGCTACTCAGTACGACACCGGATCTCCCATGGCTAGTTCCCCATACATGACCGACAGTGATCCCGATGCATCCTTCTCGCCCATGCACCAGATTGGTCAGGATGCTCCACCAGGCTTTATCACAGACTACCAACCGTCTGGTTTCGGTGGTGGCTTGAGCCCTGGTCCTCGCAGCCCCGGTGGTTACTCTCCCACCAGTCCATTCAACACCAGCCCTACGTCTCCTGGTTACTCCCCCAGCTCGAGTTACTCCCCGACATCGCCTAGCATGGGTATGACTAGCCCGCGCATGTCCTTCTCGCCTGGTTTCTCGCCTACTAGTCCGTCGATGAACCCGACTTCCCCGGCCTACTCGCCGACGTCGCCTGCCTACGGTCAAGTGTCCCCGACTTCGCCGTCGTACTCCCCGACGTCGCCTGGCTTCTCGCCTACGTCGCCAAGCTACAGTCCAACATCGCCCAGCTTCAGCCCCGCGTCGCCGGCTTTCAGCCCGACTTCTCCCACCTACAGTCCCACCAGTCCTGCCATCGCAGGCGCTGGCCGGCACCTGTCCCCCACTTCACCAACCTCCCCGAAGTTCTCTCCCACCAGCCCGCAGTCATACTCGCCTAGCTCTCCCAACTTCTCTGGCTCCCCAACATCGCCCGGCGCCGGGGCCTACAGCCCAACTTCCCCGGCTTTCAGCCCTTCGTCGCCTCGTCAGTGAAGTTTGGACGGACATGGCTTGCTTGTCTAAGGCTCGTGCTTACGTCTGTACTAACACCATTACAACATTCAAATAACCCAAAAGGATTTTCACGCGTTTAAAATCTCAGAATTGATTGATAATTTTTTCCACGATATCGGGACGTGTCACCCTTTCAATTGTATCTGTTCTTTACTTTTTTTTACCCACACACGTGCCCTTGTTTCAGCCGTCTTCCTTTATTGCGATTGCACACGCTTCTGTTCCCCCGTTTCGCAGGTGGCCATGATTTCTCACGACAATGCGGAGTTGCTGTTTTCAATGCTCGAGGGTTGAGGAGATTGAGGAATGGCGAGCTCTGATTGCCCTGGGAGTTTTATGGCTGCCCACTTTCTATTGCATTGAGAGCGCCTTGGGGGATGTATTTTCTGACTTTTCCTGTTTTGTACACAGCACCTCGTGAGGGGACGAGTAGATCCAAAGAATGGTAATGTCATTTTTGTCTATTCTGTGCATGTAAAATTGTAGACCACAAGCACTCTGTACAAGTAGGGATAGTTGGAATATAGAGTGTCTGATAAAGTACGGAAAAATGAAGCGCCGTCAAGCCAAACGTGGCCCGAACTACATCATATCGCGACAGCTCCGCACTCGACTCCTCTACATAGCTTGCTTTCGAGCCGCGATGTGCTTCTTACTCTGTACTAACACCAAAACAAAGTCATTATGAGGACCCTATCTCTTCTTTCGGCTCTGCGTAAGCTGTCCCCATGCGAGTACCACACCGCAAGCTGACCCTTCCAGTGCTACTACAGTCCTGCGCAGCTGGGCCAAGTCAACACTCCGCTGAGACAGGTCAGACTGTTCTCGATGGCGATGCTAATAACTATGAACCCCAATTCTTTGCCGGGGAACCAGAGCCCCGACCTATGACCCGTGAGTACCTAACTACACCGGAGCTACTATCTCCGCATCCTACCAATGGCCACATCGATCTGACAACTCATCGCAAACAGAAAGAGTCGAGAAAGCCTGGAATACCCTCCGTACCTCCAAACCTGCAATTTCGCAAACAGAAAAATCAACAGGCCTCCTCGGAACAGCCATATACTACGGCCGCCAAACATTCCGCCTCCTCTTCCTAAACGGCCCAACAACCGATAAACCCCACCGGAAACTCGACGAAAATGTTGCCAGCGCCGTGGCCGAGCTGCGCGCCGCAGCAGATGAAGACCACGACGCAGACGCGATGTTCCTCCTGGCCGAGATGAATTTCTACGGTAACTTCTCCCACCCGCGCGACTTTAAAGAAGCCTTCCACTGGTACCACGATCTCGCCTGGCTGGATGGGAATAATACCGCTCAGAATATGGTTGGGTTCATGTATGCCACGGGCATTGGTGGTGCCGTTGAACGGGACCAGGCCAAGGCTCTTATGTATCATGAATTTGCTGCTGAGACGGGGAATACACGCTCTGAGATGACGCTCGCTTACCGGTATCACACTGGTATTGGTACGCCGAAGGATTGTGACCATGCGCTTGTTTATTACAAGCGTGTTGCCGATAAGGCTGTAGAGTTTTACCGCTCTGGTCCGCCTGGTGGAAGTGCACTTATTCGTGACTCTTATCGTTGGGCTGAGGAGGAGGGTGGTGTTTACGGGGCGGGTGCTAGTGTATCGAGTTCTGGGCAGAATGCCCGTGACGCTGCTCAGGCCAGCCCTGAGGCGAGTGTTGAGGATATCCTTGAGTATTTGGATCTTATGTCCAGGAAGGGTGAGCTGAAGGCTACTTATACCCTCGGCAAGATGAACTTTGAGGGCGCTAGGGGCTTGCCGCGCAATTTCCGTCGTGCTATGAGGTATTTCAAGGTTGTTACTAAGAAATATTGGAATAAGGATGGGACTGTCAATCAGAACGCTCCGGCTGGGCTTGATAAGCTAGCTTCGAAAGCGGCTGGGCATATTGGTTTGATGTATCTCCGTGGAGAGGGAGTTGAGCAGAACTACGGCACTGCTCTCACTTGGTTCCGTCGTGGCGTTGTCAACGGTGACTCTTTGTGCCAGCATTGGATGGGCTTGGTGTATCTCAATGGATACGGCGTGCCCCAGGATGGCTTCAAGGCCGCCAATTACTTCAAGGCTGCGGCCGACCAGGATCTCCCGGCGTCAGAATCGCGACTGGGTGCATTGTTCCTCGATCAGGGCGATGTGGCTACTGCCACGCGTTACTTCGAGCTTGCCGCCCGCTGGGGGTGGATGGAAGCCTATTACTACCTGGCAGAGATGGCGAACTTCGGTGTCGGCAGACAACGGCACTGCGGCGTGGCCGCTGCCTATTACAAGATGGTCGCAGAAAAGGCAGAGATCATTCACTCGGCCTTTGTAGAGTCGAACTCTGCCTACGAGTCGGGTGACAAGGAGGGTGCTCTCATCCCGGCGATGATGGCGGCTGAGCAGGGCTACGAGAATGCCCAGGCAAATGTTGCTTACCTGCTTGATGAGCAGCAGTCCTTGCTCTCGCTCAATTCCATTCTCCCATGGGCTGAGAAGAACCGACCCTCATTGCTGCGCAATGCAGCTCTGGCTTTGATCTACTGGACCCGATCCTCGAAGCAGGCTAACATCGACTCGTTGGTCAAGATGGGTGACTACTACCTGTCCGGTACAGGTACCGTTGTCGACGCGGAAAAAGCATCAGCTTGCTATCACAATGCCGCCGAAGCACATCACAGTGCACAGGGCTACTGGAATCTGGGCTGGATGCACGAGAACGGCGTAGCGGTGGATCAGGACTTCCACATGGCCAAGCGTTACTATGATTTGGCCCTCGATGTTAGTCCTGAATCATATCTGCCAGTCAAGCTCAGCCTGCTCAAGCTTCGAGTCCGAGGATACTGGAATCACATCACCAATGGAAATATCAACCCCATCCGCGACGAGGAGGGTAAGTCAATGATGCCCCGGTTTATCCACCACGTTTTGTGCCCTTACTTATACTTTTCTAGACTCGAGAACTCCTCGCACTTTCAAGGAATGGATCACTGCTTTTATTCACAATGACGAGGAAAGCTACTACGACGAGCTTTACGAACAGCGCGGAGAGGACGATGAATACCGCGGCCTTGATGCTGATAGTCACGAGGATGGCTACTATGATGATCTGGATCTCGACATTGACGAAGGAATGCTAGAGGGTCTACTCATTGTCGGATTGGCTGCTACGCTCTTGGTGCTGGTGTATGTTCGTCAACAGCAGCAGCAGCGTAACCAGCAGAACGAGAATGCCAACGCCAACGCCAACGCTAATGTCAACGTCAACGCCAATGCCCAAGGCAATGGAGACCGTGGCTTTTTCCCACGTCCTGGAGATCCAGAATTCGGGCAGTGGGTGGCAGGAGGAGTTGGGCATTGAGTGTAGTTCATACTTGTAGATCGAATTCCACCTTATCGATAAGCTTCTTTCTCCGCATCTCCCACTTTCTCCCTTCAAAACCTCCATTTATAACCATTTCCTGCAACATGGCTCAGCCTCCAAGCAAGCGTCGTCGCGTCGACGCAGCCGCTACACTATCCAAACCATTCAAGTCGCCAATGCGCAGGCCTATCCCAACCACACCCGCATCACCAGCTACACCTGTCGCGACCAAGACCCTCAATGACAACCCAGCAGTAGCTTCTACACCACTAATCTCAAATATACCTACACATATGGCCCCTACTGGAAGTAAACAACCAACTACTATCTCAACTCCAACCCGCTTCCGAACCTCAGACCCGGACATCCTCGCCCTCCAAAAACAACAACGTGCCGTTCAATCGCGCATAGCAACACTCCGCACGAACCTCGACACAGCAACTCAAGCCCTTCAACTCGAGTCTTCAACTAAAGATACCGAGCTTGAAACTCTCATCGTGAAGTGGCGCCGGATTAGCCAGGACGCAGCCGATGAAGCTTTCGTCGGTGCTCAGGAGCGTGTTAACAAAATGGGAGGTATGAAGGCTTGGAAGGAACGATCTAAGCGCGACGCGACACGGTGGGAAGATGATGTTGACAAACGGGAGATTGAGCATGTTGATGAAGAGGAGGAGGAATATCGCAATCTTGGGGGGCTGTCCGAGATGTTGGAGGGTCGGAAGATTGTTGAGCGTGGGACTGAGGAGAATGATGAGGTGAGTACTTGGTTATTGCTTTCCATAAGAGGCAAGCTGGATGGCTGCTAATGCTTTCTAGGAGTTTTCTGTGGGATATATGCTTAAGACTTTGCATATTGATCCTAAGTTGATTGGGTATGATGCGGTGGCTCAGAAATGGATGAAGGGTTGATGCGACAGGACTGGATTTGAATGATTGATATGATATGATTGATATGATATGATTATGAGACCATGCCCAATATCCAATGTTATCCCAATATGATAGATACTATTTGACTCATACTTGGTACAGTAACTTCGAAAATTGGTGTCACCACCTACTCTCTTTCATTGCCTCAAATGCTCGCTTTGGTTGTTAGTGATATAGTCGACCAAATACCTTTTCTAATGGTAGATTCAATAAAGCTTAGAACCTGAATTCCCCCCGGTCAGTGACGGATTCAAGTAATGTGTGCCCTAGAATCCGAGCAACAGCCCTCAACGCAGCCTTCAGCCAAGATCTCTCCAGATGTGGTACGGATTCTATGCTGACGGCTATTGTTAGAGGCCAAGCTAATGATCCGGCCACACCGGGATGAAGTACATCAAGTGTTGTCATAGAGTCCTCTACGATGTCAGCCTGAGGATCTTTAGTGAAGGATCGGGGATCGACTTGGAACTGCACGCCACCGCACATTTCTCCTGCAAGTGCGTTGATGTTTTCTTGACACTTCCTCAAATTTGTGCTGAGTGAATCACTCTTTAGGACCGACTGAAGTGATAGCAGAGAACGCTGGTGAATACGATTTGTAACCAGACGAAGGGCACGATGTCGATTCCATACTGAAGCAAGGCCGACAGAAGCGTAGAGATGTCGGGGGAATTTGGCGGGAGCATTTGTTGTTGGGGGGGACTGTAACTGTGCCGGGGCAATTTCAAAATTCCAGTTCCGGGGCAGTGTCGATGGCCATTCCATGAGGTCACGGTCAAGGGCATCTGCTTCGATCGCCATGGTTTTCGCTTTCTCAATAGTGTGTGGTTCTGCCGCGTCGATCTCTCTAAACAGAGCCACGGATTTATGTCTCAAAATCAAAACACGTATCATGAGTGAATCCAGCTCCAATTCTGGTCCTTCCTCGCCCCAACTGGTGCCATCTTTCAGCCAGTCAGGCATGTTCGCACCCTGAAGGATGAGTAGACGAAGCTTTGGGGGATAAATATCAGCACAACGAACGCATTCTAATTCTGAAGTACAACAAGGTCCACTTACACATTTCTGTCTAATTACTTTTTCCAACGCCACATTTGCAGCCAAGCCTCTTTCTCGGCGTACACTAAGAAGAGCTGCAGCACCTTTTTCGTGGCAGACGCTTCGCCAGAAACGGGAGCCAACTTCATCAGGGGGAGAAGATAACGGCGTTCTCAAGGAGAACATGACGTTTTCATAGCTGCCCATGAGCATCATCGCTAATACGACCTGATATATTTTATTGGCAGATAATGTCTTCATCTCTTCCAGAGTTTGCTCCACGGTCTTCATGTATGCCTTTTCGGCCAAACAGAGGGCTGATCTCACGCCCTTGCTCCGTCCGAAAACAGCGTTTGAATAAGCAGTCATCGCAAGGCGGAGACTCGAGTCCGGCTCTGCATATTCCCAGTAAGGCAGCACGTGAGAAACAAACTCTTGACCAGGCTCGACCAGCATATTCTTTTCTAGAAAGAAAATATCTGCACAGTGATACAGCGCATGCATCTCAAGCGGGAGCGACAGTGCTGGTTGAATGCTGCCAGGCCTTGACGCCAGGGCAAAATTAGAACCCGAACTCATGGCTGGAGGTCCTGCGATGCTTCTTGTTTGGCGTGGACGCCGCGGACAGCCCTTGGCAAATTCATTTTCACTTCTAAAGTGCAAACCAGTTTGCTCGTCGGAGTCCCATGTGCAGGACCGACCACCAACCCGGCACCTGCTGCAGAGAGGTCTTGTGAAGTCACACTATTATTACGTTATCATTTGTGAGGATCCTTGTTATCACAGACAAACAATAACATAACGGCTTGTTTACCTTGACTTTGCGTTTTCGACAAGTTTGGCATCCAGGACTTGGGAAGACCATCGTTTTAAGCCCGGTGTACGGATGTTCCAGAGTGGCGACAGCAGGTTCTCTCAGTGTATACGAGCGAAAGAGAAATCGGGTGATTCGAAGTCTATTTCGCCGCTTACTCACGTAATCAGATTAGTTATTCGGCATGCTTTCACGTTAGGTACCACAATACCACTACTATTGGAAGGCAGATACTGTGAATTTCGAGAGACATGATTTGGTATACGTGTCTAGTTGGGGTCAAGCAATGATGCGCTAAGGTGGTCTTCCATTGTAGTGAGCGTCGTAATATATACAACCCCGGAGTGACTGGCTGTTGAATGTGGTCTGAACTCCCGGAATTCTCTATGATATATCAAGCAGTCAAAGCGCTGAGCTCTCAAGTTCCTTCTTCATAATAATGAAATACAAGTCATCCCGTAACGCCTTCCCATTGACAAGTTGATCATACGGAAACGGCTCTGCCCTTCCTGTGTTGCTGTAACCCCGCCTGGTATACCATTCAATCAGGCTATCTCTTGTCCAGATAACACGTATCTCAAGCTTGGAAGCGCCCAATTTTTCCTTGGCGATGACCTCTGCCTCGGTAAGCAACTTCTTTCCTATACCACTGATCTGCCGCAGCGGATCAACCGCTAGAAGCCCTAAGTAGCCGTCCTGCCCGTCTTGTCGGGAGATTTCGCAGCATGCGGCCAACTTGCCTGCGTGATCGTGAGCCAGCAGGACCATGCCATCCGAGCGTTCAATCTTTCCGAGGAGAGATTCCTGATCGATGCGATCGTCTGCGATAAGGTCGGCCTCCGTAGTCCATCCTGCGCGGCTCTCCTCGCCTCGGAAGGCGGATCTGATAAGTTTCAGGACCGCGGCGACATCGGCAGCCATCGCTTTGCGGTAGTATAATGTGTTCGGGACCGTCATTGTGTTTGTGAATAGCTGAAAGTGGTAGGTAAGACGAGAGCTTACTGGTGGTTTCGTTGAAGGGTTTCGCGGGTCTGAAAACAAAAACCTAGGGTTAAGAGGACGTCGAGTTCATGTAAGGGCCCTTTCATACAATTTAGTATCCAATACTCGTGGTAAGAGCTAAACCCTTTCCGGAAAAACGCGCGAATGTCTCCACGTCTCAATTTACCGAAGAGAGGTTAAGTCTATATTGTGGTACAAGGCGTGCGCTTAACCATTTTGGGACAAACATGCGAAGTCTCCACATCACCATCTGTCAGACATCCAATAGTTAACTCTCAGTTTATAGAGGTATTATAGATTCATCAGACGATGGATGGGCGGCAGCAATGACCTATTATGTTTAATTCCTCGTTAATTCCGCCTAACTCCTCTTTCATCGACGGCCCTATCGGACTTTACACACTTGATTTCACAGCATCGTCGCCCAGGATATGATATAAAAGCAAGATGTAACGTTCAGTTTCCTATTTGCTAACTGCCATACTCCGCTACATCCTTTACAAACTTTCAATTGCTCTCTTTTAGCAACATTAGCCCTCGTGCACCCTTTCCATTCAATCAAGTCTCACCTACATCAAATGGCTCCCTCACTTCCTTTAGCGCTTCAAGAGAAGCACGACGAAACCAAAGTCGAGTATGTGCGACTTGGCATTTCCGGCCTGCGCGTCTCTGTACCGATTCTCGGAGCGATGTCTTTGGGTTCATCTCAGTGGTTACCCTGGGTACTGGACGAAGATGCCTCAATCGAGATCCTCAAAGCAGCATATGATCGGGGCATGAACACCTGGGACACGGCAGATATGTATTCGAATGGTATCAGTGAGGAGGTCATTGGGAAAGCATTGAAGAAGCACGATATTCCGCGCGAAAATCTTGTCATTATGACCAAGTGTTGTCTTCATGTGGCTGATCGGCCGGACATCTTTACGCCTCCTCTCCACCGAGAGATGTCACAGATTAAGGATTTTGTCAATCGAGGAGGTATGTTCGCTTAAATCAGATGGAATCGCAAATGAGTGAGAGGCATTCGTGCATGGGCTAACCCGAATCCGTGCAGGTCTCTCCCGAAGTGCCATCTTCAAGGCGGTTGAGGCATCCCTTCGTCGCCTAGGGACCACGTACATCGATCTCTACCAGATTCACCGCTTCGACTCTTTTACACCAATCGAAGAAACGATGCGAGCTTTGCACGATCTAGTCGTGTCAGGTAAAGTGCGCTATATCGGTGCCTCCTCGATGTGGGCAACGGAATTCGCGCGTATGCAATCCATCGCAGAGAAAAACGGCTGGACGAAGTTTGTCAGTATGCAGAATCACTATAATCTGTGTTATCGAGAGGAGGAGCGGGAGATGAACAGGTACTGCAACGACACTGGCGTGGGGCTCATCCCCTGGTCACCTAACTTTGGTGGAAAGTTGGCAAAACCCCTCGGAGAAAGATCCTCCACGAGGGCGCAGGCATCTTCACCAGTGGGCAATGGGCTTACCGAGGCAGATCAGGAGATCATCTCTCGGGTAGAGCATGTAGCGGAACAAAAAGGCTGGAAGATGAGCCAAGTGGCTCTTTCCTGGCTCCGCAGCAAAGGAACGATACCAATTGTTGGGTTAAACTCACTGCCAAGACTTGACGAAGCCTGTGACCTCTACGCAAAGAAACTGACTGGAGAGGAGGTTGAACTTTTGGAAGAGCCCTATGTGCCTAAGAATATAATAGGGCATGTTTGAGGATGAAGATCGGGTAATAGTATAGTAGAGAGAGGGGTCTCAGTGTTCTTTGCCAGGAATATGGGAATTCTTATTATTGCTACAGTATTGCATTCAAGAAAGAGCGTAGCAGTGACACCGATTCCCGAAAGTACCGCAGCTTGCTATGAATATTGTACTAGTCCTAGCGGTATACTACGTGTCCTTACATCCATAGACGCCTCCTTATTTATCGAATGTCTAGTCAGCGAAGTCCATGATTTCACTGACTGAAGCATAACGTCACATTCCCTTGTTCTGGACCTGGATTTTATGTTCTTCTGAGCTATCGTACAGCCTTTTATTCATTCAACCATTATAACCCTCCTAGCTATTATTATCTGCTTGTACAGCGTCCAAAAAATCTCGCTATATGCCTTGCTGGAGAAGCCCGATTTGAAGCCTCACCGCTTTTTCCCCTAGGTACTGTAATGATATAGACGACTATCACATAGACTTCGCCAAAGCCCACGTTTGGGCCTAGAATCCGGGCCCACAGCCCACCGTGGGCCCCTAATAGGCCCCTACGAAAGCCCAACTTTGCATAAAATCTAGGTCTTGGCGGTTATAAAACTCCTGATTCACCCAAATGAAATACAATTTCTTACGCCTATTGTAGTCACAGCTATGAATTCGGTAAAACTTAAGCTATTAATACCCTAAAATTAAGAGAAATTCCTTCTCAGATTTGGCCTGTATGGCCGTGGGATCTATAGGAGAGATGACTAATGAGGCAAAAGATTTAAATTGCTTCTTGTGCCTCTGCAAAAGTGGTGTTTTTTTGCTGGCCGCGATCCTTTCAACTATTGAGCAACGCTGAAAGTCAAATGACAAGCTGGCTCCAAATTATCACTACATTGTTGGGTGAATGGGCCAACTGATCTCATCCAATTTGACACCCTCAACCTGGTCACCAAAGCTATCTCGGCGATGGTGAGCCCTGTCGGTGAGATCCCAACTTATGCGCAGGACAACAAAATGGCCTTCTCTCATCCTTGCTTGCCTGGGTCAGAGGGCCGAAAAAGATCATTGGAGGCCGTGAGTTCCGAGGGTTCCATATTTGAGACTCTATCACAGAATCCGATGATTTGAAGGGTCTTCCTACTGCCTACAAAACCTCTTTCACATAACTCGTCAAATGTGACTTATATACACTTATGTTCTTGGAAGAGAAATGCAGAGGGTCCCTGAACAACGATACCCTAACCGAGTCTATTTATAATAAGAGTTGTGCTACGTCATTGAAAAGCTGGCTTGAAAATGTCGACTCGACCTATGTTAGTTACAATGTCTCCGGCTCTGCTACTACCAAGTACGGTGGTCAAATTTAGTCCGGATAGAACGAAATATATCTTAAAGATACAATAAGTGGCGAATATTGCAACGGTAAGCACTATAGTCTATGTCCTTAGTCTATATCACGATTCTGACGATTTGTTCCTACTTTTAGATATAATTGCCGGGTTCCTAGAGGTGAATTTTCTGGAGGATATAGCAAAAGATAAGCTCTATTTATTTTGTTTCGTTAAGAAGCTAGAGATTATACAAAGTTCTTCTTATTTATTTTTATGATAAAGGATTCTAGTCCTATTTAGAGGTTGCCAATAAATAATATAGTCTAGACGCACTAATTAGTATGCCGCTATTGTTGGATTCTCCGCCGGAGTTTCTCCTAGTCCCTATCTACGCCTCTAATCAAACTTATACCACGGCCTCTAGCGATATATATAACTCGATTGCCTTAAAGTATAGTGTATCGTCGACAGCCTTGGTAATAGCTAACTCTCGTTAACTTATGATATATAATAGCCTAGCGGCAAATATTGATCTTTGTCTACCAATAAATTACGCTACTACCTATATTCTCAAGAGTAACGATATATATAGCTCGATCGAGAACACGGTATCTTACTCTCTAGGCAGTGTAAGAAAGTACAACTCTTGGGTTGAATAGGACTATTTCAATCTCTAATCGGTCACGGAAGCTTAGGGCCATATAATCTGCCTAGCCGGGCAAGGTGGGAACTATATAGCTACCGCACTAATCCCCGGCGTGACTTTAAGTCCCGGGGAAAGTTTAGGGTATTCAGAATCGATAGTGGACCTACCTTCGAATGCCACCTTCGCGCCGGGCACGACCTTGAAATATGGGAAGTGGTATATTACGTCGGAAGATGGATCTTGTGCGTAGATTTGCGTCTAGAGAGTCGATCACCTCTACGCTTTTCTTGTAGGTGAACCTATCACTTCCAAGCTCCGGTGATTCCGCGGCTTTGGTTGTTAGAAATGCTTACTGTGTTGCTCCGAATACAGGATGGTCAAGCTCCCCTGCTTTGTCGAGTGTTGTCCTAATAGCAAGCGGCGTTAGCTCGGCGTCTGTCACTAGTCTTCTAACATCCTCTTAGCTTCGGCTTTTGTCCACCACAGAAGTATTTAGGCAGGTGTTGGAATAGACCAAGCTGATTTCTCACTGCATAAAGAAATTGAATGTAGCTCGTGCCATGTCACTTATCCAAATGTGGCGTCTGAAGCTTGGTACCTTCGGTTTCAGGAAGATAATAGAGAGCGATGGAGTGACGCGATACGCGTTTGTGAATGATTATATAAAGTGATCCACTAGTGAGTTGATAGTCAAGGGGTAGATATATGTGCTATTCACATGACAATGGGGGAGAGCAATGGATGAAATATCGCTACGCGTGTAATCAAGTCAATTCTCCCAAGTCTGTTCACCGGGTTGCCAAAGAACTAAGATATTCCGGCACTAGCCAGACCAAGCGAGTGGATATTTAATCGAAAGCTTCGGGAAGAAAGCTAGTTCTTCGAAGTGTTTCATGTATGTCAATATAAAGTGGGCCCTTCTATTCTTGATTCTATGATTCGTTGGTAGGTCACAAGTCATATCGGGCATAGAAGTTTAATGGTCGGTCTCTTCCGTGGTTTCAAGCGTATAAGGACGTCATTTTTTCAGACAAACAGGTCTAGGATAGAGCAAATATCGAGCAAGTTCGCCAATATTTTTCCGAGTACCTTCGTGTAAGTAGAGGCCAAGGGACTAGTCGATTCGAAGGCTGCCTTCTTATTGATAAGCGGTCACTAAAGCATGATCCGATGAACTAAATCGACTAGGAGAAGGTCGAGGTAGTAGCTCATCCATGCCACTAGTAGTCATGTGGAAGAGACAGAGCATGCGATAGTATTGGTGTAGGGGAGGTCGAGCAGACAAGGCATTTGCTCGTTTCGAATTCGAGTGATAGGAATATGAGGGTGTCTTCCTATAGTGAGATCCGAGTTAGTATGTTGATCTAGTTAGATAGGTGTTGTACTTGATGCTATTCATGAAGAATCCGACGGTATACTTAAGACCGATCAGTAACTAGGATCGTCATCATACTAGCTTACCGACTAGATCACGGCCAATTCTCTTTAGCAATATAGTCACCAATATGCTATGTTGTATTCAGGTACGTCACTCTCCGGCTGTCGCTTCAAGAAGCCGCGCTAGATACACCGGTAGGTTCGCAAGACGGCAAAGGCGCGTGACGAGCTCATGCGTGACCAGAATTTGTATAGTCGTATCGGGAGACCGCTTCGTGTAGATAGCGAGAGCTTAAGGCTCCGCTGTTCGTGTGAAGGCGGTAAGGAGGGGAAGACGGGATAACTAGCGCGTCGGCCCTAGTCTTATCTAAGTCGGCGGGAATAGGTCACTCGCCATAAGAGTTTTCGTGGGTGGTGATAGCTGCTTCTTAACGGCATAGAGATATTAGTGGTGTTTGTCTAGGGCATAGACTTGGCACAACTTATCGGACCCGGAGCATAAGGCGCGATATTCCACTTACCTGATCGTGGACAACGAACGTCTAGAGTTTATGTGTCCTATTGTTGACCCGCAACCCTGTCTTGCAGAATTCCAGGATATATTGCATTGTTTCAAGTGATAGGGTACTATAAAAGTTTGTAAGCCATGACCCTGCGCAGAGCACTGACGGAGTGCTGTTCGGACTTACTTTGCTGCGCTATCAACAATTCCTGTCTATCATTAGCTTGTTGGTCAGCGAGATAATGCATGACTCACATGATCTGAAAGAAGATACGGGAAGGGTTCCGTGGCTTTGCGCGTGTATTGGATGGAATGCATGGATCTTTGTTTCGCATCGTTTGGAGTCGGTTTAGTTCGGACAGATCTCGCTAGGATCTACATACCTGCATAGAAGTCGCTCTTTTGTATTGATATATTCAAGGACGAGACAGTGGTCGGCTGCTATGTTGGACAGATGTTCGCATAGATACTTTGATCGCTAACATCATCTGTTTCTTTGATCGCTGGCAGGGTAGCAAGGTGGATTGGGTGGGAATCTCAAACACTTTCTAGCTTGTCGGTCCACGATGTAACTTTAGATGTCAGTACAGCGGACAGTAGGTCAAAGGAGGAACTTATCAAGTGCCGCAAACGCAAGGCCCGCTCGAATTTGCGCAGCAAGTGATAGTGTTAGAAAACAAATTGCTGGGGAGAGAGCGACGTATTTATAGGCTTCTCGGCTCCTGTCGCTAGGTAGCAAACGTTGGACACGACGCCTATCCTAAGTGAGGCCTGTTACAAACCATGCCTTTGTTGTACTGCAATTATTTGCGTAAATCTTGGTGCGAATTTGAAGGCTCACTGAGAAAACATGCTAGATTCAAGTTGAGAATAAGCCAAAGTGACTCGGTTAAGAAACGTTGGCTCACTGTTGCATCTACGATCTTAATATGAGGCAATAGAAGCTGTTCATTCTTTGAAGCTACCCAAGAGCGCTCAAAATTTCATCAAAGGGTCAGGGAATCTCTCTGGCCTCGCTCGAGTGTCGGTTCTGAGCTGTGGTCTATCCGTCCAGACTGCGGAAAGCGTCAGGCCGCAGTCGCGCGGGCGCGGGTACTCAACCCGTCAACCCGTCCGTTGAAGCTTGGCCTCGTTGACTTGACTCAACTTTTGAACTTGTTGCAACCAATGTTGAAATACGTTGTTCTTGACTTCCTTTTCCAGTCCTCTAAATTTTACTCTATTTACTTTTGGGATATCTAAACTCTCTAACGAATGTGAAAAAGCGTCGTGATTTGATATATATCTCCTTGACCATTCATCACCAGTGATCCTCTAATATGAGGTACATTCACCAACCATCCTACACGAGAATGATCACCAGCACCATCATTAAACAGACTTAGAAGGTTTGATCACCGCACAGACTCTCATTGTCTGTGTTGCGTTGAATTGTTTTAGATTAGGTAAAGTCCAAGTGTTGGCGTTTTGCGAGGGAGAACTTTGAGCCGTGGGTCCTTACCCATGCTTCTGCTCTCTGCTGCGCCCATTTTAGGGTTCTGCAGTTTTGCTCTGTGTTGTTGCCACAGCCTTGGTCAGCTTCATGATCGATGGGCGTAGTCATCAGCGGTAAGCCCAGCAAGTTCTTTTCATTGGCAAGAAGACAATAGCACGTTATTTGGCTCGACTGGTGAGAAAACATATTTCCATTCTGTAGCGGCACCATGCGGACCAGAGATAAAAAGGGAACGTTTCTTTACTGGTCTGGGCTATGCAACAACTTATCTTATGATCACAATGTGTGAAAGTCAATATTTCCGACAGATTCCCTGAATGCGACTTCAAATCACCAACGGCGCCAACTAAACCCTATCTATTGGTTTTCGAACTTAGATATCGTTCAGGGGAGGGTCTTTCATGGCCATTCGCACTAGTATGATGGGCTACGCCGGCCTCTCCTGCGTCGCTTTTTGACAGAGATGCCGTACCGACCTGATTTTTAGCAGGCCATGCTCTTAACAACTGTTAGGCACGGTGTGAAGATACTCCGTTTCTCGGTTGTACTAAATGTATTGCTTGGTTAGATTGTTTCAGACTCCAACTTTGTTCTCAGGGTCAGCCTCACAAGCCTAGTCGAAAACTCTGGGCGATGGGATGGAGGTATGCTCTTGGAGGTAAGTCATGGTGGGCACTTCACTTCGAAGAATCAAGTCGCGGACTTTCAGCGGGGGAGATGTCGTTCTCGCCAGACGAAAACGAGCTAGCCAGGTGATATCGTCTGCGAAAGCAATTTCGGCGTGACAGTCTTGGCCCCCCATCATGGCAGCAAGGCGCTTACGAGACATATTAACGGTGCAAGGTTTGCCTCCTCTCAGCATCGACGCGCGCTGACACAGTACGGAGTGGTCAATTCGGCCACGCAATCTATCTGTGTCGCGCCTCAGCCGCTGCCCATTGGGCAAAGTAAGTCTCCTTGTTCGCCTAGTGACAACCGTGAGCCAGGTCGGGGGAAACAAGCCATAAGCACATCTACTCATGCCTCAGGCGTGGGGCAGTTATGTCACGGCTTTTGACGGTGTAAGCGGCAGAAGTGCCTGTCAAACAACAAGCAATCTCCGCAGACCTGAGCGGCTGGATTCCCACATCCAGCCCAGTCGCACAACAATTGAGGCATATTCGCACGGTCGTCCCTTATCACGGCTGACGAGAATCCGTCAGGGCCAAAGTAAGCAATCTGCAGAATGATTGACGAAACTGAATGAGTCCAGTGAAAGTGGATTAGGTGTTAGTCCTAGTAGTTGGCACTTTTCGATCACAATTTAGGGTCTGGGTCGATGTACTTTAAGAACCCTCTCTCGTAGTGACTCGGTTGGGGTGCGGTGCACAATCCGCGCAAACTTCTTCCCACCAACTACCGCGCAGATCGTCGTTGTGGTTCAGAGGAAGATTCATTGTTGATATTCACATCTGAGATACTGAGGGCTTATATATATAAGATATATATCAGGTTGATTTCCAATCAATATGCTTATATCCGGAATAAATTTCGTATACGAAGCTCTATTGTTTACTTGGTCGAGCCTCGATTCACAACAGATGTGGCCTCGTGGAGATGAGGGAACGTGTAACCACTCGTGGAGACATTGAGAGTGACTATCACTATCCTCATCATCGACTTGCGTTAAAAAAACTCGTGGACGCAGCATGGACATGATATGAACTCTGGGCATTAAGCTCCGCACAGATCAATATCTTCATTAAAAAAATTCATGCGGCGTGGGGGTTAAAGCGTCTCGTGTCCACAAATATACTGTCCGCCGTTCTGGTGCAACCTTCACAACGTGGGCAGGGCATGTCTGGAACCGGGCGGGCGGGGAAAATGAGGATGGGGTCAAGCGGGGATGCCGCCACGTTTCAGAGCGAGGGATCCCGCCCGGCTGGTTTGGGAAGCTTTCTTTACATGGGAACAATAGGTAGAATCGAGTATGACTTCCCTGCAATACATTCAACTACGCCATGCAATATCTAGATAAGTCGAAGTTTTGATTGCTGGGTGACATTACCATGACTGGGTAAAGCGACCGCGTGCCCGTGACTTCTTCAGTCACAGAGTTCCATCCAGATGTCGCACTGGAGAAGAGATCTACTGGACTGTTGCATGCAGGTCAAGATCCCTGGTTGGTCTGATGATTTAATGCCTGCAGAATCAATACCCTAATCTCCCGGCAGTGATTGCTGTGGGCGTTGCCCCTGACCACTTATTTTGTCGCGGTTGCGCGAGTGATAGATTTCTATCGTGGCGCATAGCATAGGAGCGTTGCATAGTGCCAAGGAAACCTGGCGTTGGAATCCCTGACAAAATGGGTGTGATTACGACTTTGACCCTTCATGCTCAAGCCCAAGTAACATCGTTTGGCAGCTGAACGGTTGAGCATGTGCAGAATATTCGTCTACTACGTCGCGCGGAGGCCTGCAGCGACTAAGCAAGATTAGAGATGGAAATAGCCTCCGAGCCAACATTACAGATTCCAAATGGGAGCCTCCAACTTGGGTGCATGTCAGGTTACAATGCTAAGCTCCGGAGGGAATCGTCTCCTTCCGACATCACTTATCGCTGTTGAAATAAAGCGCTGGCCCCGAGCAAATAAGTGGAGTGCTGGAAACCGTCCGTGTCTGACGTTTAATCGGAATCCAATATCTTTCGCCATCAAAGAGATATTTACCGGCGTTCGCTCTTTTAGCAGCCCTATTCTTCGAAATGCCTTTCAGATTGAGCATTCTAGGCCTGGCGTTGGCCTTGGTCCCCTTCGTCAGTGCTGTATTGAATTCAAGCTCGTCCTCAAATGTTGCTGTATACTGGGGTAAGTATCCACGAGTGACATTAGCGTGGGAATCAATGACAAGAGGGGGAGCTAATATACAGCACGATTAGGACAAAACTCGTATGGCCAAGGCACGGGCCCTTTTGCGCAGCGTAACCTCGCCTATTACTGCTCGAGTAGGTTTTCACAATGGCAAAGATAGCGTTTAAAGTCTGCCGCTAAATCAGCGATATACCGGTCATATTAGACACTGAAGCCAACGTGAGTCTGATCACATCCATGGGCTGCGTTGTAAGCTCGTTGAATGACATGATTTTCCAGATCATCCCTGTTGCCTTCATGAACGGCATTACTCCTCCTATCACAAACTTTGCCAACGCTGGAGACAACTGCACCGCATTTAGTGATAACATCTATCTTCTAAACTGCACCCAGATTGCGTAGGTTAGCCCTTATCATCATTCATGCCCTCACTAATTGCTGCTCGATGTAGCAATGACATCAAGACCTGCCAAAAGACCTATGGCAAGACGATTCTACTGTCACTCGGGGGTGCCACCTATACCCAGGGAGGATGGTCGTCCATAACCGAGGCTCAAAACGCAGCACAGGCAGTGTGGGACATGTTTGGCCCCTCAACTAATGCACAAGTTGACCGGCCCTTTGGCGACGCTGTCGTTGATGGTTTTGATTTCGACTTCGAGACAACAACCAATAATCTCCCGGCATTCGGCGCAAAGCTTCGCAGCCTCATGGATGCCGCTAGTGGCAAAAAGTACTACCTGTCTGCTGCCCCCCAGTGTGTCTTTCCCGACGCTGCTAATGGGGCAACGCTTAACGCCGTTCCATTTGACCTAGTGATGGTGCAGTTCTATAATAATTGGTGCCAAACCTCCAACTTCCAGGTCGGTTCCACTACCCAGAATGCCTTCAATTTCGATGTGTGGGATAAATGGGCCAAGACCAGCCTAAATTCCAACGTCAAGGTCTTTTTGGGCATTCCAGCCAATGCGGGCGCCGCTGGCTCTGGCTATACAGATGGGTCCCAGCTTAAGGCTGCGATTGCTTATTCAAGGCAATATAGTAACTTTGGAGGAGTCATGATGTGGGACATGTCGCAGCTTTACGCCAACAGCGGTTTCCTTGACCAGGTTGTCAGTGACCTCACTGTCACTGTCCCTCCGGTTACGACTACAGCTACAGGTACATCGATGACCACAACAACTTCAAGCACCAGACCGATTCCGAGCGGAGGCCTAGTTGCGCAGTGGGGTCAATGTGGTGGCATCGGGTATACCGGTCCTACTCAGTGCCAGCCACCATATAAGTGCGTTTTAGGTGGTCAGTACTGGTCTTCTTGCCAGTGAGCAGGATATTCGTGTAGCTAAGACCTTGCTGCTCTCAATCGCCGTTCAAGTTTGATGTAAGATGCGCAGTTGGACTTTTGCTATTAGAGGATTTGAATGTACGCTTCCCTATTGTACTATAAAAAGTCAAAACCGTACCGCTAGCCAATTTGGTCCCGCGAGCCTCCGAGGTGTCGCAAGTTCCTGGCTAGACTGACTTAGGTCTGAACGTGCTTGACCCTGCATTTGTAGACATCTCGTTAGGGCGCTGAGTCAACACGAATCACTGGGTGTCGGGCGTCGGCTTTGGAAGTCTGGAACCCCTATTATCTGCGGATCATATACCCCACCAGCGGTCCAGTGGTAGGGGATCGCGCGGTCCCTCGTGCCCTCGTGCCCTCGTGCCCTAAAGTGCCAGGTTCCAGCTAACTAGGACCTCAGGGTAACATTCCTGTTACCACCACGCGGAGTAAAGCCACGCGGTAGTGGCCACATTAGGCTTGAGCGTATTAGAAATCATGGCTTACCGGGCACCTGCGTTGGACTCAGCTCGAATTCAGCCATCACCCTATCACCGCTCGCCCGAGCTCCCGAGTCCTTGAGGCATATTTTCTTGGTACTCGCTCTTTCACTCAAACTTTCCCGTAATTATTCTATCCCTTCTAGGAAGAATCGATGATTACTCTTCTCTACCTTGTGTTGTGGCAGAGCACGATGAGGCAAGTTCTACGAGCCCTTGTATCCTCCTTAGCTTACACCCTGATGGTTTCCATAAAAGCAAATCTATAGTACAATGCTTCTCCTCCGTTTTAATCAAACAATATGAGAGGACTGAGTAATATTCATCTCTAGGTTGAATCGTATGTTAAAGACCTAGATTCTCTGTTTAGGCGTTCCTGAACTGTACTAGAGGGTACCTCCTCAAATGGCCAGCGCCGCTCTCTTGTGACGCAGTTAGAGCGGGGCTCGGTGTCGGAATGGACATTAAGACATACCACGCCATTATATTCCCTCATCCGACAGACTAGGTGAGGGCATTTCAAGACCTCCTCGGACTGATGTAATTTTAGGTGATCGTCAATGTGACTCAGGAGAGTAGTCTTGGTCATCCACTGTTTGAACCGTTCTGCAGGGGCTTTCTTGTCATCTCTAAGGTAGAATGGACAAAGACCAGCGGCTACAGTAGTCTACCGGGTGGGTTTTATTCCACAGCGAGGATGAAAGTTATAAAAATGTATAAAATTGCACGAATATCACTTGATTATCTAAAAGTTGATAGTGAAGCGAGATTTATGCTAGTACGGATATTTTGAGGATATGATATATGACCCGCTGTCCAATGGAGAGGATAACCCGCAGTCTAATTTTCACTGTCTGTCGGTATTTGACGGTTGGCTAATTTTCCAATCCTTAAGCTATTCCTTACTTTTACGGCACACTGAGATAGAAAGATCCTCTCTCCGCCCTATATTACTTGGCTTCTAGATCTGAAGGTCGAAGGGCGTTATCTACTGGAGTAAGTCAAGATAAATACTATAAAATCCACTCGGGCGATTCTACCCCTTATTCCAAGGCTCTGGTCTTCCCTTCACATCAAACTTTATTCTTCTGAATACAGGACAGTTGCTAAGCGCGCAAGCCCAGTAAAATCTTCATTCAGGGCTCAAAGACATCTTGCCGGATGTATAGTAATGGTTGTGATTATCTCGGCTAATGCAAACCTAAGACTAAAATGTGGAAAGACCCCTCCATAATACCAGAAAGCTGAGTATATCTTGCAAGTTAGATCTAGGACCGGCGGCCCAGGAAGGAATTGGATCGGTCGCTGTATATACCATACTAATGCACTTCGTGGAAGAGCGTTTGACCCGGACGTGACGTCGTGGGTGAAGAAATACATAAATACGTATTTCCTATCCAACAATTTCCATATCTTCTCTCCGTGATATCCTCCCACATATTCTCCCACAAAGTAGCCCCTCATCGCTTGACCCAAAAATCAAGGGCTTATGATCTCTTCCGACAATGCCGATCCATTTCACTTCAGAGAACCGTTTTCTCCAAGTGGGGATCAACCATGGTAACATTTATCTATGTACCGAACCAAGACCAGTCATTCAACCCCAAGACAATTTGATTTCAAATTCGGAAAAACATTTCGATGCTGCTACAGCAACAGCTCTGGGTCATGCTTTGAACAAAGCCCGAAGATGTCTAGACATGGTTCAGGACACAGCATCTCAGAATACCCAAGTTGTTGGAGTTGGGAACGCCTTGGCAACCTGCTTCTGAACCTGCAAGGCCTCAGCGCTATGCAATGGGGCTCTCTAGACGGTGTTGTACTATCCTATGTCTTTTAGCTCTTATATTGCTGCATCGCGGAATTCTACGAGCGCGAATCTACTCCGCTAGCAATGTCGTCGCTACGAGATGGCCTTACCGCCTACAAATTGGCTCTTCAATGTGTGCATGGCGCAGCTTTGATGAATGTCTTGATTTCTTCACCTCCTGCTTATCATAATTTTAACCAAATCGCTTTTTATAAATCAGGACAACAAGAGATCATTGTCTTCACGGCAGCAGGAAGTCACGGAGGCCATAGAAGAAGTGGGCAACAAAAGATTCAAAAATGGGAACGGAATGAGCACAGCGATATACCATTCTCAGGCGGTCCTCAATTTGTTGAAGGACACTCGTGAGCCAGGTGCTACGGCGGCATCTGGCGACATGCATGTGAGATTCGGCGGAGGAAACCGGGGTATTCAATTCGCCGAGTATCATGGAAACATGGAACACTTAATCTTTCCTCTCTAGAAGCCCCAGCAGGTTTAACGAGATTTTGTATGCTGTGCATCTGGATATACTGCTCTGGATTTCTATTTGCTGTTTGTACGGACAGAGAGAGAAAATGGGCATAAAACAAGGAAAATTCCACCTTTTCCTAGACTTCATTTTCGCCATCAGCCATGAAAAAAATAAGGCTAAATAAGTATAATTTCTCGCTTACTTCTGGAGGTAGTAATGGTGATGTTGTAAAAGAAAAGATAGTCAATGTACCCAGTGTGTTTTCATGTGTACTCATGGTACGTGCTAAAAGCTTACTCCTTGGTTTCATGGTGATTCCATCTGACTCTCCGAATGAGCATTCTGTTTAAAGGCTTTGTCAATATACCATCTTAGTTGAAACGAATTGACGAATTATTGGGGTAGATGAGGATGAACGAATTTCAACGGTGCAAAAGTTCCTCGTCAATTATGTGTTGAACGGGATATGACAGCAGCAGATGTTGATACTACAAGAAAATTTACATCAATTATTCAACCCCAGCATTGTTGAACGTCGATTGATCCGCTATCCTCGTAATGAAGTACCAGGTGTTTAAAAAGCATGAATTAATGGAGCCTCCTAGCTTTCCCTTCTTTTCCACCGGTTGCCACGGTCTAGGCCATAGTTCCCGTGTTGGGTTAGCGCCACTGACACAACCAATATCATGCGGGAGCGCAGTATCTTCCCTCGACAAGTTCACTTGTTAGTGACTTGCCTAACACAATACAATCATGGAAGAAACTTTCCGGTCTTTGATAGCAGGGAAAGTTCAAGAGTTGCTTGTATTCTGTGGGATCCGCGACTGCGACTATGAAACTATCAAGGAACATATCCTAGGCATTTCTGACTTTGGTGAGGCCTAGATTGCTCATTAGCAGACCATTTCAACTGACACGTATAGTCCGCGACTTAAGGCTATAGGTAGGGATAATAGATCCACTACCTCTCCTTACTCCCGAAGCTAGTCCGGATCCTGAAGCAAAGCGTGGCTCTTAGCGGTTACTCTCCACACCTGATAAAAGAAGTAGGGTGGACTACAAAGGGCTAGATGCGCAGTCTTATAAGAAAAGGAGAAAGAAAGGAAATAATACAACTACAGATGTAGCGCAAGAGACGAATAAGCCTGTAGTACGTCGGGAAGGTGACAGAACAACCGGTCCTCCGTCGATGACTGAGGCGAACGCCATACCTTAGGCCAAGGCTCCTTTGACCGCCATAGACACCTCTCGGTACGGGAAAGCACCGTATAGGATTATTGAGAATATACTTGTGAACTGTATAAAGCTAAACGATCCCCTTGGAAGATCTAGTCTCCGGTCAAAACAGGCAAATATGACAACGAAGGTTGAGGAGATTCAGAGTGTTGTGAATGGTATTATTAAGCTGGAATATTCCGATGTAGTCTAGCTAATCAAGCAGGAAAATGCATTCTCCACAATTAAAAATATCCAATCGCGGCTTAATGAAACTGTGTATTGGGAAATCATCAAGAAAGGTGCCGAGCTCCTTGACCCAAAGGACGCCAACCTCGAGAGGCCCTCTTGATAAATTCACAATGGCCGAGAAAGTCGCCACCGAAAGATTCATGAGGGAAGCGGGCTATAGAATTAGTCTCGCCAATCAACGGCAGTGCCGTCTTTTCTGGAAAAGACTATTCGACATACGAAACGCTGGTGTCGATAAGATCCTTCTATACCGCACAAAGGAATTTGACCGCTTCTGCAGGAGCTATTCATTAGAGGCCGGGTCTTCTTTGATCGAAACTGTCTAACTCTAGGAAGAAAGGTATAGCCTTTATATCAAACAACTAGAAGAGCGAGTGGCCAAGGAAAGCAAGGGTGATTTGACAGGAAGGCTATGGTTAAGCCAGCCGCTTTTAACAGACAGAGTTTGTGTCACTCAGGATTCTTGGAATTGCGCTGTTAACCCGTGGTTCTCGCACTATCTTTCAATTGAGTGGATCGTACGAGCCATCGGCTAAAGCGCTTGGTGGGTTCTTTGACTTAAGGGCAAATACAGAAGCAATGCGAAACAAGTCTATATTTGTCACACTTCAGCCTAGGAAAGATGTTTTTCTTACGGGTTGCCCTATTATATCAGTCCAAGAGGGAGATACCCCCGGGTTATTTTCTGGAGAGATCCGGTACTCTTCAGACTATAATACCGTCTACGGTATACCTAGCCCCGAACAAAATCTTTGGTTAGATTACTCCAGAGTCACTAGAGCCCTTAACTTAATAAGGGTATCAGCTCCTAGAGGTGAATCTAATTAGTAGGAGTTAATTGATGGATAGAGTAGACCTCGGCAAGGACCGGGTCCGGTCCCAACTTTGAGGACCGGGACCGGACCATGCGGTCTTTGGTCTTTTTTCAAAGTAGTCAGGACCGCACCACGGTCCCCCGTGGTCCTTTGCGGTCCCCCATGCGGTCCCCCGCAATTTCATAATTATGCCAAGACCTTCCTTGTTTGGCCGTATAAACTGATTATTCAGCCACGTTTTTTACTGTTATTTAACACTGTTTTGGTATCTACACAAATTTTGATAATAAATCAGGTCTAACAATCAATAAAACAGTTGAAACTACCTTGTATCTGATTTCATGAAGCTTGGTATTAAGTTAATTACCAATGAACTTTCAATTTCGGACTGTTGTGGTTGACATTTTAGAATTTACTTCTGATCATGCAAAGATATATTGAAATGGGGATGGCACGATGGCAGTCTGACATAGCAGACGGGTCGATACTAATGAAGAGGTCACACAACCACTCCCATGGCCTGAAGGCGTAGAGAGCGGTCCCTGAAGGTGTAAATCGTACCGAGCCTGATGCTATATCATGAATCAAGAAGTTTTGCGAGTAACTGTAGTCATATTGAGGTTGTTGGATTATGCTCCTCTCTCTCTGTAGGAGAAGACTGTATGTCTCTTGAGGCATCATAGATGCCTTAGGCTATTAAAATACTACTGTCACGGGATTCACCACTATATACTACCCCCCCTCTTGAATCAACTATCCCTTAGTTGATCAGTAGCGGGCCTAGATAGGCCTCGCCCATACCCGTGGGTAAGCGGGTTTTACCCGACCCATACCCATTTCTTGGCGGGTTTTGGGTCCAAAGTCTATACCCGAGGTCGGGTATGGGTTTTGATAGTCATACCCGACCCGACCCACGGGTTACCCACGGGTTAATAAACAGTGCAAACATGGAGAATCTCGTGACATACACAAATTGTGCATTTTTTTGGCTGTATTTATATGTATTCTGCTTATAGGTAGTCACGTTTACAGATACTAGATAGCAAAATAAGTGTGAATAGCTTCAATTTCATCAAAGACTAATACTCTATAAACTGATCGTTATAAACCCGTGGGCGTTTTCGAGATCTTCCTAAGACACGCTGTTAGGTCTTAGGTAGGGGTATATTATCCTCTTCTAGCTCTTTATTATCCTTACGGCCCTTAGTATCCTGTTACAATGCAATACTCCTTCTCCTCTTTCCAAGAGAACCTTCTGAATAACCTTGCACAGCTACTTTGGTTTGAACAAGAATAACAACCGATTGTGTATTATCCTCGTTCCCCTCCTTATTATCACTAATTGGCTCAATTGTATCTTCTAGCTATTGTCTATCTAGACTATCTCTCTCCTTATAATCCGCTTCTATATCGCCTTCAGAAAAGTACTCCTTCTAGACAGCAATCACGTCTTCTTAGACCTCAAACTCGGTCGTGCAACGATACAACATGATTTCCTAAATTGTTATAGCTTTTAGTGAGCCGCGACGATAATGATAGATATCCCGCGCTGTATTAAATAGCCGCTTAACGCCCGCGCTAGTCGCAGGAATCGAGAGAATATCTTATGCGAGCTTTGCAAGTATAGGAAATGTAGCCTAGTGCTCCTTCTAGAACGCGCGAACTAGCATAGTAGTAGTAGTTGCTAACGAACATTGATTAACCCAAGTTTAACAATATAAAGACTAGGTATACTTACCACTATCAAGATATATTGTAAGTTCGTTCTGCTAATAAGCTTGAGATACCTAGTTAAGGCTGAACATTTGATCAAGATCTAGGCTTAAGCCTTGCGTAGTAGGCTCTTGATCACTACTAGTTTGTTCTTTTAACCGACGTTGCTTATACGGTTCAAAGTAGTCCTCAAAGCTCTATCGATATCGAGTAACTAACTTAGGCCCACCACCCTATTCTCTACTTCGGAAGAACTAGAGCTTTAGGTACGGAGCAAGCATTGTACTAATAGCAAAGATATCACTATAGATATCCTCCGTCTTACTATAGTACTGCCTTAGCTTTTCCTCGGCTACGCGGAGAGCAGTGAGCATAAGCTTTTTCTAGGCGATATTCTTCCTTATAAGCTGCCTAATTGACTTTTCAAGATAATCAAAGAGCTTATTATAGATTGCAAAGATTAGGTGGATAGTGACATCCTTTGTCTTTGATAGTGTAGTCGTAAATCGGAAGAATGGCTGTGTAATTAGGAGTAGATAATCAATCTAACGCCATTGCTTATAATCAAGCTAGAGGTAGGGATAGCCATACTTTGAACAGAATTCAATTAAGTAGGATTGTAGTCGTTTAGCTCGGCGAAGTATTAAGAATATCGAGTTCTAGCGCGTATAGACGTCCTATATTGGAACAAGAGCGTTCGAACCCGTCTAAAGAGATAGGAAAGCTTCACGACGTTAGGGGCTCGCGTTAATAAAGATCGCTAGGCCCCGAAGCTAATACGATATTAGAATTAGATATCTACTAGATTAATCAGGGGCGAACCTTGTTCAGAGTGTCAATAATCTCCCTTTTCTAATGCCTAGCCCGAACTAACTATTCCTAGGATTTAGTCTATTCGGCCTAGGCAGTGTTGTTCTTTAGTTCTGCCTTTATCTATCCGAGAAGTTGCTTCAAACTTAATTATATAACGTGGGCTATATATAGAACTCGAATGATTGCTGTACTATTACCGAGATTAAGAGACTAAACCGATTCTTGAATACTTGCTACTAATATGTTATTGTTTGATATATTATCGGTAGTGATAGTAAGCACTCGATCGGCCAGATTATGATTCCGTAGAAGCCGAAGTAGAATAGCACTAAGATTAGCACTAGAATGTGCTCCACGAAGTGGTTCAAATCTAAGAAGCAGCTCTCGATAGTTCTAGTCTTTGTTAATAAAATATCTAGTGACTACTATAAATGCTTAGGCAAAAGAGGACGTCTAATAGTCAAGGGCAATTGAGATTTTCCTATCTTCGGGCAAGCTCTCGAGTATTTTCCGATAGCGTTCGAAGACTATAGTGCGTAGTCGACTCCGTGCTACCTTTGCAGACGGAATATTGATATCCTTAGGAGCTCTTTCTGAAGATGTCAGGGTTATAGGATCATGTGATAAGAGGAAAGGAAGTAATAAAGAAGAGAGTAAGAAGAATAAAGTGAGAGAGAAGAGTATAGTTGTTTATTTCAGTCGGGGTATCACTCTCTATTTATGTTATTTCCCCTAGGTGGCAAATGCTCTTGCCACCTAGTTGATTTATCAGCATTGGTAATTTGATTTATCAGCAGATGCTTCTAGTTCTTTCTATTAGCTTCTATTGCCGATAGTATCCGAAGGTATTCGGTTATAGCCGAGATCTCGGTTCTTATTGGTTCGGGATCTTATCTTATAGATAAGATCCACTATATTATAATTGGTCTTATAGGAAAAAGTGGCTTTTTCCTACCCTCCATTATAAAAAGGGTTCTTTTATAGTCGTATAGACTTCTTATATTGATACCCCCCCCGTAAGCTATATAGGGTAGGGTACTCTATATAGGTTATAGTATATAGTATATTGGCGTATTATTATTATAGTAGTATTTTTTATGGTATAGCACTTAGACCTAGTAGGTTTAAATGATATTGATATAATGGTGTTGCTAAACACTTAGTGAGTGTATCTGCCAGTTGGTCCTTTGAGCTTACGTGTAGTAGCTCAATTTGGCCAGTAGCTATAGCATTTCTTGTAAAATGATATATAAGCTCAATATGTTTACTTCTTTTGTGGAACTCAGGATTTTCAGCCAACTTCTTCGCAGACATACTATCCACTAGTATTTTTGGAATAGAAGTGGAATATCCGAGTTCTAGTTTCTTATTGATATAGTTGAGCATATTAGCTAAGTAAATAGCTTCTTTTGTGGCTTCTTTTAGTGCCATATATTCTGCCTCGCAACTACTCAGTGCGGGTGTTTTTTGTAATTGTGAATTCCACGATATAGGGTTATTTTGTCCTATAGTAGGACTAAGGCTAAAGATATAGCCTGTTGTAGATCTTCTATTATCTAGGTCATTCGCCCAGTCGCTATCAGAGTATCCTTTTAGTATAAGGTCTTCTCCAGCACAGTTTAGGGTAAGCCCTAGATTAGGGCTTCCTAAAAGGTATTTCCAGATTTTATTTAGTGCCGTAAAATGCTCGCTATTAGGATTGCTCATATAGCGTGCACAATAGATCACTTTATAGGTTATATCAGGCCTAGTTTTTAGTGCTAGGTATAGTAGTGAACCAATATGTTTTTGGTATATTTTGACGTCCTTAGGGTCTGCTATAGTGTCATTTTTTCGTAGTTTTGCCCCTGGTTCTCCTGGTATTAGAGTAGGCTTATATCTTGGGTTATTTATTATATTAAACTTTTGTAGTAGTTTTGCAGTATATTCCGACTGATTTATATATAGCATCTTTGTGCTATAGTTTATTTTTATAGTATTTCCTAAGAAGGTAGACACAGGGCCTATTTCTTCTAGTTTCACGTATTCTCTTATTTTATTAGTTATATTTCTTATATATTGTATATTAGGATGTATAGCCAATATATCATCAACGTGACATATTAAAATACAGCCTGTTTTATGGTTTATAAATATTCCTTCGTCGTACGGGAATACGTCGAATTCGAATCTTAGTAGTATAGTGGCTAGGTGTTTATACCATAGCCTAGGGCTCTGCTTTAGGCCATATAATGCTTTCTTTAAAAGGCAGCATTTCTTATTATTATTATATACCCCGATAGGTAGTATGGTATAGATATTAGCGTCTATATCGGCGTGAACAAAAGCGTTTTTCACGTCGTATTGTCTTATTTCCCAGCCCTTATTCACCGCTACTATCAGTAGTAGGTGCCAGGTCTCTGTTCTACACGTAGTAGAGAATGTCTCTAGGAAGTCTATTCCTAGTCTTTGGTTAAA